TTCATCGATGCGAGAACCAAGAGATCCGTTGTTGAAACTTTTGATTTCGTTTTTCAGATATAATAGGTAAAATAGTTTTTGTTACATTTGCCTTTCGGCCAAGCAATTTAGTTGTTTCACAGGTGTAATATGAATCTCAATAATGATCCTTCCGCAGGTTCACCTACGGAAACCTTGTTACGACTTGTACTTCCTCTAAATGACCAAGTTTGTCCAGCTTCTGCGACTTCGTTGCGGTTGCCCACAAGTGAATTCGCATCCGGAGGCCTCACTAAGCCATTCAATCGGTAGTAACGACGGGCGGTGTGTACAAAGGGCAGGGACGTAATCAACGCAAGCTGATGACTTGCGCTTACTAGGAATTCCTCGTTCAAGAGCAAAAATTGCAAAGCTCTATCCCCAGCACGACGCAGTTTAACAAGATTACCCAATCCTCTCGGACAAGGTTATGTACTCGCTGGCTGCGTCAGTGTAGCGCGCGTGCGGCCCAGAACGTCTAAGGGCATCACAGACCTGTTATTGCCTCGAACTTCCATCGAATTGTCTCCGATAGTCCCTCTAAGAAGCTGATACTCAACAAATTGTTGACCCAGCTATTTAGTAGGTCAAGGTCTCGTTCGTTATCGCAATTAAGCAGACAAATCACTCCACCAACTAAGAACGGCCATGCACCACCACCCACAAAATCAAGAAAGAGCTCTCAATCTGTCAATCCTTATTGTGTCTGGACCTGGTGAGTTTCCCCGTGTTGAGTCAAATTAAGCCGCAGGCTCCACTCCTGGTGGTGCCCTTCCGTCAATTCCTTTAAGTTTCAGCCTTGCGACCATACTCCCCCCAGAACCTAAAAACTTTGATTTCTCACGAGGTGCCGAACGAGCTAAAATAACTACCCGTCCGATCCCTAGTCGGCATAGTTTACGGTTAAGACTACGACGGTATCTAATCGTCTTCGATCCCCTAACTTTCGTTCTTGATTAATGAAAACATCCTTGGCAAATGCTTTCGCAATAGTTAGTCTTCAATAAATCCAAGAATTTCACCTCTGACTATTGAATACTGATGCCCCCGACTGTCCCTATTAATCATTACGACGGTCCTAGAAACCAACAAAATAGAACCATACGTCCTATTCTATTATTCCATGCTAATATATTCGAGCGAAACGCCTGCTTTGAACACTCTAATTTTCTCACAGTAAATGGCCTGACCTTTCTGCCACGCGATTAAACGCAACAGACGTCCAGGCAAAAAGAATCAAAAGTTCCAGTACGCACCGTGAGGTGGACCAGACTCCCAATCCCAAGTTTCAACTACGAGCTTTTTAACTGCAACAACTTTAATATACGCTATTGGAGCTGGAATTACCGCGGCTGCTGGCACCAGACTTGCCCTCCAATTGTTCCTCGATAAGTGGTTTAAATTGTTCTCATTCCAATTACAAGACCAAAGGCCCTGTATCGTTATTTATTGTCACTACCTCCCCGTGTCAGGATTGGGTAATTTGCGCGCCTGCTGCCTTCCTTGGATGTGGTAGCCGTTTCTCAGGCTCCCTCTCCGGAATCGAACCCTAATTCCCCGTTACCCGTTGATACCATGGTAGGCCTCTATCCTACCATCGACAGTTGATAGGGCAGAAATTTGAATGAACCAGCGCCAGCACAAAGGCAATGCGCTTCGAGAAGTTATCATGAATCACCAAAAAGTCCAAAGACATTGGTTTTTTATCTAATAAATACATCCCAGACGGGATTTTACGCATGTATTAGCTCTAGAATTACCACGGTTATCCATGTAGTAATGCACTATCAAATAAACGATAACTGATTTAATGAGCCATTCGCAGTTTCACTGTATAGATTGCTTATACTTAGACATGCATGGCTTAATCTTTGAGACAAGCATATGACTACTGGCAGGATCAACCAGATAACTATCTTCAACAGTCAAGAGACTGCCTAGTTTCCGAAGAAACATAGTTTTTCAAAGTTCGTGTTTCCACCCAGTCTCTGCATTGTCAGTTGTTACACTGTCAACACATCAACTGCATCCAATTGCCTTTTTGAGTTCCTCAGTTATAGTCCGCTAAGCAAAGCTTAGCATCAATAACTTGAGAGGAGGTTTCTGTCTACAAATCACGACTAAAGTCGGCTATCTGTAGCAGCATGCCCCCGAGTGTTTTCCTGTAAATTCTTGCCATCGGCTAGTAATCCACAGAACCCATCAGTGCTTTACACAGCGTAGTGCTTGTAAAGACCCTTCAGGTTAACACCTTTGTAAGGTTGTGCTTGAGATTTCGTCGTCAAACGAATCAACTCTTTTCACAACCAAACTCGGCTGCGTTTGAAAAGAAACCAGACTGACCGTTTCCGATTTCATCTTTTGCTTTTTCAAGCTTTTATTTTCTTTTCATAAAGGTCATTTTGGCAATATTGAAGTCAAACTTGGGTAATCGTACTCTTACCTCATGAAAGGCCCAAGTTTGTGCTTAGTCCAAACCGGGCACGGCAACTACTAGAACAAGTTTTGTTTGCAATATACTCTTAGTGTCTCTATGTCTGCACAATTTTAGGAAATTTAGTTTGTTTATCAGCTCCCATTATAGAAATCGCCGTCAATTATAAGATTTGATAAAGCCCCTCTCGCCTGGAGCGATACACATGTCTAATATCCACCACCTTTGTTTATAGTGCTAGGGACGCACCGTAGTTAGTAGATGGCAATCACTTTTTATGCTGCGGCCAGCTGTCTTTTTTGACTGGATACGGCCAATCTAGTTTTATTCGCCCACTTCAATGCCCTAGTTTTCCCAGTGAGTTGAGCATTAAAGCATGTTGTGGTCCAACTCATCAATAAATGCTTGATAGACTGGCCAATTCTGATATCAGTAACATGTATGGACTCGTTGTTTGTTCTTTATGTTGGATTTTATCCGAGGTATTTGGGGTGTCTAGGCCTGCTTCGTTTTTATCAGCCTAGATTTCATTATGTGATACTAGATTAGCTACCACAACCTCTCTTCACCTACGACATATTATGTAACGCACATAGGTTCAGTTGTGTATTGTACCTAAATATAACTGAGATTTGCAGCGGGGTAAAACCGCTTGAACAAGTTACCATGAACCAACCGCGATCAGATGGAATTATACGTAGGGTGATGCTGCCCAAAAGAACTAGTCAGTTCCAAGACATAGCTACTGTGTCAAACGAGCTGCACAACCGAAAGAGTGGTAGATCGAAGACTAGTGCGATGCCTATTCGAAAAACAGTTGTGCGCCAGATCCGGTATTATGCAACTACTGGATATTAAACAACTCCTACACAGCAAGCGACCCTAGCCCTCCACTTAGGAACTGTTGGTTAGTCTTATGCGGCGCACTTAGAAGCACCCACAGTAATAATTGGCAGGCATCCTGACATAACAGAAAAATTAATACCCCAGTGTGGAGCATTATACCATTTTGAAAGTGTCCAAAATAAAAGAAGTGCCACTAGCACTCTCACGAAGCTGAGAAATCTGATACGGCAAGCAGGGTTCAGCACGCCGGAGCTGCATTCAACGGTAGTGTAAGAGCAATCCAAACGTGCATGCATGTCAAAACAGCGCCACCAACTAAGGCCATCATGGGGGACTCAGATACCAGATAATCGCATTTCTAGAGTTTCCCGAGATTCATGACATGAAAGCCCGACTTTCTCAATTTTCAAAACATTTTTGAGCGTCTAGCGCGCTACTCTTCGTCCTTCCCCCACTCACACCGATCAGGTGTGTGACATTACTAAGTCGACGCAAAGCGTACAATAAATTAGCTCGTTCACCCATCCAAAGTTAAGCAAAAAAACTAACATGACACTCGACGTTTTCCCGGTTGGATTTGGACTTATGGGGTTCACTTGGAATCCTAAGCTCAAGTTTACTCAGGATGAGTTTAATGCTGTCCTAAAGCAGGTAATCGAGGCCACTGACAAGCCACTTTTTCTTAACGGCGGTGAGTTTTATGGAATGCCTGACCGCCACGAGAACCTCAAGAAAATTGGGAAGTTCTTTGAGACCTATCCTGAATATGCAGACAAAGTCTACGTTTCAATCAAGTCCGGTGTTAATGACCACTGGGCTCCAGTCACTAGTGCAGAGGAGTTGAGACCGGGTGTCGAGGCAATCACAAAGTACCTTGCTCCTTTGTACGCAGCTCGTAAAAGCCATCCTAAGTCTCTTGACATGTACACGCTTGCTCGACTTGGTGATGATACCATAGAGAACGTCTTGGAGCGGCTGAATGTATACGTCAAGTCAGGCGAGATCAAGTCAATTTGCTTGTCCGAAGTATCTGCGCAGACGATTCAGAAAGCTCTGGCCACCGGAGCACCAATTGGTGCCGTCGAGCTTGAGTTCTCTTTGTTTTCTCGTGAAGCAGTTGAAAACGGCGTTTTCGAGATTTGTGCTAAAAACAATATCCCTGTTATCTGCTACTCACCTCTTGGTAAAGGATTGTTGGCTGGTCTAAATCCTAAAGATGTTCCTGAAGGTGATATGCGTAGGAATTTCGATCGTTTCCAAGGCGAGATCTACGAGCATAACAAAAAGCTCGTCGAGGTTACCAAAGACATTGCCGAACGCAAGAAAGTTACACCTGCGCAGGTTGCGCTTTCCTTCATCACCAGCTTGAGCAATAAGGAGTGGGCCGGCGTCAAGTATCCCCAGCTCGTTCCTATTCCTGGATCAACTAAGGCGGCTCGTCAAATTGAAAATTTCAAGACCATCCAGCTCTTTGACGCTGACTTGAAAGAGATCCATGATGTTTTGGACAGTTTCAAAGTGAAGGGTAGCCGCTACACAGCTGCTATGGATGCTGGTCTTTATAAATAGTGCACGCATTAACAAAATATAAGACGGTTGTATGTATCCGTATTCTTACAGGCTCACTTTTGGAAAACGACGTGTGAACTTATGCTCAAGTTTTATATGATTCCTAAATCGCGGGATTTGGGCCAAATCATTCAAGAGAATTCATTATTGAGAAAACAGGTTCGATACGGTCTTTTTCGAGCAAGTCCGTCGGCGAATGTAACCCAGACTGGTGCGAATTGCTTTCGCGGAAGAGCATAATGTGCCCTCGTGTAGAGGTTCAAAACAATCGGAATAAAAAGAAGATTTTCCGGGGGAATTGCTACTCTTGATATTCCTTTTGATGCAACGATTTAGCGGCCTTGATAAATGACCGAATCTTCTTTTCATCCTTATATGGATAGCTTTCGACGCCCCCACTAACATCAACACCAACCACACCAGAGACTCGGCAAGCAGATTCAACATTCTCTGAGTTCAATCCACCGGCAAGTAAGAATTTTCCGCCTTCTTGGGCCAACTGCTGCAAAGACGCCCAATCGACAGGTTCGCCATTTCCACCGACTTCACCGTCAATGAGGGGCAAAAAATGAGCGTCTGGTTCAAGTGCATCACAAAAATTTTCAGTATTTGGTGTGAACCGTTTGAATGTACGAGCTGGGACTTCCCTACACCAACTGAGTGGTTCGTCTCCGTGAAACTGGACAATGTCCAGTCCTATCTCACGTTGTAAACTGAGAACATCATCTAAAGATTGATTCTGTACGACCCCAACAAGCATAGGATTGGAATGTGAAGCTATCTCAAGCAGCCTGGCTCTTTGTTCCCACAAAGTCTCCTCCTCAGGCTCAGGAATATTAATGGGAGCCCTGTTGAACTCATGAACAACTTTTGCTATCGCTTTAGCCGTCTGAATATCCACAGTGCGTTTTCGATCTGGTACTAAAATGATTCCAATCAAGTTGGCACCGTTTTCGAGTGCTATTTTAGCATCCTGCGGCCTTCTAACACCACATATCTTGACGATGACCATGATGACGAAGGGATCGCAGATGGGCAAGTAGGTTCTTAAGATCCGCGCACAAAATTATAAGACCAGGACAACACCCCAAATCAATTGATTTAGAAGTTTATTTGACTATTTTAGTTTATATAAATGCGCGGCTGGTCCTGCTCACGCAACCCAATATATCCCATAATCGGTTTTGATGTATTTTTCGTCGAGTAAACATCATCTGTCATCAATGGACTATGAAGCTGCGCTGCATGCTTTGAAGTTTGCAACTAATTCGCGAAGTTTAGAGGCTTTGGATGAATTTCTGGAGATGCATGTCGATTGTTTGAGGCGATGCAACACACCACCTACCGGTCCTGAGCGTCTGCAGTCCAGATCGGCTACGCAGCCAAACATAGACGAAGCTGACGCGAAAACAATAGCGTCGAAATTGTCCACTAGCGAGCAAGCAGTAGTTTACGCTGCATCTAACTCTTTTGATGGATACAGTCTCGAAAAGATCAAACAGTCTCTAGAGACAGCTCATTGTTCCGTTATCAAACTTACAACTGAATTAATAAAACGGTTCGACCTTGAGAGCGATCCGTCAGAGCGCCAAAGCACTGTCAACAGACATGTTCCTCAAATTTTGGCCGATGAACAGTTTTTCCCTCGAATCTTTGATGTTATAGGTAGTGGAAAGCTCTCCCCAGCAGTCCTTACATCGCTCCTGGATCTAGTCTTCACTGCACTATCCTATGTCATTCCCGATTCATCTCTTTTGATTGTTGATTGGGTACAAAAAGCGGCGGTTCCGACTGGACATTTTTCAGCGTTCAGCCACGAAAACTTCTCTCGGGCTGTCTTAATTAGTCTGCAATTCCTCAATGTCCACCAAGATTTTTCGTACGACAACGAAGGTTTCTCCTACTTCAAAGATGGTGACGTGCTTTTGACACTACACAGAGCTTTTGCCGATGCACCGGTCTCAATTAGAGTGGTTTGGGCCCTTGTACTTCACAATGTTGCCGTCAGATATAGTGGCCAACCGGATAAGTCACTTAGTGGCCTTTTGGAAGCGTGCAAAGCGAAAGGATGCGAAGATTTAGACATCAAGTCTGGCGAAATGCTGAAGGCAGCATTAGATGATTATGGGCTGACGGAGCTAGTTGACCTAGCTAGTGCTACTGGTGAATCTGTGCAAGTATCCCAAACAATCGCAGATGTTCTTCAAGCGCTCTGTCACTGTGTCTATATCACACATGATTTGGCAAGAGCTATAGACATGGTGATTTCTCCGTTTCCCATTCTGGCGAAAGGATTTTTTGCGAATGACTTCATAGCCACCGCGGTCGAGCTGGCTAAAGCCAAAGTTCCCGCTGCGCTGCCCACATTCGTTCACCTTGCTAGAGCCACTGGACCTGCTGCAAATAAATTGGTGGCTAATCTTGACTCGTTCGTTGATGAGGTCGACAGTAGCAGCATTGATATCGAAGGAACGGAAGCTGTCGCTCGAAGCCCACTAACGCTACTTGCGCCAAGAACTACTGATGGACAGGGCGCCATCGTTCTGCCAGCCAAATGGAGTGGTAAAGTACTGGCAGATGGCGAAAGACCACTAGTGATGTGGAATTTTCAATATAATGGCTGGTCTTTGTTAGCTCGCGTGCTTGAAGGTTCTATCGCTGGACAGTCAACTGACGCACTGGCAATTATACGACTGATTAATACTGTTATTCCATTACTGGATGCTGAGAGCACGGACAAACTACTGGGATCGCTGTCAGCCTCGCTTGCTCGGGGTGACATTGTTGAGCTATTAGCGACACGACTCGAAGAATCTATAGGGGACTTCTCTCGAATGGAGGAATGCACAGTATTACTGGGCTTTTTCGTCAAGCTAACCCCTGTGCTTCCAAATCGGGTATGGACACATATTGCCTGCTCACGCCTGCTTGAACAGCGTGGTGAGGCAGGGTTCATCGCCACAGTTGTAGGTGGTGTCGAGATCGTAACCCACAGATATGACTTCACGCTTGAAGTTGTTAAGCTCACTAGGGTTTTGCTGGATCACTTTGACAGTGAGAGCAAGTTACAAACAGATGTGATGCAGAAGCTTTTACGACATTTGCTGGACGTCTTCGAATCCTTCCTATACTGGAGTTACAAGATACCCAGACAGCGTGACTATCTCATGTCTGGCATTGTAGGGGTCATCTCAGCAGCCGCTGAGGGGGATATCGGGCCCAATGCCGAATTTTTACTCAAAAATTTGCTAGGACGCGGTCCTTCAAGCGCCAGAGCCATACGCCCTTTGCTGGTAGCCATTACTACAACGACCGAACCAGCATACTTCAAAGTTTGCTCTTGGTTGGTCAACACTAGAAGTTCCCAGAAACTTGAATATTCGTTGCTGGAAAGGAAGTTACATGATTCAGCGACACAGCTTGTGCAAACATACTACCAACATCCCTCTCTTCGTGAATCTGTTCTAGAGGTTCTGGAATCTCTTGTAAAGGTAGGGGGACCAGATCAACCCTCGCTTCTAACTTATTTGGGCCGATCCGGGTCTCAGCTTTTACTAGATGCACTCGTCCACAGTGCTGGAAGCAAACTGGAATTAGACGATGGTCTGGTTGCACTTGGCAGCTTTTTCACAACAGTAGCCCGCTCCCAGCAAGAAGGACTGCGGATATTGCTTTCATCAGGGAAAGACGTCCAAAATGCACCTTCAGCACCTTCTTCCGACTCCCCTGACACGTTTTTGCATGCTCTAGAGAGTCTTGCGATGCGTAAGCTTAGTCCTCGTGTGCTTTCAAGCGTTTTGGAAGCGCTGGCAGAGGGAAATACCAGAAGCGAGAATGTGATCCAACGTGCAGTCGATATTGTTGAGATGGCTTACTGCGATGCTTTTGAACCCACTGTAGAGGGTGCTTACCATGTTCTAGTTGTAGCTAGAGCGGTGCAGATTCTCGCCTCTCTAGAGTTCAATGGTATTAAATGCCCGACTCTCGAGAAATTTGTCCGCTCTCTCACGCGCACAAGGTTGAGGGGATTTACGGAGAAATTCTTCGCTGTGCAAGGCTTCGATGCCTTGCTACATGAAAATATCCATCAGCAATTCCTCAAATTACAGCCACAGCCACAACCAATAAGACAACACAAATGCTATGGACCCGAGTTCGGTTACTCTCTCACTCATCTAGATCTCTGCTTGCGTCAAAAACCGGAGTGGAAGACTCTTAGACCTCGCGTGGCAGAAGCAAACATCAATCTATCTTTCATTGACGCGCAAACTGTATTGGTTAGATTTTGGCGGGCGTGGTGTATGGCAGTTTTGACACAGGGTGCTCTAGAAGAAGATTTAGCTGTTGTGGCTGAGATTGCTTTACGCGCGAATTTGTCTGACCTTACAGTTCCTTATTTCAGTCAGGGGTGTGAAATGCGTATCGACCTGGTGTTTGCGATTCTACACCGTCTTCACATTAACAAAAAGCTCACCTTTTCGTTGGAAATACTCCAGGAAGCTTTGAGGTTGATCAGTGGGTCTGCTTTGGGCATACAAGCAGTAATCACGGCGCCAGGTGCGTCGAGTGCGTATAAATACCTTTTGCGTATTGTGAACCTCGAGCTATCAGTTTTCGAGGGAACTCCCGACCCGAAAGTCAGGGAGCTTCTTTTAGCATTGATTGATCGAGTTGTTATCTGTGATGCAAGAGTAATTGCTAGCCAAACAACGCAATCCACCGCAGAAGCTACAGCGGAGTATTTCACTGAGATTATTCTTTGTCTTCGCCAAAGCTTGGCTCTGATTCACGATGCGTCAAGTACCGCACAACCGCTGCTTCAAAGCATGCTGGACACAGGAGCAGACCGGGCAGTGGCTCGCTTATATTCTTATGCACTTGAGCTGCAACCGGAAAATCCAGTTTTAGGAGAGCTCGCATTGCTCTACTTTTTGGAGTGGCTACCACTTGCAACAATGGCTGACCACTTTGTAGCTAATGGGCTTCTCACTGTAATTCTAGAGGCACCGCTTTCCCGCCGTATACAATCTGGAAACATTGTTGCCTCCGCAGAGCCGCGTCTTCATTCTGCATGGCAGCGAGGCTTGCTTATGATTATGCTTGTTCTACTTCAACAGCTTGGTAGTCGGGTTGTACCCGAAACTGTTCTATTTATCGAGGGATTTGGTCCTCAGATAGACACATGTTGGCAACAATGGATCCAGCCCTCGGGTGAAATTTCTATTGCACTCATTGGAGAGACATTCTTGATCAACATTCTGCTGGCAACATTGGCATCGCACGGGCGCCAAGATACACTTGGCAGAGTGCTGCCGAAGAATGAGTTGCTTCAAGCCATTGATCATCTCTCGAGTCACAGAAAGTATCTGTCGACACGCGTCACAACGTCAGACGATCAGCTCGACCAAGTGGTAGAGGAAATGGAGGATTTGAGAAATGTTATATCACAAAGATAAATAACTGTAAACACTAGCTTATCACTCAAGTCCACGTAGCTTTGAATGTGGTTGCCTAGACAAAACTACTGTTTTGGTGTTTGTCTATTTCGTTTCCTAAGCAGCCTGTCGGGCTTCTCATGCTGCTTTATGTAAAACCAGCCACGTGATCATGTATTGTAAAAACGAGTTATATAGAAACATTCCGTGAAAAGAGAGGACCTGACAAGAAGCAAACAGGTGCAAGGTCATAAGCCACCTGCGTGAAATATGCCACATAAATATTTCGTAACGTCACTCGATACATAGCCAGATAGGGCCTTGGTTATACTTGAGGCGACCCCGCGATCTTCGATACAGTGCTTACCTGCATACCTTCAAATACCAAAATTCTCTACTCCCACCCATCCAATAATGGAGACGGCATCACAGCCGCGGGACAATCGCAAGCGGTGGTCGGGGCTGCAGTTACAATATGGGTTACCAACACCAACGACGTCACCGAAACTAGAACATGAACAGTGGACACCGATCGAGCATAGGGTGAATGCGCTGGCCGAGGTCCAACGCCTTCAAGAACGGTTTGCGGCCCTCGCACGCTCTGAGAATGCGCGCATTCTTGGAACACCTCCGAAATCAACCCAGAGGGCACCGACGCAAGAAGCTGTGGGAGTTGAAGGGCCCTCGCCGAAAAGACTCCGGTCAGTGGCCAGTCATCGCAAGAGCCACAGCTTCGACAGCGGCTTGTCTATTGGTGGCAATTCGTTACCACCGAAAAGCCCCGGAGACTATTCTTACCTGCTTGCTCAGGAAGAGTTTGATAATAGTTGGAATCAAGAAGACGATAATCAAGACGAACTTTTGGACTTTACCGAAGATGAGGGCGAAATAGATCAGGACAGTTCTATTTTGATGGTTAGGGCACGAGACCTTAAACAAGCCTTGCGAGAATCCAAACTAAAAAATGATTTGAGAACAAAGGAGCCACAGTCTCTCAGCGAAGCCACATTGATACTCTCTCTGGCCTTCAAGGCCTGGCTGGTTGCAGTTCTTGTTTGCGCAGCTCGCGGCGAGCGTGCCATCAGATTATATATTATTGCCGCATTCATATTTTTATTGGCAGTGGTCCTTCTTTAATATTGTGCATAAAAAGAATTATTACGTAGCTTAAAATTACTCTATAATTTGGCGATAGATGTGGGCGTTGTAGGCGAGATCAGAGTCTCTTCTAAAGCAGAGCGGAGTTCTGCGGGAATCTCACAGGGCTTTTTTGCGTTCTTATCCATAAAGACGTGAGTAGCATAACCGACGGCTTTAGCGGGGCCTTCGCCCTGGAACACTCCAAACTCAAAGTCAATTGAGCTGCGACCGAGCTTGCGCACGCCCAAACCAATGGTTACTGGATCAGGATAACCATGAACGGGGGCAAGGTACTCTGTTGAAGACTTCAGAATCAAGCGGCCGTACTGCGTGTTCCCGTATGCAACGCCGTTATCGGCACAGAAGCGTGCAACAGCATGCTCGTAAAAGGCGTAGAACAGGGAATTGTTTAAATGGCCTCCAGCATTATCTAGAAGTCGGGTTTGCATATCAATGCTCCACTTGTAATTCACGCGATCGGGCTGGTATCGAACCATTTTCACAACACTTGAAAGTTTTAATGTAGGACTGCAAGTATAAAATATATATATACCCAGCTTTCCAACTCGGCTGGGGCAAGGGTCCGCTTGTCCTCGGGTTGATGGTTACCGAGCTGAAGGTCAGCGTTCGTAGTCTATAAGCCTATATGCCGAGTCTCCGTCGGGGGGACTTGATAACAGGAAAATGTGGTTTCGGTATTTTTGAGTTATTTAATGTCAATCTCGCTACGAAAATCGCACCCGATCTTCCAGTGGCCCTACCGCCAAAATAGAACCAAAAGTCTGGATGCTCAAGAAATTTTCCAACAAAAGACCTCTCAATTGTGGAGTTCTGTACCGCTCCGTAGTAAATTAAATTTCGTCTTTGACTATACCCCTTCAAAATACCTACTACCCTCGCTGGTGATATTACCTATAGTCAGCGCTTAGTTGTGAGAGCGAACCCTTCGATCGAGGCTTGCTTGAGCTGAAACTCGCTAAACAGAGGAAGTAGCCATGTCGGCCCCAATGAAGGTACTGCTCAAGCAGTCGCCTCGTACACTAGCAATCGTCAATGAATATCATGCCCTGTTAGTTATGTCTTCAAACCCCAAGGGCTCCTTGGAACAGCGCACAAAGTGTATTGTGACCTTTAACAAGAAGAGCGAAGTTGATCTAGAAGGTTTCAAACACGTGGTTGATTGCTTCGGCTGTTTGGGTTTGATCAATGTCGGAACGGATGTATTCCTGTGTACAATTACTGCCCACGCACGCACAGCCCGTCCGATGCCGGGTCGTGCAGTTTGGCGTATTCATGCTGTCGATTTCCACTGCTTGACGAAGTCTGCGTGGGACTTTTTGGATGCAATGCCTACCATGGAGATTCACCATCCTGGTCAATCCCCTGTGGACGTTAATGTACACCCATGCGGTGGCATCCGCAAGCTTTTGAACAATGGTAGCTTTTACTACTCGAACGACTTCGATCTCACAGCGGTTTTGCAAAATTCAGGGGACACAAAATCATTTTCTCTGCCGTTGGATGCAAGTTTCATGTGGAATATGTTCATGATGGAGGAGTTAATCGTGTTTAGAAGCCGATTGGCTGCCGATGAGCAGCAATTCATGGACGCTGGTGGGTTTCTGACCTGCGTTATCAGAGGCTTCGCATCGACCCAGCCAATTAGACTTGATAATTTGAACGGATTGTTGTCAGTGATTTCCCGTCAATCGTGTAGACGGGCAGGTACTCGTTTCAACGTTCGCGGTATCGATGACGAGGGCAACGTTGCCAACTTCGTTGAGACAGAGACCATTTTGTGGCTTGAAAACCGTTTACAATTCGGCTATGTCCAAATTAGAGGCTCAGTCCCTGTATTCTGGGAACAGGACGGCAATTTTTTGGGAGGAAAACCAAACTTGACCCGGTCGTTCGAAGCAACACAGCCTGCGTTCAACAAACACCTAAGACAGATCACTGAGCGATTTGGGTCAGTACAAATTGTGGACCTACTAGCCGATAAAACCGGCGAACGGGATTTATCAGTTGCATTTAGCAAGCATATCGAGCAGTCCAAAGACCCTCAAGTGCGTTATATGCACTTTGACTTTCATAAAGAGGTCGGGAATGGACAGGGATATGGTGCTGCTTCTCGGATTCTGGATCGTATCCAAGAAGTTATCATGGAAGTCGGTTTTTTCTCCCATAACCCAACGACCTGCGAAACGGAAACAGAACAAATTGGTGTGTTCCGTACCAACTGTTTGGATTGCTTGGATCGCACCAACTTCATCCAACAAATCATCTCTCGCGATGTTCTGGATCTGTTTTTGGACTACAACAATTTGTATCCAAATGAAGATCTATGGCAAAAACTGTCTACTTTGTGGGCTGATAATGGAGATCAGCTTTCTCAAATTTACACCGGAACTAATGCTCTCAAGTCTTCCTATACTCGCTCTGGTCGAATGAATCTAGCAGGAGCACTTTCGGATGTAACGAAAAGTGTAAGTCGGCTCTACGTTAACAATTTTGTGGACAAGAGTCGCCAAACCACTATCGAGCTGCTACTTGGGTTAGCAGAAGGTCAGATGGGAATAACGATTTCCGACCCGGTCAATGATTATGTTCAAGCCGAGCTCGCTCGGCGTAGTGTGGAATATTCCTCGGACTACAAAATCCAGGTCTTCTGTGGCACATTCAATGTTAACGGCAAAGTTCCTACTCAGGCAGATCTTACATCTTGGCTGTTTCCTCGTGAAATGGCACAGTTTCCCGACCTATATATGCTTGGATTCCAAGAACTCGTGGAGCTTAGTGCGGGTCAGATTCTGAACGCGGATTCTGGCAGGCGGGTGTTTTGGGAGGACATGGTCCACCAAAGTCTGAACCGGCGCGAGAACTATGTTCTTCTGCGATCTGGCCAACTGGTTGGTACAGCATCCATGCTTTTTGTCAAGAGGAGTGAGATGCATCGTGTGAGAAACGTTGAAGGCGCATTTAAAAAGACTGCATTTGGTGGTATGACAGGAAACAAGGGTGGTGTTGGCATCAGCTTCATGTATGCAAATACGTCCATTTGTTTTTTGAACTCGCATCTGGCAGCAGGAATGAATAACGTAGAAGAGCGGCACAGCGATTACAAGGTGTTAGCATCTGGCGTGCGATTCAACCGCGGAAGACAAATGAAAGATCACGACACTGTGTTCTGGCTGGGAGATCTCAATTATCGCATCGATCTGCCCAACGACACGGTTAGAACGATGTTAGACCAAGGCGATCTTCAGCATGCCTTAGCCCGAATGGTCGAGCGTGACCAACTCGCTTCGCAAATGATCCGCGGAGAGACTTTCCCTTATTTCAATGAAGGGAAGATCACTTTCTTGCCTACGTACAAATATGATCCAGGTACAGACGACTACGACACGTCAGAAAAAGCTCGGGTTCCTGCTTGGACTGACCGCATCTTGACCCGGGGAAAGAATGTGCGAAACCTCGCCTATAATTCGGCGACAAAGATCAAATTCAGCGATCACCGTCCTGTGTACGCACTATTTGAGGTAACTGTCACCATCATAGATGAGACCAAGAAGGATACCTTGTTCCACGAGCTTTACCACGAGCGTCGTGAGCAAATGGGACCAGACACCACCCTACTTATAAATGACGAGGAATTCCGCGAAGCAGTTGTGACACCCAGCAGGCTTCCACATCCTTCGACCGACTCTAAAAAATGGTGGGCTGGTGAAGGCTTAGCGTCAAAAATCCCTGTTCTACCTCCGCGACCGGGAATGGTTTTGAACCCTGAAAAACTAAACCCGTTCTCCACTAAATCATCCGATCAGCCTGATTTCGTCGATCTTGCATCTGATATCTCAAGCATACAGAATGTGGTGCCTCGAAAGCCAGTGCCTGACAGTACAGAAAGCCTTGTGGAATCTCTCTCGCGCAAACCAGTGCCCGATAGCTCAGAGAGCCTTGTGGAATCTCTTTCGCGCAAACCAGTGCCAGATAGTACAGAGAGCCTTGTGGAGTCTCTCTCACGCAAACCAGTGCCAAATGGTCAAGAGAATATTAACGACTCCGGCGTTGTTCGCAAGCCAGTTCCACTAAACCCATTAGATTCTGCTGCTGGTAGCGATAATGACTCATATAAATCACTTATATAGTGTACTTAAGTCTTTAGAAACGGTTGCGATCATGTGGCGCATTGAAATCAAGCTTGGGGCCGGCGGAAATGATACCGTAGGGGTTGATTGTATTGTGGGAGCGATAGTAGTGTGTCCGAATATGCGGTACATTAACAGTCTCACCCAGTCCACCAGTCTGGTAAAGATCGAGCATGTAGTTTTGGATATTATGGTAGTCAGAGATACGCTTAATATCACATTTGAAATGCTGGACATAGACCAGATCAAAGCGCACCAGAGTTGTCCACAAGCGAACATCGGCCTCAGTAAGTCTTGAGCCAGTCAAGTAGCGCTGCTTGGAAAGAATTGCCTCGACACGATCCAAAGCTTCAAACAAAGGATACACATTCTCGTCGTAGGCCTCCTGGGTGGTTGCGAAGCCACACTTGTAGACGCCGTTGTTGATGAGGTCGTAGATCCAGGAATTGACATCGTCGATTTGTGGACGCAACTCCTCTGGGTAGTAGTTACCAGGCTTGGCTCCCAAATCATCAAAGGCGGTATTGAGCATACGAATAATGTCACTAGACTCGTTACTCACGATGGTCTGTTCCTTGGTATCCCACAGAACAGGCACTGTGACACGACCAGTATATTTGGGGTCAGCCTTGGTGTACAATTGATACAAAAACTTCAAGTCGTACAGTTGATCGCCCGTGGCACCGGGGAAGTCGCTGCTGAGTTCCCAACCGTTCTTAAGCATAAGGGGATGAACGACCGACACAGGCAGCAATTCCTCAAGGCCCTTGAGGGTGCGAGCTGCAAGAACACGGTGAGCCCACGGGCACGCATAGGACACGTACAGGTGATAGCGATTAGCTTCGGCAGGGAAAGCCCGACCAGTCTCTGCTACTTTGCCGTCCTTTGACAACCAATTGCGAAACTGAGTTACAGTGCGTACGAATCGTCCACCGTGTGCCTTGGTGTCATACCAAACATCATGCCAAATACCTTCAACTAATTGTCCCATGTTCTCTGATAGTCGTAAAACTGGGGGCAAGTTCTTAAATGGAGTTGCTATGAGCGTGTATGGGTAAGGGTTGAACCGGGCCAGGGCGGGACCCCGTGCGTTAAATTATGGGGGGAACATTGATTTATTTTGCAGTCTTGGAGGCTATTTCATCGGGCTTGTGGGAACCTGCTCCTCTGAAACCTCATTGTAAGATTCAAGTGTTTCGAGCAAGTCGTCTAAGCGATCGTGGATGGCGTCCAGCCGCTGCTCCATGTGGCCTGCCTGCTGTTCTGCAGATTTCATCTGGGCCCAAATTTCTGCGAATTCTTCATTGGAAATATTCCCAGCGTCTGTCATCTCTTTTCTTTTTTGTGGTCTGGTGCTAGTTGGTTCGGCTCCTCACTAGTTGGGAAAAGGTGTCCTCGCGCCTTCCTAAACTCCAACCTGACAAATGCGTCTGAGTATACTTGGGGCCACCTTGGCGGTGCTGAGCCGAGTGGTGACAGCAGCGCCGCTTGGAGAACGCACACTGGTTGTTGTGGACAGCACAGGCGATATTGCTGAAGTTGGCGAGTCCATCTCAGAGTCGTTTAAAAGCCGTGGTCATGAAGTTACTGTTTCTCAATTGAAGTCGGCACCCCCGCTTCACAGCTTTGGCGAGCGTGCCTTTGACAATGTCTTGATTGTTCCGGGCAAAACCAAGGGTCTTGGTCATAACTTTGGTGCTAAGCAGATCCTAGACTTTTTCAATGAGGGTGGTAACATTGTAGCTCTCACATCTGGTGACTTTTCACCGGCCGCGCTGCGAGACGCTGCCGCCCAATTCGGCATCAGTCTTGGCCCCAAAGGAACTGTGTTTGTAGATCACTTTGGATCCGGCAAAATCGGTGTTGATGAGTCTTCATTCAGAGACTCTATTCTCACCTTTACCGGGCCCGTTTCTGTGAACAATTCTGGTGCTGGTCTTTTGACCGGTACGTCAAAATACGCGTTCCCATTTGTTCGTGCTCCCGTAACTGCATACGCTTACAACAGGCTGCTTGACGATGGTGAAGACAGCGGCCAGATTGCGCCGTTTGTTGCAGGGTCTCGAGGTGTCCTGGCCGCAGGCAGCCAGGGCCGCAATGGTGCACGGTTCGCATGGATCGGCTCTTCTGATTTGGCGACTTCTAGCTATGGTGACGAGATTTTGCAATGGGCATTCCAAGAGCGCGGCGTCCTGAGAATTCGTGATGTTAAACATGAGCTGGCCGAAACTGGCGAGAGCTCGTTGTTGTACCGTATCAACGACAAACTCAAGTTCTGTGCCCAAATCGAAGAATGGGACAGCGAGAAATCAGAGTGGGCTCCTCGTCAAGGTGCCACAGACATCCAATTAGAGTTCAAGATGCTCGACCCCTACTACAGACTGACCCTGAAGGAGCAGTCACCTGGTCAATACTGCACAGAGTTCCAGGCACCTGACCAGTACGGCATGTTTACATTCCTTATTGACTACCAGAGACTCGGCAAGACGTTTTTGCACTCTGCCAACGTGGTTACTCTACGACCTAATGCTAACGACGAGTGGGCACGTTCCTGGACTATCACAAACTCTTGGGTGTACCTGTCTGGTCTGACGACCATCGTGTTTGCGTTCTTGATTTTTGTTCCTATGTATCTTGCCCTTCCTCCTATAACCAAACCTGTCGGCAAGGCAGAAAAGTAAATAGAATTATCTATGCTGAAACAACCTTGACATTGTGCTTGACCTTCCACTCATCCAAACTTTTTTCGGTTTTGCCCAGATCTCCCTTTAGCGTTTGTACTGCCTTTTCGAGGCCCTGTCTGGTAGCTTGCAAACTTGGCACAACTTCACTCACCGTACGTTCAACAAGAACGCCGCCAACCATACGCATACACTTCCGGGAGCCCTCCATAGACTCGAGCGTGTCAAGAACTAGCTTGTGTTCTTCGCTTTCGCTCTCCAACTCGCTAATTTTTGTGCTAAGCTGCTGGATCGCCTGCTTAAATTCGTTATACTCTGCCTGGAGTTGGGACATGTCAGCGAACAAAAAGAGGCACTTTGCCAGAAAAGTACTTGATCCTGAGAGGTCAGAAGAATCGGAAACACACAGTAGTGAAAATGAGCAACCTGTGTTAATTTCTGAACACGATGAAACCGTTAACAAAACCATAACGACAGAGGCCGCACCCCAGCAGCAGAAAAATGAGGAGACCTCGTCCGAAGACGAGTTCGAGTCTGAGGCCGAGTCTTCTGACTATAGCGACGATTCCGAGCCTACCACTCAGCTTTCTCGACCGAAATTCGTCAGAAGAAACAAACCTGATACGTCACATGCCTCTGCAGCAGATACCAAGCAGAGCACATTGGAACTAATAGAGCGCACGGTGAGGGCCGAGACTCAATTGAATCATACCGTAGACGATACAGATGGACTCGACCCCACAGCCGAATATGAAGCTTGGAGATGCCGGGCAGAGGCGCGATCGCAAAGAGAATATGACCGCTTGGCGGCTATTGAACAGGAGTACGAAGAGCGAGAGCTGGCTCGTGAAAGAGAGGCCAAAAAGCCCAAACTCGGTTAGTTATTTATTATCGGAATCAATGTGTTCGGTTAGCGTAAAAATGTAGGCAGCCTCCGGGCATCCGTCCCAACACCCCCATCTAAAAAGTACTACAGGTGCTTACGGTGACGTTTCCACGCTCCTCGTTGAACCCACCTATGCTTAATTTATTCCGCGTTGCTGGCGATCTCGTGCACTGCCTGAGCATCTACGTGTTGATCAACAAAATTCACACGTCGAAATCCGTCAATGGATTGAGTTTCAAAACCCAGGTAGTGTACTTGGTGGTTTACCTCACCCGCTATCTGGACCTTTTCGGTGGATCATGGCAGCGGTCCTTGTACAACACAGTACTGAAGCTTGTGTACATTTCCACGTCGGGCTACATCTGTTACTTGATGCAGACTCAATTCCGAAACACGCTCAATCCCCAGCTGGACACTTTCAAGATCCGGTATTTATTTGGCGCTGCAGCGGCGCTGGCCGTGCTATTCCACGAGAAATTCACCATCACAGAGCTGCTCTGGTCGTTTAGTATCTGGCTCGAGGCGGGTGCCATTTTACCCCAGCTTTTTATGATTCAGCGCACCGGTAAATGTGAAACCATGAATACGCACTATATTTTCGCTCTGGGTGCTTACCGCGCTTTATATGTTTTCAACTGGATTTATCGTTGGATCGTTAAGGATCCAGTAGGCTGGATTTCGATTGTCGCTGGTATTTTACAGACCATCCTCTACTCTGACTTCTTCTACGTCTACTACACCAAAGTCGTACACGGAGAGGCGTTCTCGCTACCCACATGATTGCACCTTAAAATTTCGTTTCCTGTCTTGTCCGTTCTTAACAAAAAAAATCAAACAAAGTGAGTATATAACAAATAAAAATCGAATGGCGCGCCGCGAGGTTTACTCCGGGGAACGCTGTTCAGTGGTATCTATCTACGTAGTTTCGATTCAAGTGCTAACCAGCACAATTCCAAATGCTTGAGTCTCCCCCCGAGATATTTAAAATAAATTGCCTCTACAGGTCCCTTGATCAACGAAATTCGGCCTGTATAAAACGTCGAGCCGCCACGAGCGGCGGTTAGTCATGCCTATCGAACACAGTTTCAACCCCTACGGAGACAGCAGTGGCGGCTCTACTCTGGCAATTGCAGGCAAAGACTTTGCTATTTTGGCAGGCGATACTCGACACTCGACTGGATATTCTATTGATTCAAGGAATGAGAGTCAGATTCATAGCGTAGGAGACGGGTTGTTGGTGTCTCCTAATGGCTTTTCTGCCGACGCTCGCGCCTTTGTGGACGACGTACACAACGATATCATCTGGTACCATCACAAGCACAATAAAAAGCTGGCAATTTCGTCTTGTGCACGTTCTATCATGCACACCCTGTATCGTCGCCGCTTCTTCCCTTACTATGTTAGCCCGATCCTTGTTGGCATCGAGCCTGACGGAACTGGCGCTGTATACTCTTTTGATCCAGTAGGCTCTTATGAACGAGAGGCTAGCCGCGCAGCCGGTCATGCCAGTGAACTTCTCGTTCCCTTCTTGGATAACCAGGTACGCAAGGCTAACCAGGTGGACCCTGAAACAGGTAAACCACTTGCTCAACATGACTTGGATTTAGAAACTGCTCTTCAGTTGGTGAAAGATGCATTTGCTGGCGCTGCTGAGCGGCGTATTCAAGTCGGCGACTGGCTAGAGATTGCCGTCGTCACCAAAGATGGCCATAAAGTAGAACGCTATCCTTTGCGAAGAGATTAGTGCTAAAATGTGTAGTAAATTATCCTTGAAGGCCTAGTGTTTCTGGTCAGAGGGGTTTCTCCGGCTTACCCGTTGATCCAATAATGTGGGCAGCGGCGCTCGATCTGAGAGCATTGATACCAGATCCAAGGACCGATATGTACTGGCGGTCTCAGTAGCATTGACATTACAATTTCAACTGGGGCAATAATTTTCACTGTAGTCTAACCATAATTACTGCTTTTGCCACCGTTCACGTGTTTGCTCGTCTGGAAGATTCCCCCACATCATGCGACTTGGCAGAGGGTACGGGTTCCTGTAGTATATAAAGACACTGTCACATCCGCCGTTATCATCCCAACTAAACAACAATGCCCGAATCAACTTGCTCTTGCGAATCTACTAAAGACTGCCAGTGCGGCTCCTCTTGCAACTGCTCTGGATGCAAGTAACCATGTTCGCTTGCCACTAGCCGAACCTTGTAGCGTTGGCGCCCTGCGCCCCGCGTCGGCCATCAATTATTAAATAGTATTAAAGTTATTATCCATTGTTACATGCCCTTGAAGAACTCCATCAGCGCTTGCACTAGATGCTTTTTTTGTCGTCCTTGAGGCTCCGGAACGCCTGCATGAGCGGTTAGTCCTTTGAGCTGATCAACCGTGAGCTTATCCAGGTTCTGATTCGCAGCCAAAGACTCCGCGTGTTCAATTGAGATATCAGCGTGCTTGACACGTTTTGCCGGTGGTTCTGCCTTCTCTTCCTTGGGTGGTATTTTAGTTAGCACCTCGTTCAAAGCTCTTATCGCGGCACCACTTCTTGTCTCAATTGAGCGATATTTTGGTAAGGTGCCGTCAACCGCACCTTTTGGCATTTCTCTGGACAATGCCTGAGCTTCAATTATCGATGAAACCCAAAGTAGTTTGGGGTTTCGGTATCGTTCAGGTCTATATCCCTGAGGCATTGTCAACTTATCGACAACAGCTCCCGCCAAGTCTACAAGGCCTTCTTCTGCCGTTAAGTGAATAGTATTCTGAGGTATGTCACGAATGTCATCCATGTACGGTAGAGTAACCAAATAAATACCAGGCGGCGATGTTTGGTGGCCGTCCGGCGATAAAACTTCGGGTGAAGGATAAAGTGCAGCTATGCAAGGTGCCGAGTTGGTTCTCAAAATACATTGTGCAATCGCCACTTTGTCTTTATTCAATAAAGACCTCCACAATGCAATAAATGCTCTAATCGACCCTTTGCTCAACACATCCCAAGGATAAATAAACAAGGAATGGCTCAAATGCCCCGCCAACACGACCTCGCTTCGCTTTTGAAACCCGAGAATACGAATTGCCGGCTCCCCGAAATCTTTGAGCGAATCCAAGGTCTCTTGGTCAACAACAATTCGGCTTTTCCCGAATTTGAACGCCCGCGTCATGTCTTCTTTCTCGACTTCTCGACCACTTTCCTCCACAATATAGTGCGTACGACTTACCGCCACCACGGGCTTGTCTCCGTCAACAGAGACATCATACTTTTGACTCGGCAGCTGCTGTTTATACAGAACATAAGCTCGCACGTCAATTTTGAGGTCCCCCAGCTGAATACAGTTCCGAAACGCCGGCCTACGTGGTACCTCTTGGTTACTGATTGCAGTCAGAATGTCTTTTGGGCTGCCATTGATGGGTTCCAGCTTTGTGTTGCTACTATCAATGTAAAATTCGGGAGTATAGTAAAAGTCCTCCCACATTTTACTGACCTCAAATCTGCGATCGGGATAACTGACAAAAACAGGTACGATAGTGACATTCTTTTGAACGAGATCATACGACTTGATTTTAGCGACCTCAAACAGCCTCGTCTCTGGATCATGGGGCTGGTCGTTATCTGTTACTAGAACAAGGCGTCGAAAAGATTTGGCTTTTTCCTGCTCAAACATTACCCCCGCATTAAAAAACACATCGCCCAGAGACGTAGTGTTTCCCGCCGCAGGAACAACGCTCTCTTCAAAAAAGGTTTCGTCTTCCAAAAGGCGAAATAGCAGTTTAATACCCCGACTATTCTGGGGTTTCAGATCGAGCAGGATCTTACAATTATTTTTATGCCCCGAGACGCCATACAGCAAAACCCCTGTATTGTCCATCGGGTAAGCAATCATTCGCTCCCTTACCGAATCCCGTACAGCAGCCAATACATCCTTCAAAGTGCCGCGTGTGAGCATCGATTTGGACACTTCAATGGCATACAGTAGAGAATCCTTGGTCGTCTCCATCCTGCGCCCTTTTCCGGCGATATGCACACTAAGCTGGAAATAGGAGCTCTAGGGTGTTGCTCAACGGACTGGGGTGTAGGGAAGGAGCCTTACTGCCACTTAGTAATGGCCAATCACTCAGCGCGGTTTTGGCTTACTCCACCTCTTGAAAACCAAAAAATGCTTGGATCTCGGCGGTGTGTTCCGCAACTTTCGAAGCGGCTCTTGAGCACGACGCCTGTAGTTCGTCGCGAGTATGGTAACCTGAAGGATTCGGACCGTATTTTCCAGAACCTATACAACAAGTACGGCCGTGATCTTGCCAACGCCAAGAAGCGCGGTGACTGGTACAAGACCAAGGAAATTCTCCTCAAAGGTGACGAGTGGATTATCAACGAGGGTAAAAAATCCGGACTGCGTGGCCGTGGTGGTGCTGGTTTCCCTTCTGGTCTCAAATGGTCGTTTATGAACCCTCCGGGATGGGAGAAAAATAAGGGTCCTCGCTACCTGGTTATCAACGCCGATGAGGGAGAACCCGGTACTTGCAAGGATCGCGAGATTCTGCGTTCTGAGCCCCATAAGCTTGTCGAGGGCTGCCTGGTCGTCGGCCGGGCCATGAATGCCACCGCTGCCTACATCTATATCCGTGGTGAGTTTTATGAGGAGGCCGCATACGTCCAGCAAGCCATTAACGAGGCATATAAAGATGGTCTTATTGGTAAGAACGCCTGCGGTTCGGGCTACGATTTCGATGTTTATATCCACCGTGGCATGGGTGCCTACGTTTGCGGTGAAGAGACCTCGCTAATCGAGTCTCTGGAGGGCAAGGCCGGTAAGCCTCGCTTGAAGCCTCCTTTCCCTGCTGCCGTTGGTCTGTACGGTCGCCCTACTACTGTTACAAATGTCGAGACTGTTGCTGTTGCTCCTACAATCATGCGTCGTGGTGGTGACTGGTTTGCTTCGTTCGGCCGTGAGCGCAACTCCGGCACCAAGCTCTTCTGCATCTCTGGTCACGTTAACGAGCCCTGCACTGTTGAGGAGGAGATGTCCATTCCTCTCCGCGTTCTTCTTGAGAAACACTGCAAAGGTGTCCGCGGCGGCTGGGACAATCTGTTGGGTGTTGTCCCCGGTGGTTGCTCGGTTCCTGTTATGCCTAAACATGTTTGCGAGGATGTCCTGATGGATTTCGATGCTCTTAAGGATGTCGGCTCCGGTTTGGGTACCGCTGCTGTTATTGTTATGGACAAGAGTACCGACATTATTCGTGCTATTCAGCGCTTCGCCTACTTCTACAAGCACGAGTCTTGTGGCCAGTGCACACCATGCCGTGAGGGTACTACTTGGCTCTTGAAGGTCATGGATCGTCTTCAGAGCGGTAACGCTCGAGTACGTGAGATTGATATGCTCTACGAGCTGACCAAAGAAGTCGAGGGCCACACTATCTGCGCTCTGGGTGATGCATCTGCATGGCCCATCCAAGGTCTCATCCGTTCTTTCCGTCCCGAGATCGAGGCTCGTCTTCGCAAGTTCGAAGAAGAGTTCGGCGCTGTCAAAGTTGGCGGTTGGACCCCCGAGGCTCATTTGCTGAAGGGCGAGGCCGTTGGCTCTCCTGTCAACACCTCCAGCCACTAAATATTACCAAAAGAAAACCTAACATAGTAATAGCGTGTTATTTACATTTCATCTCTGTACCTCTTCAACCTCTTTGAGTGTGTCGATGGTCAAATTCTCGTAGCCTGTGATACCGACAACAATGTTGTCTTCAATACGAATACCAATTCCTTGGTAGGCCTTGGGGAACCGGTCATCGAATGGAATATAAACACCAGGTTCAATGGTTATCACATTGTTGGCTTCCAACTGACCCTGAACACTAACGTCGTGCACGTCAAGACCAAGATGGTGACCGATAGAATGCGGGTAGGCAACCGATACTAAGCTACGCGGCAACTCTAGACCGGCGTTAGCGAGTTCAATTTGCATTTGCTTTTCAGAGAACCTGTGAATATCGTGGAGAGACATTCCCGACGAAACAGTGCACCTTTCAATGCAGGCTTTGTTGACGTTGAGAACTGCCTCGTATAGATCACGCTGAGGACCACTGAATTTCCCATTGACAGGCCACGTACGCGAGATATCGGCACAATATCCGCCGTATCGCGCGCCTGCATCTACAAGCACAAGGTCACCGGGCTGCAAAACGTCGTCATTGCGAACATAATGAATGGTCAAAGCATGGGCACCTCCAGCCACTACTGCCAAATAAGCATCAGACTCACCGCCGCTGTTGCGGAACATAAAGTCCAGGAAGGCATGCAGCTGATGCTCAGAATAAAACTCCTGACGGAACGCACGGTTGTAACCAATTGCCGAGATTTCGGCAGCCATACGCATCGCATCAATTTCATTCTCGCTCTTGATGGCCCGCAGAGGATTGACCAAATCTGAAAGCTCTCGCACACTTGCCTTACTGTTATGAGCAAGTGCCGGCAGCTCGTGATGGAAAAACGGACCTGCCCGGACAGTGGCCTTTGGACTCAGATCAGCGTACACTGTCGACACAGACCCAAGCAAGCTGGTGACTGTTTGGCGCAGCTTCGAGTTAGGAAGCGCCGTTTCGATACCCAACAGCTCAGGAATCAGTTCTGTACCCGTGCGATCTCCTTCCCATTTTTCGGCCCAAGTGTCTTTTTCGTTTACGAGCAAGATCTCCTCAGCGATCGAACTATCGGAACCTTTATGCAGAAGCAAGCAAGCGTCAGATTCTAAAAAGCCTGTGAGATACTGCATAGTAGGGTCCTGGCGAAACGGGTGGAACACCGAAGGCGATGCAAACTGAACGACATTGCCCGGGACAATCGCCAAACTCGAGGGCTTCATGTGCTGCAGAACCTTAGCCCGGCGATCCGCGAACTCGCTCGGTGGAATCAAAGGTGTAAGGTGGCCCTTTTGCACCAAGTGCGGGCGATTTTCAGCAAATGCCTGGCCCAACGCTCGTGCCCGGACTTGTGACATAATCGGTATAGAGAAACTACGGGGAAGGGAGGAGGAAGAGAACAAAGTATGACGTTGTATGTGTTATGACTCGAGCGATTCGCGCTGGCTCTCGTGAGCATAGCGAATACCGCAGTACTGGCAGCCATGAGCACCAGGCTTGTCAACATCGATATAGATTTTGGGGTGGCCCTGGACTCCGCCGCGACGGCCGCCAAAGTTACCATCGCAAACGGCCTTGGTGTCGTGCACGTACTGGATAGGCTGTTGGGCAATAAGCTCAATAGCAGCCTGAGGACGGGGCTGTGTAGAAAGATCCTTACCGTCGAATCGAGGGCCCTGCATAGCCTCCTTGACCGGGCGCTGGTTGGGAGCCCAAGTTGTCTCGCGGTTCGGTGCCTGCTTGTCCAACAACGAAGACTGGTCCTGGCCGTTGTATATGTGTTTGGATTTGTCTGTCAGCTCCGAAAGAGTAGACTGGGCCCGTCTGAACGGCACACGGACTCCAACAGCTCGAAGTCTCAATCCAAGCATTTATGTGGAATTTTATAGGTCGGAAGCGCTTAGTCAATGGGTTTATACGGCAGGGAGCCATAGAGGGTGGAGGGCGGTTTTGTGTTATTTTAGAGCTGTAACAAAGATAGAACTATCGAAATAGCTGCAATTTGCATCCCAAACTAGAAACGTCCATTTTGACGATGAAAAAGCCAAAAAATATCCTACTTTAAGGGCCAGCCCTCTTGTCAGCTAACTAAGCAATGAGCGATAACGTTCAATCAGCTCGAGAGAGGCGGCAAGCTCGCATTCGTGAGGGAGCGGCTGATCGCCTGGCTAAAATCACTGGTTCTGCTGGGAGAAGCTTCCAGACCGAGTCAGAGTCCCGACAGTTCAACAGAAAGCCAACAAGCCAGCTGGGCAAGCCCGAATCAAGCTCGCCAGAGCACCACGACGACCCGCCCGATGTTTTACCATCAGATTTGGACAAACCCCAGACTCAATCAGAAGATAGATTCGCAGACGATCCGTTATTCAAAATGCTGTCCCAAATGCAATCCAATTTGAACCAGGACGGCAGCGGAGGACCTGGCGCATTCAACTTTGATTTTTCCGACCTCGTTGCCCAAAAACTTAGTGCAGCTCAATCGGTCGAGGACACTCCGGCTGCCCAAGCACAAAGAGCCCGCTCCCAACGATTCCAGACCGCTGTTCATATTATTCTAATGGTCCTAGTTGGCCTGTATGCTTCATGGAACACTTACATGCTTTTATCTATTTTTACTACGGTGGAAGTTGTGCTCACCGTTGCGTTCTCCTTTTCGGCTCCACCGGCACGTCAGTCAATGTTTAGCCCGTTTGTGGTTTATTTGCCAGCTGTTCTCCAACGACCTGTTCGGTTACTTTTGGCCAATGAAATGGTGATCCGCCAAACCTACCGCGACTTTTGCTTAGTTCTACTTGTTTACGGGCTTTTGCATGCCTACGATGGCACCGACGCAACTTCCATACATTACCGAGTGCCCGTAAGCTAATATCTATAAACTTAGAACTCTACTCTTTCCTAGTCAGCATGATTTGGCTGCTCGCCCTGATTATGGGGGCCGTGTCCTTAATTGCTGGACTGGCCCCCCTATATTTACACATAAATCAGCGAGAGATATCCTTGGTAGGAAGTGGAATCATCATTGGAACCGCGTTCATCATCGTCATTCCCGAGGGAATGGAGTCGCTTTCAGACGCCGGTATTCCACTGTCCACTGCCGGTTATGCCGTGTTCATTGGCTACATGGTCATGTATATCATCGATGCATACTTTGAAAAGCCTAAAACTAGCCACGACCGTCTACCCAGTGTTGAGCTGCACGATCTTTCAGATTCTAGCCCAGAGCCTACGCCCAAGACATCGGGCTCCTCCTTATTCGTGGCACCTCTCAGTACGACAAGTCTCGGAATGATCATTCATTCTTTCGCCGACGGAATCGCCCTGGGTGCGGCCTCGCAAGCAGAATCATCATTGCAGTTCATTGTGCTCATTTCAATTCTCGTGCACAAGGGCCCTGCTGGCTTCGGATTTTGCACGGTACTGAGGCATATGGGGCTACCTGAAGCTACAATTAAAAGAGATGTCACCATATTTGCACTAGCTGCTCCTTTGGCAGCAGTTGCAACTACCCTGCTTGTAGGCGCGTCCGAAAACGCCCAGTGGTGGACCGGCGAGGGCCTTTTATTTTCCGGAGGCACTTTCTTGTTCGTGGCAATGCATATAGAGCCAGACATCACATGCAAATCGCATCTGTTGCTGGTATTGCTGGGTACGGTATTCCCTATCGTAGCATCGTTTTTCGCCGATTGATAAATAAAAAAAAACTTAGAATCATCACTTGCGAGGCACTGAAGAACGGAATAAGAACCGTTCTTTGCGAGACAACAAGCTGCTGGATTTAGGCGGGAGCTTTTTCGAGGTCTTTTTGACTACCTTGATCTTGAACCCGTCTTTTTCTTCATCCAGCTTTTTATGCTTTCCGGCCTGAACAATAACCCGAGGGCGGTGTTCCTGAACCAGTTCTTGGTCCGCATCAGAAAGAGCCTCCAGATCTTCCAACTCTTCACTCAAGAGCTTTCGTTTCTGACTTTTGAACTGGGTATCCCGAGCCCTACGTTTTTCTTTCAGAGCCTTACTACTCTCTTTCAAAGCGTCCACTTGCGCTTGAACTTTTTTCAAAACGTTAGCAGTAGAAGTTGAAAACGATTCCTCTTCTGGAGCCTCATCACTGGAGCTATAATCATCGTTTGCTGGTGGTGCTTTAATTGCCATTTTAGTGCGATGCAAAAGTCTATTGCTCACGTAATTTTTTTTTCAGATCAAGCCAGGCATCATCGCTTCCAGCAAGCTAGATTCTCTCGTCAATGCTTTACCGCGTCTCATCTATCTCTGAATTTTTCAGTATATTGTAAATGATTTATAAAGGTGGTTAGTGATAGGATAGTAGTGCCCATTTCTGATTACAATCAACCGGAGCATTTATTCACACAAGCTCGTTATATATATAGCATCAAGATACACAATTGCCCACATAACTCGACCTCCGTTGTCAACGGCAAAATGTATTATTTGTATGGTCTTTGTTTTTCTGACTCGATATCTGGAGCCTGTTCCAGTTTCATCGGGCAGGATAAAAAGCGGCCTTCCTAACTCAAACTGTACACATTCCCATGCAACTAAACAACCAGTATCGAATTCAATTGCTTTGAATTCATCTCGTAAGATCTCAATCTCCTCTATCATCGTTATCATATTGACGCAGCACGACTGGGAACGTTACGAGCGTTGGCATCGAGAAAAAATAATGTAATATTTAATGTATTTAGTTTAAGGACGAGTGTAACCGCCATCAACGACAATGTCCGTACCGGTGGTGTAGGTGGCAGCGTCAGAAGCCAAGTACAGGTATGCACCGACCAACTCGCGGGGGTGACCGCCGCGACCGAGGGGGGTAAGTGCCCACCACTTGTTCTGGGTCTCCTGAGGAACAAAATCAGAGATCTCAGTGTTGATATAACCGGGAGAGATGCTGTTAACACGAGCGAAACCAGCCCACTCAACAGCCAATGATGTAGCCAGGTGACGCACACCAGCCTTGGCGGCGTTGTAGCAGGCCTGCATCTGGGGAACGTTAACAATGTGACCAGACATTGATGCAGTGAAAATCAGGGAACCAAAGCCCTGTTTCTTAAACACACGACCAATGGCCTTGGCACAGTAGTAGGCACCATTCAGATCAAGGTTGATAACCTTGTTCCACTCATCGTGGTTGGGAGGGTCAATCAGAGGGCCCTTAGTCCAGGGAACACCGGCATTGGCGACGAAGATATCAATCTTGCCAAAGTCCTTGACCTGTTGGGCAATGGCAGCCTCGACAGCATCAGGATCGGTCACAGGGACCTTGTAGGTCTTGACTTTTACGCCGTAAGTGTTGGAAAGTTTCTTAGCCTTCTCCTCGGGATTGTGGCTGTTGTACCAGATGGCAATGTCTGCACCTGCTTGGGCGAAGGCCTCAGCGACACTGAAGCCGATACCTGACGACGAACCAGTAATCGAAGCGACCTTTCCTTTCAAGGAGAAGAGATCAAGAATAGGCTTGTTGGCCTTAACGACCTCAGGGTAGTCTTGGGGAAGGGAGAGACCGGCGATAGTTTCAGACATGTTGCAATTGAGTTGTTACAGTTGATGTGTATATAGCCAGGGTGGCAGCAGCCCGCCTTTTATACCCTCCATAGGAAAGCAAGCCGCTGACATCATGCATAAACGGACATACGCATAATTGCTGTAATGTTGCTGTTTCGGGGATCCGGAGGTACAGTTCTCGGATAGATTAGATTTCAACAGGAAAAAAGGCAAATTTGTGCCCACCTCGCCCTGTGGCCACCATACAATGGCTCACTTAGCCTTGTACACGCTAACAATTTACGGTGCTGACGTTGAGGGAAAAACTGGGTAAATCGACCTGCATACGCTGCCCAGTGCCAACAGTTTCCAGCACAAGATCAAACTTCACGATCGAGCTCTTCCTCGACGTAGTGGTTATCACCAGCGGTGTTTCCATGTCAGACTACTGCATACCAACCAACTTCATGTGGGGTTGTGGTCGAACCAATGTTGGCCTTACTCGTCAAGGTAACTAGGCTATGATTGGATCTATATACAGAAATTGTCTACAGAGGGGTTAATGTTTCTTGGCTAATCAACCGCGATACCAAGAACGCAATGGAAACCGGTGCCAAAAAGTGGCTCGGTCGTCATACCCTTGCCCATAACATGGAGATTCCGCCCCTTTTCCCCCAACCCGACTCGATTCTGAAGATAGATACATCGATTAACATACATAAGCCAATGTTTGTATTTCAGTGTTCCCATCCAGGGTTATGGCGCTTCCTGTATGATATCCCAGTTAATTCATGCTAGAACCTGGATGTGCGAGCCAACACCCCGATAATACCCTACATGTAGATTTCCATCAACAGATCAAAAAAATCTGTGTCAGCTAATCGCACTATGGGAAGAGTTGTTCCTTCTTTTCGTACGCTCACAACGTTAGTGGGAGTCGGATCTGTTGCTACAGCCATCTATTTGTCTGATGCTAGAGCAAGCGGCTACGAGTATGGCGTTTTGCCGTTGACTCGCGCTACTTTCGACGGCGAAGAATCCCATAAACAGGCCGTGAAGCTTATGCGTTTCCCTTTTCTCAATCCTTCGTTGCCAAAAAACTGGCTCAAAAATGTCGATCCTAACGGTCTTTTAAGAGTAACGCTATTTGAAAACTCGCCTAACCCCAAAGTCAAACCGCTGCGATTGTCCACTCCGGTCGGAGTCGCTGCTGGCCTGGACAAAAATGGTGAAGCTATTGACACTCTATTCCAAATCGGGTTCTCTTGGGTCGAGGTCGGCTCAGTCACTCCTCTTCCCCAGCCCGGAAACCCTCAGCCTCGAGTGTTCCGTCTGCCCGAGGACAAAGCCATTATTAACCGTTACGGATTCAATAGTGATGGCCATGCTGAGGTTTTGGCCCGTCTCAAAATCCGTGCAGCTAAAGGTATCGTTCAAAAGCCAGGTCAAGTGCTTGCCTTGAATCTGGGTAAGAATAAGACCGGTGACGAGGTCCAGGATTATGTGCGAGGTGTTCGTACTTTTGGGCCTTATGCTGATGCCCTTGTAGTGAACGTCTCGAGCCCTAATACGCCGGGTCTTCGCGACCTCCAGGCGGACGACAAACTTAAGAGCTTGCTGGTGAGATTAGTGGAGGAACGTAATAAGCTGAAGCTCGACGCCCTACCTCCGCTAGTGGTTAAGATCGCTCCAGACCTGCAGGAGGCACAGGTCAAGGCGATGGGTTTGGCGATCAAAGAGTCCAACGTCGACGGCGTCATTGTTGGTAACACCACCATCACAAGAGATAACCTCAAAAACACTGTTCATAATAATGAGGTTGGCGGGTTGAGTGGGCCCCCTGTGAAGCCTCTCGAGCTTAAAGTGCTCCAGACCCTCCGGGAAACTGTTGGTCCCGAGTTGACAATTATAGGCTGTGGTGGTATCAGCAATGGCAAAGATGCCCTTGAATTTGCTCAATCAGGTGCCAACTTTGTCCAGCTTTACACTAGCTTTGCTTACCGTGGCCCTGGCACTCCGTCTCTGGTCTGCGAGGACCTGCTCAAACAACTCGGAAGTCGATCCTGGAAACAGGTTTCCGGTCAAATCCGTCAATAAAATAAATGAAGTGTTTTAAATCTACTCTTGGTTGAAGCCAGCCGTGTAAAATAGAAAAAAATTAGCTGCGTTTTCACTGTTCCCTTCAAAGTTTGCATACCGCTCGCGCGGTTCCTACATGCAAGCAGGTCGCTTCACCTGCAGGCTGCCATTTTGAGCGATATTTGGCGCACGTCATTGCACCCAGTGCCATAGCGCTAGAAGCACGTTTATAATATCAGTTAGTGGTTCCGGTGAGATCCAGTTAGAAGGCAATATGAAGAACATGTAACATCACTATCTCCTGCCCGAATCCCCGGTACGGTCTATCATGATGTGCACCTTGCAGAACTCAGAGTTGTTTTCAGGGTAATGGTAGGTAACAGGCGAGTGTTTGCAGCAAACATGCTGGGATTTGCAAAGATATTCACGATTGACAGCTGTACTCGTGAGGAAAGTCAAATTAAGGAATTACTACAGGAAGGCGAAGAGAGGTAACAGCAGGAAGTTGAATCTGGTCGAAAGCTCGAATTGGCGTCGCCTTGGAGGTATCGCTAAGGCTGGAGGGAGCTGACACAAGCCTTTCCATATACTACGTCGATCCGCGTTCCTTCGGATGCTTAAGTATACCCAAGTTCGCAATGGGTGATTTTTACCTCTAGTGAGCTTTGACAACAAACGGCTTAAACTTATACAAAATAACACTATAACATAGAACTACCTCACAACCGTCCCGGGGTCTCCTTGTACATTGTTTTCCCTTAAAAAAACGGAATCTTCCTGCCGGTACACGCTTTACTAATCAAAGAATTTAGCGCGAGCTTCCCCTTGCATCGAAACTAACTGCCTAAGCGGACATTAGCTTAGGCTCAGATTTGTTGTTTGACAATCGTTACATTTTTTGTAAGAAACCAAAGTCGCCCAACTCCTTCACTTGAACCATTCAACACGGTAGCGAATACCAACTGTACGTGAGTTTCCATTCTCTATTCACAAATCCGTACACGAACACTCTTTTATCTTAATTTTTGTTTCGCTATCCCGTTCGTTCAAATCTACCACTGCTGAGTTACTGGCCCGATCAATGCAAGTTTCAGCAAGTACAAGAAACCAGGCGACTGCCTTTCCGCCATTCGCTCCTGGAGTTGCGTTCCCTTCCGTTTACGAGCGCGCAGGGTTCGACGTGAATAAGTCTCACTACGCCCACGGAAACGGATCCCAAACAAGTATAAGGTCTGGCAGGTCAGGTCGATCTCAAGCGACGTCTGTTTCTGGACGTACAGCATCTCCAGCACCGTCACAACTTTACGCGCGAACTGCTCCTGAAGTGACTCCAATCGCACCCACCGCCCATCCCGCGACCACCCCTCTCCAAGCCGCTGCTGGCAGTGGTGGTTCGATCGCGTCCCAGGGCAAGGGTCCAGCACTGTGCATCTCGACCACAAACGAGCCTAGACCAACAGTGAGCGTCTCTCCAAGACTTTCAAACACTCGATACCCTTTCTATCACAAAAAAGAACAAACTAGTGGATCTGGTAACCAGCAGCTGGCCAGCCCTGTCACACCTATCCGTGAGAATATCTACACAGCGCCAGCTGACACTGCACCGGCAGCATTACCAAGCGCCCTACAGTTCACCCCACCACCTAAAGCGGAAGCTAGAGAAAATTTCCCAGCTGAGGCTTCAACTGCTTCAGATTATCCAACTGAAGCAATGTCCCCTCCTCATAGCCGTCAAGGATCTGCTGACACAGACATTAGCATGGTTAGTGCTTTAACTGCATCAAGCCATGCCAACAGCCAGAGCGAAACTTCTACGCATCACAACAGCAGCTACACCGATGCTACATCGTGGGACTCGGAGGAACCCGGTGATGTTTCTCAAATGAGCTTCAAGCAAAACTTGCTGGTTCCCCAGCACCTTGATAATCGTTTATCAACCACATCATCAATTTACTCAATAAACCCCACCATGGACCACATTCCGGATAAACGGTATCCTGTCATACCTGACACAGCTTCACTGGAATCACCGGTCGTTGGTCTGGGCGTACACGGAATCGAGTTTCCGAACCCCGGACGTTCTTCAGAGGTGATTTCTCCCGGTCCAACCAGCTCTCATAGTGAGGCGGCACGAAAATTCCTTATGACAACACCTCCGCTCGAAATTCACAGGCAGAGCTCGCCGCAAACATTTGGTACACATCCTAGCAGAGGTCGCTCTATGCAGTCGGGCACGAGCGCAAACAGCTCTGCAACCGACAGCACGGCCGCAGCTTCTAGCTCCCAGAAATCTGCCAAAATTTGCCGAGGCTGCTCCGGTGTTATCTCAAAGAAAGGAATTCGTTCCAGAGAGGGAAATTTGAGCGGCCGCTGGCACAAAGAGTGCTTCAAATGTGTCTCCTGCGAGCATCCCCTGGATTCCGAAGTATACGTGTATGATGATGCTCCTCACTGTGGCGAGTGCTACCACCGCGCTAGCAATTCAACTTGCCGTGGCTGCGGAAAGGGCGTGGAAGGCCAATGCATGGAGACAAGGGCAGAAAACAGCAACTTTGGCACCCACGCTATACGTTATCATAATGAGTGCCTTCGTTGCGTCGATTGCCAGTGTTTACTACATGACAGTTACTATGTCGTCGACGGCGGTAACTACTGTTACTCCCATGCTATTGAGGCTCAGCCGGTGAGTGACGAGCGCCTGGAGCGTCGTTATACTCGGTTCGCTATGATTTAATCTCCCTTGTTTGTTTGTTTGCCCAGGCAATTTCTCAATCTGTACAATATGCTTTTTTATTTTTTGGACAATTAGCCATATATATAATCATTAATAGCGAACATTCACCTGGCCTGTACCCTTTTGCAGCCATTCCAAAAACTCGTAGCTCATGGGGCATTCTTTGCAGCGAAGGTGGGTGATACCTAGCCTGACAAGCTTCATTAAAGCAGGACCAGAGAATTCGCTACTATCAACGTTCACTCTTTTTACATGCCGGAGGGCATGCAAAAGCCAGGACAAAGATTGGTCGTCGACTGCAGCCATTTCTGTGAACTGGAATGTATCAAGGTTTACAAGAACTCGCTCAGGGGAACTAATAGGCCACGCAAAATGGGACCGATGGGCAACCAAGGTTTTAAGGGTCTCTTCACACCCTAAGCGGTTCAAAATGTCGCCGAATGAGTATGGCAACAGGTTTGCCCATTTCAACTCTAGATACTCGAGCGATACCTTCTGGCGCCAGCCGCTAAAGTCGATTTGGACATTGTTCAAAGCCAGACTTTTCAATAGCGGACTTTTGAATTCTGGCATGACTATTCTCAGCGCTCTAGCACCAAACGCCGTAAATCCAAACTCAGTCAGTTGCTCATTTTCGAAAACTGGGTCAAGACATTCAAAATCCGCAATCACCCTATGCAGGCTGAGTGAATGCAGACTTGAGAGTGATGACAGTTGTGAAGCTAGTGAAGCAGACACGCATACCACTGCTCCGCCCCCATAGAGCTTTAGTGTTTTAAGATTCGAATCCGAAAGTTCAGCCTGCTCTACGCTGTGCATTGCACAGTGGGCCGTAGCTGTGAGCTCCAGCGTCTCTAATGCGGGTAAGTTTTGGAGGCACCATCTCAGATCAACGTCTAGAGCATTGCTGGGGATTTTAAGAACCCTTAAATTAGGAAAGATTGCATTTCGCTCTCGGATTGCGGCCATCAGTGGCTGGGTTGAAAGAGAAGACGAGTTCATCAAGGCGAGGTAGTTCATTTGAACTTTTTTGTTAAAACTGATGTACTGCAAAAGTCTTTCCGGCCGCACAATGGTTGTGTCCAACAAATCCAATTTAAGAGGGAGGGTTGATCTGGAGATGAACTCGATAAGAGTATCAGAACTCACTCGTTGCTTTTTTCCTAGCCTCAATTGAATATTGTTCCAAAACTTGGGCTCTTTCAGAATGTACACTCTCCACTTTTTGCTCACAAGGGTGAGTTTTGACCTCTCTTCGAGGTTTAGCCTCGAAAAGATAAGGTAGAGAAGCTCTCTGGGAAGCTTTTCCAGTGGATCACATCTCATAGCCAAAGACTGCTGAAATTTACGATTCGCCTTCTTTTGTAAATTTACGAGCATTTTGTAGCAGTCTTCAGTTGGAGAAATCCGTTTTAAAGCTTGCCGGTACGTATCTGCGGCTTCTTTAGCTTTGTCCAAAAGAAGATAAATCTGACCCAACCTCAAGTAGCCTCTCGGGTTTTTAGGTTGCATGCGAACCATGCTGGTAGCATCTTCAAGTCCTTCATGAAGGTGGCTTTCTTTGACGAGTAGGTCTGCTCTGAGATCTAGCATGTTGTACAGGTCATCAGTCGTGAGATATTTGGGTGGGCTCAATGAGCGAGCACCAATCTCTCTGGTATTAGACCTCAAGATTTCTAGTGCAAGACCATACTTTTCTTTGCGGTGAAGTTGCCTAGCCTGGACAATGGCGTCTTTCATTACTGCGTTGGACGCGACTAACCCGCGCTGCCTAATCACACCTACCCTAACAGTCTGAACAGGGCCAGCCAGCACAGCTGCTCTTTATATATGTGTATAGAATGTGACCTGTCATAAGATGTAGTTAATTTACACGCAAGAAGTAATGATGTCCTCATACAACCATGGATGTCAAAAAGTGTGCTCGTTGCCATCGATTGCGGTCAATCTCTCTATTTGAAAAGTTCAAGAGTGGCCGAGTACGAGCGACATGCAACAGATGTATTCAAAGAGACAACTACCCGGCAATTGACAGGATGAGCTTTTCAAAAGTAACCAGTGCCCAGCATCCCGCAATGACTGAAGGGTTCAATCCTACCGCCCCGCCCCCTATGCTTTCTCCAGTGAGCATTGGCCAGAAAGCACCCAGTCGTCCGGAATTGATACTCGAGGCCAAAATGACTCCCGCATATATGCCTCAGAACAGCCGAGAGCAAGTTCACTTTTCTGCTCCCGTACCTCCTACCAAACACAGCCCGTTGGCAACAAATCATGCGGAGCCGAAATTGCATGGCCAAAGCTCGAATGCGGATCTTCATTTGATGCCCAGTTTAGAAGCAGTTGCATCGCTTCAACCAGATTTGGCTCCTCTCCTTTCCAGTCTCAATGAAAGCGGAAGCTACGTGTTGCTTTATATTCCGTGCAAAATGCATCATAAATAAATAAATCATTTTATATCAACGAAAACCATTAACCGGTCTTCAGACTGAAATTACCTTCGGATTCGACTAGCTTTTCCCCATCCACCATGTGGTACAAAAACTGCTCCAATTCTTGCTTGGTTTTAACATATGGATCATCTTTTGGCACAAACATTACGAGGAACGAATGGATTTTGTCAACCGGTAGCGAGCCAAGATTGGTTAGCATACCTACAATGTATTGCCAATAAACCATCATTTCTTCTGCAGCCTTTTTGGAGGACGCGGAGTCCCCAACTACAATATCGACATCTTGAGGGACCGTGGAATCTGCTTTTTCAATAACAGTATAAATGCCGTTTTCATCAGGACCAATCAGTACACATTGACCTGTCCAGAATTGAAGTGCCTTTACTGTTCGATCTTGATCAATACCGACTACTGCGGAAATATAGTCCGCTTTGTTTTGGGGCGTTTCAGAGAAGCAGTAAATTACAGCAGCTTGATCAGGGGTTACAGTGAGATCTAGAGCTCTGTCTTCAAACTCAAGGTTGATAGAGACGCGACTATCTTCGGGTGACCAAAATACAGCTCGCTGAGGATAGTACCGCTCGAATAACCCACAAAATTGATTGGCAAGATGTTGAAAAAGCAGAGGAAAGTTACCTCGCTCATTTTTGAGGTTGAGCCAATAGCGATGGCTCAAAATAAGAGCTTTAGTAGACTCTAAGGACTTCTTGGACGCGCGTACCTTATCTTGCATCCTCAGAGATTTGCGAACATCACGTATCATGACATAGATACTTTGAAGTTGTCTTTGACCAAAGCGCTTTCTGAGCGACTCTGCCTTGGCGGTAAGTACTGACAGTTCGCCAAGGCTAGTGACACTCAATAATTTGTTGCTGAAAACAGAATTGAGCCTTTTGATATAAACCTCAGGGTTATCATAAAGCATGAAGAATATCGACACAATATCTCGTGTCTGTCTCTTGACGAAATCTGGCGGAGCATCGACAGGATCGGGCTGCCACGAGACATCGAGCATGTCATTTTCAATCGCCAAATCACTTTCAGAAGGAGGAGCAAGTTTCTCAGACAGTTTTGCCAGCGGAGAAGTCTCCTCGCCGATTATACCATCCACAATAATGTCGACCGTGTCTGGCCGTTCCTTTAGGTACCGATGAATAGCCGGACTTACTTTATCTAAAACCACACCTCTCGGATCAAGAACGGATAAGACATTTACCAGCGCCCAAAAAAATAAGACAATCGAAGATGTGTCCACTCCACTATTCAACAAGCGCAAGTTACAGCTCGACTGCAAAGTGTAAACTGTTTTGGCTCGAAGCTCAGGGGTGTGGATTACTTCTTTGAGGTCATCAAGACCAGGTTGCGATTCGTCTTCGTGTAATATCATATCGAAAAGCTCATTCAATCGTACCTCTGCAAGTTTTTCACGAGCTAAAACTTGCAATTGCGTTCTCAATTCGCTATCGTAAATCCCAATTGCAGTCAGTACTGGCAAAATGGTGTCTTGAACTAGAGACACACAATCATCAAGAACTGAGCGCCGCCATTGATCTTTGAAACTCTTCTCTACCATCTCGCGGATGATTTTAGGCAGCGCAATTGCCAGTGCGGCGTCCGTCTCTACGTCAAGGTTTCCTGTTTGGCGATACTGAGTTAAAACTTCAACGGCTTGAGGTGAATGAAGGCTGTGGGTATCCAGATAGTCGAGAAGTATCTTTATGTGGTCTTGATCGTCAATAAAATCTCTCAACAATGCCGTTAATTGCTTTTGGACCATGATGTGGCTCTCTTTACCGAAAGGAAGTCTTGTCAAAGGAGTCAGGAATTTAATATGAAGCTCTTGGATCAGCGCAGCAAAAAATTCAGCATCAGCAGTTTGAACATCAATGCTTTTGAAAAATTCGTTGCTGTACACACAGATCTCTTGGCAATAGTAGTCCAGCAGCGCAGGCTCCAAAGCTGGGAATTGATCGAGGGCCGAAACGGGAACAGGAGATCCATTGAGCGCAGATACTAACAAGTTCCAGGAGGTCTCAACTTCAGTATTGCTGATTTCAGACGCATCAAACACCGGAAAGATCTCTTCCGCCGACGCCATGATTGTGTCAACACAAAGTACTGTAATCACCCAAACGACCCGAACGTTGTCTTTATTTGGAAAGTATTAGGACTATGAACAAGAATATACATTAGTTTGGCACTGCCATTCTTTAAATTAAAAAGTTGTTGCTAAAAAGAGGCCAATAGTTATTGCGAGAGCTGAAACAGAGTTTAGAACTGCACCAGATTTTGCGCCTTTCTGCGAAGTGGCACTGAAGTACGTAGAGTTGGCAGTTGAATTTGACGTATTATTTGACAAGGAGTCGGTTCCGTCACCCGCGCGCATATGATCGCCAACATAATGGTTCCCTGGCGTGCCCCAAGCAGAAACTTTAGCTTCAGGAACGGAGCTGTTAACGCTGGCAAGGCCGGAGGTAATGCTAGCAAGGCCGGAGGTAGCGCTAGCAAAACTGGAGGTAAACTTAGCAGAAGACATCTCCAGATACTTTGATGCAAATGAGGACGCGAGCTGGAGTTCGTTTTCGCCGTCAACCTCGAGTTCGGGTTGTTCTTCAGCTGATTGACCATCCATTTCTTCCTCCAATGCAAGTTCATCAGCTAGGGAAAAGGCACGCGCAATTGTCAAAGAGGGGGGCTCAACAGCGGGAGAAGAAATCTGTGCAAATTCGGTGGTGACAGAACTAGGCTCCTGTGGAACAGCACTGTTGGTTGAAACCAAGGAATCGGAACTATCACTAACAATTGAGGGAGAGGTAGTAGCAGTAGTAGTAGCAGTAGTAGTGGTAGAAGCAGTAGCAGTAGTAGCAGTAGTAGTGACAGAAGCAGTAGCAGCAGACGATGTAATAGCCTTAGTAGTGATCGACGAGGTTTCAAAGGCTGGTTCTTCGACATCTGAAATTCCCAGGCTAGCTACTGTGGTAGCTGGCAAGGTAAGAAGAGGAATAGAAGGAGTCTGTAGTTCATGGTGAGAAGGCATGGCGCTTTCAGTCACGTAGACAAGTGAAACAACAGTACTGCCTCCGCCGTTCTTAACATCTTCTTCATCGTTCTGATAGCTTGTATCATGCTCCTCGTGTGAATTCGACGGTTCGCTTAGCTCTTCCTCGTTATCAATTGGCTCTGAATGGTCTGCGACCCGCTGTGGGCGTTTACGAGAGTTACGAGTGCGTGAAATACCTGTTAGAACGTTTTCTAAGAAATTTTCAATGGTTTTCTTCGGGGCATTTGCGAAAGCACTATCAGCTGCGTGGACAATCTCTTGGGCAATTTGTTTCCGAGCATCGTCATAATCGCATTGCTCTGCAGAAGTTGCCTGTTCTTCTTCGTTATTTTCAGTTTCAGTTTCAGAACTATCACGCCGTAAGATACCATTCTCATAGTGGTCAGGCTTTATAACCAGATGAGCGCCGTCACTTCCCTGAACTCCATGAATGAGGAGGCGATCACGCAAAGAGATAGAGTCCCCAACGTTGACGTCACTTCCATCAGCAAGAGCAATTTCATGAGCACTATCCTCAATGAGGCTACGCTTGCCGTATGCCTGCCAATTTGTCCCAGGATCAGAATCGTCACCATTATTGCAGGTGCTGTGGTCTTCGTCGTCATACTCGCTGTCGGTTTCATCGTCATTGTGCTTGCGCGCGTGGCCTAAGACACGATCTAAAACTCCAGCTGCCTGCAGAGGGGGCTTCTTCCACTCGACTTTGGCGCACTCTTGATTCATGAATTCTTTCGAAGTATCAAGGGAGCCAGGGTCGTAGTTGCAAGTAGTGCCGCAGTAGTCGACTATACTTGCAAATTGCGAACAAACGCAAGCCATATCACTAGGGTGACAAGTGTTCAATGCGTCAGTAATGAATACTGAGCAAGCATTGCGACTACCATCCTTTTGACAGTTTGCGGTGATATTCGTGAGAGCGTTAGGCAAGCTAGGTGGAATGGCGAGGCCAAGGGCAAGAGATGCCAGGTGCAGAGAAATTACCGTGCGCGCTACGACCATTTTGATTTAGAAGCAGAGGTTGCAAAATTTGAAGAAGAGTACTGAACATTTTATAGACGCTCGCGCATCTCATGCTTGCATTGAGGGGCTACCAAATCGGGACGATCACAAAAAAAAACCTCTTCACAGCATTGAAACTAGATTTTGCATAGTGGATGAATACAGTAAGTCTAATACATTTAGACTAAAGTTCTCACATTTTAGAATTTCTAGAAGCAGGCGAGTTGTAGTTCCCGATGTAAAGGGGCTAGAACATACTATTGATAACTGAAAATATTGAACTTGATAGCAGAAAATATTCTAGGTTACTTCAGTGATAATAATAAAACAGGTAAGGCTTTCACTGATCACCGTACCCTCCTCCTGCTCTTGATTGGGGTTGGGGAGTGAGGGTTTTCTCCCAAAAACATTTCCAGCTCTGCCATGGTCAAAAACGTCGTAATTGTGGGAAGCGGCATGGCAGCCATAACTGCTGCCCGTGAACTTTCAAGAAATGGAATCAAGGTTACCATATTGGAAGCGATGGATCGGCTGGGTGGTCGCATCCATACTGTAAAGCGAGGCGAGCGGAAGTACGATCTAGGAGCTTCCTGGATGCATGACACTTTAGTGAACCCTTTATTTTTGACATGCGCCAAAGAAGGTATCACCATGGAATACGATGATGAAAGTCATGGATACTTTACCAAATATGGGCCCATTCCCAGAGAGTTGAACATTACTGCTGTCGCTGAAGACTTAGACGGCATGATGGAGCTTGATTACGGACTGGGAAAATACCGACAACCAGATCAAACCCTCAAGACTTACGCAATTGAATTCGTTAACAAATGGCCTTTGATTAGCGAGCGGAATAAAAAGCTTGTACCGAGATTAGCTCAATTTCATGAGTTATGGACGGGTGTGCCTTGGAACGAAGCTGGCGCAGCCACTACTCTGCTAGATTTTATGGGTCGCAATGCTTTCATGATAGAAGGGATGTCTAGCATCTATGAGTTTGTGCGTAAAGATGTCAATTGGGACCATACTGACGCCATAACGAATGCAGTCGTTCAGAAAATTTCAACAGACGGAGAAACATATCTGGTGTCAACGGATCAGAGGACCTATGAAGCAGACTACGTCATTTGTACAATTCCTCTTGGGGGACTTAAAAATTTCCACGCACAGCTGTTTGATCTTCCTCTTAGCGAGAGTCTGTCAAAAGCCATGAGAGAAGGCGTCATGGGTGCTTTAGGTAAGGTTGTTCTTGAGTTCGACACTTGTTGGTGGCATAATGAGTTTGATCAGATCAAGTTTATCGTCGACGAAGACCCGGAGATTGATCTTGGATTGGGCCCCGGAAATCAGCCCCTGGATTTTATAAATGCCTTCAGAAAACATCCCGCACACAATCAGCATGCTCTCATCGTTCTCACTGCACCGCCTCTCACCCAGTTTGTTGAGGCAAATCCTGATAAGGCGTTCTCATACTTATTGCCGGCACTTCGTGCAATTAGGAAAAACCAAAACGAAGAAGTCCCTGAACCAGTGTTCACTATGTGCACAGACTGGACATTGAACCCTTGGATCGGAGGTTCGTACACTGGTGTTAAGGTCGGCCATACCTTTGATGAGACTGTTCAACCATTTATTGAAGGTGCAGATAGATTACGCTTTGCAGGGGAGCATACAGTGTATGATGGGAATGGATGCGTTCATGGTGCATATGCTAGCGGCTTGAGAGAAGCAGGATGGATCCTCGACCATCTACAAGCGCCAGCATCTGGAAAATAATCAAGCACCTAACGTGTATCTGATGAGGAAAATATTGGCAGGCAAGAGCATATTAAAATACCCAACCTTGTTGTATATTGTAGATGGGGACAAATTTTAATGTGCTCAAAGTGTCTCACAAGTGCGGGTTCGCTGCAAAAAACATGCAGCCCAAACCCTTGAGCCAATTTGAGAAAATTACGGTAATGTGATATTTGAAGCAGTAACGAAAATTTGCATCGCATAATTTCAATGAAACTAATAGCTCTATTTTCACAGCTACAGATTGCTCTGGCTGTGCCAGCAGACTGGTGGACAAGATCATGTGGCTATGTTATCGCGTCTAACCCAGCTACCAAACATGTGAGCCACTGGGAAATTGCGGGGCTTGAAAAACGCCATATGGGCAGTTCTGATGATGAAGATGGTTCAAGTGAGGTTCCGGCATGTACAAACCCAGCATATATATTGACTTTGTGGGACTGTATCAATACAGGAGCGTCTCTTATGCCAGCAATGGGACGCGAAGCCAAGCAAGGTTTGGACGATAGTTTTGCCTATAACCGATGGAACTGTCAATATGAGAAGAGCAAATTTATTTATACTCGAAAAGAGCTTGACGACTTGTATGCCAAGTATAAGATCACCCAAACTTATGAACAGGCTGCGGAGTCTCTAGTGGGACCTTTCAGTGTAGATACAACGTCTCTGATGCCCTACGCTATTCCTGAGATGCACTACCATGACGCCCGGTATTACAGTGAAGTATTTGCGCAGGTTATTGTGTATTTCATTTCTGGAATCCTGATTTTGCAGATGCTAGTCAACTTCTGCACCAGAAAGTTCCCTACAAGAGTCGAAGCAGTTGCTAATTCCAACCTGATTCGGACTTGGCGCAAATATATGACTTTGAGACCTCTTTTGAGTGAAAAGTATGCTAGGTGGTTTGACCTGTATTCTACCCCGTTCCCCTACGTTTGCCTGTTCATCACATTCGTTCTGAACTATGTGCTCATGGGAGTCAAGCTTAATCCATCAAACCCACAGCCCTTGTACCCTACTTCTTCAATGGCGACTGGAACCTACCTCGGATATCGTTCTGGAATGCTATGTATGTACAAACTTCCATTTGTGTTCGTTTTTGGCACTCGCAATAACATCTTTACTTGGGCGACTGGCTGGGACATAGCAGTTTTCAATCACTGGCACACTTGGCTGGCTCGTATGGTCGTCATTGACGGATTTATTCATACGGGAGCTTATGTCGTTCATTATGGCCACAAGGATGCTATGGCTGCCTGGTCAGATGCATATTGGACCTGTGGGTTTGTCGCATTACTTTGCTGGACCCTTATGATGTTCCATGGAACATCATATTTGAGAAAATTGCGTTATGATTTTTTCAGAGTCTGCCATATCGCTCTTGGCATCGCCTCAGTAGCAACACTCTGGTATCATTTGGATTACACCAACAAGGTTAAAGAAATCTGGTACACGATTGTTGCAGTATGGCTATTTGACTGGTGCCTAAGAGTCATTAGAATGAATTCCTCAGGCATTTGTGATGCTATTGTCGAAATTACGACGGAAAATTACCTGACTATGCTGGTAAAAGATAACAATCCCGTCAGACCATATGTTGGAGCGAGCTACTACGTATACTTTTGGTCTTGGTCGTCATTCTGGCAATCACATCCTTTCACGGTTGTTGAATATACAGATGGATATATGAAATTCGTTTGTAAGGTGCATGAAGGTGTGACGAAAAGAATCCAAAGAAGGGCTCAAGCGAACGGAGGCTCGTGTAGGTTGAAAGTGGGACTCGAGGGTCCAATGGGTATTCGGCTTAACTTCAGAAGCTTCAAAAACCTAGTCTTTTGCGCTGGTGGCGTTGGAATCACAGCAGTGTATGCTCACCTGAGACCTTGGGTTCAAAATGGAGCGGACCGTTCTATTACCGTTTACTGGGCCATTCGTGACACCCAACCTGTGGAATGGTTTGCAGACGAAATCGAGGTTATGAAAGCTTCTGGTATCAAGTTGAACGTTTATGTTACCGGTGGTGATTGTACACCCGAACACAGTATCCAAAGTTTAACTTACGAATCCTCTGTTGAAACTGACTCGTTACCAACTAACGAGCAGCACTTGAAACTGAAACAAGAAGGAGTTCCTCGCATTAAATTTCAAGCTGAACGTCCGCAATTTGATCAAATTGTCACGGATGAGGTCATTAATTCGCAAGGATCAATTGTGTTTTTCGCTTGCGGGGCTTCTGAGCTGAACCGCACTATTAGAGAAAGTGTCGCAAAATCAATTGACAAAACCACAAACTATGTACAGTTCTATGAGGAGTCATTTTGCTAGTTTCTACGTATAATGATTTTGAATAATTTGACCATAAGGTATGAGGACCTCATTTTTGCCGGCCTTCCACCTCACTAAATTTGAATTTGTCACCTGCATCAGATGTTGCCAGATCCGAATTTACGCGCTGGCGCGTTGGTAATGGAAACCTCTGAAACGTTATTCGAGGGGCGCCAAATACATGTGGACAAGTCGGTGTGCACAATTAAAAATGCAGGTAGGGAAATTGCCAGAATTGAGGTTGAGGAAAAGAGCATTGATCACGCGCTGTTTGTTTACTTTGGAGGAGTAAAAACCCTGGTCGTAATTGCTGGTGATATGCTTTATTCTTTGGGTAGAGGCGCAAGGCGATGTACAATGACTCTTCCATTCACACCGATAAACGCCTTGGTTTGCGAAAAGGGGCTGATTTTGGCCTCAAAAACAGCACTTTATCTCATGACGGATCCTTTGAAAGTGCTTGGTCTTGTTGTTCCTTCATCTACGTCCACAATCGGCCCAGACGAGCAGCCAATATATTTTGGAGACGAAAAATGTCATTTAGCTGTATTTAAGGACAAGGACTCAATCAAAATCTACCATATTAGATATTTGGCAAGACAACGCAAACGCGGTCAAATGAAATCTCGCTCAAAATCCAGGACAAGTTTCGATCAAATACTCAGTTCTAGTGGTTCTTTGAAACGTTCATCTAGTGCACGACTTTCGGAGAAGGCACTGCGGCTAAGAAGAAGTGATCGATTCAGTGATCGTATCAGTGATCGGCTCTCTCTGGCTGTTCTAACCGACGAATCCTCCCCCGTGGATATTGCATTTGAGGATTTTGAGTATGAAAAAGAAGCTTTGCTGAGTTTTGTTAACAGCGTCTCGGTAAGTGGTAGCGCGCTGCTCAGAGTTCACCCCCAAAGACTTCAGAGCTGGCTGAGTCTATCAATTTTGGACTACATGAACTCAATTCTCATCCACAGTATTTATTCTCGTGGAAATATTCTGGAGTCAACAGAACTTTTACCGAGAAAATCAGTTGTTCCTTTGGTCGGCTACAAAATAAAAAACCAAGATTACCCATTTTTAGCCTTCTTGACCGAAGGCTATGTAATGATCTGTTCTCCTTTTTTCAAGGGCCAAACGCACAAACCCCCTCTGCAAAATCAAGGAAGTATTTCAGATCTCCAGCCTCTTGGGCTCAAAAATGGTTTTAAGTATAAGAGCAATGGTAGCGAATGGGAGAACTTTCAATTGGTTGAGTTTTTGCATCCATTGATCGTCCAGTGTTTTGAACTACTAACACTCTCCACCGAACCTGAGATTTTAAGCCACCTAGTTCTTAATTTCGCGCTCAACTCTAGAGTCTTGGATCAATGGGAGGTGTTTGAATCTGTGATTGTTTCTTGTTTAGCGAACTTTTCCGATATGCCCTCCCAGCCTTGGCTAGCACTTGCGCAAAGAGTTCAAAAAACAAGTACTAAAACACTCACTGGCCCTGACACTATCATATATTTGCACCTTTTGCGCGAAGATATGATGCTCCGAGCTCGCGCAAGTGATAGTGTTCGCAAGCTTGGCCATCTGCTGAGCTGTTTGACAACCTGGGCTGGCTGGAGTTGGAGTGAGTACTATCGAGTCGACGCAAACTCTAAGGATTTGGAGGAATCAGTCAACTTAGATTTGGCTCAGGTACCTGGTCGGCTCCCAGTAATCTACGAGAGCTTCGTCTCCAACATTCAGCCACCGTTTATTCCATACCCTGATACGAGCCAGGCAAAAGATGTTTTCTACTATACAAATGTGTGCAAATCATTTTTCGAAATGCTCAGCGCTCAGAATACAACAGTTTCCAAAATGTTACAGCTTCTCAAAACCATTGATCTGACACCTTCGAAGCTGGAGACTTTTGCGGTCGGACCACGGTTCTGCATTATGGAAGTCCTTGGCTACATGCAGATTGAAGCAGGTGAAGCTGAATTTCGGTTACTCAATCGACGTGATTTAGAGGCCACATACGAGAGCACTCAGGTTAAAGTTGCGGAAACGTCGCAACTACATGATGACGATCATTTGAATATAACACGGCTTATATTTGATAAGGACCGCCGTTTTTACGAAGTTGCACATTTACTCCAGGTCAACAAAAGCCAGCAATGCGATCTTCTTCAACCGCCAGACTGCAGCGAACACGACTGGCTAGAAATGCAGCAAAATCTGGCCCATCTCGTTGCAATACGCACGCTTTCCGCATCTTTTGGATTGGCTGCGGTTTACTTTAGTTCCAAAGTACCCATCGTTTCTGAGAGATTAGAACTGTCCAAGCTTGACTTTGATATCTTTTTACGGGATCATGGCGTGAGTATTGTTTTCAGCCCCGAGAATCTTTCTTCAAGCACCCGTACTTGGGGGTACTTAGCCCATGGTGTTGCTACTGGACTGAGTATTTCGAAAGAGGCAAAAAATATCACCAGCCATTGGATTGTTTACAATAATTCTCAAGAAAATACATACCCTTCACAGCATGCTGGCTTTTTGCTGGGACTGGGGATAATGGGCCATTTGAAGACACTTGAAGAATGGCACATATATCATTATCTCGGAGAAAAAGATCCAATTATGAGCAACGCTCTATTAATGGGACTGGCTGCGTCAAGCATTGGAACAATGAACTCGAAACTTACCAAAGTCTTGAGTGTCCATATTTCCGCTCTTCTTCCTTTGGGCTCTAGCGATTTGAATGTCACGCCGAGTATTCAGACTGCAGCAATTATAGCGATGGGGTTACTTTATATGGAGACACAAAATCGACGTATGAGTGAAGTGATGCTTTCGGAACTTTGCTCTACCTCTACTGACCGACTAGAGATGTATCGAACCGCTTCTGGAATTTCCCTTGGACTCATGAACTTGGGAAAGGGAAAAGATCTTTGTGGTTTCTTTGATGTTGAGGTTGTTGAGGAGCTTCAAGCTGCGGCTGCGATACAATCCGATGCCAGACCATTGTCGCCCGTTCAGTTGTCACAAAGTGGCTCCGTCATGGCATTGATGTTGATGTTTTTGGGTACAAATGACGCGGCAGTAGCCAGTAGTCTTAACTGTCCTACTTCTGAGTTCTTAGCCAATTACACTCGACCTGATATTCTTTACACAAGAAGTATGGCGCGAAATCTAGTTCTTTTCGACAGCATACAACCAAGTAGAGAGTGGATCACGAAGCAGATCCCTCCTGCTATATACGTTGACCTTTCCGAGATACAGTACCACGATAGCGATTTCTTGCCCTTTTATAATATCTTGTGTGGTGTTCTCGTTTCGATTGGGATCAAATTTGCCGGCACGGGTGATGAAAGTGCGATCGATGTACTGCTGCACTACGTTGATGAGTTCAGAAGGCTTTCTCAGCTACCAGTAACATCTGTCGATGAGCGTATTTGTAAATTCGGTCTTACAAGTCTTCAGTCGAGACTTGTCATTTCTGTTTCTCTTGTAGCTGCTGGCCGAGGTACAGTTTCAGTATTACAGCGTCTGCGCCCATTGTTCGCGCCGATTACACCCGATACGACTTATGACGAGTATGTGGGAGTTTCTATGGCAATGGGGATCCTATTTTTGGGTGGTGGCCAATACAGTTTCAGTCGCAGTCCTCGCAGTATTGGTTGTCTCGCTATATCTTTGATGTCTTTAGCTGGAGCCGAAACTGAGGCAGCTGGTTGGGAGCATCTCAGATTTTTCTGGGCTTTTGCGACAGAAAAACGCTGCCTTATTGTTAGGGATGTTGAGACCCACGTGCCATTACAAGTCAATGTGGAGATAGTCGACCGTTCTGGGGGTTCAAACATGCTCGCTTCACCGTGCTTGTTGCCACCACTGGATACAATCGCTGATATCGCAATAAAAGACAAGATGCTTCTTCCAATTACGATCCACCTTTCAGACCCCAACAATGATTTGGCGCACAATGTTATGAAAACTAAAACTATTTTTATGCAAAAGGCCAAAACTGTGTCCTCAAGCTTGGCAGATAGACTTGCCTGGAGAAGCTCACCACAGGGATCAGAATCGATGGGTAATTTCCTTGACATTTTGGCATCCCAGAAAAATAAGAGGCCCGAGACTCTTTGGAACCTAAAGCTGTTACTCGTATTCGCAGAGAGCTGGCGGCCTGACGAGGAACTTCGCTGCATACCTCGACGCCGATTGGATAAGGTCAAAGTGCATCTGCGTCGGACAGCTGGGGCGAAATCAAATTTGTTCAACAGAAAAAGTGGGGTTTAGTCGTCTTATAAAGTTTCAGGCTATGTTGAATAACACCTGCGTATTTATTATAATTGATGCACTTAATTTTCCAACGAGCCCAGGGCTTGACCCATTTTGACCACATCACCAACGGCTACGTCGAACTGAAATTGAGCTGGGGCCTCAAATACAAGTACAACAGTGCTACCTAAGTGAAAGCCGCCCATTTCCTCGCCTTTTGTAAGCGGCACACCTCTCAGCAATGGCGAAGCGGACTCGTAAGTTGCTTCGAAACACGTCGCCGGCTTGGCCTTCGTCCGGGCACCATCCTGCTCGATCCACCGAGTATTTGTGCGCAGATATTTGTCAAAATTGATTTCAATGCTTCCCACATTGGTAGCACCGACTGGGGTCATGCTGAAAAAGCCGTAGCGCCAGCGTCCAAGCAAGGCAACTCGTTCGTTCAGACAAAACAGATTGGTCAATTTGGCTTGGAAGTAAGGTGCAACACTAAAAAGTTCACCAACATAATGGCGACGAATTTGCGACACCCAGTTAACGGGAGAATGGAAACGATGATAGTCACCAGGTGCCAGGTAGATAACGGCGTAATAAAGCTGCTTGTCGGTTGTCAGGTCGGGGAGCCACATATCAGCGTTGGCCATTTGGCCAAAAGTGGCCGAGCGAGCAGCCGCATCACCAAGCTGTTCTGTGGACTCGTTGTCAGTGGCTGCGCCATTACCGACAAAATCGTCTAGTGAGTAGGAAATACCATTCAGTTTAGCAAACTCCTCGTGACGATCAATAGATGTCTCTCCCATACGTTCAGCCTCTACTTTGCCTGAAAAGTGGTGTGGGGCAGCTTTGGAAACACCCAAAAGCGACTCCAAAGTATAAGTAACACCTTTTACTTGCTCAATTTTGTTCTCCACGAGACGGCCAAGCTGCAACACTTTACCATCGCTAGGAGAAACTACCAGGGAATCCGCGATCGGGCGAGCACCAGGTTCTAGCTCGCGGTAGAAAAACTCTCCGAGATTGCGGTACTTTGAAAGGTCCTTTTCTTTGATTTCATCAAGGTTGGCACCAAACATGTAGGCGTAGAATTTGAACCCAGGAGCCCTCATCCAGACAGGAAGCTCGATGTCATTGAAGCGACCCCAGGCACGGGAAATCGCGCGAAGAGGTAAATAAGAATATGCAGCAACCTGCCAGGATTTAGCCTGCTCCGTTTCGCCTGGCCTTGTCAGGTAAAGCCCAAGAGGGAGAGCGATTGTCACGGCCAGTAAAAGCCGACGAGTAGTCCGGCCTTTTTGACGACGAGCAGCAGCATTCGCGCGTGACGAAGCTGCCCTGTTGAAAATGCGCGTAGGATTAATCAATTGACGACGCAAGCGAACCATAGTTAGAAGGCCGGGAAACTTGACCGCTGAATAATAGCAGTTTTGATACCTCGGGATGCTTGAACTAGCGTGGTGGGAACGGGGTGTGGAAAGATAAAGAGGCATATAAAACTACTACATACTAGACTTCTTATCTTTTTCTCTCTTTTGAAAAAAAAAAATTAAACAAAAAAATGTCTCCGGACAACGTTCAAAGATCACTGCCCTTTAGCTAATCGCGTCATGCTTTTAGGAATTTCAGGCACTGTGGGTAGCGGTAGGCATGAGGCAGTAAACTATTTTGTGAGTAAGGGCTTCAAACTACTGCAATGCGATGGCTCTACGCAAAGTGTGGCGGATATTATAGATTGTGTGACACCTCGCTGGCGCGAGAACTTCGTGGTGCTGATCCACTCTCTTGAGCAGCTCATTGCTGCTGAGCGCCGGCCATTTTTTCTGCACCTCACGCTCGATGCTCCGCTGAGTCTCAGATTCGAACGGAGTGGATCAAAAGATCTCACGCAATTCGTTCAAGCGAGCGATAAGCGAGTTTTCCAAGAAGATGGGGCCAGGATCTTTTCCAGGGCACAAGTTGCCCTCATAAACGGCTTTGAAACGATCAACAAATTCGAGCATGCATTAGAAACCTTAGATATTGAGAATCCAACTCGTATGCGACCGGATTGGGACGCTTATTTCATGACAATTGCAGATTTGGCTGCTCAACGGTCTAACTGTATGAAGAGACGTGTCGGATGCGTAGTAGTTCGTGAATTCAGAGTGGTTTCTACTGGATACAATGGCACTCCACGTGGTGTTCCGAATTGCAACCAGGGGGGATGCAAGCGTTGCAACAGTGCGCAGAAATCGGGAGCGGGCCTGGACGCGTGCTTGTGTTTGCATGCAGAAGAGAACGCTCTTCTTGAAGCCGGACGTGATCGCCTGGGAGCGACTTCTGTTTTATACTGTAACACATGTCCTTGCCTCACATGCAGTATCAAGATTATCCAAAGTGGAATAACCGAAGTGATATATTCACAAAAGTATTCTATGGACGAGCAGACGGCTGCGGTTTTCAAGCAGGCAGGCATCCATTTGAGGCAATACCACCCTCCTCAGCAGGGCTTAGTGTCTGTTTAGGTTTCGCGGTACGTATAGGGACCTGGTTTCTCATCAACAGTGAACTTCATGCTGCTAATGACTTTACCGTCCACTTGCAGTTCAGCTTCCAAAACATCGCCTGGAACGATCTCACCCACACCTTTGGGTGTGCCGGTTAGAACCATATCACCATCCTGAAGCGTCATGACGGCAGAAATGTTTGCCAGGATCTGGGGAATGCGGAAAATCATTAGGGAGGTCGAATCAGCTTGACGGGTTTGACCATTGATCTTGAGTTGTAAAAAGACATTGTGAGGATCGGGCACTTCAGACTTGGGAATAAATGGACCAACTGGCAAGAATGTATCGAAACCTTTGGCAATGGTCCAAGGCATACCCTTGTTCTTGGCCTCGTCCTGGACGTTTCTGGCGGTCAAATCCAGCGCCAACGTATAGCCTTCAATAGCATCAATCGCCTGTTCCTCAGTGAACGAATCAAAGTCAAGATTCTTGAGCTCTTTGTTGAGAATGACTGCAAGTTCTAGCTCGTAGTGTAGCTTGACTCCCTGCGGCCGGAGAATCGGGCCCTGGCCAGGCTCCAGAATGGCCGAAGGCGGTTTCAGGAAATAAAATGGCCGGCTAGGAGGTTTATTTCCAAGTTCTTTGGCATGGTCAACGTAATTGCGCGCAATGCACAGAATCTTCCGTGTGCGAGAAGTAAAGTTCGACATTTCGTATCTACAAGTGAAAGATGACACATTTTCCCCGCAGTTTCACGCAGTGCATACGGGTGGTGAATAAAGATAATATTAACTAAATAATTAATACGAAGGCCAACTTATTGTTTGAAAAATGGCCGGACGTTCACCCGACTCGCTTTCCGTTTGAGCCAGTCGAGTCCTGCTTGTGCCCGTTTATACCCAGCTTCCGACGCTCTTGTAAAGCTTTCTCGCTTGCCATATTTATCTAGGAACCATTTGTGAGCTCTGGAAATTCCTTTGGAACTCCCGCCCCGCATATCGCCAACCCACTTCGATGCATGTGACCAGTCGCTTCTTGCGGTTTTCGAGAAAGATTTGCCGGTCTGTTGAATACTGTGCTTAATCTGTTGGCAGGATCTGTCAACATTTGCCCATACGGCCCCCTTGGCACTCTGCATCTTAACGATAAGATCGTCTCTCCACGCTTGTTTGGGGTGGGTCAACCACTCAATCTTGGGTGCAATGGCCTTATAAGCTTGGTTCAAATGATCCAGGCCGGTGCCGGTAGAGTGTCGTACGGAGCTCTGTACGGAACTCAAAAAAGGATTAACATGAGCCTCGAGAACATCAGAGAGAGATACATCAAAGTTTGCACATGAATCAGTAGGTGAAGGGGTTCCAAAATGTGCGGTAAAACCTGCAGAGTCACAAGTAAGAGTTTTTGAAACAACTTTCGCATGTTCCTGTTTATATTGACGAACTTTTTCTGAATGCTTTGCACGTGTTTCTAGATGCTTCACATACGCCCAAAAAGATCGGAATTGTGCAGATAGATACTCATAACTTAGGCGCACAGCTAAAGCGACAGAGACAGTAACAGCGTTGGTAGCAGAGACAGCCATATCGGTGACCAGACTTGTCTTCCTAATGAAGGTATTGAGTAAATCTGGTTCAAGTGCATGGCCCACTGAGGAGATGTTATTGTTAGTGTGGCCGAAACTAAAACACCCAGTCTTTACCGCTGAGCCGGCTGTGATCGACTGGTTCACCCCACAATCAGAATTGGTTAAGATCCAGGTTGATGGGTTGAAAAACCGAGCACATGGGTTACTGCTGAAAATCAAAAAGAACACAAGCGGGGATACAGCCAACAACAACACTATGGTCAAAAATGCGATAACTGATGTGGCGTATAGAGCAGCCATCACGCCAAGGGGATTCCAATAAGACAGAGAAACAACTCGTCCGCCTTTGCGTAGCAGTTGATCGGCGCTTATAGTCTCCAGTAAACTCACCGTGAAGGGCACGCGGTACAAACGACCATTGATTTCGACCTCAACCAAAGGACTACGCATAGATGCAGGAATCTGTGAGCATAAGTGAGCAGTTGGGTCCAATAAATAATCCGCGAGAGGGAGAATGATGGAGTCTGCTGGAGGGGGAACTTGGCCGCCAGCTACCAAACGACTAAACGCCTCAGTTGTGTCTTGAACGGCCTCATCACAGTAATAAAGAACGAAAACAGTATGCTCCACCCCATCGTAACCATCTTTGACCTCTGGTTGCTCGTAAAACGTGTTGTCAAAAGGATTATACCCAATTGGCTTCAAGGACGTAACCTCGCCATCTGCTACGGGAGCCCACCACCTCAACTTAGCATTCAGAGACTTAGGGAAAATAGATGCCAGCTCATCCAAAATTCGCATTGCCCTTTCTTTGGTTGGTGCACCAATTAAATTAATCGTCGTGTCTGCGATTTTGAACAGGTGCCCCTTCTTCAGAGCAAAGTTGACAACGTTAACATGCTCTGCAGATATCTTGGGGTAAGAACAGTTCTTTACCACGGTATTTACCATACCATCTAGTGTGATTCCACTCAAACGCATGGACGGTACATCTGTGAAAGGCATCGTAATGTCTGAAGCCTCACCAGGTCCAAAAACAACGCTATACCCATCGCTGCTGAACATATCCGATTGAGACTCCTCGTTTTCAGAGAAAAATGTATCGTCCAGACTCATACTGATTGACGACAATGAACTTGGATCCATTGAATTGCGAATTTGTCTGTAGCGATGATGATAAAATGGTGAGGAGCAGTTATCAATATAACCGCATTATGTCCGCGCCGCCACAGGGCTAGGGTGTCTCCATACCGCTACGGGCATTTGTATCCGATTTTAAGTACCTTAAGGGGGGATCAGGGGGTATAGAAGAGATGAATTCAAGCGGTTTAAGATAAAAAAAGCTTTGCAATGGCAACCTAGTCTATTCCGTTAACACAGTGTTAGATATATTCGAATTTTTCACCATCCAGGTTGGACTGAGACACCTAGCAACCAGTCTAAGTCGTTCAAAAGGGTGAGCTAGCAGATCAATTCTCAGTTGACATATTCTGCAATTCCAACTTTTACCACCCGGCTCTAAGCATCCGAATATAAACAGCGTCTTCGTTGCTTTTGGTGGCTCCTATGCCCAAACCCCACAAATGGGCCAATGAACCGCTATCACTTTAGGGCAAGGGTCAGTTAGGTTGCATGAATCCACCATGAGCTAGCACAGTTGGAGTGAAAATTATAAGGTAATGTTCAATTCATCTATCATTAATCAATATATAAAGTTCAAACCAGAGAGAACGACTCAGAAAGAGTGCTTGCAGTAGAGATGCTAAAACTGAGCTCTGGTGGTGTAGTATCATCTGCCCATTCAATATCTGAAACCGGTGGCATGTCGTTTTGCGAAGACGGAACATCCACGATGCGTCCTGTGGAGATTTCCTGATCTTGCATGAGTAAGTTGACACTTTCTGGGTTGGAGTTGGGGAAATGGACTCGGACTGTGCGGCCACCGTTCTCGACTGACAATGGAAGCACCCCTAGTTCAGATATCTGCTGAACGTCGCTAATCATCGTTCGCAACCTCTCAATCTGACGCTCTAAAGCTGTGACAATAGTCTGGGTCGTAACCCCATCAAGCTCAGCTTCATTTGGAAGCTCAACATTTGGAGCCATATCAAAGTCTACAGCAGCTGTGTTAGACTCAGTGCCAGGAACACTGGGGAAAACGAAAGCCTCCTGGCTAACCAGATTGTCCTCTTTTAGCCAAAGTCCAGACACAGCGCTGGAAACCGTCGGTGCAGCAGCACTTGGTAACTTGGCCAACTGTTCGAATTTCGCGGAAATAGTTTCGCGAGGTTTAGCGAACGACGAAATTGACCTCTCAGTGTTGAGCTTGATCAACGAAAATGGGCTCGACGACGTCTTGGCTGAAATTATCAGGCGAATGCCCCTTGGCGTGAATGTGTGCCGCGGGTGTGGCTTAACCTGTGGAGATGTTTGAACAAACAATCCAGCCAGCCAAACTGGAAGTGGCTTGGAGAAACCACGGCCAATACATGTCTTGAGAGTAGCAGATGAAGTTAACATCACATTGGAGTAGAACCCACCGCGGAAAAAATGCGCAAAGAAACGCTTCTGGATCTTGTTGAACTTCGCAGACCACGGGCAGTGATGGTGGCGCCTTGGACGGCGTGGATTCGAGTAAGAATGGAAGTAGGCCCTTTGCCAACAGCCGAATGGCGAGTGGCGAAAGCCTTTGCGGCCCCGGCCGCGTCGGTGGGCATAGGCGGGTTCCCAAGATGGTTCCAACCTCCTATCACGGAGGCGAGCAACTTCCGTAAGACCACGACGAGCGTATTCGGCCGCTCGCCGTAGTAGTTCCGCCAACTCTTTGATGGCCATTTGCCACTGAAAGTTGGGTTTCTGTGTACGTAAGCGAATTCTAATCACCGTTTACGCCGCCGATTGACCCTGCTGCCGATTTATGCGGGTGACTAAAACGGTCATCCACAGACGTCCCCTAAACACCAGATCGAGCGATGAAACGGTTGCGTTCAGTGCTGGTCGTCGTTGTGTAACAGTATTAGAGCCAGGATACTTTTATTGTACTTAATTGTAAGCCTAAGAATACTTAGCCCCGCGCTATACGACTTGCATAAATATGCGGGGTTTTTTTTCAAAACATGCAGCGAGCTGCCGCACATTATTCCGATCAACTACTTGCGGATGTACTGTGGACGAATATCATTGTATCCTGTAGGTGACTCGCCAACGCAGGCCTTTGCTGCTTCAATAATCTCATTAACCGCTTCATCTGTAGTCCAGTAGTGCAGCACAAGTCGTCCACGGAAGATTTTCAGACCGCGTTTGATGCATTCCTCCCGGAACTTCTCGATATTGATAGTCTGTTCATCGATCCAAACCATATTGGTTTCAACGGGAACTAGTAGCTCATATCCAAGTTTCAAAAGCTCAAGGCCAAGCCGCTTGGCCTGCTGGTGAGTCTTGGGCATGGTAGGCCACACCTTGTCAATAGCGACTAGGCATTGCGAGGTCAAGACACCAGATTGACGAATACCACCGCCTTGCTGTTTGCGGAACCATTCGGCCTTGGTGATGAAATCTTCGTCTCCCACCAGAACACTTCCCACTGAAGCGCACATACCTTTAGACATACAAAGTGACACACTGTCGAAATATTGACAGACGTCCTTTAGTGAACAGCCCAGCGCTGCGGTCACGTTCCACAACCTTGCACCGTCCAAGTGCATTTTGATATCATTCTCACGCGCCCATTCGGAAATTCGCTTAATCTCCTCAATTGGGAAGATCACTCCGGAGAGGGAATTTTCCAGCGAAATGACACGAGTTGGAGCAGTGTGAATGTCCGATCCCAAGATAACAGAGCGCTTGACATCTTCTAGAGTCAAGTAAAGATCATTGGAAGGTACCACGGGCGTCACCATTGCCTGGCTCAGGGTGGCTAGTCCTCCGGCCTCCGCTGAGTACACATGCCCACGGTGATCACAGAGAATGGAGTGAGGAGGCTGATGAAGGTGCGTGCGCAAACCAATTTGGTTGCTGAGCGTACCAGAGGTGCAAAACAACGCTGAGGATTTGCCAGTGAGCTCACAAATCTTTTTTTCGAACTTTTCGGTGGTAGGATCTTCGTGGAAAACCGAATCACCAAGCGCACAGACACGAGCAGCATCAAGCATTTCGGGCAAAGGAATAGTGATTGTGTCCGACCTAAAATCCTTAGCAACCTTTTTCATAGCAATATCAGCGCTCATACTTAAAAAACCAGTTTTGGATCTTTTAAACGTGTGCAATCTGGGCTCAACCGTTGGCGTATGCACGAGTTAAAGAACCTTGTTGGGACAATCAGGGCTGAAAAAGCCTATTTTTTTCAGCTTAGATCAGCTTCTTCGGATCGGGGTAATGGGAACGTATCGGCGTTCAAGTGTGGGGTGGGGGTCCTGCCGATCATTTTTTTACCGATAAGTTGGCGAATCGAGAAAAAAACTGCACAGTGCCGTCAAATGCACATTGTAGTAAACGAAGCCGCAGACTTCTTGGCTACATGTGCTGCCGTGCAGGCACCGTCTCTTTTGTCATCCAAAAAGCGACGAATGATCCAAGTTGATCTGGGGGGCCTTCGCGACCCGCTTCTGGGTGGGGCTGTCCTCACGTCCCTACTTTGGTTGCTTTTTCGTTTCGCATGCCTTGTTAAAGTGCCTACGAAAACCCTCTCACAAAAGCTCGGATTAGGTCCCTCAGTGAAGCCACGGCCTGTAATCGAGCAACTGTCGGATACTCAAGCGGTGCTTTGCTGGGACTGCGACGACAAAAAGAGCATTGTCAAGCATTTTGTCGAACTCGATGATTCCAGGATTGATGTGGGGAAGGGCCCAAATTTCGTCACCCTGGAGAACTTGTTGCCCAATACTGCATACACGGCCAAAGTGTACGCAGTGGGGAGCAATGATATCAAAAAATACGGCGTTATCAAGTTCAGAACATTGAAATCATCTGACGATAGGGCACAGTCTCTCCTGATACAAGCCAATACTGGCCCTACCGCTCGTGAGCAAGAAATGCTTTTGAACGGGTTACAAGCAGAAACACTTGAAGTACAGCAACACCAAATCAAGCTGAACCAAGCATTTGTAATTGAGCATGCCGAGCTGAAGAAGCAGCTTGCAAAACTCAGTGAAGAAAAGCGAAGTGCTGAGCAACTCCGAGCCCAGCAACGCGTAGAGATGAAGACCTTAGAAGAAACCAAAAGATCACTTGAGCTTGCCAAAGAGAAAGCCAAATCAAGATACACTGGGATACAGGCTACGTTCAACGAGCAGCATTCTACTCAGAACCGTTGGACAACCGAGATTGAGAATTGGCAAAAAGCAAAAGACCAGTTGGAGAAAACCAAAGAGCAAATGGGACAGAAACTCGAGACCGAGATTCGCGAACTGACCGAAAAAGAGCTTGAGCTCCGCACCGAAATTGAGGCGAAAGAGCGATGGATCATCAACCAAACATCTATGAACAATGCAGCTCGTGCAAGCCATGCAGACTTCAAGAGTCGTCTTGAAAAACTCCGCAAAAAGACGGACCTGGCAACTGGAGAGGTAGCTCAGGACATTCTTGATAAAGTCACTGTGGACGCACATGATCCTACCTTGATCGACTTTCTCGTTGCAGATTACGCCCAAGATGCCGCGCAAGAAAAGCAGTGGATCGAGACGCAAAAGGTCTATGAATCGCAATACATCGAAGCTTATCTTGAGTATGAAGAGGCTTCGGGGAAGCTCCGGGAAGCTCAGGCGCAGGCACAAGCCCACGCAAAAGCTAACGTCCACCGAGCATCGGCCAGTATTGCTAGCTCGGGTTCCAACAGATCTTTGTCGTCAATGGTGTCACACACCCCCACGATGGGCTCTTACTCTGGTGTGTTTTCGCCGACGCCGGTCAATATGGGATCTTCATTAGCATTGAGCCCAGTGAGCTCAGCCCAGGCTGCAGATTATCAGTTTGACAGTCCAGCCCTCCACTCTTGGCTAGCTCCTCGCGTCTCCCTTGAATCTTCTCGCTCGAGTAGTATATTTTTCGGACCGACCGCTCCAGCTCACCAGGACCTTCCTGTGATAAGCCAGGATGAAGAACCGAGTGACACGGACACTAGTTCTGAAACCAAAAGTCCACGGAAAAAGAAGTCGTTTTTCACTTTGGAGCACAATCGTAAATCATTGGTTCGCCGACTTAGTATCTTCCCTAAAAAGGACGAAAAGAAAGAGGAAAGTGACGGGTCTTCTTCTATAGATCGCTCAGACACTATTTAGACTATTTATTTACGACCACCACGCTGTACAATCTTGATAAGATCGGCCAAAACACCCATTGCCGTGACAGCATCACCAGCTCCAGCACCCTGAACAATTAGAGGCGAAGGGTAACGCTCAGTGGTGAATGCAATGACGTTGTCAGAGCCCTGAAGAGCAGCAAAGGGATGAGAGAGGTCATACTTCTCGACTCCTACCTTCACACTGGGTGTTCCGGTCAAATCGACCTTGCCAACGAAGCGCAAGCACTTGCCTTCTGCTTTGGCATCGTCACGAAGCTTTGCCATATCAGTGTCGTACTTGGGGAGCTCAGCCATGAAGTCCTCAACACTTTCGACACTCTCTAAAGGTTTGGGGATCAGGGAGTCAACGGGGAAGGCAGTAGGGCCAGCCACGAGGTTTCCAGCCAAACGGGAAAGAATAGTGACCTTACGAGCGACATCAAGACCATTGAGGTCTTCACGAGGGTCAGGCTCGGTATAGCCCAGTTCCTTGGCCTTCTTGACCACAGCGGAGAATGCAACATCCGAGGAACCAAACTCATTAAAAATGTAGGACAGAGTTCCTGATAGGATACCCTCAATCTTGTGAACACGGTCCCCTGTGGCAATAAGATCGTTCAAAGTGCTGATGATAGGAAGTCCAGCACCAACGGTAGACTCGTGGTAAACCAGAGCCTTATTAGACTTGTCAAACAGCTTATTCCACAACTCAATGGTTGAAGAGAACGCCTTTTTGTTGGGGGTAACCACAGAGATATCCTTGGCCAAGAACTCAGGGTAGGCCTGAGCTAAACCTTCATTGGAGGTGTTGTCAACCAGAACGGCAGGTACAGGAGATTTGGAAAGAAACTCTGCAATCTGTGCCGGGGTCCAGCCGCCCTCGGAGGCTGCCGAGAAGTCAACATTTGCCAGATTGAGAGGGCTAAAGTCCATGGAGACAATGGTTTTTGAAGAACGAGCAATCAAAACAACCGCAACGTCAAGTTTGCTGGCTGCAAGCTGTTTAATAAAAGCTGAACCAACCAGTCCAGCACCTACAATGGCAACGTTAAGAGTCATGATGGATGACAACTTTCCCCTTTGGGAGACGACATATGCTGAAATATTTGGCGGCTACGGCCAAAGTAGCCCCTGCGGGTAGAAAGGGCCCACTTGTTGTTATTGGAAATGAATCTGGTGATATGGACTCAATTTGCAGCGCAGTTGTGGGCGCCTATTTGTACAATTGTGCCTTCAATCGCACAACTGTGCCTTTATTCAATATCCCCCGGTCTGACTTTCGCTTGAGATCAGATATCCAGTGGCTTTTTGACTCAGTTGGTATTGATACTAATGGAATTCTTTTCAAAGAAGACGTTAACTTCACGTCAGATACTCCTCTGTTTCTGGTTGATCATAATTTTCCCATTGTCAAGGGGAGTGTTGAAGCCGTTGTTGACCACCACGACATTGAGGGCTTACAATCCGAAAACGCAGATCCCTATATTCGAGAAAAGTCTGGTAGTTGCATGAGCCTGATCATTGATTACTTTTGTCGCCACGTTCCCGAAACTGTTTTCACTGATGAAGTGCTCGTCAAGCTAGCGTTGGCGCCTATTTTACTCGATACTCAAAATCTTACGCAAAAAGTGGAACCTGTAGACACTGCAATTGCGTCATTCTTACAGAATAAGGCCCCCAAACTCGGATCAGGAGAGCTGTTCACCACGGCAAGGCAGATGAAGAAAAGTACTAAGGGGTTTACCGCATTAGAGCTTCTCAAAAAGGACTATAAACAATGGGGGGCTTTGGGTATTAGTTCGCTACCTGTAACGTTCGAAAAACTTTTGACCGAATTCCCTGATCTCCCCGCTGCCATGAAGCAATGGAAAGCTGAACGTAACCTTGATGTCTGCGTTGCCATGACCAATGGTAAGGTTAAAGGCACGTGGAAACGTCAATTGGCAATTGTAAAGCCTCCTTTTGATGTCGTTGAGAGCTTCCCCGCACTTGAATTTGTCTTTAAGCAGGAGACTGACGGGGTATTGTTCTTCAACCAAAAGAACCTATCAGCCAGCCGGAAGCAGGTTGCTCCAGCATTTAGAGAGTTTTTGAAAATCTAGATTGTTAAATTTCAGTAACTTTTTTTTTATTCTACGTGGTTGGCCCGGTTTCTAAACCCCATTGTCTATCCCTCGATCCAAATAGCCCAGCTGCACCTGCACCTGTAATTACGCGTCATCAAATGCCCTTCTATGCGATCAACTCGTATGAGGAAGACCTGCTAGATCAGGCGAAGCAACACACGCTAGAGCTTCAGCTTGAACAGGGGCTGAAGATTTTTGAGGAGGCCCTGCAGGCTCAGAAAGCCCAGAATTTCGACGGCGCCCACGGGCTTTACTCCAAGTTATTTGGTCTCGAGGTCTTACAACTCAAACACCAAAAACGTATTCCTCCCTCTGCTTTTCGATTGAAGAGTCTCGCTCTAAAAAACAACGCTTTGTTACTGTTAGAAGAATTGCACAAGGACTACAACACTATCGAAACAAAGGACCAACTGTTTTACCGTTTAGGACCGATTGCAGAAAATCTAGTCGAAGCGCTTGAATGTAATCAACAAGACATACAGATTCAAGAACTTTTAACTGCATTGGCCCTTGAATTTGGTGAAACAAGATTAGCCAGGCTCGCCATGGAGTCAATCGTCCTATGCGAAGACGACAGACCTGTTTCCGTCGCGGAAGCGGCAGCCACAGGTTATTCATTGAGCGGCTTTTCCCCAAGGGATATCAATTTTTTGGCACAGCTTTTCCAGATTGTAAAAAAAATACAAGACAACTACGCACTGGAGAGTGATTTTTACAAGACCCTTGAATCAGTACAATCATCCCGAAAGAGCCGGGATTTCTCGTGGCTCAATAGTAAATTCGATATTAAAGATGGACTCAAGGCATTATTGGAATACTACAGCTCAGCTGACGTTGAACTTGAAATTATGCTCACTACCCAAGACTGGCACAGCATTCTTGCCGGCTTAGAGGAAGCTCCGATTGCCACCACTCGAAAAAAAAGACGGGCTGTCGCAGACAGTTACAGCTATTCCGACCGCTCAATAGACCGTCTAAAGTTTGTGGCACCTCATGGCGACCCACGGCTGCTAGTGCCGTCTGAAAGTCAAATGTTGGTAGACTCGGAAGCGGAGACAGATGTGGAAATGATCGATAATGAGCCCTCAGAAACTCCAGCGCCTATTGAAGCTAAGCTTGATGAAAGCACAGTCACTGATTCAGCGCCAAAAGAGTCTGGTCCTGAGCCAGCTGTAGCGGAGATGTCTCAAACGGATCTCGTTCGATCCAGCAAGCGTGTCAAGGCCCAAGCACCAGAAAATACTGTCGCCGCAGACTTTGGACAGCAAGACAAAGTTTTTGCAGACCAAATTGTATCATATCTTGACCCAATCAAAGTCCAATTCAAGTCGGTTGTTCCCATATATCTAAACGAATCCGGGAGATCTGAGGATGATCTTGCCTACGAAGATTTCAAACAGATACTGACAGAATGGGACGAGGACAAAATTGGGATGTTTCTGAGATCTTGCGTACCAGAAATAGGCGAGAGCCAGCCAATTATGCAGCTACTTGATTTCGCGGCCCTGGGTACAGCATCTGAAGTAACCCATGCACCATATGAAGTTGACAGAAAAGAGGTCAGTACATTTCTATCTCAGATAGAAGACGGCGCACACATTCAACAAGTTCGTATAGATCTTTTGAAGTCCCTTCTGTGCTCATTGTCGGGACACGTGCCAAAGCTTCTTGTAGAATTCTGGCCATCGGAGCTGGTAGATGGCATTTGGAAGCTTGTATCATATTTGGAGGATAAGATATATGCACTTGCTAGAAACGAGATCTCAGTGGATGCGGCCGATATGGTACTGGTCATATATGAAATGCATGTTGATCGCTACTTGACTTTGGACCGCGCTCTTCGCTCTAAAACAACCAATGCAAAGAGTATTGAACAAAAAGAAACTGATCTCAGTGAAGCACTTCTTCGATGGAGAGGGGCCGCAGGTGACGCTCTAGCGTTACTTCAGGATATGTCGGAACGCACGAATATTATGCGCATTAGGTTTCAGTGGGTGTCGATTTTCTATGATCAAATTCACGCTGATAGCCCAGAAGTGAGCATGACAAAATTTGAAGCAGTTCGTGACTTTATCACTCAAAACTTTAGTGATCTTAACATCGAATATCCAAGTTTGGAGAATATCCCGACATTGTCTTCTGTCAGCGCTGAAACACAGATTTCGAAATACCGAGCAGCGTCAATTTTTGCTAGAGCGTTCAAGCGTGAAGGTGATAAAGATATTGTCCAGTCTATTTCCCTACTTGAGTCAATGCTCATGCCAGAGGTTTACCACACAGAAATTCCAGAGCATTTGGCAATTTCACAGTTTCTGTCTAGTGCATCAAACGATTTCAGACTAAACCTGTGGTATCTTTTGCTAGAGAACTACGAGCAAGTGGGCGAGGAGCGTAAATCGCTTGATGGCCTTGTTCGCATTCTTGGTAGTAGCTTGGCTGAAATTGGTGACGAGACATATCGAAGTGAACCTCCTCATAAACGCCAAACTGTCCTTTTGAAGACCCTGAGTGTTTCACATGATGTAGCGAAACGTCTACTTCCGTTGCTGGTTGAAAATGAAGAGATCTTGGAAGCGACCACACCACAGGATGCTCAAAATATGTTGGTGCTAATTGTGAAGGTGCTTCAGTTGATACACATTTTTATGCTTAACGACCAAGCTATCAACTCCAACATTATCCAGGCACCACAAGTATTTAGCTGGGAGCGAGCAGCTGCGAAGTTTCGAGAGCTTTCAGTCTATTGGTGGTGCATTTTTTATTTATATTATCGTTCGGCTCTTCTTCCAGAATCACGCACCCCAGAAATTCTGAACGATTTGCTGAGTATAATTCACGAACAGCTTGGTGTGCAAGGGTATTGCGGACTTGCTGATGGCTCACTCTTGAAACTAAATTTGAAAGAGATTGTACGAATGGACTGGAACGAATCTGAAGCAGACATGATTCAATGCTTGCATTGCCGTTATGGCCTGTCACTATTCAATGAGTATTTCCAACCTTATAACCATCATTCAGCGACAGAGGAAATGACTCAAGAAGATGCAGTCCAATTATGCCGCTTTGTGACACGAATGCTACTTTCAAAGAAGAACCCAACTCAATTTTTGATAAGAGCTGAAATTAGACAAGCTATTGATACCATCAACGAAGCACTGGGGACGCCTGATAATACCCTCAACCAGATTCGAATCAACACAGAAATTCTTGACAGGTTCTTAAATCACTCAGACATCACATCGTCACTATTGAAGGCTGGATGGACAGGCCAGCTCCAACTCTCTATGCAACCAAGCAACGACCCTAAAGCTAAAGCGGCAGGCCAGGGTGGTATCTACTTTGTGATGGGCGTTGTTACGCTCATACAGTTCCGTATGCGCAAAAGGGCCAATGCTGCAAGAGTCGAGGATTTACACGACGCGATCAAGTACTTCAGAGATGATCTGATTTGCTGTACTGATAGATTTGAGTCTTGGTTCGGTTTGTCTCAAGCGTATGATTATCTGGCCGAAGAGTCTTTAATTTGGTCTTCAGATTCGCTGATCGAAGCGTCCCCGATCTATAATGAGATCATTCTGAACCGTGGACGGGCTCTTTTGAGCTGTACAATGGCTCTTAGTAGTCTTCTGAAAGGAACAAGCCATTCATTGAGCATAGATTATGCCAAAACAGTTGAGGCTCAGGTTTGGTCTCTGTACGGCCGCCTTTTACTCTATGCGGCAAGCTCCCCACAAAAGATGGTGGTTTTTGGAAAGCGCTCCACCCAAAAGTATGTTTTCGTGAACGGGGAGTATACGGATTCAAAATTCACAGCTATCAAGGAGCAAACTGTGCTCAGGCTTGCAGACAGTAGCCTCATGGTGGCTAGAACCACGTCTCCAAGAGACTGGTTTACATGGTATCTTTCGGCAAAGGTTGCTTACAGGTTAAACCGTCCCCCCCGCGAAGTTCTGGATAATTTCGCAAAGTCTATTGAGCTTCGTGCCAGTGGTGAACGTGAGTCACGCAACCAGGATATTCCAGCAGTTGCTACCCAAAGCTTGGTCTCATTGGCATCTCGATATTCAATTGATGGAAAATTGACCGCCGAGGAGGGCGTGCAATATTTGGGCCTATCAGCAACTGTTCCTAAATCTGCTATATCGGAAGCTCTCGAGAAAGTCAAAGCGGGCGCACCGGGCAAGCAGGTTATTTCTGACCTCACAATCCAATGTTTTTCTAATCTCATTGCCTCTGATAAGCGACATTGGTTGCATCGGCCCTATTACTGGTTGGCTAAGCATTACGATAATGATCTTAAAGACAAAGCCAAAGCAGAAGATGTTTTGCGTGAAATGTTCACCAGGGGATCTAACTCAAAGACACCATTACACATTTGGACATCAGAATGTGAACGCCCAGGCCAACACTTTGTCTACGTTCATGATTATATTGTTTACTACAGTGATCTTCTTTACGAGAACAAGATGGAAAGTGCTCTCAATAGTCTTGCTCGCCGTCTCCGTCGCTTTAGTAGCCGCATGACGGATCATTTGAGCGCATGGAAGCATGTATGCTCGCTGTCTGTCAAGCTGGCGCTTGAAATTCTTGGTTTCCCGCCGCGCTATTCTGACCGCGTACTTCCTAATCTTGAGTGGTCTGAGTTTGAAGCGCGGGGACAGCAGTTAGAGAAATGGATATCTGCACAGCAAAGTTCTCCCCAGCTTGATTCCTGGATCTTGGCCCTAGAGTACGCAGTCGACCTGAGACGTCTTAATAACGGCTATGGAGCTACTACTTACGTTGACGAGCTTGTTATTAGTATTTACTTGCGTTTGATGGAGATCTTTACCACCACTCCACCTGTTTCTTCTGATGTGACGCAACCCGAGAAGCCAGACTCTACACCAAATGCAAAGCCCAACGCTCCTGAACCTGAGGCGAATATCAATGGAAACAATAGCACAAACAACGGAGACAGCAAACCAAGCAAGTCGGACCCGAAACCTGAAAAGAAGCGTCGAGTAATCAGAAGGGACGTGCTGCAGCAGTGCCAGCATATGCTCAAGCCTCTGCAGCCTCGTCTGTCAAAGCTCGATCAACGGACAGTTCCGCGCGAGCTGCATAAATATGTGGATACTATGACACCAGAGCCTATCCAGCCGTCGCCGTCTAAGAGCCCCTCTCGCCCATTGAATCTGAATATGAAGGACGAGACTCCAATGAGCACAGCGAGTCCGGAATCTCAGGGCCCCCAGCTCGTTGCAGTATCCTTATTTCCACCTGCTAATCATCAATTGCCGCCGCAGACCGACTAACGCCCCACTTCTCACGATCTCTTCCGTCTTTGATCTGTTGGATGGTCTCTGGGAGCATTGTTTGCCCAATAGCCCTATCGATGTTTTCCTTTTTGATCTGTGATTCCTTTTCTAGTTGATCCCTGCGTTTAAGCTCATCTGCTGGCTTTTTGGCGAACACTCTCCCAGAGATATCTTTGGCTATTAACATGTTGGCGAACCCAGCCCGGCTGTCTCGTAGACAAGTGAATAATCGGCGGAACCCCGCTCTATATTTTGCATCAACTTTCTCCTCACTATCTTCAAATAACTGCTCTTCGATTTCAGATGCAATTGAAGATACTAATTCCTTCAAGTCTGGCGAGGGTTTGGCAGAGTCTGTAATCAGCTTCTGCAGCTTATCACGAGTTGCAGTGCGTGCCTCACCCACCTGCTCGTGGGCTGGGGAGACTGCCAAAGTTTTAAGCTGCTGCTTTCGTTTGCGTAGTGCTGCTCTTGCAGAGGCGTCGATTTTCATAGAGAAACTGTGGCAAAGCAAAATTTGGGTTATATCCCCAGACTAGGCTAGCTGACTACTCAAAATATCTATGGACGATAGCGACGACGAATACGTTGATTCGTACGCTGTCGATAGTGTACAGCCCCGCCAAAGACATCCTCGGCGAAAAAGAGACGGTAAAAGTAGTGGAGACGCTGGTGCCGACTCCCAACCGCAGGGATATGCTTGGGAAGACGAATACCACAGATCATGGGATGTTGTGCAAGAGGACTCAGGTGGCTCTTTGGCCGGCGTGGTCGCTGGAATGGTCGAACAAGCGAAACGAAAGCGTGTTCTACACGATACACGCCCGGTGCAGCGGGGAATTATTCGCAACATTGTATTAATATTAGACATGAGCTTTGCTATGGCAGACGTGGACATGCGGCCTAACCGGCTCCAGGTTATGATTAACTACGCTATTGAATTCGTGAATGAGTACTTCAATCAAAATCCAATTTCCCAACTCGCAATCGTCGGTATGCGTGATGGTATAGCTGTTTTGGTAAGCCCGCTGGACGGGAATCCAAACGTGCACCTTGACAACCTCCAGGCCTTGAGAAAGCAGTATGGATCGGGTGTACCTTCGCTCCAGAATGCTTTAGAAATGGCAAAAGTAATTTTAATGCATGTGCCGTCCCATTGTACCAAGGAAGTGCTGCTCATTTTCGGTGCCCTCATGTCAAGTGACCCAGGTGATATAAACAAAACCATAAGTGATTTGGTGCTCAACAAAATTCGCGTGCGGATTATTGGTCTTGCAGCGCAAGTTGCGGTCTGCCAGCGACTAACTGCTGAGACAAACTTTGGCGATAAGAGCATGTACAACGTTGTTCTTAACGAAGCTCACTTCCGTGACCTATTCCTTGAATCTACCACGCCATTGTCAATCAACAAGCTTGCTGCCCGATCCCAGTCTGCATGTGTAGAAATGGGATTCGCCTCACGTGTTAATGAAGCTAAGCCTTCGCTATGTACTTGTCACGGTCGACTCACTAAGCGCAGCTACACATGTCCTCGCTGTCTTGCTAAAGTCTGCTCATTACCTATGGTGTGCCCATGCTGCCAACTCACTCTTATTCTGAGTACACATCTGGCTAGGTCGTACCACCATTTGTTTCCACTTGAGAATTTCGAGCGCAAGGAAACGAACCTTGAGCCGTCCGCTTCCTGCTTCGGCTGCATGACCCCTCTAGACCATGCATACGCTTGTCCCAAGTGTCACAACTCTTTTTGCATTGACTGCGATGTCTATTGCCATGAGTCACTACATAATTGCCCCGGCTGTGAGGCCATCACAACGTAGGCAAAGTAAAATAAACTTCTTTTTTTATATTAAGTCGGGATAGCAGCCGCCATGTCGATAAGACGCTTGACGCCGGTCATCCATTGTCCACACTGCTCACTTTTAGCAGCATGGAGCTCGACCTGAGCGCTGCGGGCAGCTTCAAAATCTTTGCCACGCAGTGCCGTAGTCATTTTAGTGAGAAGTCCAATGGCCTCGCTGTCGAGAACAGAGTCATTATTGAGCAGATCAAAAAGAATGTCAAGACGCCTGGAGGTATCTTTGAATTGCTTGGGGTACTGTGCTGAAATAACTGGCTGTACTCGAGCAAGCTCGCCATGAAGAGTTTCATAGATTGGTTTGGTGTGGGCGGGAATATGCTCACGATCGCCAGGTGGATATTTGGCTTGGGTTTCCGAAGCTGCAGGTATAGGAGGTCCAGATGCTGGATCTGAGAGAACTGCGGCAGCAGAGGCTGACGGAGTAGCCCGACTAGAAGCGCGTGCTGGCCCCGGCGGCGGCGCACCGGAAACAGGCGGCGGAGCAGCAATTGGCGCGGTTGCTTGGGCAAAGGCTGGGACCGAAGGCTGAACAATTGGCTGAGGCACTGGTGGGACGATTGCGACCGGGGGAGGAGCAAACGCAGCAGGACGCGTACCATACGTAGGTGTCGTAGCCGTAGGAGGAGGAATTCCAATTGACCCAGGGCCGGAAGGAGTAGCAATCGTATTTTGGGGTGCAGCCATAGGTGCAGCAGATGCAGCAGCGTAAGGGTTCATCTTAACAGACGGCCTCCGCATTGGCTCGGGTTTCGGAACTGTAACCGCCGATTCAGGTCCAGTGGGTGCTTCTTGCGGGACAGCAGGAGGAGGAGGTGGTGGTGCATAAGGGTTGCTCACGGTGCGCTGAATAGCGGGTGGTGCGGGCGACGAAGGAGATGGCGCGCCTCCAAGTATAGCCGGCAAAGCATTAGGTGTAGGTAGAGGTTCAGCTGAAAATGGCTTGCTCTCCATACTGGGTGTCGACGACTGTCCGCTAGCTCTTCTGGATGTTGTTCCTGCCTTAGGAGGAGGCTGGTTTCCATTCAATACCGGGCTGGAAACAGCATAGTTGGGTGTGATGATCTGAGGTGCAACAGGGGTTCGGCGAACAGTTTTCGCAATCTCGGGCAAATCGTTCCAGCCATGAGCAGGAGGTCGACTAGCAGCAGATGGAGGCAACGGTTTTTGGTTGTTATTACCCGCATTTGCAGCTGAAGAAGCCGCAATGGAGGCTGCAGCAGTCCCTGCGCGAGGAGGTGGAGCAAACGAGGTCGATGGAGCAGGAGAAGGAGCACTAGAAGTAACGCTAGAAGCAGCGTTAGCATAAGGGTTAGTGGCTACCGCAGCACCAGCGTACGGATTCGAAGAAGCAGAGGAAGCAGTGGCTGCCGCAGCGCCTGCGTACGGATTCGAAGGTTGAGAGTAAGGGTTGCTTGGAAACTGTCGAACTGGTGTGACAGTTGCAGTGGTACTGGAGACCGCCGGAGCCGCCGGGGCCGCCGGTGTACTCACCGGCAACGTAGCGTTAGCAGGGCGTTTGCCGTAAGGCCTGTAGGGCGATTTGGGCGCACCAGCAGTAGTACCAGCGCTGGGTCGCCCTAGCGGAGGTTGCTGCCCATATGGAGTCTTTTCAGCCTTGGAAGTACTGTTTGCTGGGTGATATTTAGCAGGTAACATGTTCAGGAAAGTATTTGCAAGTTGAACCTCACCCTGAGAGGAAACAATCTGGGCGTATTCACGGAAAGCTTCGAAAAGATGCTCATCCTGAGCCTCATCTCCGGAGCCAGAAGCCGACGCGTTTGTAGCACGCTGAGCAATAGTTATTTTCTCAATGACTTGTTGCAAAGACTTGACGTGGGCGGCATACGCAGTGTTGGACTCAGACACAAGCTGACGTTGGATCTCAGGAAGCTCTTTGAGCCAAACAGCAGCCACAGCAGCCACATTAGAACCGATCAGATAGACAAGCACAGCGTCATCACGCTTACCTGCTGCTAAAAGCCGGTCACCCAGAATCTTGGTAGTAGCTGTCACATCGCTCTTGGAGGCCAGAACAGCACGCAAGGTGTGTGGCCAAGCATCCAACTCGGTACTGCCAGCTAGTGGCACAACCTTTTCATTTGCAACAGCCCAAGTTGTTCTCAAGTAAGGCTTGGCATCAGCCTCAGCCGACAAATAAGCATTTTGAGCACGGGCCAACAATTCAGCATTATTAGGGGCATATGATGCGACCAGAAGAGCATCAGAGTATTCACCTGCATTGATAAGCTGGTCAATTGCCTTCTCGTACTGCTGCGACAGTACAAGTTTCGTGACTTTATCGTGGCTACCGTCCAAGAGTTTGAATTCATGCATAGGATTGTAGGGTGCGGGAGAAATACTGAACTCGTCTGTAATATCCTCAACTTCAGACTCAGGTTCAACGTATTGAGATAGGACCTTCGCGCTATCGTTGGACTCGATAAACTTGGATAGAACAGCCCAATCGGCACCCGCACGAGCCTGCGCGATCGATTTGAGATCGCCAGAGGTCAAGGCATTGGAGAAGCTTTGGGTATCAATACTCAAAGAGTCATCAGTGATGCGCTCAATACGAACCTTGTTATTTTGGACGACAGCGATGGTGCCACCAAACCCGAACGAGGCGCTAACAGGTCGCTGCAACCACGCAGGAGCATGCTGGAGAGTAAAGCGAGGGTGGACTGTATCCATCACAATATCAGAGCTCCAGAAATCGTCACCAGTGGCTTGAGTGGCACTGGGTTCACTTGCACTAGATGATTGAGTATCCTGGAGGGTTTGAACAACGATCTGGTTGTCGAGGGTGGAGGTCGCAAACAGGTCGGGCAAGCTTGGATGGAAGCGACTTTTGAATGCCCAGTTTACAGAAACAGGATACTCACCAAGCATCTCACCGTTAATAGGATCCCAAAGCAAAGTGCGGTTGTCACGTCCCGAGGAAAGTAAAAGCTGTTCGTCTTGGTCGCACCAGTCCAAACTAAGGACACCGGAAGTGTGCCCACGCATAACCTTCTCAGGCACGCTGGCATTTCGTAGATCCCAGGACAAGATTACAGGCTCTTGGTCGTCGATCAATGCGGTCACAAGTTTGGTGGAGTTTGTGGGATGCCAAGCAACGCTGGAGACAGGCAGACGCTGACCAGAAGAAGAGGTGTAATGCAGGTGAAGTACCTCACGTCTCTTGTTCAGGTCCCAGATAGAAGTAAACCCAGTGCGACCAGTCGAAGCCAGAATATGTCCTACCCGTTTATTCCAAGCCAAGTCGGTAACGTCCTCGGTGCGACTAGTTTGGGTACTGGGAGTAGTGGGCTCATTAAGTCTATCGAGGTTCCAAATCAAAATTTGCCCATTTGCACCACCAGACGCTAACTGTTTGGCATTATGTCTGCCAAATCTCACAACATGGGCAGCACCATTGGGATGCATTCCAGAAAACACCTGTTTGAGTTGCGGACTAGGTTGACCCATAGACTCAACTCCCCAAATGCCAACGCGGCCATTTTCAAGGGCACCGGCAACATGGTAGCTGTCGTTGCTAAAATCCAAGTCGTAGAAGCAAGCGTCCGTCTCTAACGTAGCCGCCGGCTGGGACTGGATGAAGCCAGTAGCCGAACGGTCAGTCAAATCCAAGCGCCAAAGCTCTAGACGCGTTGCAGACGAAAAGTCCGGGTCGATAGCACCGGCCGCACTTCCGCTAACGAGCAGTGGTGCGTCCGAACGAGGAGACCACGCAAAAGTCGCGGTTCTCTGAATCTCCTTGAGCTTCATCTGCCACGTAGGTGTAGTCAGCAGTGGGCAACCCGCGTCTCAGATATATAGGAGATCCTGGTTTGTATTTACAGTTATTTGACAAAAAATATCGCTAGAGGTCGAAACGAGTATGAGATAGCGTGTATCTACATATTAAAATCCGACCATTTCTTTCCGTAGTAGCCTAAACTAACCAAAGCAAGAACTGAGATTCCAAGCGGTACTGGTTTACGAAGCTTAATGGCTCTTGGGAGTCCGGCACCCAGGAGAAGAGCGCTGGCAAGCAACGCAGTCTCCAGACCGCCGTTGGCATTTTCACGGAGAAGGTATCCGGAAATACCGTACAGGGAACCGACGGCAACGCCACCAATCAAACTAGGCAGCGAGCCTTTGCGCATATAGCCCATAATGCCGCCAATCGAGCAAAGGGCACTCAAAGTAAACGCTGGGTGCTCCATGGTAGAATGGGAAGTTGTGCTTAGGTACAAGTTGCGGAAAAGTAGCCGGTGCAAGGTCGGCCAGCCGGCATCGAGCACAAAATCGAAAAATATATACATCATTTGGTTAAATTGACTTCATTCCCGGATGTTTGGGGAGCCTGAACGGTAGATGTGCGTTCGTCATTGTTATAGCGAGCCCAACATTCTCGGAAGGCTTTCATCAGCGGCAGGCATTTGCGCCAATCGCCAGTATCAGCATGGCACAATTGTAACGCTTCATTTTCAGCTGCACAACCTGTGTTGATTATTCGCACGTCCCACTCATCGGGATCCTCGTCCATGTTGATCGCCATTCTGCTAATTTCTCAACGCTGGATTGGAGATTAGGCAACCTGCATGAACGTACTCATTTATTCTGACGAGGGCACATCAGTGGAAAGTACCAAACAGATAAAAGAATGTCTTCGTTTTTTACTTTCTCCACATTACGCAGTGTCTGAAGTATCTGCAAAACAAATTATCAATGAGCCGTGGGAGCCTTTCACGGCCTTACTGGTGATTCCTGGCGGTGCTGATTTGCCCTACTGCAAAGCGTTGAACGGTGCTGGAAACGCCAAGATTAAGGCGTTTGTCCGTTCTGGAGGACGATTTCTGGGATTATGTGCCGGTGCTTATTTTGCGTCTTCGTTTTGCGAGTTTGAACCGGGAACCGAGCTTGAGGTCACCGGACCCCGCGAATTGGCTTTCTTCAAAGGTGCAGCACGAGGCACCGTGTACAAAGGTTTTCAGTATGGAACAAATTCTGGGACACATATCCCAATTCTCGAAACCCCATTAGGGTCGTTCAAATGCTACTTTAACGGCGGCTGTCTGTTTACTGAAGTTGATAAGAATACCGAGATTCTAGCTACTTACGAGACGCCCGTCGAGTGCAAAGCTGATTCTGAACACCCACCAGCCGTCATCCACACCAAATTTGGCAGAGGTCACTGTGTTTTATCTGGTGTTCACACTGAATATTCTGTCGAGACACTTCATGCAGATGATTTGAAGCTTGAAATTATCGAGGAATTGAAGAAGGAAAACGAGATACGACTGAGATTCATGACCCTAATGCTGCAAAAGTTGGAGTTGAATATAACACTAGACTCCATTGCTGCCGTACCGCGTATAACACCTCTTTTACTGACATCTGCGGACGAGAATAAAACTCCTTCTTCCGAAACTCTCCTCACGGCATTGAAAGATATCGTACAGGACTCAGGTATTTTATCCGATGCAAATGATACCTTCAAATTCTATAATCGTGATGGTTTCATTGGCGATGATGGTTCGGAAGTAAAATCGGTTGTTGTGTTTCCTCCAGGCACTTTCCCTTCTCATCGTGAAACGCCATATTTCGATCATGCTTTGTACTATCAAGCCTTAGCTGAAGAGGAAAGCAAAAGACATTGTCCTGGAGCACTCGGTAGGACCATGCTCTACGCTGAAGTTGTAACCTCGACGTCAACTATGATTGACCGTAACCCTAAGCTTTTGGCGAGGCTCCCCCATGGTACTATTGTCCTAGGAACAGTTCAGACTGCTGGTCGCGGGCGTGGCAATAATACTTGGGTAAATCCTCCTGGTTGTATCGCAGTGTCCGGCGTTATGCGAGTTCCGTCCAATGAGGTCCGCCAGCCCATGGTGTTCTTTCAGTATATGGTTTCCTTAGCGGTTGTCGAAGCTATTAATTCTTTTGGCAAGGATTATGAAGCTTTGGATGTTCGTCTAAAATGGCCAAACGATATTTATATTGCTAAAGACGGAAGTTACACCAAAATTGGTGGAGTGCTTGCTTCCTGCAGTGTCATGAATGGCGATTTTATTCTTGCGTTCGGATCTGGCACTAATGTTGACAATCCTAGCCCCACTACTTCGGTGAACTCCTCGATCGATGCGTACAATGCCCGTACCGGTAAAAATGTTCCCCACATGCCTCATGAAGACTTCTTAGCCCGAATGCTTTCGCGCCTCAATGAGATGTTTGTCATTTTCCTTGCGCAAGGCTTTGCACCAATTGAAAATCGTTATTACAACGCGTGGCTTCATTCCAACAAAGTCGTAACACTCGAAAACTATAACAACGTCAAAGTCAAAATTTTGGGCCTCACTCACAAGTACGGCATGCTGAACGCCCAAGAACTAGATTCTAATGGCTATCCAACTGGCCAATTCTATGAGCTCCAGCCGGATGGTAACTCATTTGACATGCTTAGAGGCCTTATACGTAACAAGACGTGATTCTTGTGAACACTTCTAATTTTGGTCTAGTAGTTACCCTGCTTGAGAAGTGAACGCTGATAATGTATTAAGACTTATCGAAATAGCACATACCGCTATAAAACAATTACATCGTACGCCAACCGGCGGCGCAGCATCCAGACGATCTCGCTAGGTGTGGCGGCATCATCAACATCCCGAGCCCACTCAGCGCTACGGCCACTGTCCAGCAGCTCAAGGCCACGCTCACGTTCTGATGGTCTAAGTGCATCCCATCGATCCAAGCTGGAGATTAAGAGAGCAACTGTAGCGGGATCTGCGTTGTCTCGTAGGTCGAGCTGCGATATCAACGCGACCAGAAGAGGATAGTATACAGCCGGCATAGCAGGGAACGACAACAAAGCGCGGACCAACGTTTTAGCATCTTGTCTTGATTCATTGATAGCTGCAAAAAGGCCATTGAGTACCGCACATGGAGCCAAACACGCCAAGACAGAGGACGACATATCAGGCGCCGTGTCACTCTGAAGAATCTCTAGCGAGGAAGCATCTGTTGTTGCCATATAACCTTTGATAATTGAAGTTTCAAACAGGCTCCAGCATGCTTGTCTAGCAGCCGTAAGATCCCCGCTAGATACGAATGCTTCAACGGCGGTAACAATGTCACCTTCAGTAGCTGCTCTTTCCGCATTGACGCCCAGTAGTTCCGATACGGTACTTTCCAGTCTAAGCTCTGTAGCCAACTCAATCGCTGTATCCATTAAGGTGGGATCACGGGCAACAAGCTGTGGTAAGACCTGGCTGGCGAGATCACGAGCGGCTCTGCTCACAGACATGTTATCAAGCATTTCAAACCCAGCCAACACAAGATCCGGATTAGACAAACAAATTAAAACATGCTGCAGCGCCACATACTCGCGAATAGAACTTTTTGTGGGGTAGCTATAATCTCCCAAGAGCCCCTGTTGGTGGCAGAAATCGGCACAAACCATCGCGGCAGCGGTGTCAAGCTGTTTGAGACTAGCCAACGCAAAAAGAAGACGCTTTTCCATTAATGCTGCACAAGCTTCTTCCCAGTCCAACGTACGATCGACGGGGTGTCTTGCAATAGCCAACTTGTAGTATTCTGGCAACTCTTCAAGAGACGGGTCAACGTACATATATAGCCCACCGACAGCAGTATGCCAAGATGGTGCAGCACGAACAATTGTATCTTTATTACCCTGCAGGATTTTCGCAAGAGTGCTTAGATGAGAGGACCATTCCACATCTTCCAACTGCTCGCATTTGACCCGCAAATTAATAGCCATCTTTTTAGAATCCCGAGACCCCATTTGGAAAGAATTGCATAAATAGAGCGTATCCGAGATGCATTCTTGGACTGATTTTTCCAAGGAATCCCAAACAGAAGAAACTGACTCGCTAAGGGCTGTGTGAACAGTAGATAAACGACCTGCCGTAGCGGTTTCACTAAGATAGCGCCATAAAATCGGATTTGCGCGAGGATCCTCAACTTTCAAGAGCTCTGCGGCTCCCTCAATATCCCAACCAGGATCAGCAGCTTGTACCCACTCCATGAGACTACCGCCAAAATAAACTGCCTTCAGGCAACGCAGCACAGCTAAGGAGTCAACCAACGCAACGGGATCTCGTAGAGTCGGCAAAGCATTTGTGAGCATATTGATGTACAGATCAAGGTATTTGGCAGTGATTTCCTCGACCTCAAACGGGTGAGCGAGACGAGTATCTGAATACTCAGCCATGAGACGGTGAGTTTCCAAAATAAGAGTGACCTCCTCAGGCGTGAGACTAGGCTCTAGTAGGGTGTACGTGGTTTTTTCATTTAGTACACTCTCATTCGACGAACCGGCTCCAGTGAAAACGTCAGTGTCCATTCGCTGGCTAAACACACCGGTCGTGGTCATGACAAAGCGGCAAAACATCTGGCTGTGGAGATGCTTTATAGCGTGCCAAGCATGTAAAAACTAAAGCATTGGTCGCGGTTCACTATATAATTTGATGCCGGATTTAAATAATTCCAATTTTAATGGTCTTTATTTACATAACTACACTATGTGGCCCACCGGCTAATTAAACAGTGCTGACAAAATACTATTTTTGGTAGTGTTTACATCTCTTCCAAAGTCATGAAATCCGGAATACTTTTGGCCACTTTGCTTGCTAGCACAGTGGCGTTGCCGGCGAGAGAAGTAGCCAGCGTTGCACTTTGGGATAATGTCGAGCCTGAGATCAAGGCCGAAGCAACTCCTGTGAAAAAGGACGACCATAACCAGAGCCAAAACGGAAACAGCACTGAACAAAGTCAGAACAAGGACAGCTCTGCTGCAGCAACGACTTCTGGTGATTCTCAGTCAACTTCAGATTCGGATTCAAACTCGAGTTCCGATGACAACTCTGACTCTGATAGCCAAACCGCGGACAAGTCTGACGGCTCTAAGGAAACTTCTAAGTCTCCTAGTCCTACTGGAACACATATCTATGCGAACAATACCGCAGCTATCTCGATCAATCCGAACTTACCCGCAGGCAGCGTTGTCCTGAATGTTCCAACTTCAACTGCCAATACCTACGTCAAAGCTGGTGAGTATGCGACATTCGAGTGGACGTTTACGAACCTTATTGTGTCGCCTACGGCAGTGAATGTCGAAGCATACTGCTCCGCAAATATGCAAACTTACACTATCGCCACCAACCAGAGCATTGATAACACTATGGCTGTTTGGAATACCAGCGACGTCTTGGCCACTGCGGAGGTTGGTCTAATGACAGCTCAATACACACTGTACATCTACGATTCGAATGCAACAGCAACCTCAATCAGCTCAGCCGGATTCTTGACACCGCTCACCTATATTTTTGGGGTCTATCTGCCGCAAAAGTACCAGCCATGGGCTCAGAGCATCAACTACATGAACCTCGGAGCTGTTATGACTCCACCGGGTATTATGACCACCGTATTTGGTGTCCTGTCCCTCTTGGTCATTGGTCTCATGGCCTAGTTCAAGTATTTATATATATCCAACTGCCTATTGATAAACAGCAACCAGAATATCTCCTTCTCGCTTCAGTAGAACGTGATGACTGCGGAGGTTTACTGCGCCCTTCTCCTGTTGGCCCAGAGCAATCTTGAACAATCCGCCATCAGCTTCTTTCGCAACTCCTTCGTCTCTCACAACCTTGCCTTCTTTTACCACTAAAAGCCCCGTATACCGACCATCTTCCATGGTTTCGAGGGGAGGCAACAGATTATCTAAGTGCAGCCCGCGGTGTCCAGCCTCGTTATCTTGACGTCACCAACATGCTGTTGGCAATTCTGGCGTTCACCCTGATAGGAGTGCTCGCGGTTGCATTGCTTTCGGTGTTTACTCGAATCAAGCAGCTCCCACTTTATTTACTGCTGCCACTGGTTCTGTCAATATATATTCCTCTATCAATTGTTGTTCTCGTGCCTATTGATTTGGCCAACAATGACGGCTCAGGACTCGGCGATGGGGGCAAACTTATTATGTGGAGAATTATTTACTGGCTCTCGTTTGTCCTTACATGGGCGGTACTTCCTGTGCTCCAATTCTACGTGCAAAGTGGTCATTACGATCCCATCCAACGCTTGAAGGATGCCCTTCGAGCTAATTTGAAATACCAAATTATTTTGATTGCCACTGGCGTGGTTGGTTTGTTGTATATGGGCCTTTCAATTGGTTTGAACTTTACGAATTTGAAGGCCCTGGCCGTCGCGCTGTCGTATTCCTATGCCCTAGTGTTGGCCATCTGGATGCTCGGTCACGGGCTAGTCAATATTCCCCGCAATGCTTGGAATGACAACCCCAGTCACCGCCTCAGGTATCTGTACATGCATGCTACGGCTACGTGTGATGCCTATGCCGAAGCTCAGTCCGATTACGATGATGCCGTAGCCAAAATCATGGCCCTCATCCCTATCAAGACTGCCAAGTATGAGGAATGGATCGATGAGCTGGTCGAAGACATCAGGCGTCAAAGCTTACCTTTAAGTCGATCCACTGCTCGAACACCAGCTGTTGCCTACGTCACTGAAGAGTATCTGGCCGGGTTGGCTCGTCGCTTTTATAAAACGCTGCACCGGGCTATTCGTGCGAGAGCCGACTGGTCGAAACTCGTTCATGATTCGGCGTTCTATGAAGACCTGCAGACCTCCGAGCAGACGGGGAACCTCGAGTTTAGACTTTATTCAACAAGGCTCCCTGCTCAACTCGCAAATTTGTATTATATCTCTCTTCGAACTCCCACAACCAAGGTATTGGCTGTATTTTTGGCTCTGCTATCATTGAGTCTAGCCTGGAGCGAGGGTGTTGCTGGCTCAAAACTTTCGCTTGTGGATTTAATGGTGCAGGGCGCAAATTCTTTTGGCAGCGTTCTCATCGCGGCCATTATCCTGGGGTACATGTGTTGGGCCGCATTTTCTGCGCTTTACTGTCTAAGGGTTTTCAACATTTACGGCCTTGTGCATCATGATTCCGACCCATCTTCTCTTTTGTTTTATGCAATGTACGCTTGTCGGTTGGCTGTGCCCCTAAGCTACAACTTTTTGATTATGAACACTGCCCGTCCCACCGTATTCGAACACTTTCTGGGACAGTATATTAATCTGACCCCACTGGGAAAGTATTTCAGTTTGCTTCTTCCTCGCTTCATTTATTTACCAATGGTTCTCACGCTGTTCCATTTCTACGATAAAATAAAAGGCTATCTGGGGTTCGGTATCGATGCGTTTGACGTCGATTCTTTAACGACTTCCACCGAGGCTGAGGGAAAAGACCTGATTAACCGAGCCTTGAATGACTCTAGATTCAAATGGGGAATGAACACTGCACAGTTGTCATAAGATCACTGGCCCACTACAACCCCCAAACACAACTATATATAATTTAGCATGCAACACGACACTTGTGATCAAATGGATGGCCCCTTGGCCGATCTATCTGTAGATAGTGTTTTGAGACAATACGCAGACGACATTGCGCAAAGTGTTTTTCAAGCATGTCTCAACAATGAGGATCCGGTGAAAAGTATGCCTCGGGTTCGTCGCATCAGCATCGACAGTGAATCATTGAGACAAGATTTGAAAAATCTCCAGTCAAGTCTAAAACGACAGCGCACAGAAATCGAGACATTGACGCAAAACGCGCGCGGACTGAGGGCTACGTCTAGCGCCTATCATCTCAGCAGTGAGCCCAGCTGGTACGGGAGCGACTACAAACCGGCGCTACGGCACAAAGCCAGTACTGCGTCGCTAAAGACAACAGCTAGTCAAGCTAAACGTCGACGAGAACTGTTCGGGTTTCGCCGAAAAGTCAGGAATTGGTGGTACAAGCCCACATCAACCACTTGAAATAGTGAACTATCAAATACTAAAAGAGAAAATTACAGGTCGGAGCTGCGGCTCGGGCTCGATCCAGCGTCATTGCATTCATTGCCAACAGCGCGCTTAAATAAGAAGGCGCTCGATCTTGTCCTTGAGCTGGTAGATCTGCTCCTTGAGCTGAGAGGCATCGTTGGAGGTGACTGAGGCAGAAACGACGGGACGAGAGACACCACAAGCACGACCAAGAGCAACCTTCGAGGGAACAAAGACATAAGGGACGTTCTTGTCCTCACAGAGCAAGGGGAGATGCAAAACAATCTCAATAGGTTCGGCATCAGCGGCCATGACAATGAACTCAGAGATACCACGGTTCAAGGTTTTGGTAGCCTCATTAGCACCCTTCTTGAGCTGTCGAAGGTGAGATGCTTGCTGAACAAGATCTAAGATCTGCTGGGTAGTGGCGGCATCGGCCAAAGGAAAAGCACGGGCATCAGGAGCACTCATATTTATTTTTTTTGGTTAATGTCCGAAGATGAAAAAAAAAAATCTCGGGGGGTCTTACTAAGATGGATCATAAGGGGTGTAATAGCGTAGATAAGGGGTGTATAATTTAGAGGAAACCTAGCAAAGATATAGATAAGTGCGATAAACAGGTCTATTTCAGATAGTTTGATACCTCAATTAAGTTCATATCTGGATCACGAAAGTAGACGGATAGTATTGGGCCAAGTGCTCCTGTCGTTTTGATAGGACCCTCCACAATGCTCACATTGCAATAGGCTAAATGAGCAATTGTCTTATCTATGGGCGTCTCAGTGATAAGGCAAAGGTCGACTGAGCCTGGAATGGGGAACTCGGCCTTCGGCTCGAACTCTTTGCCAGCTTCATGTAGATTGATTTTTTGTTGGCCAAAAGTAAGAGCCTTCCGGCCTTGGGCACCAAACGTCACAGCTTGAAAGCCTAAAACTTTGGAGTAGAACTCGCAAGTCCTTGCTATACTCTTCACTGTGAAAACAACATGGTCAATTCTAGTAATTTGTATCATTGTGCTCTTATGAATCGATTTTCGTCTCGCGATAAATGATGCAAATCAACCGTTCGACGATTTAACCCCGGGCGAACCGCAGAGCGCGGGAACGGCCGGGTAACCCGAGGAGTACTAGATGGCTGCCTAAGCTGGGCTTGTATTTCCCACCCGTGTCACTGAATTGGAAAAGATGTCGGACTTGTGCCCTGTTTACGCGCCTTTCTTCGGCGTCCTCGGCTGCACCGCCGCTATTGTATTCACATGCTTTGGAGCTTCATATGGTACTGCCAAGTCTGGTGTCGGCATTTGTGCCACCACAGTCCTGCGCCCCGACCTGCTAATCAAGAACACTGTTCCCGTCATTATGGCTGGTATCATTGCCATCTACGGCCTAGTCGTCTCCGTTCTTGTGTCTGGCTCCCTCAAACAGAAACAGGCTCTCTACACTGGCTTCATCCAGCTGGGTGCCGGCCTCTCAGTTGGCCTGGCTGGCTTGGCCGCGGGCTTTGCCATTGGCATTGTTGGTGATGCCGGCGTGCGTGGAACTGCTCAGCAACCTCGTCTGTTTGTTGGAATGATTCTTATTCTCATTTTTGCCGAGGTCTTGGGTCTTTATGGCCTTATCGTCGCCCTTTTGCTCAACACCCGTGCCACTCTTGGCGTCGAGTGCTAAAAGTGTAGACCTCGCTGGTGCACTATATATAAAGAACCTCTGAAATTCTGTATTTTCCCTCAGCTAAAATATTGAGCCGTACCGCCCTGCCCAATGTTCCGTGCCTCCCTCAACCGGTGCTCGCCTTAAGATAGCCAACTAAGCCTTGACTAACTCCAAGGTCCCATGCTCCGTTCTGGGCCTCAACGGCAGTTTCGTGGGTTCACGCAGTACTTTACGCTGCGGACAGATGCGGCCAAGGCCAAGATATCGTTGCAAAAGGCGCCTGGGTTCGTGGGACATGCCAGCGACCGTATGATGAGGCCTTATAACGAAGATCGCATCTTTACTGGCGTTCTTGATCTGCCCGACTTGCATGGCGAACACATCCCGGTGTTTAATTTTAGTGTTTTCGACGGCCATGGGGGGCCCGATTGTGCTGAGTTCCTGGCTCACAACTTGGCCAAGTACGTCGAGACAGCAGATATGGACTCCGGCCCTGACTTGTTCAGGTCCTATGCAAAAGAAATTGGCGGCTATTGGCGAGCATGGAAGACCTCCTTGGCCCGGTATAGTCGAGATCTGGAACGCTCTCATTACGATGACATGCTGCTGAGAATTCCACTAGCATTTTTGCGAGCAGACCTCGACTATATAGGGACCGAAAAGAACATGGGGTCTACGTGCACATCCGCGTTTATTTATTCACTAGAAAGTGGCAAGAATTTTTGGGATAGAAACGTCCACGGCCTGTTAACAGTCGCCCAAGTCGGGGATACCCGAGCAATTCTGGGCGACACGATGGGCAATGCCCTGGCGTTGTCAACTGTACACCATCCTTCAAACCCACACGAATCTGACCGGCTTCGTAAATTTTCCACGGGTATATTCCGTACCCCCAGCGGAGAAGATCGTTATTTACAATACGCAAACACCCGTGCGTTCGGGGACTTTCAGGGAAAAGCTCATGGTATCACAGCAGAGCCCGACATAGCAACATTTGAACTCAATGGTCAGAACAAACCGCTTCCCGGAGAAGATGCTTTTCTCATTCTCGTTTCCGACGGTGTAACAGACAAGGCCAGCGACCAAGAGCTGGTGGATCTTGTTATCCAATCCGCCCATTCGGGTGGATCTCTTCGAGGCACTCCGCAATCCGCCGCAAACGAGATTGTAAGCTACGTTGAAATGCTTGGCACCCAAGATAATGCAACAGCTCTCGTCGTTCGGTTAGGGGGATGGGGTAACTGGCACAGCTGGACCGACAGATCGGGTAGCCATCGCGAAGAGCGCCTGAGAGAAGACAACTATCGGCGACGCGGATAGGTTTGCAACTTTGGCATTATAATATATATATATATACATGAAAGCACTGTACTTTTAGGCTTCAGACTCTTCTTGGTTCGCCTGCCGCTAAATCAAGCTTGGCTTTCTTATTTCTTGTTGTAGACATGGCGAACACGAGTGGGAGCGAAATCGCCTAGCTTGGAGCCAACCATGTTTTCAACAACCGTGAACTCGTTGTAGCTCTTGCCGTTATGAACTTGGAACTTGATCCCGATAAAAGAAGGAAGGATGGTACAGGATCGAGCGTTTGTCCGAATAGGTTGGTTGCTCTCGCGGGCCTCACGAAGAGGGAGAGGAACAATAAAAGGAACCTTCCAAGCAGACCGCTTCAGGACCGGTAACGTTTGGCGCATGTTCTGACGAGAGTGTGAAAAGATTGAACTTAGTAATGTCTATATATTTTTCCAAAAGGTCCGCTTGAACTGCTACTCTTCTCAAACTACAAGATTAATTCCAGTATATTTCCATTAAAAAATAATAATAATTCCGCTAGTAAGTATATTGCAAAGCCTGTCTTTGATATAAAGTTTTCAGCTTACATCAGGCCGAACTTTTCTCAAGTTTTCAGCAATGGATCTAGATGACCCTGCGCATTCGGGTATTCTTAAACGGTTCAATCAAACGAGACATCGCTTAGAAAAGTCTAATAAAAGAGCACGCACGCATGAAAATGAAGACAGTCAGCTACCAGATGTGAATTCTGAGCGTGAGTCTGCCTCTGTAGTTCGGGCAGAAGGTATCCAGCCGTTGCCACAGCCTGAACAGACGCGTGATAAAAAGCATAGATCTCGCCTACAGTGGATTGTTGAACCGGAAATGGTCAGTCCTTCTCAAACAGCGCCTTTTGAGTCCCTCGGCCTTTCAGATCACATGGTGACAAAACTACATGATCTCGGTTATGAAAATGCATTTGCGGTACAAACCGCAGTAATTCCAGCAGTTTTGAAGGCTCAGAGTTGTCTTGGTCCCGACCCTTTGGCTAATGTGCTTGTTAATTCATATACGGGGAGTGGTAAGACTCTGGCCTACACCGTTCCAATCGTCGACTGTTTGCTGAATCGTCGAAAACCGGCCCCCAGAGCAGTTGTTTTAGTACCTACTAGGCCGTTACTTGTTCAGGTTATGCAAGTATTCGAGAGTCTGGTTAAAGGAACCAATCTTCACCCTATGGCGCTACGATCTGAGCGGCCACTGCAAAAAGAGCGGGAGCAGCTGCTCAAAAATACTCCTGACATTCTAGTTGCTACACCTGGGCGGCTTGTTGACCATCTTACTGAGTCCCCAGATCTCTTGAAACAACTCCGGTTTTTAGTTGTCGATGAAGCAGACCGATTACTCGGCCAAAGCTTTCAGGAATGGGCTAGTGTTCTTGCAAAAGCTTGTCCAGTACAAATACGACCTGTCGCGATCAACGAGCCGTGGGCTCGGCCTCCGCAGCGCCTTGTGTTTAGTGCCACACTTACCCGTGATCCCGGGAAACTTGAAGCTCTCCAAATTCGGACGGTACCCACAGCACCTCATCTTTTTATTGTTAACGATGATATTGGTGATGCCGAGTTTGTTATGCCAGCGAAATTGACTGAAAACTTGGTCCGCGTAAAGACTTTGATTGCCAAGCCTTTAGCACTGGTTACATTGTTAATTGAAAACTCCCTCAGCGACCACGCTATTGTCTTTGTGCGCAGTAACGAAGCTGCAGCCCGTCTTGCTCGTCTAATTACACTAATCTCACAAAATCTGTTTCACAAGGACCTCGTGGTCGGACCAGTCTCCGGTGAAATGCCAGTGGCTGAACGAAAGCGAGTGCTTCGCCAGTTCGCAAGTGGTGAAGTGAATGTCATTGTATGCACGGACCTCATTGCTCGTGGTATTGATGTTCCTGGTGTTACCGCTGTCATTAATTACGACTTGCCGGTTGGCACGCGTGAATATGTGCACCGGGTGGGTCGCACAGCCCGAGCTGGTACATCGGGCTCAGCTTGGACATTTGCAATTTCTAGTGCAGAGCGTCAGCATTACTGGGTTATGCAAAATGGTATCACCAGAACTAACAAAATCGAAGTTAGTCACTTCGATGTTGATACTGAGTCGCAGACTTATAAGGATGTTCTGGAGCAACTAGGAAAGGAAGTTCTGTCATAAACCTATAATTATAACTTAGACTTATCTACTCCATGGATTTCGTCTGCTTTATGGTCCTTCAACAGCCGACGTAGAATCTTACCCGATGGGCTTTTGGGGATGGCATCCATCAGTACAGCACCGCCCCACAACCGCTTATGTTTGGCTACCTTCGAGTTGAACCAGGCTACCACCTCGTGAGCCAGTACCCCAGGCTGCAGAACCAAGAAGGCCCTGGGGAGTTCTGTAGACTCGGTAGAATCATTAACGCCAACAACGGCCACATCTTGAACATGGGGATGTGTGAGAAGCAGGGCTTCTAATTCAGCGGGAGCAACCTGGTGGCCCTTTGATTTGATCAACTCCTTGATTCGATCAACAATGTAGAACTGTTGGGTCTCTGGGTCGACAATAGCTACGTCGCCAGTTTTGAGCCAGTTGCCATGGCTGAGCGTATGTTCTGTTGCCTGCTCATTCTTGTAATACCCTTTCATGATATTTGGTCCGTGCAGCCAGAGCTCGCCAGGTTTTCCTGGCTCAGCATCCATCTCTGTGATAGGATCAACGAGGCGGGCCTTAACGTTTGGCAGAAGCCATCCGATCGAGCTTTCATACTTATCCTCAAACCCACCAAGTACCGCATGGGTGAAAGGTGAAGACTCGGTCAGGCCGTAAGCCTGGTGGATAGTCAGGTTTGGAATGCGAGCGCGACACAGCTCACCAGTGCTTTTTGCCAAAGGTGCAGCTCCACTCATGATCGCTTTGAGATGCTTGTGAATGGGATACTTGTCTACCACTGGAGACTTTCCGAGCAGAACAGCGACCGGAGGGACCAAAGGACAGAATTCGATATCAAAAGCACAAATTGCCCGCAGCACAGTCTCCAATTCGAATTTTGGGAACACGACGATATGAGCAGCTGCGTAAGATGCACACCACAAGAATAGAGTGAGGCCATAGATATGGCTCATAGGCAAGAATGCGGTCATCCTGCTTCCAGGCTTGAGCATCAAATGGTTGACTGCGTTCATTTGCCGGAATTGCGCGTTGATATTTCCTTGGGTTGTAATAACTGCTTTGGGCAGGCCCGTAGTTCCAGACGAAAAACAATAGTACGCATGCTGCTCAGGTCCATCAACCGGAATAGGGCTGACGCTTGGAGCGTTTCGATTTTGCAAGAGGTCGCGAATCTCAGATGCCGCTTGGTCTAGGGTGATGACCTGGGTCGAAAAGTTGGCGAGCTGGATAGCCTCCTGAGTGGTCTTGGCATTCTCAGGTGCACAAATAATCAGTCGCGGCTGAACAACCCGGAGCTGGTGGGCCAACTCCTCGGGGGTGTACATAACGTTGGCCGGAGATATTTGTGCGCCAAGGCTGAGAATACTCAAGTGCAGAATGGAGTGGAAAATACTGTTGAATGTAAAGATGCACACAACACTGTTTTCCTCAATCCCATATTTTGAGCGCAAAAGAGCTGCGTGCTTGCCCATACCGTCGATAATCTGCCGAGGGGTAAACGACTCTTTGGTCAAGGCATCACTGACAATTGGATGGTCAATTCGAGACTGGAGGTTTGGAGACTTCAGCCAGTCCTCCACAACATTGCCTTTCGGCAGTTCCAGGTCCGGTAGCGGGGATTCGTACATAGGTTGTTGAGTAAGCTCAGGCGTTTCCGCCTATCTTTTTGTGGGGTTTATGCATGCATACACGCCGGTTTGGGCCCTAACCTCCAGGAGGACCGACCGGTTTCGCTTGGCAACCGCAGACAAGGCAGCATTTTTTAAATATTGATCTACAAGAAGATACTGTCAATATCGCATGCTAGTTCAGCACTTTTCGTTTATCAGATCTGGTTAGTGCTCAGTCCCGAAAGATGGTATAACTTTAGACTCATGGTTTATCGTCCAAGTTGATAAGGGTGTCATCACCACAACTTACGAATTAGGAACTGCGGTTCGCTCTCTTCATCGCTTTGAGATCGTACACCAAGGCTTCTTGGCTCTGATGAAAAAGAATGTGAAAAAAAGTAAAATTCCCAGTGCTTACACACTGTTACATGGGGAAGGGGTAAAAAAAAAACTATTACGAAAGCGCAAGCTTGAGAGGAAATTCAAAAAAGAAGAATTGAACGATGCCGGCAGCCGATACCAAGGTGCCACCAGCTCCAGCAACACGCTCGAGGCGTGCACCGGTCGCTAGCTCGAAAAACCGGCCGGCTTTTGTGAGCAAACTGTGGAAAATGGTCAATGACCCCAAGAATGGCGAGTACATCCGGTGGATGCCCGACGGCAAATCTATTCAGGTGGTGAACCGTGAGGCGTTTGAGAAAAATGTGCTTCCGAAACATTTCAAGCACTCTAACTTTTCGTCATTTGTGCGCCAGCTGAATATGTATGGCTGGCACAAAGTTCAGGACGTTAACAGTGGGTCGATGCACAGCAATGATGAACACTGGCAGTTCCAGTCGCCTAATTTCATTAAGGACCGTGAAGATCTACTTGATAATATTGTCAGAAACAAGGGCAAGCACAGCGAAGAAGATGAGGAGCAGCAACTGGAGCTGTCAAAAGTGCTGTCTGAACTTGAACAAATCAAGTCTAGGCAGATCGCAATTGGCGAGGACCTGTCCCGGATTCAGAGCGATAACGAGCTTCTCTGGAACGAGTACTATTCCACCCGTGAGCTGTACGAAAAGCATTCGCAGATGCTCGAACGAATTGTTCGCTTTTTGGCAAACATGTACGGCGCGGATGGCAAGCTTTTGGACATGTTTGGGGGTGGTCAAATACCAATCAGCCACCGGCTCCTAATGGGTTCAGACCCTGTCAATCAGTTTAATCTATCGACTTCTGATCGTGCCTCGCCACAGGTCCAACAGTTACAAGAGCTGCAAGATATGCAAAGCCGGATCCACCAGAGTGGAGTTTCGACTGCAAAAACAAGCCCATCGCCTTCTTCAGATACCCCTCCCAGTGACTTTTCGAAGGCTCTTATTCCTTCCACCCGCACTAGGCCCCTGGGCGGCTTCACTGCTCCCCCTGTGCCTCCATTGAACAATGGCCTGCCGCCAAATTTGGAGACTTCTACAAACGGACTTGCTATACCATTGTCCCCGAGTGAAATAAGACGCCCATCTTCAAGCAAGCTAGAAGAACTTGAAGCCGACTTGGCCAATCAAGGAAACTCTTTGAAGGAAGTACAGGAGTTGATACAACGAATTAGTCCGTCCTTTGGTCTCAACGATGAGCTCGACCCTAATTTTGATGTTAATGACTTTTTGGTTAATTCCCCTTTGAACGATGGCACAGTTGGTACAATTCCTGCCCTGGACAACGTTGCTTATGATGATAATGCTAAAGCTGAAGACGAGCTGGCTAACCCCGCTGGTTACGAGGTTGACTCTGAAACGGCACCTCCAGCTAAGAAATCAAAACGAAGCTAATCTAGCTAATCTATTTTTTTTTTCATCTTCTTTATACTATAATACAGCCCTTTTCACTCTTGGGCTTCGGTTTAGGCTTCGGTTGAGTCAGGGCCGGGCGGGTCGCTGGTTGCGTGGGGGTCCCACTGCCTTGCCGCTGCCCCCGCGGCTGCAAGCGTCGCTGCTCTTTTTCATTCAGTTTGCGTGCGAGTTCTTCGTCTCTTTTGGCTTGATCAGACCCCTGCTCTTCTCTAGCTAGCGCACGAGCTATTGCCTCGTCTTGGCTGACGTCCGGTTCGGGCTGAATTGGATTGAAATCGGCATCGCATAGTCCTCCAGCTCCTTCAATTCCGGTCAAAGCTTCCCAAACTGCTGGTTTATAGGCCAACCCTTCATCCGTTGCAAGGGTATAGAGAACATCGTGATGAAGAATGATGGTTGCATAATGGTTATTGCGGAAAAAAACAGCAGGGATATCTGGTTTGAGTCGGGATTGCAAATAAATCAATCCTGAGTTTGACAATTGGGACGGGTTGTGCTTGATGAACCATTCAACTGACTTTTCTTCGTCATTTAGACCTTGGATCAAGTCAAGGTTGAAATCGTCAAAGTTCACCTTCGCCGCTTTGCTAGCAACTCCAGCAAACTTTTTGGGTAGTTCCGAATCTGTAATTACCCATCCATGAATCAATGGCAAGTCAAACTCCAAGAACAAGTCGAGCTCTTCGGTCTGGGCGAACGTGCCATTGAATCGCGGGTTAATGTCTAGGCCTTCTGTCAACGTAGGAAAAAATTTGTGGAATGCCGACGTTGAACCTGGAACATTGCACACCTCCTGCATCATTTCACGCAGTTCCTCCACCGTCACTTTTGTTTTATCAAGTAATGACATGACGATAGGTGAACCAGCAATAACTAGGGTGTTGACCGTCGCAATTAAAGGGCATGGTCCATTCTCGTTCTGTACAAGAATAGTTTTAGGTCCGTTGTATTCGATATGTTTCGTTCTAAACGTTTTGCTTGGCGCCATCTTTTGTGCAGTGCCTTCGGCTGACCAAATCCTACCTGACAAGAAACCCCTCAGATCAAGGTTTGGGGTGTTAATCTAACCATTCCAGCATAGAGTACTGAAATGCTGTCTTTTTTCAAATCATTCAGTTCGCAGATTCATTCCCAGTACTCTGTATCCAACACAGAGGTCTTTCGCGTGGGTCCCTGGGTCGTTTACGACGGCAAATCGCGACAAACAAAAGAGCCAGTGTCGGTGTTTGTGCTTGATAAAAGGGTCCTAGCAGACTCGCTTACTGCCCAAGGCTATAAATCAATTTCTGGTCCTAAAGCTGAGGTATATGAATACGCTAACAAAGGCGTTTCCCGGCTAGCTAAAATGCGGCATCCGGCTGTTGTTAAATTGGTCGAACCAATGGAAAATAGCCGTGGCGCTTTGATGTTTGTGACCGAGAGGGTCATAACCTCATTAGGTCGTCTGATCAAGTCAAAAGTCTCCACCTCAACCATTGACAACGATGATTTGAACGAGTTGGTGATTGTTCGGGGTATGGCTATGTTGGTCGATGGTTTGCGATTTCTCCACGACCAATTAGGATACGTACATTTGAATGTGACTCCTTCCACTGTTCTAATCGATGCTAATGGTGATTGGAAACTGTTTGGGCTCGAGTTTCTAGAGTCTTACAGAGAAATTACTGGTGATTACTTTTTCCCACAACTAGATCCCAGGATGCCGTCTTATTTGTCCCCGAATCCTGATTATATGGCCCCAGAACTCGCACTTCACCATAACTTGTCACCAAAAAACGATGTTTTTTCATTGGCATGCCTACTATCGGCTATATATTCCGGCAAACCACCCATGTCTTGTCGGGGCAATCTATCAAACTACAAAGACGAATATGCAACGGCCTCCCGCAAAGTTCAGAGTATCACATTCCCCTCGCAACTTCAGCCATTAGTTATGCAATTGTTCGACGGCCAACCAATGCAAAGAATAACGCTAACAGAGTTTGCTGAATCTAACTACTTCAACAACTCTCTGATCAAGGCCCTGCAATTTTTGGACGATTTTACCACCAAGTCAGCCTCTGAGAAGGTCCAATTCCTCAAAAAGTTCAACTCAGTAATTGACCAGTTCCCTAAATCTGTTTTGCAGCGCAAAGTTCTCAAGTTTGCTCTTGCCGAGCTCACAGGACCTAAGGATGCAGCGACCGGTGAACTTCTAGCGAGCTTGGTCTTTACTATTGCAGGAAGAGGAATGAGCAGGCTGACGTTCAGTGAGCAAATCCAACCACTCTTTGGTGAACTCAAAGATTTCCTGCCCTTCCAAGAAGCCGTTGGTGGTCACCTTGACACGATCGTCAAATGTACAAGTGAAAAGGATTTTACCTCAGAGGTGGTTCCTGTGCTTCTGGCAGTCTTCAAAACCGGAGAAAATTCTCAAACAAATCTTCAAAGACATGTGTTGGATAAGGGCAACTTGTACCTTGGACATGTCACGATTGCTGGACTTGAGCAATCACTTTTCCCCTCCGTGATAGAACTCTTTGCAGCCACGCCAGCCAAATCGGTCAAGATTTCTGCCACAAGCTTTTTCAGCATCATGATCGACAATGGACTCTCCAAGTCTTTGATTCAAGACAAGCTGGTGCCGGCACTCCAAAGCATGAAAACCAGAGACCCTGAGGTGGTAATGAAGGTGGGAAAGCTTTATCAAGCGGCAAATGCCAAGCTTCCAGTCAACGTTGTAGTTGAAAAGACCTTACCTCAAATTCTTGAGCTTTCAATGGGTAAAGATCTAACCGTCAGCCAGTTCAACACACTATTTGCATCCGTTCGTCATGAAATGGACAGAATCGAAACCCACCAGAAGGAAGCACTGAAACACAATCGGGAAGTGGTCACTACCGATCCCAAATCACACCAACCAGTTTCCAAAACGGTTGAAGCTTCAGTCTCTGACATTTTTGACTCCCAAAAATCAACCCCGCAGACTTACTCCTCACCACCCAAGCCGGCTGAACCGTCAACATCTCAATTCCATCCTCCGCGGGGAAGTTTTGCATTGAACAAGCCTGCTTCGTCTAGCACTGTGTCTTCTCCTAGCCTTATGGATATGGATCCTCTAAGCTCGCCTTTTGCGTCACAACCAACCAAGCCGCCACCCCAAGTCAGACCTCAACCGGTAGTAAAGCCTACTCCGCAGGCTCCAGTGGCTCCTGCGTCCAGTCAATGGGCCCCATTAACTCCATCTGCGCCACAGGGCTCGTCGACTTCAGATTCAAAATACGCAAGTCTACTCTAGATTTTAATTTAAAAAGTTCAGATAATGAATTAAGAGGCGAACATATGCCCGATGAGAGCTTGAGTAGCTTTAAGGGCCTCGTATCGTACCTCGGGATCTGCCGAGTTCATAAGCTCCATAATCTTGATCTTTGCTCCTAACTTGTTCAACACAGTGACCGATTGAGGTGCGGTATTGACAATGCATGCGATATCGTTGCAAGCAACAGCCTGAGTCACTGGCTCTTCGCTTGTCTGGAGCAGCTGAACGAGTTGCTTGAGAACCGCCCAGTCTTGGCTTCGGAACTCTTCGATATAGGTTTTCCAGAATGTGGCGCTGCGATGAGTAGGGCTCCATAGGAGACGCTTAGTTTTGAGTTCCGCATAGTACTCATCGAATGTGGTCATCGAGTTATAGGCATCGGTAAGCTGCTGTTTGAGCGTTTCGACGTCTTGACGCAGCTCATCGTCCGCCCATTTACGCTCAGAGAGCAAATTAACAATCTGCAACCCGCGCTGAGAGATGATAGCAGGAATTGCAGAGTGCGGGCTAAATCGAACGTAGTTGGCCAGAGTAGCAACGGATACCCGGACGATCTTCTCCTTTACTGAGATTTTGGCAGTTTCCAAAAGTGTTTGTGCCGAATTGTATTCGCTGATACACCCTTTGGCAATAGTGCGATCGTAAGAAATGAGCCAAATCAGGAGCAGAGAATAGTACTGGACCTGTAGGCCGAATTGGGGGCTTTGGGCCAGCTGAATTATCTGGGGAAGAATAACACTGCGTTTCTCCCAAATAACAGGCCGATAAAACTTGGTTTGGGCCAGCAAAGCCAACTCTTGGACGGCGATATCTTGGAGGTTTGTGTTGGGCGAGGTCAAAAACTTATCGCCAAGGAAGGCAACCAGCTCAGCAATTACATCGACAGGAGCTATCTGGCTGTTGGCGAGGACTGCAAGCACACGGGTAGTTAAAATGGTGATCTGCTCGTCGGGTTTGGTCAACAAAGCAGTCAGGGCGGGCCAGCATCTGGAATCGGCAAGGAGCTCAGTAGTGAACTCCGGAATCGTTGTAATGACATCACCAACAAAGAGTGCAATGTATCTTACAACATCGTCTCTACTAGGCGGGCTCAAGAGCGCCATAGTCGTTGACACGTACTGTTGGAGGTTCTCGGACACTGGTTTTACCCACTCGGCGACTGGGTACTTTTCGAGAGTTTTAAACAGAGACGCCTGTTCAGCATTCAGCAATTCAGCCCGAACATAGCCTTCCCATGGCACCTTTCGTGCTCTTATGGTCGAACGGATTTCGTCCAAATACTGGTTTTCGATGAACTCCATTAGTCAACAGACAATCGCTCAGGGCCAAGCCGTAGGAGTGGGAAACTGAGCTGCTTACACTCAAATTGGGTCCCAACACTCCTTGCTGGAGCAATGGGGGTGTTAGAGCTTGTGCTGGTTCTTCTAGAAAGGGGCTCGAAAGAAGGTATAATTGGGGCCGAAGACACCACCTGAGGTGGTGCCACACGATGGTGAATGTTATTCGATTAGTTCAAATTGTAACTTAAATTAGTCGGCATCATGTCGGCTAGCTAACCTTGTTCCCGTTTTTTTGAGCTGCAGCCGCCTGGGTTCGGTTGTTCCAATTTTCGGTGCGTTTCAGGTCCCACCCCAGGATGCTGGAGTAGTCGCAGAGGAGGAAAGTCCGCAGAATTCAAAATTATTTTGATCATATTCTGTCCTTTAGTTAATTATGTGTTGTTTCAGCTTGCTAATTTTTCCATATATTCGTACCAAGCAGCAAAACCTCAGACGCAGTTTCAAGCATCCCTGTATGCTTACGCCTAAGACCCTATCCACATGCGCATACACGCCGTAACGCCGCTCTTTGTGGAGGATACGCCATTCTCAACAAAATATGGGGCTAACAATGGCAGATGGCACTCCAATAGGACTATAAATACTTATAAATTGCAGTTAGCTTTAACCATAGGGGTTTCCGCTATCACAACTCGCCATGACAATGTCCTAAACTCCGCTTAAACTTGCATACTGGGTAAGTGACAATCGGTTTCAGCTGTACGTCTGCTTACTACATAGTTTTAAAAAAACTGGGACCTGGCCCTTAACCACCAACACTCTCTTTTCCTACCGCGATTTCAATCGCCATCATTGGGGCCCGAAAGTAATTTTTATTCTTCAGGCGGGTCATAAGACCTTGAATATTCTGCCCCGCTCGTTTTTGTGTTGAGCGGACCGCCTATACCAAATCATTTTTTCCCGAGCCTCCGCTTGCGTGCTAGTTGTGGGGCTACAATTATCACAGGAATGCCCGAGTTACACGCCCGATCGCGCTCTAGTTCTGCAGTACCTACACAAACGATGTCACAGTTTGCAAGAACAAGCCGCGAGCTTGTCAAGAACATTGCCGTTCAGTGCCTTTCTCCTACGCTGCCACGCGACGTTCCACCGGAGCTCTTGGAACGCAGCCGCAAGGTTGCTGAAGACCAACGAAGAATTATTGCCACCAGAGCAGGAGCAAGTAGTGATTCGTCGCGATCTTCTCATGCAAGCGTTGATTATATTACGAACGATGCCGCAGCAGACCTTTGCGACTGGGACGAAAATGGTGATGTAAACGACGACGAACCACACAAGATGAGCCAGGACGATGTTGATAACAATACCAGTTCTAATCGGACCCCTGCTTTAGATACACGTGCACAAGTGCCCCTCTCAGCGTCTGCCCCTAACTCACCGCGTGTGGATCCCACACAGCAACCAGAGCCCAGATCTGCTCCTCCTTATCCAACAACCACATCTACGGGGGTGCCTTCTCAAATGCGTCAAGACTATACCTCAAATTTGCATACAAGTAATCGATTTGGAGGCCCCCCTCTCTTTGTACAATACCGTTCCGGCCAACCACCCTTGCATTCTCGACCGTACCCACTGACACCCTTTACTGCGCCCTACAATGTTCGCAAGGGCCCGAAAAGGCGTCAGCATGCGCCTACATACCCTTATTATCATCAAGCTCCGCCTTCTGCTCCAGCAGGACGCCCAGACCCTTGGCGACGGCTTGACTATCTTGAAAATGCTGTTTCTGATCTAATGCAACAAGTTTCTGACCTGCAAGCCACAAATCGCAAGCTTTTGGAGTCTCAACTAAGGCAATCGGAGCTTGTCAATCTATATGGACTCGCCCGTTCAGGTACCCTCAGCCCCACCCAATTTTCGCGATTCATGGCAACTTTTGCATCCAAAGTAGACTTTGCAAACCTTGTAACTCCGACAACGTCAGAGCCTCTCGGCAAATCAGCACCTAACTCGGGACCGTCTTCAGGCTCGCGCTCATCGTCGTCAGATATCCAATCAGAAATCTTCGAGATCATCCAGCGGGAACAGCGGGCTGGAGATAGAGCACGGGGAACTCGGCTTGGGCCGAACGAGATCCCACCCGAATCAGAGTTCATGCCGTCTCCTCGGCTTCATCCTCCTGCAGACTGGGGGCGTTTAAATCGATCCAAGGCACCTCCTTCCGAGGTCAAAACGTACAGTCCTACGGACAAGTCGGTACCGCTGGCGGGCCGCCGTTGTGGGAGACTTTTTGCGCTTAACCTCGATGTTTTACGCCAGACCTCGCAGCCAATGCACAGCGCCAACCCAGTGAAGCAAGAGAGCGAGTCGCCAAGCGACAGGATGGACGAGGCAAATGACAGTGACGATTACGATGAACCTGCCGAGAGCGCACTTACCCCCGAGGCGGAAGCCCCTAACGATGTTTCAGCAAAGCAAGAACTCGCCATGGCTTCCCAGGTGCCCTCGCAATTTATGTCCATGTGCACAAAGATGTGGCATGTCTTGGAAGCGTAAACTTACTTTCACACTCTTTATTTTATATATTCGTTCCTTGTTTACTTTCTTTTATCTTATAAGTATCATTTGCCGTTGTTTTCTTGGGGTCTTCGTACTCTTTGGGCAACCACATGAGCATCTCGCGATCACATGTCAAAAGACCCCTGATTAAGAAATTATCCTCCCAGCCTTTCTCTCTCTTTTCGACTGTTGCCGACCATTGTTCAACGGGCAGAATAAGTATATGCTTCGAGTTATCAAGATATCCTTGGTTGTCATATGGCTTGTTGTTGCTAATTTTGTAGGTATGATTGTGGACATGGTCCGCTCGTGGTTCTCTAGCATTTTCACATTCACACCAGACCGGGACGAAATGCTCGCCCGGCTCAGCGAGGCAAAGACATTCGAGGAGTGGCAAGGTATAGCCGGGAACCTTGATGTTCTCAGCGGCAACGATTTGTGGCGACAAAATCCTATGAGCAAAGTGTATGACTATAAGTTGATTGCCAGCCGGTTCCGTCACCTTATCGCCTCGCGCAAAAGCGGCAACTACGAACAAGTTGCGGAGCTTGTGCGGTCCGGCTCTTTACGCAACCTTGCAAGTATTTGTGAAATTGACTTGTACAACTGCGCCTATGCTGGCACAAAATATCTCATCGAGGACTACATCACCGAGGTAATCCATTGCCTGCAGGACTTGGCTGATGCTTCGTTTGAACGCTCAAGCTCATGGGACCACCAGCGCCGCCTGGACTACTTCCACGATACAAAACGCTCTTATGGAACTACCTCGTTAGTACTTCACGGTGGCTCCTTGTTTGGCCTGTGTCATTTGGGTACTGTGAAAGCACTTCTTTCGGCTGGGTTGCTACCCAACGTTATTACAGGCGCCACAGTTGGTGCCATTGTTGCTGCCTTCGTTTGCAGTGTACCAGCCGAAGAATTGCTGGATACGATCAAAAATTTAACGGATGAGTTGCCTGCCATCCCGTCTGACTATGGAAAATCACGGTTCGGGAGTGTCGTCGAGGCTGTCATCAGGTCTCGATACCCGCCTGAGGTGTTGCTTTTCGAACAGTGTGTCTACGATAAACTTGGAGACATGACGTTCGAAGATGCCTTTAGAATCTCTGGGCGGGCCCTGAATATCGTCGTCATGTCGACGGACCAGTCCATTCATCCCGATAAGGGGCCCCAGCGACTACTCAATTACTTGACAACTCCGAAAGTGATCATTCGAACAGCAGTAAGAGCTAGCATTGGTACCAACATTTTGCGTCGTACAGAAAACGTTCAAATCATGGCCAAGGATTATAATGGCGACACAATCCCATTCCTCTATCGCAAGCTGCACTACATGCCCGCGAATAGTGCCACCCACACAAGTCCACGAGACTCGCCCTACAACCGACTATCAGAACTATTCAACGTCAACAACTATATTGTATCAGTGACACGGCCGTACTTTGCTCCCGTGCTGTTGTCAGACTTCAAACACAGAGGAGAGTCACGATGGCTACACCCTGCTATTCGCTTGGGGCGCACGATCGTTCAGTACCGCGTGGCCCAGATGGCCGAACTTGGACTTTTCCCGCAGTCTATGAGATCGCTTTTTCTCGACGAAAATATTCCTGGTGGGTTTCAGGTCAATGTGGTGCCAGAGCAGGGCTCAATTTTACAAAACTACGCCATGCTTGTAGATTCACAAAACCTCAAGGGCAAAGTTGAACACTGGATCAGAATCGGCGAACAGAGTGTCTGGCCGATGATTGCAGTAATTTGGTCGAGAACTGCTATCGAGCACACTCTTGACAGTATTTATACCAGTCTTGTTAATGGCGAGCGTTAGCCATGTCTTGTAAGCTACAGGTATCGTTGCACAAAAGCTGCCCAAGCAGTGAGCCCTCCGCGATGTCCATCTAACTGTGTTTGAATTTTTATATTTTTATGTATTGCATTTATTTAATCTGCTGCTACCCGTCATGTCGACTTTGTCACATGTAATAGGATAACCTCCTGCAAGCATCTTACTTAACCTCTTTCACATATGAAATTCGCGACCATTCTGTTTGGCGCTTTTGCGCTTGTTTCTGCAGCTTCCGGCAACCCTGATACGCCCAAGCTCCGTGTCAGTGTTCTCAAGAAAGCTACTTGTGACCGTAAGAGTCGCGTGGGTGATACTATCGCTATGCATTACGTTGGTCGCTTAGAAGACGGCAGCGAATTCGACAATTCCCTGAAACGTGGCAAGACGTTTGATTTCGCTCTCGGTTCGGGAATGGTTATTGAGGGATGGGAAAAGGGTCTTCGTGGCATGTGCCCCGGCGAGGAGCGTCGCTTGACCATTCCACCCCAGCTTGGCTACGGTATGCAAAGTGTCGGTGGAATCCCTGCTGGATCGACTTTGATTTTTGATACTGTTTTGGTCGGTATTAACGGCGACGAAATTGACTACGATGTTGAAGCGGCATTGGAAAAGCAGGAGGCAAAGACCTCCAAGTTGGTTGCCAAAGCGAAGGCTGCACAGGAAAAAGAAGAACTTTAATAGCTACATATCTAACTGCTTACACTAATGGACGTCGACGAGTTTCTTCATTCGGGACTGGCGCTGAAGCTCGATAAGCCCGTTGGAGATGGGCCTCTCTGTATCGTGGATTCTTCTTTCAATCCCCCCAATTTTGCACATATCAAGCTTGCCCAGCTAGGTCTTGAACAGGTCCCAAATTCTACCGTGGTGTTTTTGCTTGCCACGGGAAATGCAGACAAGCCGGCAGCTTCTACTACCCAATTGACCCACCGTGCAGAGTTAATGAGAAGGGCTGCTCTATATGTTGACCCCACAGGCTCAAGGGTGCGTGTTGGTCTCACAACCGCTCCGTTTTTCATCGACAAGGCACTAGCGTTTCACAATGAATTCAATGCCAATAGGCTGCTATTTATTGTTGGCTACGACACCTTGGTAAGGTTTGTGGATCAGAAATACTACAAGGAACCAGTTTCGCAAGTGTTGGATCGGTTTTTCGACATATCAGAAATGATAGTGCTTACCCGCTACGACGAGTCCGTCAAGGACAAGATCAAGATTCACCCCAAAGCGCAAACCGAAACTGCAGACAAGCTAGTTGGAAAGCACCACAGTAAAGTCCACTTTGTGCTCTCGCAAGATGATACAGCAGAAGTTAGTTCAAGCCGGGCTCGCACCTCACTACAAGATCTTGAAGCATGTTGCCCACCCTCTGTTGTCGAATACGTGCAAGAGAATAACTTGTACAGTTAAAAAAATATAGAATTAGCTAGCCTTTAATTGAGCTCAGTGGTTGAGCTACGAAATAATTATTGCCCTTCAACCTTGGCAAATAGTAGGTACAAAGAACCTCCCTTAGAACAGGGAGAAGATAGCCAAAGCAATGGCAGAGAGCATGCCGGGGACAGCGACCTTCTCAACACCGTTCTTAGACTTGGAGGACTTGCTAGAAGAAGACTTGGAGCTAGAACCGGAGTCGGAGGCGGAGCCAGTGGCAGTAGCGCTGCCGGAACCGGAGGAAGAGTCGCCAGTGCCAGTAGCCTTGCCGGTCATAGAGAAGGATGCGGTGGTAGACAGACCCTTGCAGACGTATTTGTCACCGTGGAAGTCACCCTTGGAGTGGGCGCTATCGAAAGAGTCGCAGTCGATCTGACCAGAGGAGTCAACAACAACACCACCCTCGACGTCTTCGATGTTGGGGAGCTCGGCCTTGGTGAAGTTACCGACAAAGTCAATGGCACCGCCAACGAAAGAAAGGTTGCCGAAGCCAACAATAGCCTTGAGGTTAGTGTTGTTGGCAATCTGGAAACCACCGCCAATGCGGCCCAACTGAGGAGCCGAGGTGTTGGACAGCTTGGAGTTGGAAACGATGGCAAAGGACTGACCGATCTCAGTAAGTTGAGGAAGGTTGATGCCATAAATGGTGTTGTTGATGAAGCCCATAGACAAGTTGACCTTCTTCAACGAAGGCAGGTCGACGGAAGAGCAGAACTGGAATGTAGCATTGTTGGCCCACTCGAGGTTAGGGAGAGAGACATTGACCTTGGCTGCGTTGAAGGAGATGTCGAGAAGGTTGGTGACGGAGGTAACACCAACAGTGATGTCGGAGATGAAACGGTTGTTGTTGATGTTAAAGTTATCGACCTGGCTCAAGTTCAAACCGTCGAGCGAATTCAACTGGGTGTCGGTGATAAGAACGTTACTGGCCTCCTGGACACCTTTGTTGAACTGCATTTCACGCAGAGCAGGCAAAGTGCGGAAAGAGATGCTGCCAACCTTGGTGAGGGCAGGCATGGACAAAGTGCTAAGAGACTGCAAAATGGCCAGCTCAAGGTCATCACTAATGCTAGTGAGCTGAGGAGCAGAGATAGATGCCAAGTCAGTCAAGTTGACGGCCGTCAAAGAGCCATCAAGCTCCTGGATACCGTTGAAAATGAGGTTTGCACCAGCGGATTGAATGGTAATATCACCGTTGAACTTTTGGCAGCCAGCCACTTTGTCGAGGTCAGCCTGGCCAGTGACGTTGAGCGAAGTGTTGCAAATATCGGGCTCAGAGCTGTTGCTGGAAGCACCAAGAGATGTGGCGGCAAGCGCGCTGAAAACCAAAGACCGTGTCTGCATTTCTAGAGTTGGGGATAGACGCAAATAGGTTATGAGGAGAAGAAAATGTGTGCTAATTATGTACTACTTTGTAAGCACAAGGTGGGTGGGTGAAATGCTCTGCGGCGGTTCCACATCATGCATCAAGTGCTTCTCGAAAGATAAACCCATCGAACGTTAGCAAATAAATGCCAACAAAATAATCTGATTTCATCAGTGTCACCAATGTGTGGTATGCTTGTTACTTTTCAACTATGTGCCTTCTCTACCGCGATAGAGATACGGAATGAAGTGTATGAAGAACCCACCTACCCAACCCTAAGCAAGTGGAATGCATGACGGTGCAAGCCAACGGCAGCTTGTATCATGCTCCGAAAAATGTATTATTCCGGAAATTTGAATCACCGGAAACGTATACTGTTGAACGTTTTAACAGGAGGCTCATAATTCAAACACGCATCGGCATAACCACACCCCTAACTACACCGCTCTAGTTCCGAACGCGAACGCGTACGCGTGGCTTGTCTAGAACCCTGAAAAATGCTCCTGATGCGCCCGCCATCGCCCATTGGTCAGCACCTCGAGTCTCTTCTCGATTGGTGATGGGTTAGGGCTATTTCAGTGTGGCTAGGCCCAAAAGAGGGGTGAATCTAAGGAAGACTTGGGGATCAGCCACCCAAAACGGTCAACCCTAAAAATAGAAATTTCGCGATGTTTATACAAGGTGTTTACTTTGCCCGTCCGCCGGCCAACCGAACTGTGGGGGGGTTGCTGCTGGAATGTACAACTGAATAGTGCTATAGAGAGAATAATGATAATTAACGGCGGCATTAAATGGTAAAAGAAATGCGGGACATGAAATTTCCAAGTCTCTAGACCAAAGAAGATTTCGCCCGAATGCTCAAAAATGACTGGGCCGCCGAGCTCAGTCCTTGAGGCATTTGCTGGGGTAGTTGGGCACCGTTCACAATAAGGATTTCCGCAATGGGGAACGAGTGTGTCCCTGCTGGAGCTGTCCGTAGAGATGTAACTAAAATAGGTTCATCGTCATCGCTCTTAACGTTAGCATTGGCCCGAGCCGCAAGAGCAGCAGCAACTTTTGCAACGTCGTTGTCGACAACGGCTTGCCTTAGCTCCGTATTGGGTTTTTCGATGTCACGGATATACAGCTTCTCCACATACTTGCCAGATATGAAGGCAAGACGGTTCTTGTCTGTAATCACTGGCTTGTGTGAGAGCCGAGCCTCCCAAATACTGTTCATGACACCATTGGACACGGATGTCAATGCTGCAACTAGATCCTGTGTGAATGATACTGTGTCGAGTTTCAACGACCGTACTTTAGAGATATGCGAGCCCAAAGAGCGATGGGCGCCCGAGCAGTCAATACACAGAACCATCATTAAGTTGATAGAGACCCATTCCACAGAATTGCTGCTTTGACAGTCCGCACAGAGGCGGTTGCTCGGAGCCTTTTGAATTAAGGTCATAAGTGATGTGCTTCCTGAGGGCGAGGTGATAGGTGCCGGCAGAGAAAAATGATGGTTGCCCGTGTGAGGGACTGGATTGGGCAGTACACCTGAAGATTTTGGGACCGAGGTTCCGAAAAGAGATGGACCACTTATTGGTGGCGCACTAGCCAACCCGCCTGCAATGTAACGAGCTTTTTCGGTTTTTAAAGAGAGCTTACGACCAAGCCGTTCGAGCTTATCCTTAGTCTCACGAGGTTTGGACACTTGTAAATCCGTTTGGACGCTTCCAGGATTGATCCCAGAGACCTCCGAATGGTCTTCAAGCGATCTACTAATGCCACGGTTGATGGAGGATATCCATGATCGCATATCGTCGTCTGACGTGGCTTGGTAGACTCGACGGTACTGGGGGGTCACTACCTCAAAGCAGAAACGGCGATCAGCGTTCCGGGCCTCACGCACATTTGCTGTTTTTAAATCAATCGGGTCGTTGTGTAGATCTAGGCCCTGCTTCCAGTTGGTATACTCGCAGATTCGCCCGACGTCCTGAACCACCCAGTATTTATGCCACTTGAGACCAACTTGTTTTTGCATATTCTGCTCCTGAAAGCCAGTCGGCCTACTTATTGCCCAAAGCAACCCCTCTTTATGGGCATCGTCTTGCTCGGGATGATGTGTAGTTGGGGCTGTTTCTTCCGAACCAGAGCCTGAGAGCATTGAGTTAGTAACTGATTCTGACCCTGGCAAATTGTGTGTGCTATTATTTCCGGTAGAACCCTGATCTGTCTTTGTTGTAGACAAAGCTGCTCCAAAAATCTCACCGTTGGTGCGCTCTAAAAGTCGTCTACGCTCCTCACGTTCAGTTCTCTGGCGCCGCCAGTCTTTTGCCGCCTCGTTCAGATCCTGAACCATAATATCGATGTTTGGTTTAATCTTTGTGGCAAATAAATTCCCCATATCAACGTAGCCATCAGCCAACGTTTCAGTATATTGAGCAACCCGCTGAATCACGTCCTGCAACTTACGGCCGCCATGAAGATCGAGCAAGTAACTGTAATAGTCAAATCGAGAGAGCTCGAACGCACGTCGTTTCTCAAGGTACTTGGCATCGTGATCGGCCTTTTTGCGGTTGGAAAGGTACTTGGACATCCACGAATAATACTGTGAGCTTTCGTCATCAAATTCACGTTTACGAGAATCGAAAGCTTTAATTTCCTGATCGTAAAAGTCCTGTAATGGTTGGATAACGTTCTTCACTAGGTTCTGAAGCTGCGCCTTGCTGTGGGTGATAATGACGTGAAACCCATCTTCCTTGTCTCTACGGTAAAACTGGGCAACCGGCCTGGTTGACGGAAGATCAACATAACCTGCTTGGTGAAAAGAGTAGAAGAACCACTGGCTAGCTTCGATAGCGGCAGCAAGTCGTTCATGCATTAAAACTGATCGTTTCAGGAGCTTTTTCACTTGAGCTTTGAGTCCAGCATACTTTCGCTCCATCTGCTGAATGGTACTTCGGAACAGGGGGCCATCTTCAGGCTGGATTGTTTGTTCAGCACCTGGTCGAACGGCAAGATACTTGCTCGCAGAAGAAGTCTCCGAAGGTAATGAGGATGCATGGGCTGGCCAGGTGTTCACTGGAACCGGGGCTAAAGGACTACATAGCCCACCTCCCGATGGTTGTTGGTTTGCCTGTTGCGTTTGCAGTCCCGTAATACTGGATTTCGATGCCGTGCTAGTGCTTGCTGCCGCTTGGCCGCTTGGAGCGGCGGGGGTGGGGCCATAAATATCTCTCAAAGCAATAGGCGAGGAGATTTCTGGATTCATGAGATCGAAATTTAGCGTTTCCGCTATAGAAAAGTCCTGAATGGGACTATTGATACGCTGAGCCGCAAACTCGGAGATCAATAGAGGGTCGAGGCCTACTGGTGTTTCACCGATCCAAAACTGTCCACAAAACAGCGGAGATAGTCTATGACCATTTTTTTCATATTCAACGAATCCAAAATGGATGGGCCATCCACCGGGTCTTTCTGCGTCGTTAGCTGATGGCGTCCATGTCCAAACAAAGTCTTTTTGATAAACCCGCGGGGCGTCGCCATCCGAGCAAAAGTCTCCTAAAAGCACGACGTTCTCCTCGTTCTGAATATTCGGGTTATTCAGTAGCTCTGAATCAATAAATCCCTCAAGCTGTCGTCGCTTGTCTGCGGTTATAAACGTCAAACTGTTAACGCCGAGATTTGAAGTCGCCAGCATGGACACCTTGAAGCGGAATGTGATTGACGGGGCGTACGGCACTCGCACAACCAGTTGCTGTGACTCGGGATCCTGCACGTATTCAATAGGTCGACCATTTGGGCGGCTAATTGTTAAGTTAGGACTGGACGTCGACTGACTCGAGTCCAATGCCGCCGTGATCACCGGCGCCGGGTTGATGGCATCAAAGCTATCATAGACGCCACCATCATCTCCTTCGTTTACGAACGCTTGAACATTTCGGACTTGAAACCGCCTAGAGTTCGGTTGATACGGTCCCTCTGCTTCGACCTGGGAACTGACCTGACCCATTTGCGGAGTAAGCAACGACTAGTGATTTTGATGGAATCGCAATAATACTAAGTGTTTGTCAGGTTTAAGTAAAGTCTTGGGGAGAAGGTTTGTTAATATTACATAGTTTTAGAATTGGTTTAAATACGAGCGGTCACGGAGAGCGAGTGGGTGGCAGGGCCATCTTTTGTATATAAGTCCATTGAGCTAAATTAAAGCAGAAAGGCGAAAGCACCGGCAATACCAGCGCCCAAACCCACGGTGGCTGCTCCCATGGCGGCATTCGAGGCTGACGATTTCTTGGTCGAGGTCTCGCTAGCACTGTTAGAGGCACTGTTAGCACCACTGCTAAGACCGCTACCAGCATGACCGCTATATTCGATGCTAGGGCCACTCTTGTGAGATGAAGAAACAGTACCGGAGGAGGTTTCGTTTCGACCAGAGGTGGCAGCGGAGGAGACAGCGGAGGAGACAGCGGAGGTTGTTGCATTGCCGGACGCCGCAGCACTGCTCGTGATGTTACCACCAACGCCACCGGCACCAGCACCAGCTGTAGCACTTACAGACCCAGATGGTGTAGCAGAGGCCATAGCCCCCAGGGAGCCAGTCAAGGAGCTCTCCTGAGCTCCAGCACTCGCCAATTCCGAGGAAACACGTGCATTGATCGAATTAGCAACCGCATCATAGCCAGACTCAACGGCGCCACCGAAGGAAGTGGCTTTGGAGGCGACACCCTCTCCGAGACTTTCGGCCCCCGAAGCGAATGCAACGCCCTCGGACTCTGCAGCTTGCCATGCGGACTGAGCGCCGCTAGCAATATCATGGCCGACGCTAGTGCCCCAAGCAGCGGCGTCGCTGTAAACGGATTGGGCGTCGCCGCCAACAGCAGCACCGACAGATTGAGCGTCATGAGCAACAGAAGCGGCCCATGACTGCGCATTCCCGATAGCACCAGCGACTTCGGAGGCAACATCGGCCTGCACAATGGCGAGAACAGCAGCAGCAACAGCAACAGTCAATTTCATTTTCGGACGCGGGCGAATTGTAAGTTACAAAACCCCGGAGGTTGTCCATCTTATAAGCAATACTTGCACGTGATCTCGGACCTGCAGTAGCCCGTGCAGAGGCTGATACATACGCCTCCTTTCGCGAGATCTATAGGAGTACTGCTTTTGTTTAACACGATTAACACTTATAAACGTAGGTTTATCTCTACCGGAGGCTTTGCTCAGCTTTGTAGACATTGGAATTGTTCAATTAAAAAGTTCTGGTCGAGTGCGATCAGGTTGGATCGACCCGTAGACTAGACTTTGTGCAGGAACAGAAAAGTTCGATTATGCTCTGCGAAGGTTTACTGTGCAAAGCCTGTCATATTAGTCATCGATCTGAAACACAGCTATTGCTAGGGGAAGCCAGAAAATTTTTTCCTGCTTGGTCACGTGACTGTTGACATTGACTGCATTTGCCCTTAACCCAAAAATGATAACCATGATAAGGCTTTGAAGGTTTGAAGGTTTGAATGCTCAACAAAGGCTAAACGCCCGTCGCCTGCAAAAGGCATTTTGGATTTCAGTTATCAAGCGAACGTTTCATTATGCGCTAGAGAAAAAAATCTATAATATTAGTTTAAATTACTGTTCAGCCACTGTACGGGGATTTTATTAGCCTGTCAAGATGCATAGACAAGCATAAAGAGTAATTCAAGAAATTTACAGGAGCATAGCAGCGCCGGCAATGACGGCAGCGGCACCAGCGGCCATGTTGGCGGCACCGTTAGAGGGTGAGCCAGTGCCAGTGGAGGTACCGTTGTGGGTACCGTTGTGAGTGCTGGTACTGTTGGTGGTGTTCTGTGCGGCGGCGGCGGTGGCGATGAGGGTAAGAGCGACAATAGAGAACTGCATTGTTGGATAGCTATGTGCTGCGTGATGCCAGCCTTTATATACGCAGCGGTAGACCCAATAACTTTCCCAAATAGGGCTGCATATGCATCGTGGCCATGCATGAAGCAGTCGCCCTGCACACCGCGTAGTTTCAAGGGATAATGCGTTTGATGCTATCAGCGACGCGTCGCCAGCGGTTAAGATTCTTCGGAAATTAGGCTATTCAGGTGGCATGTATGAGCAAAGTTACAAAATATTTTTGTACCGTCTAAAGTATGTGCCGGCCTTTTGGGTTGAGTGGTCCAGGTAGGCTGGCTTTTCTGATCAATTCGGGCGCGGGTTTGGCAGGCGCCTATGCCTGGTGAGTTTTCAGGACCCGCCACACCTTTGCTTACTAATTGACTTTCCTTCATGTGATGATTCGATTAAGCATGATTCGCGATCATTTCCTTAGCTCCCAAGAAACCTTATCTTCACCATGCGATAAACCGATTGTATAAATTCATTTCAAGTCGCGCCACATGTTTTTAATGACTGTCAGATGTGTTAGATCATCCTTTCGCATGAGAAAATCAACGCGTATCACTATGTAGTCACCTATTATGCCGGCAGCACGTTGAAATGCATGATATGCAGTGCTATTTTTGGAGTAAAATTTTTCTTCAAGGATCGTGACGTGCCGTCAATCGAGTCTGGCAGTGAAACTCTGGGTCTATTGGAAGTTAGAGCTTCATTTTTGTTAGTAAACGTGTCGCATTAGAAATAAACAACAATTACTGAAAAGCCGCTGAGTGTGTTTTGGCTATTCCCCTCACGGTGTGCCGTTTTCCTAGCCAAACTAGGCAACCTAGGTCAGCCCGCTCATCGCATTGAACTGCATCCATAGCGCAGCTCAACTAAGGGAAAATCCCACCACTTTTGCTGATGACTCAGCTGTATCCGCCTTGCTACCCCGTTTCGTCCCCCCTAATTGGCCGGTTTACGGTGCGAAATACCTGTCCAGCCTGCGGCGTCAAATGGAACATTCCAGCTCAGCCTTCTGAGAGGAATGTCTGAAATGGCTATTTGGCGCTTTTTAATTATATCAAAAACTATCCACGCCTCCGCATAGGTTGTATGTAGTCTGACATCGTGATCACGAGCTGTCCGATCAGCCTTAACGCCCAACAACCCTCAATCAACAGTGCGTTAGGACTTAGTCGCTCAAGCCTACGAGTCCGACGCATTTTGTCTTACCCCTACCCTACCGTAGAGTTCTGTCATTTCTCAGTTGCATAGCGAGCAGAGCGAGGTTTTGCAAAGAGCTTGTTGAACAAACAAAAATAACAGATATAGGTTTTTCTATTGAAACTAAACCGGTAGGCGTCCACATGCAAATTGTGTCCGAAAATAAATAAGTCCCCCCTATGGTGTGGGGTTTTTATTAGGCGCGCAAATTAGCGCATTTTCCGAAAAAAAGAAAGGAATATAAAGATCAAGAAGGACAAGACCAAAGACAAAACAAAAAAAGAAATATATGCGGGGTCTCCTTCTTATAAAACGGATGGAATGAAGCGATAACAAAAAAACTCTCCATTCCTATTTTTCAGTAAAATGAGTCCCATAAAACTCCTTTCAAATGTAGGCACGTGAGACGCGAATGAAACGTTTAAAAGTGCGAAAGATAAGATTCTTACCAGCCACCACCGTAGCCGCCGCTGCCATAGCCTCCGCCATAGCCGCCGCCGTAACCACCGCCGTAGCCTCCGCTGCCGCCGCCGCTGCCGCTGCCGCCGCTGTAGCCTCCGCCATAGCCACGAGAACCGCCGTTAGAGCTGCCGCCGTCACGGCGCCAATCACGATTAGCACCGCCACGACCACCACGGCCACGACCGCCGCCGCCGCCGCCGCCCCGACCGAACGAGGACTCGCGGGCAACTGCCTCGAGGAAGGGAGGCACCTCCTGATTAGCCTCCTTGAGGATATCAATAAGCTCCCGGGCAACACCCTTGTTCTTGCGGTTGAAGAAGGCAGTGGCAATACCGGTGTTACCGGCACGGCCAGTACGACCAATGCGGTGGACGTAGTCATCGATATCATTGGGCATATCGTAGTTGATAACCAAGGTAACGTTGGGGATATCCAAACCACGAGAGGCAACAGCAGTAGCAACCATAATGGGGGTACGGCCACTGCGGAAGTTCTCGAGGGCCCGCTCACGCTGCTGCTGGTCACGGTCACCGTGAATAGCAGTAGCAGCGATGTTCTGCTTGAGCAAGAAGTCACACAAGCTATCGGCCATCCGACGGGTCTCAACAAACACAAGGATCAGACCAGTGTCGGCAGAGGGCAGCAGATCAAGCAGGTAAGACTTCTTATCCTCATCCTCGACGTACTCGATACGCTGAGTAATATTCTCGCTGGTGGAACCAACCCGGCCAACCGATAAGAAAATGTAACTCTTGAGGAAATCACCAGCGAGCATCTGAATTTCGCGAGGGAAGGTAGCCGAGAACATCAGTGTCTGGCGCTCTTCAACACCAGGCATGTCCTCGCCCTCGACAATACGGCGGATTTGGGGCTCGAAACCCATATCAAGCATACGATCAGCCTCGTCCAGGACAAGGTATCTGATGTTGGACAACGAGATGGAACCACGCTCAAGCAGATCAACCAAACGACCAGGGGTGGCCATCAGTAGATCGCAGCCCTGGTTGATCTCTTGCAACTGCGAACGAATATCGGCACCACCGTACACGACGCAGGGACGGACCCAGGAGCGGTAAGCAAACTTCTTTGCCTCCTCGAAAATCTGCATAACAAGCTCACGGGTGGGAGCAAGTACAAGGGCCTGGGGGTATGCTTTGGGACGACCCATGCCAGCGCCAGGGTGGTCAGCAGGAGTGGAAGGTCCGGCCAAGAACATCTCGGACAAAATGGGGAACAAGAAACCACCAGTCTTACCGGAACCAGTCTGAGCACAAGCCATGAGATCACGCTTGGCAGCAACAATAGGAATCGAATACTTTTGGACCGGCGTGGGCTTTGTGTAACGCGCAAGCTCAATGTTGGTGAGCAGGTGCTTCTCGAGAGGAGGTGCCTCAAACGAGGAAACAGGTTCGGGAACCTCATCACCCGTGGCATTTACGGGAATATCATCGTAGTTGTCAAAGTTGATACCAGTGGACTGGAAAGCAGAGTCGTCTGCTGTTCCGAACAGGTCCAGCTCCAACCGCTGGTTGGCCCGGCCAGGAACGTGCTGGCCCTCAACAAACCGGCCTGCAGCAGCAGTGTGAGGGTCACGACGACCGTAACCACCTCCACTGCCACCAAAGCTGCGGGAGCCACCGCCGTAATCCCGGCGGCGGTATGAGTCGTATCCGCCACCAAAGCCCCCCTGGCGACGAGGCTCGTGCTCGCGGTAACCATAATTCCGCTGAGCAGGAGGGGGTGGCGGGTTCGAAGGGACGTTCGAGCCGCTGTTAACACGGTGGGGAGGAACGTAGGTCCGCTTAACGGGCTGGTCACCCACCGACAAGTTGTTCATTTCCGACGAAAGGTCAGTCATTGTTAGTATAATGGAAGAAAAAAAAATTTCATCCGCAGCTTACTTATCTGCTTGGGACTTGGCGAGAAGCCCTCGCCCTTGCATCATTGAAATATTCCGAATGACTGTAGAAAAGCCTCGTAGAACGGTGCAGACGACGCTTTGCCAATTTTTTTCTTCAACACCGTCTCGTATATACTTAATGAGATGCTAAAGGAGTAGCTATGAGCCTGCCCCCAATGCCCCTTACGAGGCACTAATGACTCTCGTAAGCAGCCCGCAGCGATTTAATATTAATATAATTGTATGTCCTTTTGTTGGTGGGGAACGAGAGTTGCTCATCCGGCAGTTTCCCGGCATTTCCAGTCGACTCCGTCCAGTAAGGGCAATGATGCACCTAGGCACCACCCAAGCTCGTTACCGTTGATCTTTTTTGCAATCTTTACCTCGCGGGAGCCATGCAAGTCATAGCCGGTGCGCAGAAGGGTAAGCATATAGCTTAAATCGAGACACCAGTCTGGATGCTCTTTGATGGCATCAACGGCCCCGCGAATAGCTGTAAATGACGAGTAAGCATCGGGGCCTTTGCAAACCTTATTTTGCAAATCCCGCAGCTCATCGAGGGTAAACACCGACGGCATACCCAGCGGGAAAGTACGATCGTAGAAAAATGAAAACACATACATTTCGCTAGTTGAAGGGAATGCTTCAAAGAGTGGGGGCTGGTGTACACCATCAAATGCGCAGGGTGGGTTGGCACAGACGGCGTCCTTGGCGAGAATCTTTTCGGCCAGTGCCCGGCATTGCAGAGGGGACGGCTCACTGCTGCCTTTGAACAGCACCTTTTTGGTGGTTTTCACGGGGCCATCAAGACTAGCCGTACCATCCGGGACCTCAACCTCAAAGGATTTGGACGATCCAGGAGGTAAGCAAGGGTGGACAAGCGACTCAGGGAGCTGGGATCCGTTGATCTGGGACTCGGTGGCCAAACTGTTGATCTTGGACCTTGCCTCATTAAGACCGTAGCCCAAATAAGAGTGCTGATACAAAACAAAGTCTCTTCCGCCAAAGGACAGCTCGAACCGATGATCGCCAGCTGTGAGCTGTTTGGAGGCATCTTTCCATTTGGGCTCGAACACAATTTGAGTAGAACCACCACCCAAATCAAACACAGCAACAGTAGGTGTATCTTCTTTGGTTCCAATGTTTCCTAACAGGTAGTTAGCAGTGACCCAAGCATAAACACCTTCCTCCTCACCAGGCATGATTGTGACACCATTTTTAACGACAGGGAACGGATAGTTGTCTTCCAAATGTTTCTTGACAGCACCCAAAATAATTTCCGACTTTTTGTCACCCAATTTGCGCAAGCCCGCAGTGGCTTTGACGGCAATAGGGGAGCAGCCCTGTTGGTTTTCGGGAATACTGTCCAGAGCCACTTTGAGGAGAACATCGAGCGACTTTGCCGCAGCAACAGGATCATCTGCATAGCTCGAGAGGCCTCCGTCGATCATCTTGAACTCCTCACCCATCAGGCGAGGCATAGCCTGACAGTTATTGAAACGGTACACGTGAACACGTGAGCCAGAAGAACCAGCGTCGATCATAACCACGTACTGCTCAACAGGTGTTTTGCCATCATAGGATTTTGTACATTCAAAGGAGCTGGTATCAGCCACCGCTCCGGGTTTAACGGCTTCCTTTCCAGAAGGGACGACCTGATGGCCGTTATCCGGGTTCAAGGAATAGTGCCACACAAACAGGAACCCCATGAGGCACCCGACCGCTACTGCGGCCGTCAAGAAACGTCCGGAACGAAACATTCGAGCTAGTCGTCTCGATCGCTGCTTCAAGTGTGCGTTGTCGTGATCGCTAAGAGGAAGAACGCTGCTACGCGGTTTCCACATTAGTAACTTTTTTGGGCGGAGGTTTCCAGCTTTTAAGGGCAGTTCGGCAAATATAGATTTTATTGAAACTTTCTTAATTTTTTTTATCATTACATCAAAAAACCGTTCCCGGTGGTGGTCTGTGCCTGTTTCATAGTTATCATGCAGGAACCACCCAAGGTGGTTCGATGAAGTCTATATAGCCAGCAAGTGAATGTAAAACACCAGGATGCTGGAGCCTGTCAAAGTCTCCTCCGATACGTTCAAAAAGATCCAGAGGCAGCCCAACTTTGGAAATGATTACAATCTGTACTACTTGTTGACCGGGGAGTTCCCCCAGAACCACGTTCTGAACATCGAGGAACCGTTTGCCGGCTATCCGAAACTTAAAAAACTGCACGAGCTGAAAGCCAAGCACAACTTGCACCATGCTCATCCGGCCATGGGGGAGCAGTGTACCATGAAGAATCTTCCCGACAAGCTCAAATCTTGGGCGAGTGATAATATGCATTTCGACGTTGTGATGGTCCACGGATGCATATCACCGACCCCGTCCCTCGCTGCTCTGAAATCAATTCCTGTGGCGGAAATAACTCCCCGTCCGAGTTTGGTTTTTCTTTGGGTTCCGACCAGTCGCTTAGACGACGGTCGAAAGGCTCTGGAACATTGGGGGTTCAGACGCAGTGAAGATATTGTCTACTTTGTATCTTCAGAAGACTCAATTCATATGCCACCTCCAAACCCGAACCAGTTGTTGAAGTCGACGACTTGGCACTGCCTTATGGGACTGAAAGGAACACTCCGCCGAAGCACTGATTCGAACCTGATCAACTGCAATGTCGATATCGACAGCATAATTGAGAGGCCCAACCAACGACCCAATGTGGTCCCTGAGGATATTTACGAACTCATTGAAAACTTTAGTTTGATGGCCCGCCGCGTGCACATTCTCCCTACACCTAGCCCGTTACACCTACCGGTTAGGTTGAGGCCTGGCTGGCTAATTGTGAGTCCAGACAGCCTGATTTCGAATGTTGATGCAGAATACTTCCGTGGCAACCCACGGGTACCCGTCGACCCCGAAATTGATATGCTTCGGCCCAAAACTCCGCCCAACGGAAATATGAGTAAATGAGAAATGATTAGGATATGGATGTGAGAATAAGAAATAGAGATAAGAATAAAAAATAAAGGGAATAATGCGAAAATAATCAAGCCTCCTCATCGTCCTCATCGTAAGATGTCAAGCCTAGGGCCACCGTGGAAGCCAAAGAAGCATGCACACGTACTGCTGGTGAGCATTTCACAGTATGAGGCATATCTAAAATTTCTCTGTCAGAGAACGTACCTTTTTCAAAACGGGCGCCGGCTTGTGCCAATTCCTCGTCAGTGCCTAGCCCAAAACAACCCGAGTGGGCCGAGTCACAACCCCACGTTTTCATTTCGCCTTCAGATGTGAGGGCAACAGAGTGGCCAAACCCCAAAGCAACATCAACCACATTGTGCAAATCAGGAACAATACGCATTCCGATTTCTCCAAAAATATTGCCGTCCACCAAGTTGATCTCCAAGGCCCTCCCATTATCTGTCAGGGCAACAAAGCGGTTGCACTCGGCAAAAACTTTAACAAATCGAGTTTTCGGGCCGGCCACCCGGTCATAGAATGGGAATTGAGTGGTCACAATGCCCTGAAGAGACTCTATATGGCTGTGGTTCAAATCTTCAAAAGGAATTGAAGAGACAAAAAGCTCGCCCGCCCGGTCGACGTGAACGATGAACTGACTTGACGCAAACGTGCGCTTCGATCCGACCCCCATTGCTAAATCAACAATCTCCTCCATTCCAGATCCGCCAGTTTTGGGAACAACTGCGCACTTGACATCCGATCCACTTTTGTTGCTCAGAACTGAAGTGAGCACAAGGCCCACCTGCGGGGAATAAAACAATTTCAGGGTTGTCAGTGCGCACATAGCAACCATATTTGGTGAGACTTTATAAGGCATATTGAAACTGGAACTGCTTCCATCAACGCACGACCACAGATGCCACCTCCCCTTGAAATCGCAAGCCATAATCTCAAAGTAACTGCAATGCATAGAAACGAACTTGGATACTCCCTGACTAGTCAACTGAGTAGCTGGTTTCGCAGGCGAGCCATCACTTTTGCTGGGGAAACTCACTTGCCACAATTCATTTGCAGAGTCCTGAACAACAACGAACCCAGGCGTAAACACAACGTCTTTGACGGGATGATCTACGCCTCTAAGAAGAGTGGGCCGCGACGCCACGCCTTCTCCGTCGCCGTCGTTTGCATAAATACCCCAAAAAAAGACTTTTGCAGCACGGCGCCGTATATAGAGCTCGCTCCAGAGTGTAGAATCCTCATAAGGCGTAGGGCCAAAGTCCCGGAAGTAAAGCTGTTTCCAAACATTGGAGGCGAGAACCAAATTGTTCAGCTCACGGCAGGTAGCTCGTAGCGCAAGTAGCTCCTCGGGCTCCAACAGTGGCAAAAGAGATATCTCAAGAATATTCTTGCCGAGAATGAGCATGTCTGCTGAATGGGTCGTGCTGATCTAAGCTTCGAGTATATATATGCAGTGCATGCATGCTAGCACATATGGCAACTCTCGAAAAGGAGGTATCGCGGGGTCAAACACCCGGCTAAATTGTAGTCCAGTATATACCCCGCGTTAGTGCATACAGCACCGTACCGGATTCTAGACACTACTCGATTTTGATTTACGTGCATCACCCGGCAATTGAGGCGTTGCGCATAGACGGCTTGGCCACGAGGCTTTTTTTTTTCCCTCGCCGAGCCTGTCACGGGACTACAGGTAAACGTAATCACGCCTCGGTTCTGCGGCTATCGAAGCACTTCAAGAGAGGTCATTTGATTTCGAATACAGAAAATGCTTATTTAGAAGTCCTCTTTGAGCCATTTGTTGCCGTTAGCAGGCTTGGGAACCTGCAGATTGAACTGGCGGGGGATGAACTCTGCACGGTGCGTGCTGTTGAGATTCTTGCGCATAACAATCTGGAAAGCAGTGGAAGAGCCCTCGCGAGCTACAATTGTCGACGAAGCAAGGAAAAATTCCCAAATGCGGAACCACTTGAGACCGTACTTGTTGATGACGCTGTCCTTGTTGCCCAGCCAGTTGCGATACCATCTCCAGATGGTAGCAGAGTAGTGGATACCAATCGTATCAACAGAAGTGATTTCGAACCCAGTAGCCTCCAGCTTATCAATGGTCCAGCCCAATGGAGTAGAGGCATCAGCACCGGGGAAAATGTACTTGTTCATGAAGAGACCCCAAATGAGGTCCTCGAACTGCCAGGACTTGCGCAGACCAGCGTACTGCATGAAGAAAACACCATCGTCGTCAAGCATATCGTAGACCTGCTGCAAGAAGCTGTTGAACTTACGGACACCCACGTGCTCGGACATCTCCAAGCAGGTGATGCAGTTGTATTTGCCCTCGGGAACGGGAGCATCGCGATAATCCATGCAAAGTATCTTAGATTGGCTGGTGGGGATGCCGTCCTTAGCCAAATTGGCATTACCCCACGCAGCTTGGTTGCGGCCAAGAGTAACACCGGTAACGTGGGCTCCATACTGGGAGGACAGGAAGCGAGCCAGAGTACCCCAGCCGCAGCCGAGATCAAGAACGCGATCGCCCTTCTTGACGCCAATCTTCTCAGCAACAACACGCAATTTGTTGTCCTGGAGTTCCTCGAGAGTCTCCTCGCGCGTGATGTCGCTAACAATGCCGGAAGTATAGATCATGCGGGGGCCAAGGAACCACTCGTAAAAGTCGTCACCACGGTCGTAGTGCTCGCGGACCTGCTCCTCGTCCTGCGATCGGGAATGCATAATGACCTCAGGGATCATACCAAAAAGGAAGAACTTGTACAAGCCAAGTGTGAAGCGGAAACTAGCCCAGTCGTGACGCATCTCAAGAACGTCGAGAGCGTCACCCTTGAAAGAGACCTTATTCTCAAAGTACAACTCGTAAAAAGTCTCATAAGGGATCTTGTTGTTTCCTCTGTACTTCTGGGCCAACTCTGGATCGTGGAACTCCAGGTAGTGCTCAACACCCTTTCCAGGGAGCTTGCATTTTTCATTGATGCGAGGCAGATAGGTCGAAGTAATGGACCAGTATGCCATCAAAATGGGAATAGCAAAGAGAGCAGCCAGAATAACAAACGTCACAAAACCGCCGCCAATTTTTCTCTTGAAGTAATACGGAATCCCCAAAAGTAATCCAATCAAAATGGTGTTGGAGAATCCCCGTGCACCGGCACCCTCAGCAATCAACACACCATTCTTGATGGTGGGGATATTCGTAGTACGAATACCAGTTTCAGTGCTCGGCTCCGGCTGCGGCTTCGCAGGTGGAGTGGCTTTGAACTCAATAGACATTGGTATTACAAAGAGTAACGTTACGCGGCGATACTAAACTTAATGTGACACGTACTTTGCTATTTGCCCTAACCCATATTGGATCCCTAGATCGTTCAGGCCGAAAGCTCGATACGACCTGGGTAGACAAAGAAGCTCTTAATTTATCGGTATCTTATAATAATAAAAACATTCAGCGTCTGTGGCTTCGGCGCTGCTCGGTAACCCATTTATCAATACTCCGCATCTGCTGGTCGTGGAGCTGTAAATATCGGTAGCGGCACGATATACCCTTAATGTTCTTCTCTTCAAATCGTTCAGCAATAACGTCCCACATCGCTCTTTCGTGTTGGTTCACAAGTGACACCAGCCGCATGTCGTACTCGCTGTTCCAGTCATTGAATTGGCGAGCCAACATCGAGCTATAATGCACTTGAAGCGACCGTGATCCTCGCACCGGGAGCAAGGAAGCAATGTGGGCCCAGCTCATACCTTCTTCTCGGAGCCTGAGCATAACATACTCTTCCTCCATAGAGAAACGAGGACGCTTGAAGCTCTCGATCGAAGTGGTGTCTACTGTCTCTCCTCGTTTGATAGGGCCTTTGTTTCTGGGGGCACCAGGACTCTTCTCAATTATGAAATCCTCCTCAACAGGACTTGTGTCACTAGATCGTGGAGGTGTTGTCATTTGTGTTCCGGGTGAGGAAGGCCTAAGACCAGACGAACGGGGTACTGCCCGCTTCCTAGGTTTCGCAATAGGCTTTCGAATCCGCCCGTGCTGAGTTTGAGCATATTGAGATGCAAGAGAGCTGCTCTTCACACTGCCAAACTTGTCGTCGCTGTGCAATGGCGGCTGGCCATCTTGTGACACAGGTTCTGGTGCACGCCAGCCCCACCCCTGATGATACCCCCATCCTGGCTGGCCCTCACCCTCGGAAATGGATAGTTCACAAGCTCGCTCTTGTAACTCATTTGCATTATAATAGCCCTGTTGAAAGCCAGGTTGATAAGAAGAAGGTAACACATTTGAGCCCTCAAACTGCTGGGCTCCATAGTCCTCGCTTGGGTAGCTCTTCACATCAACACAGTAGCAACAAGTACAGTAGCTATCGTGCGGCCAGTATCCCTGGTCATCAGTAGTGTACCTTGCTGTGCTGGCTGATGGAGCTTTGCGACAGAGCTCCCACGGAGACAACATAGGCGGGGGCTGCCATGGCTGGCTCTGCTCAGGACCAGCTTCAGACTTGACGTCGCCACATGTACGGGGCTCCAATCTTGGAGATGTTGACGCAAGATGCTGAGTTTGAACTCTATTTCCTTGTCTTGGTACGGCGTCAGCTTGCAAGTTGCTGTAAACTGACTCTGGCGTTGCGCCTCCTCTTGCTGGTCCTCGAGTCGCAGCAGGCGGGCCCTGTCTGGAGTAAGTCACCATTGAGCCATGGATTGCAGCTTGATCTATCGGTTCCTGAGTCTGAAACACGTCAGGTTTCGTTTGGCTCATATTCAGTTGAGGTGATTTTTTCTGCACCACTTGTGAAACTGTAAAGTTTTAGTATTTCCCGAGCTGTGGTTCAGCGATGCGGTTTTTACATGCATTGCGAGGTATGCAGGGCTCTGTACAAACTAAACGCCACTGCTGGGTGTGACTTCCATTAAGCTTGCAGAACTTCGGGTTTTTCAACCCCGAACTTTTCTCAACGGTTCGACACCCTGTGCCTACGATCTGTTAGTGGGCCCTTTGATGGTATCGATCGTAGTTCAAAAACGATTCCCGGATCTCTCAAATCGCCTAACCGAATCTATTTTCTTCATGCATATGCTGTACATTGCCGACTTGGTTATCTGTCTCAAACATGCAGATCGTAAAGGTTTCAGCTGTCGCAGGCCTCTATGATGTCGGGCACGTAGCTCACAGTCGGTCAAAAGTAAATTGAAACACGAGATTATGGATTACACAGAGTGATACTCTTAGACTATTTTGGCCAAGTGTTTCGTTGTTTTCAAGAAAAGTAGGGGAAGAGCATGCCTAGGGTTCTCGATGCAGGGTGAGGTCACAATCAGACCAGGATCAGTTACTTTAGGTAGTCTAGTAGAAAGATCTCTTGATATTTTGCAACTTGTGACAGGAAACCTCTCCTCAACAACCCCTAGTAATGGCCTTCTAGGCGATATGTGATTCTAAACATTAGTTCTCTTACGTATCAATTTAATCTGTATAGAAAGAATTGCTTTGAGATATGATCAAGCTGCATATCTTAATTCTTTTGCTGCAATTACGTGTGGTGAAAAGGGTGTCGGAACGGGCCATGACTCAACGAGACATTGTTTCAAACAAAATGTCTTACAGTCCTGTTTACACGACATGACAGGGGGAATTAAGCTCGGTTCATGCCTTGCGAGTGATTCCATATGCAGCATGTCTCAGTTCGTCAAGGTGAGACAATAGAGGTCAAACATTTACGGGTGCAATCTTGCGCAACAGGAACTCGTGCATATCCTGCCAGTAGCCAGGCTGCATAGGAGTATCATTGTGGGTGCCCTTTGGATAAATCTTCTGTAGTTTATACTTTGACGGGCAAAGGTCGAATAGCTCTTCGAAATGTGAGGGCGGGATGAGCTCGTCTTTGCCGCCTCCAAGCCATAGAGAAGGGATGTCTGGCTTCAACAGCTTGATCCGCTCGGCGGAATCCCACCGCTCAGTTACCATCCATGAAAACGGCCGAGCAATTGGGATCACAATCGGGATAAGTTTGCACACGCTCAAGAATGTGTTCTCCAAAACGATGCCTTTGATGATATCAGAAGCACCGGGGAGCGTGGCCAGATACGTTGCGACAGCGCCACCAAGACTTCGACCGTACAAGACAATAGATGTAGTACTCAAGTCGTGGTTCGTCTTGATGTAGCTAAGGAGGGCCTGGGCGTCCTTCTGTAATCCTTTCTCACTGGGCGAACCAGTGGACTTACCGTACCCGCGGTAACTGACTGTCATAACATTGTAACCCATTTGGTCGTAAAAGATCTTGGCCAGGGGTAGGTAGTGGCCCATGTTGCCTGCGTTGGGTCCCAAAAGAACGATGGTTTTCGGGCTCTTTGGACCTCGAACCATCACATAGGCGTGTAATCTTTCGCCATCAATAGTATCAATCTTGACATCCTCGTATGGAATGTTGTACATGGTCGGTGTATCGACTTCCGTGCGGCTTCCCTCAGGGAAATTAGACGGGTATATCAAGTACTTTTGTACCTTCTCAATTGTGAACTTGAGCGCTAACACAGCAAGCCCGACGTATATCACCCAATTAGTCTGCATCTCGGAATTCGCCTTCTTCGATAACTGACCCAGTTGCTCTAGTGTCAATTGCCCTAGTCCAGGGTTAAAACAGAGACGTTGATGAGGTGGGGGTGGGGTTGGTGGCTCAAAAGGCTATTTATGTCAGCCAGCTGGAAAAAACGCTCCAAAATTTGTAATGTCGACAAACACGCCGACCAGCGCAGCCAATGCGCTTTCTGACTTGAAGCTGGAAGGCCGTAAAGATAAGGAGGACGCTGCCAAGAAAGAGGGCTCTGCCGAGACTGAAGGGGATGTCACGAAGTCCGAACAAAACCTTATTCAAAACGATTATGAAGTGCAAGTGAAGCTGGCGGATCTGCAGGCAGACCCAAATTCTCCGCTTTATAGTGCTAAATCTTTCGAGGAGCTTGGTCTGAGCGACGAGCTGCTGAAGGGACTGTACGCTATGAAGTTCGCCAAGCCGTCGAAGATCCAGGAGCGTGCCTTGCCTCTGTTGCTTCATAACCCGCCCAAGAATCTGATCGGACAGTCTCAGAGCGGTACAGGCAAGACGGCAGCTTTTGCATTGACCATGCTGTCCCGGGTCATTCCCTCAATCCCCACCTGCCAGGCGTTGTGTCTTGAACCAAGTCGTGAGCTGGCTCGCCAAACTATGGAGGTCATTCGCAAAATGTCCAAGTACACAAACATAACTTCGCAGGTTGTGGTTCCGGGTTCAACTGAAAAGGGTGCCAATGTGGTTGCTCAGGTTGTGGTTGCTACTCCGGGCTCTCTTCTTGAGGCAATTCGTCGTAAACAGCTCGACGTGTCCAAACTCCAGGTGTTTGTTCTTGACGAGGCCGACAATATGCTCGACCAGACCGGCATGGGATCGCAGTGTGTTCGAGTGAAAAAGGCCGTCCCCTCGACGACCCAGCTCGTGTTGTTTTCTGCTACTTTCCCTGACGAGGTGTACAAGTATGCCCAGACGTTTGTGCCCAACGCTAACGAGATCCGGCTGCAAACTGTCGAACTGAATGTCGATGCGATCAAACAATTTTACATGGACTGTGACGACGAAATGGCCAAGTTGACTGCTCTCAAAAATCTCTATGGCTTGTTGACAGTGTCCTCGTCGATGATTTTCACTCGAACTAAGAAAACTGCCGACTGGCTCTACAAACAGCTCACCGCCGATGGCCACACGGTATCTGTGCTTCACTCTGATTTGACCAGCGAGGAACGTGATCGTTTGATCGACGATTTCCGTGAGTTCAAGACCCGTGTCTTGATCACAACTAACGTGCTTGCCCGTGGTATAGATATTCCCACCGTCTCTATGGTTGTCAACTACGACCTACCGGTCGACAAGGATGGCAAAGCTGACCCAGCTGCTTATCTCCATCGTATTGGCCGCACCGGCCGGTTCGGTCGCACGGGTGTGTCCATTTCGTTTGTGCATGATCAGGAAAGCTACAAGGTTCTTAACGACATCACAAGTTATTATGGGGAGGGTATCAAAATGACCCATCTTGATATCAAGGATGGAGATTGGGAAAAAGTCGAAAAGATCCTTAAAAAGGCTATGAAATAAGTTATAGTTTAGTCCATAATTGGCGCTCCACTGCCGAGCTGTTTACGGAATATCTCGTCAAGAAGGCGCTCTTTGGCAATCCACTCGGCTTTGTACTGCTCCTGCAGATCGTCGTTCTGCTTTTTCAGAAATTCACCGATCTGCTCAGCCTGGGCCAGCCGTTCTTCGAGCTCAGCAGTCGTCATGTTCACGTCCATCGCAGGTGTCGGGTTGCTCTCCCAGAACTGTGTCAATGAGGGCACCTCTGGTGCGGCAACCCTCACCGGTTCCGGCAGCTCAGGAATCCGCGCCACACTCTTGGTCCGGCGCTCCTCCTCGTCGCTCGACGACATATCGGTTGAGACATCGCTCATGATTGTCAGCTGGGAGAGCCCGGACCAGTCCATTCAAGACGGTTGTCCCGGTACAAACGGGGTTTTTATCCGGATTTCAAGAAGGTTGTTTTACTTATATACTTGGTATAGTCTACATATTTTGGTCATACTGCCCCCTTGGCCATATTGAAGTCATCTTTCTCCCCCAGACTCCTAATTTTCACAGCCGCGGTGAATTTTGCTGATTCAGTCATGCTGGCCCATCGAATTTTGGCGGCTTTGGACAAAGGTCCTATTGCCAACACCAGTGAAGCGTTCCCTAATGAGGACCCTGCTGCTATTCAAGCTGCTGTGTTGTCGCTTTCAGATAAGAATATGATCACTAGCAAGACTATCGAGCGAGAGGTTTGGACACCTACAGCGGAGGCTACTGATATTCTGCAAAACGGTTCTCACGAGAAACGGCTGTACGACGAAGTCGTGAAATCCATCGAGGGCCTCAAAATTTCGGACGTTGCCAAGATTTTGGGCCCGGCAGGTAAAATGGGCCAACAGCGGGCTTTCAAAAACGGCTGGGTGAAAAACGACGGTGACAAGCTTGTAAAGGTCGTTGACAGCGTCGAGGGTGATCCGACCAGAGAACTGCTGGAAAAGGTTGTCAAGGATCCCTCTTCTGTCCCAGCGAAGGAGCTCCAGGAGCTCAAAAAGCGGAAGCTCATCAACAAGTCCAAGCAGATTTGGTACGAGCTGGGTAAAGGCCCCGAGTTTGCCCTCGAAATTCAAAAACTCGAAACAGACCTCACCATGGATATGCTTCAGTCAGGCGAGTGGTCGAAAGCCAAGTTCAAGGGCTATAATTTCCAGGCCCAAGGTGCCGATCAGGGCGCAGGTGCTCTTCATCCTTTGAACAAGGTTCGCGAAGAGTTCCGGTCTATCTTTTTCAATATGGGCTTCGAGGAGATGCCCACTGATAATTATGTCGACACTGGTTTCTGGAATTTCGATGCGCTTTTCGTCCCCCAGCAGCATCCTGCCCGTGACCTGCAGGACACCTTCTATATTAAGGATCCCGCCGAGGGAAAAGACCCGGAGGACAAGGTTCATTACGAGCATGTTCGCAACGTTCATCAGAACGGAGAGTTTGGTTCTATCGGCTATCGCTACCCTTGGAAAGAGAGCGAAGCCCGCCGTCTTGTGTTGCGAACCCATACCACTGCTGTTTCAGCGTCGATTCTCCATGACCGCGTTGCACCAAACCCCCGCCCGGCACGTTATTTCAGTATTGATCGGGTGTTCCGCAACGAAGCGGTGGATGCGACCCACTTGGCCGAGTTCCACCAGATTGAAGGTGTCATCGTAGACTACAATTTGACACTAGGTGATCTCATTGGATTCATGCAGGAATTCTTCTCCAAGATGGGTGTGCATGAGCTGCGCTTCAAGCCCGCCTACAACCCATACACCGAACCGTCCCTAGAGATCTTTGCATTCCACAAGCAGCTGGACAAGTGGGTCGAGATCGGAAACTCTGGGCTGTTCCGTCCTGAGATGCTGGAATCGATGGGCTTGCCCAAAGACATGCGGGTTATTGGTTTCGGCCTGTCCCTGGAGCGGCCCACGATGATCAAGTATCATGTTGCCAACATCCGCGAGCTTCTGGGCCATAAGGTCAGCCTCGATTTCATCAAATCAAACCCGGCGGTCCGGTTTGACGAGAACCTAGTTTAGAATGAATAAATCTCTACTTTGTTACAGCCCCGCTTTTCTCGCCCTGCGGTATCCCTTACCAAGGTTTATAATTCACCTGCGCATCTGCACGGCAATCGACAGACAAGTGCAGTGTGCATGCGTCTTTAAAACGGGCAAGTCATTCGTTCCCTGCGGACCTGGGGGGCGTGTCATGCTGATGTTAGGGTTAGATTGGAGCAGGTTTATATTGGACGCGAGACTTGGCAATCAGCTTGCTACCCCTCACAAAGAACATCTTTTTCGAACTGGATTTTCTGTGAATCTGACCCATGACTGACGTTTGTACTCTTATTCTGGCGGTTCTTCTACCCCCTGTTGCTGTCTTCCTTGAGGAGGGCTGCGGCACCCAGCTTCTGTTGAATGTGATTCTCTGCTGCTTCGCCTGGTTCCCTGGCATCATCCACGCCCTGTGGGTCTGTAGCAAGCACTCGTGAGCTGTATAGCTCCACGGGCTGGAGTTCAGTGGTTCGCCGCTGGCTTCTGCCCCATTGGGACGCTCTTGTGCGGACGCCTTGCTCTGCAAAGCTTGCCCACTTTTGTTGTTTCAGCTTGCAGCGATCCCGCAACGTGTACTGTTAAGACAGCTTTGTTGTTGACTCAGTCTGTCTTGGGGAGCAATCTTTGCTGTTTTGTGCTGTTTCCTGATCGTCAGTGTGAGTGCCGTGCGAGTTAGCATTTCCGCTACATAGATGTCTAATCCCTCTAGAAAACAGTTATTTCTTTCGAGTAATTCTAGTTAATTGCTACTACTTGTACTTGTATGCTAATTTTCGGTTGGTTTTCCATTCGATTTGTTCTACGGTCTTCTGGGCGATTGATCTGGTAACCTACGCATCTAACTTAGACTGCGCAACGGTGCAAATAATATCAAGGAGGAGGGGGCAGACGACTTTGCCAAAATAACAACAAAAGTAGACAAACACACAAACTATCAACTAATACGATAGCAAGCTTGATGTATACCAATAGACAGCTCCGGACGTCGACGCTAAAGCCAATATGCATACGGACATACATGCATATATCCACCGAACGAACTTGACTACCTACCATGCTGTGCTTTCGAAGAGCAGATATTGTTGAGAACGAGAAGCTAGTCACACCGACGAGACGGTCGAAGCAGTCGATCTTACACCGACTGGATGCAGAGGTAAACCGCGAGCTGACGGCTGCTCACAACCAGGACGTCAAGCGGGCACTATTTCTGGGAACAGGCGAGTCGGGCAAATCGACCGTATTCAAGCAGATGCGAATTAACCACGGCGACCACTTTACACAGTTTGAAAAGGTCCAGTTCTCCAAGTTGATCTGGGCAGACACCCTCCGCTCTATGCGGGGGCTGGTTTATCTTGCCGAAACGAGAAACTTGAAGGTTCCAGCTAAACTCCACGACTCATACCAGACATTGCTGGGACTAGATGTTACAAGAGGGGTAATTGTACAATCAGAGACCGACCCTGATGCAAGAAGGTTCCTGGAGCAGCACGTGCCGCCCTCGCCTGGAGGCAAGCCTGATCCCCTGTCGCCATCCATGTCGACGATTTCCGAAGAAGATATGCGGCCCCGATGCACACACCCCAAGTATATGAAGGCCACGCGTGAGCAAATTGCCCAAGCAGTGTACCTATTGTGGACAGAATGGCCAGAACTTCGAGAGTTGTCAATGCCGGCTATTTTAGAGTCCAACGGCCCGTACTTTTTTGCCAAAATACTCGAATACAGCAGACCCGACTACCAGGCCTCAGCGGCAGACATTGTAAACGCCCGGCTCAAAACTACCGGCATTGTCGAAACCACGTTTGACATCCGGGGAAGTAAGCTGGCGGTTATCGACGTAGGAGGCCAACGAATTGAGAGAACCAAATGGGTGCACTGCTTTGACGACGTCACATGTGTGCTTTTTGTAGTGGCGGTTTCCGAGTTCGACCTGACCCTCCGCGAAGATGACCAGGTGAACCGGCTCGAAGAATCCCTGGAGGTGTTTGACCAGTGTGTCAATTCCAAATGGCTGCACGACAAGCCCGTGACACTATTCCTGAACAAGATGGACATTCTCGAGTCCAAACTGGCCTACTGCTCATTCAAAAAGCATCACCCCAATTTCCAGGGAGACGAGCAAAACCCCGAACAGGTCGTGGACTACATTGAAGGCCTATTTCGTGCCCGCATGAAGTCACAAGGTGCAGCCTACCGTGGACTGTACACTCATCGCACGTGCGCGACTGATATCAAGTCCATGAAATTTGTTGTCGAGGCGGTAACAGATATGGTATTTGTGAAGAACATGCAATGGGCCGGGCTAGTATAATAACACTGCAGATTAAATAAAGCTACTACAATCGAATGAACCCACGAGCAAGAACGCCCTTCCAATTGGCAAACTCTGAGCATTATCTCTAGTTGGTCATGCTACTTCCCCACCATGCCTTAATCTCCGCAGCCCACATGCGGTCAGGTACAGCCGAGGTGACGGGTACCCTTTGCGGTCTTTTTTTTTATTATTATTTCAACTAAATAGAACGCAGGGGGATAGCGGGTGCATCTATTAACCGACCGCAACCAATGGACAACGCTTTGGTAGCGAAAACACATTATTCACTAGATAGCCTCACCTGATTGCTTGCATGTGCGGTGGGGTGGCTCCGCAGATCATCGGGCCCGGATTCCTAGGTTACGACCTGCAGTGGGTAGGTAAGGCGATTTCTTGGTGCGAATGCGGTTATACATATGCATCAGCCATTAGGGCAAGGGCTCAACCGAGAAAGAAATTCCATAAAAGATCATGAGGGGTAGACGAAAACGAACATCACCTTATCTCAACCACTCGTTCTCTCAGTGGCCCAGAAAAGTTGAAGACACGTTCTCAGTGATCATATTTGGATCCTTTCAGCTGAGCTCTGCTCGTATCCACGTTTTATTTATTTTATCATGATCATTTCAGACTACGGTGAATCGGTGAGAACCGTGCCCGGGGCCCCCAAAGTGCTAGTTTCCACAACGCCGTCGTCCTGTCCCACTGTTTCTCAGGACGGTACCACGTGCCACACTCCTAACGCGGACACGGTGGTATCTCAGAAATCTCACGAGTTCATGTCCACCACCGAGCTTCTCCAGAAAGCGATCTGGAAAGCGGAGGTCGCTGTGCTCATGCGAGACATTTCTGAAATGTCCTGTTGAGCAAAAGGGCCTACAGTGAACCTCAACGAACCCTAAATGACCAAAACGAACCTTTCAAACCCAAAAATATTTGCACGTGCACTGATCACCTAAAACCCTCGGCTCCTGAACTAATCACGCCTATTCTGCGCTCTGCATTCAAGTCGGGGAACATTAAAAAAGCTAACACTCTATATTCACAAAACATAACCATACTCCTATTCACACCTTGGCCTCAGCCTGTTTGCCCCTTCGCCGAAGAAAATAGACCACACCTGCAGGCACGCCTGATATTCCGCTGAGGCTTTTTCAACATGTAACTGGGGTACAGCAGCGGGTGTCATGGAAACGGGCTAGACCCCGTGGGGTTTTTGATAACCTGAAAAGAGGCCTAAATAGTGGGAACAAAGGAGAATTAAACGAAACGGTGAAATTAATTAATTTCAAATGCGGTATTCGACAGCACGAGAGCGGCTTCCATGGCCAATCCACGACGCAATGCGCCCGGCCCGTCAACCAGCCGCCAAACGCCTCGAAGGCCGATCAAAAACTAACAATTAACTCTCTACATCACCCGCGGGCCCAATCACCTCCGATCCCGCTAGGCTCGATTGCCGGCTGAAAACCGCAGCCCCTAACCCTGACCGTTACCCGCCTGTGCTCGGTGAATGGTTGGTTATTAAACTATTGTCCCGACGTTGTCAATTCACACCTCTATTTTTCATAATGTTGTCTCGCACTGCCCGTTTCTCTGCCACTCGTGCTTTCTCTTCTTCGGCTGCCTCTGCCTACAAGGTTGCTGTCCTTGGTGCCGCCGGCGGTATTGGCCAGCCTCTGTCATTGCTCCTCAAAGAGAACACTGACGTCACCGAGCTCTCCCTCTACGATCTCCGCGGCACTCCCGGTGTCGCTGCCGACATCTCCCACGTCAACACCAAGTCTGTTGTCAAGGGCTACACCCCCGAGCAGGGCGGGATCGATGCCGCTCTTGAGAACGCCGATGTCGTTGTCATTCCCGCTGGTGTCCCCCGCAAGCCCGGCATGACTCGTGACGATCTTTTCAACACTAACGCCTCCATCGTCCGCGACCTCGCCAAGGCTGTTGGCAAGAACTGCCCCAAGGCTCTTGTTGCCATCATCGCCAACCCCGTCAACTCCACCGTCCCCATCGTTGCTGAGGTCTTCAAGAACCAGGGTGTCTACGACCCCAAGCGTGTCTTTGGTGTCACTACCCTCGACGTTGTCCGGGCTTCTCGCTTCCTTGCTGAGGTCGCTGGCACCAACCCCGCCGACGAGAAGGTCACCGTTGTTGGTGGTCACTCCGGTCACACCATTGTTCCTTTGCTTTCTCAGTCTAACCACCCCGACTTGTCTGCCGACAAGTACGAGGCTCTTGTCCACCGCATTCAGTTCGGTGGTGACGAGGTCGTCAAGGCCAAGGACGGTGCCGGCTCTGCCACTCTTTCCATGGCCTTTGCTGGTGCCCGCTTTACCAGCTCCTTGCTCAAGGGCCTCAAGGGCGAGAAGGTCACCGAGCCTACTTTCGTCGAGTCTCCTCTCTTCAAGGACGAGGGCATTGCCTTCTGGTCCTCTCCCGTCACTCTTGGTCCCAACGGTGTCGAGAAGATCCACGACAACGGCAAGCTGAGCGCCAAGGAGGAGGAGCTCATCGCTACCGCCAAGGCCGATCTCGTCAAGAACATCAAGAAGGGTGTTGACTTCGTTGCCCAGAACCCTTAGATTTCTGGCACAGTATATAGAATATAGTGACAGGCTTAGCTTGAATACTATCGCTCGGCTATATTGACCCGTGAAGTTGGTTTATGATTTTTGGTTCTTGATTCTTGTTTCAATTGTCAATATTGTTAGTATCGCATCTTATGCACACTTTTTCACCCCGTTTCACATTTGCTCCGAAACGCCCATTTCCTGCCGTTATCCTTTTGGATAGTGATCATCCGAATCGAGCAACTATGTTCATCAATACAGCATATTGCAGTTGCCTCGCGTGAAGGCCGATACACACTGACATATTAATCAACCAGTCGCGCGGGTGAGCGAGCGGGGCTGGCAGGCGTTGCGGGGAGGTAATCATCGTGTACATACTTTCAACAATCTATTGCACAACACTCTAGATAAGAAAGAACCTTATGGTTAGATAACTGTATGCACGAGTAAGTCAATGCCCAAGTGCCGGTTGACCCAACGTGTATGGTGCCACTCACAAACCGGAGATCGATAATCAGGCTCAAGCCTCATGCATGTAATGCATGATACTGCAGTAACGACATTGCATTGGTGAAACGTCTGAAAAGTAGAGGTTTCGCTGGGGCAGAGTATATATTTTGATAACCTATACATACCGAGTCTAAAAACCTCGACGTTTAGCGGCGGTCTCGGTTGAAACAGGAAAAGAGACACCCCCGGGCACGTGTCCCAGGGCCGCTTATTTCAGCAGTCACCACCTTAAACACGACTCAGATGCGTACCGGGCCAGCCCTCGTCAGGGTGGGGGTTAGCGGTGCTAATAATATGCGTTTTTTTTTTCCGAAAAGCCAGCACAATATGCTCCTAAAAACCGAATTAACAGGGTTTGGAGCCACTCTCTGGATACCAGCATCACCGGTAGGCATCGAAGTAGATGTATTTAGCAAGCGTGATCACCGCACAATCACGCGGCGACCGCATGCACCTTTTCGGTGGTTCAACATATTTTGAGCAGAAATAGCCTGTGGGAAAGGACATGAAAAAAATTATTTTCGGTCAAGCTCCTAGCCAGGTCCAACCCCACCAATGTGCAATCTATTGGTATGAAGAACAATAGCTGCTACACAAGCAAGCTCATCGAATATACAATTATAGCCGTGCCATCTGATTATAGCCATCAATCGGGCTTAAACTGTGTCACGTGCGAACCCACATGATTGTGCAGCACCATGAACGAACCAGCGTGGGATATAGGCCATGGTCTAGATGAGTCGATAAGTTGATGTAGAAAGCTAGTAAGGATACTGGAGTTTGGATACAAATGACCAGTCTCAGATGCTGCAAATGTAAGACACACAAGAAACGCTCCATTATCACAACCACTCAGCGTTTCACCGGCATCAGTCCATCTCACCTCGCTAAATGACTAACCCGTTTCGTAGGTAACAAATGAGAGATTGCTGCGATAAATCATCGAGTGATGCACAGTAGGTCCCCGCATCTGAAATCGCACTGTTGGTTTCAGTGGGTATTTCCGTGAAACAATACTCAAGCGTTTTGGCCCCCAAACTCGTGCCCTAGTAGATAATTCCATAGCGTAACTTTGCCTGTGGATTCTCGGAGCCAACCCGACCGCCCAGCGTGGTGAAACTGAGCCACCACGAGAGGGTAAGTCGCTTAGCAATCCGGACTTTTCAGCGGTTGTTCTGCTTACAGGACGCGATTCCGACGCGTCAGGATGCGAACCCGCTATCGTCTGCGCGACCGGGCCTAACCCAAGTTGCTAGGGGCATATATAAGATCTCACAAGAAGCCGGTGAAAGGATTTCCACCACGATTGTTGCCTAAAGTCAACTAAACCAAGCTAATTCAGGGCCTGGATTCACTACAAGCAGTTTATCCTGTCATCTATTTATTCTAGCTGAGGTTTGTTTCTTGATTCAAACAGATCCTCGCCTGTTCGCACCAAAAAACCTGCGCTTCTGAACACTATCCAGAGTTTCTTTCATTGTCAATACTTGACTGTATTATTGCAGAGTGGTCTCTTCACACTACGCGGAACTAACCATACGTCAAACTTTCGCCGTATCGTTCACTATTTTCAACCCCTCTCTTTGGACACTCACACAAAACCATCGCTTTTGATACCTTATTACACAAAAAGCAATGGAGACACTTTCTATGCCCTCATTCCACACTGCAATGAACCGACGGGCTTTTTCGCTGCCTACAAGTGATGAATACCTGCCTTCCGACCTCGCCGACACCGAGTGGCACGCCGGCCATTCGCTCGAGCTCGACTTTGATCGTCGCGGCGTAGACCACGGCTTGCTAGGCAGCCATCAGACGTTTGACTTTGGTCATTTTGGCCAAGAGTCGTTGAGCGGCGAGGGCTCGCACCATGAGCCGCTGCGCCTCTCTTCGCACCCAAACTTGCCTTCTCCTAGAGAAAGCCCCGCTGAAGATACCCTCATTGAAGACTCGACGACAATGCCTGCCACACACGCCTTTACGAAGACGCTGGACGTCGCTACTTCGCCGCTTAAGCGATCTTACACAGTTGCGGATATTAACAACATGCACACTCCCCTGCGTAAACATCGTTACAATGACAACGACCTGGGTCTGGTTACCCCACTGTCTGCTACTTCTCGCGTTCCTGCGCCCTGGGGCTCAAAGCACGACTTTATGAGTCCCTTGTCCACCCCTCTGACTACCCCCCTTGCGACGCCATTGGCCACTCCTCTTCCTCTGAGTGAGTCGGATGGCGTTAACCCGTTTTATATTCCGCCTCAATGTATGCGACAGTCATCGGCGAGCTTTAGTCGTCCTCGCCGGGAAAGCAGCTTTGGCGTTGCCCCTCGCTCGGTTTCTGCGTCTGCTTTGAACTCGTATGCGTCTACTAGCAATGACACTGGTGCTGTTGGTGCTGCCGCTGCCGCTGCAGCCGCTGCTGCTGCTGCCGCCGCCGCCTCAGTTGGTTCAATGACCCCTGTCATCCACAGCCGCCAGGGCTCTCCTTTCAGCGATTGCGACCCCCTGGAACCATTGGGCGGCCACAGCCGATGTGATTCTCTTAGTAACATCGAGGTTAACGATCTCAGCGAGGAAAAACCCGACAAACCTTTCGGGTGCACACAATGTAACAAGAGCTTCCGCCGAATGGAGCACCTGCGACGACACCTCAAGATCCACACCAAGGAACGGCCATTTGCCTGCGAGGTTTCTGGCTGCGGCCGTAAATTTTCCCGCTCCGATAATCTCAAGGCCCACCTCAAGACTCACGCCAAACGCACAGGTCGGAACGTGTATGTGGAGGGCCTCGAGGAGGTGATGAACATCTCCATCAAGCGCCGTCGAACAATTATGTGAGTTAGCTGCGTTTTTTACACAAACATTCGTTATTTATCAACAGTAAAAGCTATTTTTCTCGACAATCTTCTGTCATAATAATACCGCCCTAGGGGAGCATTTCGCGAACTACGCCGTCGCCGCCGAGAGTAGCTGAGGTCATGAACTCCTGCTTGGAGATGTAGGCCATTAAATAGGAAAAAGCGGTGACGGTGTAAACAGCAGCACAAGCAATCAGTGAAGTAGCTTGAACGCCGATGCCTCCCCATTGGATCGCCGCGCAGATTGCATAGAATCCAGCACGAGGCAAGTTCTGGTGGAAAAACTTCATGAATGCTGCGAAACGTTCAGTAATAGGGCAAATGCGAAGCAGGAACGGAACCTCCAGGAACAAAATCAACAGTCCCTGGACAAGCGCGATTATAGAGAAGATAATAATAAGCCCCAGGTGCAGGAGATTGATGACCCCAAACACAATACTGAGAATGAAGCTCGCTACACCAAGCCATTGGCCGTATACGCTCCAGTTGCGGCTTTTGAGATCTGTCAAAAACCCGCTGGTTATGCCACGCCAAACAATTTTCGCGGCCTCCATGACAAAGCAGTAGGGTGGATGGTCCGACGGTGATATTTACGAGCGACAAATAGTAATAATAATTAAAATATTTAAATAGATCGCCGTTGGTCAGTAACTTTTTGTTTTTTCTTTCATTACGATTCAGGTAATGTAGATAAGATTGTTAAACATCATTCCGGTGGCGTGAAAGAGGGACGGAGAGAGGGTGCGCACGGACGGGCGCGGGTTTAGTTCAAGTCTTTGGCATTGACGTTCCTGGTCTCGCCAAATTCCTTGACAGAGTTGGGGTCCTGGACTAATTGGATGCCGGGGCCACTCGCGGCAATCTTTGCCTTTTCGTCTAGCTCTTTGTTCTCGTGAAGTCTTGCATTCAGAGCCTTGGCATCGACGTTACGGACCTCGGAGAACTCTTTGATATTCTTGGCGTCCGCGGGGATATGGAGCCCAGGTGCGCCGAGCTGAGCGTCCTGCGTTTGCTGGTGCAGGGTCTCATCCTTGGGCATGACGGTGGGCTTGTATTCAGACATGAGTGGCAATATAGAGTGATAAAAGGTGGAGAGGCAAACGGTTTTTTAAAGGGGGGGGTGGGCCGGTTACCTAATCGTTCTGCCGCCGCCGCCGCCGCCTCCGCCTTCGCGCAAGAATTGGTTACAGAGATGACAACCCTAACCCACACTCTACAGCGCTTGCAGGAAAGGGACCTATAGAACGAGGCTTGGTCGTTTGGATAGTTAACATCTTGACCATACATTCCCACAATTCATGACATTATCAAGTCTACTCAACAAAGTCGCAAGCAGGCCAGCGTCGTACCATAAAAAGGCGAATTACGAGTTCGGCGACGCCATGGGGGCCGGCGCCTTTGGCGTCGTTCGCAGGGCCCGCAATATCAAGACAAACGAAGATGTCGCCATCAAAGTGATTCTTCGCAGCAGAGTCAAAGGAAAGGAGGATGAGATCATGAGCGAGCTGGAGCTGCTCAAGCAATTGCACCACCCCCACATCGTCACTCTCAAGGACTACTTTGAGTCTAGAGACAAGATCTATATTGTGACGCAATTATGCACGGGCGGCGAGCTGTTTGACAGAATCTGCGAGCAGGGTAGCTTTACTGAAAAGGCTGCGGCAAAGATGTTCAGAGAGATCGCCGATGCCGTCCAATACTTGCACCACTCTAACATCGTTCACCGCGATATCAAACCGGAAAATCTCTTGTTTGAATCCAAAGACCCTGAATCTGAGCTGGTTTTATGTGACTTTGGCATCGCTAGGCCCCTCCACGAACCCGATGAGCTCATTACCTCTTCGGCTGGGTCTCTCGGCTACGCTGCGCCGGAGATCTTCAGCTCATACGGCCACGGCAAGCCGTGCGATGTATGGAGTTTGGGCGTGGTTCTGTTTACGATTCTCAGTGGCTACTCCCCATTCCAAGCAGAAACCCCGCAAGACTTTATGAGCGAAGTGCACCCTGGATTCACAGTTAAATTTCACACTCGGTACTGGAAGGACGTCAGCGATGACGCCAAAGACCTGATTCGCCAAATGCTGCAGTTCCGACCCGAGAAAAGACCAACAATTGATGAGGTTCTACAACATAAGTGGGTTACTGGCGCATCCAGCGAGCTCAATCTGTTGCCAGGCATCAAACCTGGCCTCAGCAGCCGGGCCAGATGGAGGCTCGCGTTTGAGCGGGTCCGCCTAGCCAAGAGAATCCGCGATCTCGGACTCGAGGACAGTGATGATGAAAGGCCCAAACCAATGCTCAAGTTCCATGAAGTGGTCCTGGCCGCGCAGCGAAATAAGGATCTGTTGACCGAAGAGTCCAAAGAACAGTCAACAGATGCATAGTTTATTTACACTTATACACATACACACATTTTAAGAAAGCTCAGGACGTGCCTTGATGTACTTTTCCAGATCTTCTGGCGTAGCAACCGCCATAACAAACCGACGGTCGTCGTCAGTGATAACCGCAAAGGCGTTGCCTTTGGCAAAGAACTTCTCGAGATCCTCCAATGGCGTATTAGGTGTAATGGGCTCATAGGGGGCCTTGCCTGTGAATCTAAAATAATGGTTCGCAACTTTGTCGTTGCCCTTGGCTGCGCCGTCCTTTTCCAACTGCTCGGCCGTCAGGTATCCCAGCAGCCGTCTGTGGCTATTAAGCACGGGCAGGAAGGAGAACGAGTGCTCGAAAGACATCTCTAATGCTTCTTGCAGTAGCATATCGGGCGTAATCGACAAGGCCGGCGGCCGATCGAGGTCTTCAACGGTCGCTCCTCGATAGTCTCTAGTCATTAAGCAAAATAGTAAGCATCGCGATTCATGCGGGAGGTCGATATTTATGAAGGAGTAAACAAAGTTACTCTCGTTCCAGCAGGAGCTGGGGTCGGAAAGAAAGGTAAAGGAGCAGGGTTTTATTGCGAGAGTTGCAATTTGACCTTCAAAGATAGCATACAGTATATGGATCACCTTAACTCTAAACAGCATCTTGACAATACGGGCCAAAGCACCAAGGTCGAGAGGGCTTCGCTTGCCGATGTAAAAGCCCGTTTGGAAATGCTGGCAGCCAAAATCGAAAAGCCCTACAACATTCATGAGGCGATTGCCAAAGCACAGGAGCAAGAGCGTTGATATATGTACGTATTTATTAGTTTTTGGGAGAAAGACCGTTCTTTGCTAAAGCTTGCTGAACATGTTCGTAGACCTTGTTGGGAGAGTCTGCACAGGACACCTTGAAGACCTTGTCAACGGTGTCAAAGTACTCTACAACCGGCATGCTTTGGGACTCAAAGACCGTGAATCTCTTTTTGATGGACTCGGCGTTGTCGTCAGCACGTCCTGAGGTCTCACCACGCTTGAGTAAACGGGGAAGCATCACAGAGATGGGGCAATCGAAGAAAATGGTGAATTTCGAGGGCACAACCTGCTCTTCAAAAGTGAGGGCCTGATCCATCTTGCGAGGGAAGCCGTCGATCAAGAAATTCGGAGTTCCCTGAGCAATTGACTCCTCCATGGCTTTTTTGAGCAGGGCAATAGTGATTTCCTGAGGAACAATCTTGCCGGCCTTGATGTAGTCGCGGATGAGATCGCCAAACTGAGACCCCTCACGATCTTGCTCAGCCCGCAACAAGTCGCCAGCACTTAGGTGCTTGAAGTTGTAGTCACGAACAATGTTCGCACATTGAGTGCCCTTGCCGCTGCCAGGACCGCCCAACACGAAAACAACGTTCACGTCCTGGGGAGAGAACGCGGTGCGCTTTGCCCGAGCCTTGATCTTGTTGTACTCTTCCTCGCTCATTTTGAAACCCCGCATAGGATTACGGGAGTCCTCATTGGGGTCGAGTCCATACAAAAACAGACCAGTACCAACGACCATGAACAAAATCATCCATTTCAACGGCTTGCCAAAATTGTTGTTGGGGTCGGGCTTCGAAGCAAACGAGCGGCGCAGAGTGGGCTGAGCAAACCGGCTGGCTTGCAACCTGTTCGTCTGAAGCATTGCCCGTTGGGCCAGTTTCAAATTCAAACCTCCGCGGTAGAACATTGCAGTTATCAGTTTGCTTGCTTGCTTACACTATAAATATATTTCACCAGAGAGGGGTATTGAAACAAAAGGGTGATTAGGCACCAAGTCATTACGGAATCAAGGTTTTTTTCAGACCAAAATGTCGCTGGTGAATCTCGGCCATCTCTGCTGCCATTTGCAGAATGTCAGCCGTGTGCGTAAACCACTCACGTCCGTTCCGCTCTCTAAGCTGAACCTGCAAGTCGTGCTCGGGCTCTACCGCGAGGGCTTCCTCTCTGCCGTCCAGCGTGGTGACTTGCAAGGCCCCGACCAGGAGTACACAGAAACGACCTTTGACAATATTTCCACTCGCAGGTTATGGTTAGGAATGAAGTACCGTGAGTTTAAACCAGTTCTACACAACGTGCACTTGGTGAGCCATCCAAACCGCCGGGTATTTGCAACCCACGGCGAGCTGGCTAATTTGGTTTCTGGCAAACCCCACGGAAAGGTCCAGCCGCTTGCATTAGGTGAGGTTATGTTCATCCGCATCAAAGATAAGAATAAAACTGTTATGGAGATCCAGGAGGCTGTCCGGCGCCATCTTAGCGGTGAGATCCTTTGTCGGGCCAGCTAATCTATTCGCCCTTCATCATTCTGTATATATTTAGATGTCTATTTGTGGCCCTACACCAAGGGTTTTCCATCCTCTCAAATCAACTTGCCACCCGTTCCATTTTTGCAGCTCCTCCGTCCGATCCACGGGTGTGGGCTCGATAACTGTTGGCGTTTCGGCTATCGCGACTCGGGGTTTCGCCGGCTCAGCTCGGGGCGGAGGGGGTAAAGGCGCCTCAGCTGACTCTGAGCTAACTAGGCTTTCGTAACTCGCGACTTTAGATTCTAGCTTCTCGATCTTTTCTTTGAACCGCCGGTTCTGTTCCTTCAAAAGCGCAATCTCTTCTAGAGCTTGGGCTAGCCTGTGTGCGTTCAAAGCAGCCTCTTCCTGTCCAGCAGTGTTGAGGCCAGCATTATTGAGCGAATTGCCATTTTGAACATAACTATCAGTGCCCCTCTTTTTCAGTTCAGTTAGTCGCTTTCTAGCAGTTTTGAGCTTCTCGTTGCTTGTCATCCTGACAAATAGTCGGTGAGATGACTCGAGGCAATCAGCGCGAGCTGGCGAGAGCAAAAAACCAGAAAAAACAGCAGCAGGCAAAGAAACATAAAGAGGATGGTGATCCTCGCGCCCGTATGGAAAGCCATGCCGAGATCATGCGTAAGAAACAAGCGGCTGCAGATGCAAAGAAAGCCGGCCAGTCATAGCTTGCCCTCTACATCAGTACGCGCAAGGATCGACAAGTTAATCTATGCTCTAATCAAATCTCATTTGTAACTATGTACTAATCTGATTAACGGCTAAAACTTATCTGAGACCCCCGCATCCACTTCAGACTAATCAATGGGACTAGACAGTAGTCTGCTCCTACGGTGGTTGGAGCAGTCTAGGGCCCCAATAAATGAAATTCCTGATGCGTATGAAATAGTGGCTGCTCAAATCTCCCTAGGAACCTCGTCATTGGATAGTGAGGGCGTCCATATGCCTGCAAACATCACTTCTTTCGATCTGGCTATTGATGGCGAAACTTTTCAAGTGCTCCCCCCACGGCAAATGGCAAAGCCCCAGCCTAAAAGAAGAAAGTTTGGAGCCAGGCCAATACGGGAGCCCCTGATTTCGCTCCCATTGGATCCAGAAACCCACAAAGATGTGCTATTTGTGCAAGACTGTAAACGAAAGCTCGTTCCGGCGACTAATTTAGTCACGTGCATTGGACCTTACATTGAAATTTCCGGGTTAGATTCTCAAAATGTTCAACTGAATTTGATTGCCGCGGTCTACTTGAATAAGAACACTGGTTTTTACCCGTCCTCACTACTGGCAACTGACGTTGTCCAGCAATTATTGGCTAGAGTGCTAGACGATCCGACCATTGTTGACCCTGTGCCATACGCGGCCACTCCAGCTGATCTTTTTGAGATTCTCACCCATGAAACACACTTGTCAATTGCCCATATTGTACCTCCTGGTGTAGTTACCCCGTTGCTACCTTTCCAGTGTGAGTCGGTACGTTGGGCACTTCGCCGTGAAGGCAAAGATATCGATGATTCTGGAATCGTTAGAGACCTCGACCCCGAAATTCGAGATTATGTTGTGGCCCCTCCATTGGGATGGCGCCAGATACCTGGCCAACAGTTATGGGTGAACCCTTATCGTATTTGTGTGCAGGATCATGAACCCAATGCCCAGCGAATCGGCCCCTCGGACCAATTCTGTGGTAAAGGACTTTTAGCTGAAGAAATGGGGTTGGGAAAGACTTTGGAAATGATCGCCTTGATGCTTTTGAACCCGCGTCCGAAAGTGCAGTCGGGAGAACAAACAGTCGACCCCTTGACAGGGCATTTCGTTAAAAAGATCGCCGCCACATTGGTGATTGTGCCTCCGGCAATTCTATCTCAATGGCAGAATGAACTCATCTCCCACTCCCCTGACATGAAAGTTCTCGTGTACCGCGGTAAGATACCAGACGAGCCTTTGATCACCGCAGAAGATTTGGCACGTTATGACGTTGTTTTAGTATCATACAGTGTAATTTCTGCTGAAGTCCACTCTGCAACATTCAATCCAGGACAGCGAAACACAAGATTCTGGAGAGAGCGCACGGACATCAACTCGGTGCGCTCGCCGCTTGTCCAAGTACAGTTCTGGCGAGTTATCCTAGATGAGGTTCAAATGATTCATACAGGTGTGAGCAATGCCGCCAGAGTCGCTCGTATTGTCCCCAGAGTACACGCTTGGGGCGTTACGGGTACGCCTGTCAAGGATTCCATGTCTGACCTCCGGGGCATCTTATTATTTCTCGATGTTGTACCTTTTCTTGAAAAGGCTTGCTGGCAGCGTATGCTTGCATCACCGATTGACTTCAAGAGCACTATATCTAATATTGCCATTCGGCACACTAAACCAATGGTTGCCGATCAGCTGTCTCTTCCACCTCAAACACGACGTCTGATCTCCATCACATTTTCTGAAATCGAGAGACACAACTATGACCAGCTATACGCTAAATTTATGGAGCAGAAGACTACCGGAGCACCAAGTGCCGGCTGGTTGATCAAACTACGTCAAGCTTGTTCTCATGTGCACTCCAGTGGTCACCGAGATAATCACACAATATTAACGGTTGATCAGGTTTTGACCAAGCTTGTGGGTGAAGCTGAAGCTACGCTCGCAGTCAAAGTGCGTAACCGCATGTCTGCTCAACTAGAGCTAGGTCAATATCTCGATAAGGCTCAAAAGCTAGACAATGCTCTCGCTATCTGGAATACGGTTGCTTCTGAGCTGGAAAATTCACTGCAAGATCTATCCGAGAAACTCAAGGTGCTAGATGAGGACTACGAAGCCCGTAACAAACTTGCAACAAAGCTGGAACAAGGGGCAGAAGATTTACAAACCCGTCTTGAAGAGGCTGAGATCAATCAGACAAAACTAGAAACAGACGAAACAGAAGTAAACCTCAATGCTTTGCAAGTGAAGGCATCTGACGGGCGAATGGCGGCAACAGCCGCTGCAAATCGTGTCAAAGCAGCCAAGGCACGATTGAGATCTCAACAAGAGTTGCTTCACCGAACATTCTTTTTCATGGGAACAGGATATTTTCGACTTACTGAGCGACAAAGAGACGAAATAAGCGAGCAGAAGCGCCTGGAGAATAGTGAAATGGAAACGCGTTACTACCAGAAGGCCGATGAGCTTCGATCCGAGTTGTTGAAAGAAACGGCAGATTTAGTCGACCAGGCTCGAGCTAAAGTTCAAGAGGAGCTTTACATGGACGAAATTAATTTGAACTTTGATACCGTGCAGACAATCTATCTTGACCTACAAGCCACACTTATCAATGAACTTCATGCCCAAATGCTCAGCATCCTGACCACTCCTCTTCTTGATACTGAAAACGATGATCTCGAGATTGAGGCCTACACAAGATCGTTTGATGTTCAAGAAAAGGCGTATGTTTTGATGGATATGCTACAGCTTTTACTCAAAGATCGAAACATGGCTGTTCGAGGAGGGCGGCCTCCTATTGTCAAAACATCAGATAGAGACGAATGGTCAGAATTTAGGAGACATTTCATGGAACGCAGGGATAATCTGCAGAAAAAATGTCGTGGAATGGACCCTTTCAGTTTATCGATCAAGTACCATCGTTCCACTGGGTACGGGGAGGCGATGCGAGAGGTATTCGAGGACCTTAAAGAGGAGATACAAGTTTGGCAGAAGGAGGTTAATGCTCTCGGAGATCTTTTCAACACGCGGTTGGAATACTACAAACAGTTGCAGTCTCTATCCGACCGCGTAGTTGACCCAGATATCGGAGATAATGACATCAAGAAAGTGGTGAGTGACAAAAGGGCAGCTGTTTACCGCGCAGAGAAAGCAGAAGCACATTTCGAGTCCAAATTAAGATATATACGGCAACTCGAAGTTCAAAAGCCGGTAGCGAAAAACGAAGAAAAGGAGACCGAGATCTTCCAGTCTACCGACTCCGACGACACTTGTGTAATTTGCCAAGAGCAGATTACTCTTGGCTCGCTCACTGTTTGTGGACACAAGTTTTGTACAAGTTGTATCACGAAGTGGTATGAACTGAAGAGTGAATGCCCACTGTGTAAACACTGGCTTGGCCCCAACGATATGATTCGATTTCGGGCGGCAGATGTTGAGAATCCTCGGCCTGAAATCCAGGATCTCAGCAACAAAATTTATACACAAATTCCGACTTCGATGTTCAATCAGATTCTAGGATACCCGATTGAGCGTTCGTATGGGTCAAAGATCGACATGATCACCCGACACGCTCAGTACCTTCGAGATCAAGATTCGAGTGCTCAGATTGTAGTTTTCTCACAGTGGGCCCCAATGCTTCGCGCACTTGGTAATTCGCTGCATGAAAATGGCATACTCACAGCAACTATTTCTGATGGGGCCTCTGAGTTTCGAAGCGACTCTCGTATCGCATGCTTTTTATTACATGCCAAGTCAGATGCTGCTGGGCTTACTCTGGTCAACTCAACGCACGTATTTCTTTGTGAGCCTTTGTTGAACACCGCTTTAGAACTCCAAGCTATCTCAAGAATTCACCGTATCGGCCAAGCCAGCCCCACAACCGTTTGGCTCTTCAGTGTGGAGAATACAGTGGAGCAAGCTATCTTATCACTTACTTGCAGCCGCCGTGTTCGTCAAATTGAAGAGCTGCAAGCTCGTGATCGTGATACCCAAGAACACTCCAAAGACACAGCAGAAACCGAAATTCTAGCGAGCTCAACAGGTAAGCTTGTTGATCGGACCTCTGGAAGCGAGGTTGTCCTAGATGCTGATATGCGAAAAGTGTTATTCTACGATTTCGGCAAGTCTAGGCAATCCACACCCACCCTCTCTGTGGTCGAATTTAAAGAAGAGACTTAATGATACTTTATAATGAAATAATTAAGCTTAAGGCTATTTTATGTTGTAGAAGAGGCATAAGTGTTATCGTCCGTTTGATAGACAAGACCTGCGTTGTTGAGAGACTCGCACTCTTGCAGAATCTGAAGCTCATCAATACCAAGATTCTGGGATAAAAACCTAACATGCAGACCATCAGGCTCGGATTTAAGAGCATTTAAGATACGAGCGGACAAGCTGTTTTTAGCCTCTGGAGGAGCATCGTCGACGAAAAGGCTCGATTCGGCCTTAGGCTTGGGTTCTTGAACGGCTCCAAGCGGTTTGGATCCAGTGTAGTGCCAATGCTCCCTGAGAACGCAGATCTGGTGGAAGAAAACAAACGAAAGTGAAATTTCAGGATCAACACGGGTAATATTGAGCAACCGACGTTCGTTATACTTGCGTGTGCTGCAGTAGAGTGCCACATAATCTCCAACTGAGTAGTTCGGTTCATGAGGCTCACCACCATCGCTGTTGATCCATTGTCTAACGTTTTCCAGACTGCCTGTTGTGTCCTGAACCGACAGAGTCACCTTGGTAGCCTCAACGTCGATTTTACGAACGATAACTACAAAGCGTAGAATGTCCACCGGGGCGTTGTCGATCAACAATGGGCTGTCATCTGATACATCGGGAGCTTCTTGGAACTGCTTGATAGTGACAGATCTTACCGAAACCTTGCGATTCTGTACCTGGCTACCGTTCCCTTCATTGTTTGAGCTATATTCCATAAAACCACCTGCTTGGCTCATTTTGGAAAACTGTTAATTAGCAAGTTAGTAATGACGCGTCGCGACGCGCCACTCGGTGATGTAAGCTCACTTCAAGAATTCCATAACACGATTTAGCTGTAGTAACAGTGGATCTATACGCATTTTCGCATAGGAAATGTTGCAAGAGAGACCGTCTTGATTTCACCATCTAGGTGGCGTACTCAATTTTCAGGCAGACAAGTGCCATTAAGAGGGCCCTGGCTGTGTTTTAAAGTACTTGCCAAGTGTATTGATCTTGAAGATTGGAAAACCGCTAGTTTATTAAGTGAATTTCTCACGCCCTAGAATTGACTAGGAAGTTGTCTTGTTTTTCGTACTAGCTACTTGCTGATCAGCCTCCCAACCGACAGCATAATTGTCTAACTACGATCGCAGCTCGATTGAGACCAAGGAAGAACGTTGAAATATAGACGCACAGACATAGTTTACGAACTAAAAGCTTTGAGTTGCCATTTTGATTGAATTGAAAGAATAAAACTGTTGGCTTCTAAACAACAGACCCGTAATAAAAATGAAGTAGCTACGTCACTTGATGTATCGAGATTGATTGCTTTGAAATCCAAACCTATGTCTATACGCTGAACTATTTGGTATGGGTTATTAACTCATAGTGAAACCTTGAGGCCATAATCTCGACATTTATCAGCGTTTCGAAACGCATCAGCAAATGATTTAAGAGAAAGATATCTCGATCCTGAGTTCCAACTGATGATCCTCCAAATCCGGTTGTATATACTCTAAATGTGCGACTAAAGAAGGATCTGTAGCAGAGTATTCAATGTGAACCATTTTTTTAGAACTGAATCTATAAGAGACGAACGCATCTTATCATTAAGCTTGGGTAGTCTAGCAGGAGACTCAGAGCGTTTGTAACAGGATGGAAAAAGACGGGAAACCGTCAGCATTTGATAGCAGACATCTTTAGGAGAAGAGAATCAATTTAGTTTGATGCGGATAAATTCATGACATCGTGCAAACATATATGCACAGCACCGACAAAGGTGCAGATGCAGATGCATGCATATGCGACCTAACACCAATGAATAGACACCGTGCCATCCAAAAAGGGTCCCATATATTTGAATAAAGTAGTTTAGGGTTTTGAGCGCCAGAATTTATGAAGCTTTTCACTTCCGTCCTTTCTACCGTACGTTCATGGGGTTCAGTTGATTGGATGGAACGATTTTGGCAGTCACCCAGGAGTCTGTCAAATTATTGAGAATTTCTTTGATGCCCAAAGCATTATTGTTTAGAATACTTCAAATAACTCAATGCTTGCAGCTAGGGCTGGAACAACCGAGATTGAAGCATCTGGCAGTGGTGCAATTGTCGTCGTAGTTACTGCTGTCGGGGTGTGGAGCATCGTTACTATAAGCGTTTGTGGTAGCTGCGTCTATACAGCTGCAGCAAACTTGCGTGGATGCGTGATTGGTGCTGGGTGCACTCATCGGTAGGTTAATTGCAGGCGCCCTAGCGTGTATTCTCGGTAATGGCTGCCAAGGCAGTGGTAGTGCACACAACAGATCGCTACCCGGTTATGACACCCAAATCACAATTCCAAATCATAGCTTCAATGGAACACATACCTTGAACCATTTTGTTGTTGAAAATAAGTGGGAAATCACGTTATGCTGCGACTAACAGCCCACGTCGTTGTTACAAACAGTGGATTTGAGCCCCCTAATAATACCACGGTTGGAAATTTTGAGAAATGATGCCCAAAATAAAGCAAAGCGTATCAAATATGATATTGAACCGATCAGCTACGAAAACGACCAGTGGAATGTGGATCCAAGCGATCAATTCAGTAATGCGTACGAGAACGAGCCGTGTTACTTCAATGAACGCGCTGCTGCTCGCTTACCGCAGGTGGCACAACGAGGTACTGTATAAGCTTAGCAATGGGCTACGATGATAGCACCTACAGCAACGCAGTCCATGGTGAGATGCACACCAACAACTACAGAGGTATCGATGGCTTTTGTAAAGCGAACAATCACGACAGTCATGCCGACATTCAATGCGCAGCTCACTGTCAGCTCATGGATTGGGGACACTAAATGCTCTGAAATAGTTGTTGAAGATTTCAATGAAATACTTGATTATCTACAAACACTTACGACCACATCAATCAATAGAAACTCAACTTGTAGGAAAAGCAATCATGACATCATTTTGATCAATTGTTTGTTTGTTTCATAAGCCCCACAGGAGGGATCAAACGGCAGAACAGCGCCGATCCATGTACATGGGTTAGGGTGTTAATATGTATTATGAGCCAACTGAAACGTTCTGGCTCGTGTAGGGAGCTCCACTAAATGGACATATTCTACTATCACTCTCTCAATTTGTTTCGCCTTACTTTTAGACATTGCTTTTGATGCTTATAAAGTTCGGGAAAATCAATCTCGACGCTCCTCCGATAATTTTCCCGATCTCGTGTAATTTAGTACCTGCATGGGAATGGCAATTGTACACTGCGGAAATGCCGTTTAGACAGAAAAAACCAAGAGTTTCGACTAACCATTAGGTGGTGAAGGCAATTAATGAGCTGTTAATGAGCTGAGTTGCATAGTGTCTAACATTTGTGTTCGCTGAGCCATTGGCTTGCGAAAGTCTCAGCCTAAAAGGCAAACAGCCTCAAGTTTATATATACATCATAAGTTCTAGTTTTTATTACGTATTTGTATGCTCGCAAGCTTGTTGAGCCCCTGCTCGCTGGGCTCTTGCTGCAGGTCGTTCTGCTGACTGGAAAGTCAAGGGTCTGGTAGTCCAGTAATAATCGCTCAGCCTTACTATTGTTGGGCGGTCGAAAGAAATATGAACGACGAAGTTCATGAAACTCCACCCCTTATTTGGGTTTATGAAACAGTCGCATTCATCTTTCATTTGGTATTCAACATATTTTTCCGCAAAATATCCCGCCGTGGTGCGTTCAAGATCCCCAGGACTGGTCCGATCATTTTCGTTGCCGCGCCCCATGCGAACCAGTTCATTGATCCGATGGTCGTTTTGATTCAGATTCTAGATGCTGCTCGTCGGCATGTATCATTTTTGATCGCACAGGCTTCGTACGATAAACCGTTCATTGGATGGCTCTCCAGGCGCATGCTTGCCATTCCAGTTGGGAGAGTTCAAGATACTTTGAAAAAGGCCCAGGGAACCATCTCTTTTGATGCGGTTGACAATACAATTATTATTGGCCACGGGACCTCTTTCACAACCGAATGCCATGTACGCGGGTTCGTAGGGGTGTCTGGCTCGGGTGATCTGGCAGAAATCAAGGAGATCATTAGCGATACTAAGCTGGTCCTCAAAGCACCATTCGAAAGCGTCAAAGCTAAATCAACGCTTGCTAAAGGAAATGCGCAGTTTAAGGTTGCCGACCGAGTCGACAATTCCAAAATGTTCCACAATGTCTTTGAACATTTGTCTGAGGGCCATTGCATTGGAATCTTTCCCGAGGGTGGTTCGCATGATCGCACAGAACTTTTGCCACTCAAACCTGGTGTAGCTATTATGGCGCTGGGGACTTTGGCAAAGTCGCCTGATTGCGGTTTGAAAATCATGCCCCTAGGTCTCAATTACTTCCATCCTCACAAATTCCGCAGCCGAGTCGTTATTGAGTTTGGCGACCCGTTGACGGTCAATCCGGAACATGTCAAAGAGTATGTCGAAGGAGGTGCAGATGGTAAGAAGAGCGCAACGAAGAAGTTAATGAAAGATATTTTGGACGCATTGGAGAGCGTTACTGTTCAGACGCCTGACTACGAAACCCTGATGCTTATCCAGGCTGGACAGCGGCTGTACAGACCATCACGGCACATCCCGTTGTCTTTGACGATTGAGTTCAGACGACGGTTCGTTCAAGCATATGCTGCTTTCAAAGACGACGAAAGAGTCATCGAGCTGAAAAAAGAAGTACTAGAATACAATGAAGAGCTTCAGTCGCTCGGCCTCAAAGATCATCAGGTCCCGAACGCTGTTCGAGACAAGCAGCAAGTTCTCATCCGTCTGGTGACTCAATTCCTGACAATTACAGGCCTATGGATCCTTTGCATTCCTGGCGCCCTTTTGTTCAGTCCAGTTGTGGTTGCCTGCCGTGTGATCTCTCGAAGAAAGGCCGCTGCTGCCCTCAGGGCATCGTCAGTCAAAATTAAGGCACGCGATGTTATTGGAACCTGGAAAGTGCTGGTGGCACTATGGCTCACTCCTTCATTATACACTTTTTATTCCCTCACTGCCGCCTATTTTGTGTTCAAGTACTGGTCGCTGGTGGACTTCACGTGGATAAGATTGGCACTATTTTCAATTGTATCAACAATCGCTTTGTTCGCTGCATCATTTGCAACACTCGTTATTGGTGAGCGGGGCCTAGACATGTTCAAGTCCCTATGGCCGTTGGTGCTTGCCCTGTCGCCGGCTCACGTTGACACCCTTGAAGCATTGCGGTTGAAGCGTCAACAACTGGTGGCTACTCTTACTGAACTGGTCGATGATCTTGGGCCAGAGTTGTTCCCGGATATCAGAGAAAGACTCGAAGGCACCGCAAAGTCTGCCAAGCCTATTCCGGCAGAATCGGATGCCCGCATGGACTTGCGCGGCCTCAACTCTTCTATCAACATCCAGGGAGACTACAACCTTGCGGATGTGCCTGTATTCAGTAGCTACGTGCTCTCTGAAGGCCCCAGCAGAGTGTCTAGGAAAGGTTCCTCAGGCCAGCAGAATGCCGCTGAGACTACAGGTGTTGATCTTAATCAAGAAATTACCAAGCGTTTACAAAAGTTAGACTAACTAGCGTATGTATCAATCTTCTCCCGGCGGGATCTCATCTTCGAGTACTTTAACCAAACGAACGCGAATCTCTGTAGGCAGCGAAGGGTCCTGAACTGCGTCGCTCACAAACTCAGCCTCCACTTGTAGTTGGACCATTTCCAGGGCGCCCCGAATCACGCCGGCGTAGATATTCGAATACCAGAGATCACGGGCATTGGGCTTGTCAGGAAGCTCCACAAACTCGGCCAGCGGGTTTTCTGTGAATACTAAACTGAACTGCTTGCTGTCTACCGACCAGTTCGAAATGGTAGGTGTGATATTCATAAACATTTTGAAGCCGACTTTCGCCACTGCTTCAGCTGTGTCGCGGAAATTTTGACATCTTGGTAGTCCTGTTTTCGCTAAAAGTTCTTCAATCAGTCGCAGTCCAATATTATAGCCCATTTTGTCCAGTTGTTTGTTGACTTTGGCATAGTCGTGGTCGAAGTCGGCCACCAACTGGGCAACTATAGAACCATACGTTAGAGTCAAGAGTTCTGAATTCTTTTAGTTAGTCTCTGCTTAGCGCTCCGAGTCGTCTCACTTACGATTTTATCGGTCTTGTGCTTCCACACCTCTTCGCCAACGGATCGAACTTTGGACATGCTGAGTCAAACCGCCGGAACTGCCGACCTAAAAACCAGTAAATTATTATATACATTTACTCCAAAGAATCAATTAGATCGTGGAAGCTGCCAGCACCAGTGCGTTGTGCCTTTTTGAGTAGTTTGACAGCTTTGGAGTAATCAGCCCGCTGCTCGGCACTTTCGTTCTCGCGGAGGTTCCCCAGCGAAATAAGAGCTTCTGCGGTTTGAACGTAGCTTTGAGGGTCAGTGTCGCTCACTCCTTTTTCAAGGTACTCAATTGCTGTGGTCAATGATTTGCGAGCCTTTTTCGCATTCTTGCTGCTGAGATCAGGCTCAAAGTCTTCATCTTCCTGCTCGAATTCACCAAGTAAAGAAGTAGCTAGAGAAAGGTGATACTGGCCAAGAGTGTTGTTGGCCATTCTTTGTACGTTGACGTCTTCGCTATCCAGCAGAATCTTGCACTTTCCGGCTGACCACTCGAGAATTTCTGCTTCGAAATCGTCCAGTTTGTCGTTGTTTAAAGAACCAAGAGAGTCACCAAACTCTAGTAGGGCTCGGACTGCTTCAGCAAGCCGCCTAGTGGCTGCATTAGACAGATCAGCGAGCTTCATTGCCTCTTTGATTTGAGGAATGCTTTCTTTAGCTGTAGAAACCCGCTTTTTTGATTTGCAGGTCCTGAGTTTGTCGTCGATCTGTTCAACCAAAGCAAGCGCCTTGGCAGCCGACAAATCTGCTTGGTTTTCCTCGATATCCAGACCAGAATCGAGTCGCTCAATAGCAGCCTGAATAAATGCAGCAGCGGAATCTGTACTGCCGGGCTCTTCGTTCTCATCAGCAAACTGAGCAAGATTCAGCAGGGCCAATCCATAAGCCAAATGAAAGCGAGGAGCCAATTTCTCGTTTTTTCTCAATAAACGATCACTCTCGTGCACAATTCCTTGGGCAAGCTTGGGGCTGTCCTTGACACCATCGTCAAACGTCTTGAAAAGTCCATACAATTCGGCAAGATCTTCGTCAGGCTCTGATTCCTCAACTTCAACCTGCAGCTGAGCATCCTTTTGCTCCTGAGTAGGCTCGGGAGTACCCTCAGGGGTCTCGGTTTTGGCCTTCTTCAGCTTTGCTGCCTTTGCCAATCCCAATGGTCGTTTCGCCATATTCTCAGTCCTCGAATCGATCGGTTTAACGGTTTTTTCAATCTCGCTGAGTTACGAGATCTAAAGTGGGATGATGATATTTCGCGTGATATTGCGGGTTTGGATTACTAATAGGCATTTAAATACGGCAGCCAGGAAAATTTCACTGATAGTAATCAGTCACTTGGAGTGTGGGGCACAATGGGGTTGTTAACTCTGCAAAACATTGACAACCAGGTGTTTCTGGTAGTCGGTAGTTCTCCTCTAGCGCAGAGAAGAGGCACTGCTATCGAGGGTGCCGGTGCTGTACCAGTTTTCTTACCGACAGCAGGTCTCGACGACCTTACATCTCGCGGTCGCACCGACGTCGATAAGGTTGTGGATGGCGTCTTTGTGGTGGACACAGAGCAAAATGGTATCAAGTCTACTATTGAGCTCGTCAACCATTGCAAAAGACTACGGATCCCCATCAATGTTGCTGAACATCCGCATTTATGCACGTTCTCTCTTCCGTCCACTTTTCGGGATGGCAACTTCCAACTAGCTGTTAGCACGGGCGGAAAGGGCTGTCGGCTAGCCAATCGCCTGAAGCGGGCAGCTTTAAGTGCGTTGCCTCAACATCCTGGTGCTATTTGTGACAACATCGGTGACCTACGCCAGCAGCTGGTCGATAACGGCGCCGACGCCAAGAGCGATACCGGCAGCCATGACGACGATGCCGAACAGACGATCGAATTGAACGCGTTCACCAAAGCAACCGACCCGCAGCACAGGCTACGATGGCTTGATCAAATGGTCGAGTATTATCCCCTGCGCAGCCTCGAAACTTTGACCTTGGCTGATCTGGAAGATATCTCAGGCAAGCAGCCTAGTCCATCTCCCAGTGAAACAAAGAAAGGCAAGATCAGTCTTGTCGGTGCTGGCCCCGGTAGTAGCGATCTTCTGACCACTGAAGCATTGAGGGAAATTACATCTGCAGACTATGTTCTTGCCGACAAACTAGTGCCTGAGGAGGTTCTGGCATTAGTTCCTCGCCGGACTCCTGTATTCATTGCTCGAAAGTTTCCAGGAAACGCAGAACGGGCCCAACAAGAGCTCCTGGAGAAAGGACTTGGTGCAGTTGAACAAGGTCAGCATGTGGTCCGGCTCAAACAAGGAGATCCCTATATTTACGGCAGAGGTGCTGAAGAGTATTTATTTTTCCAGGAACACGGATATACTCCCAAAGTTGTCGCTGGCGTTACCAGCGCTTTGGCAGCTCCTCTATTGGCTAATATACCAGCAACACACCGTGGTGCCGCTGATCAGATTCTCATCTGTACGGGAACTGGACGTAACGGTGCCCAACTTGAACCCCCAGAATACGTTCCTACCCGCACAGTTGTGTTTTTGATGGCCCTGCATCGCATTGAGTCGATGGTTGAGATTTTAGTTAGTGCAGGTTGGGATCCTGATGTGCCTTGTGCGTCGATTGAACGAGCTTCTTGCCCAGATCAGCGCGTGGTTCGCACAACCCTTAGACACATTGCCGATGCGCTCAACGCAGTAGGCAGTCGACCACCGGGTCTTTTGGTTGTCGGTCAAGTGTGTCACGTTCTTTTCAAGGGGTCTGAAAAATGGACCGTTGAGGAGTAACGCAAAATATTTATAACATTCAGCTGCCCCATAGAGCTTTATAAGGTCCTCGAGACGATAATCACAAAGTGCTTCTGCTTGACGCCGCAGGTGCTTGTTGGAGTACTTAGCACTGAATTATCTTTTGAGTGTCTGCTTTCAACGATTCGCTGAATTTGCAGGGCCGTGCGAGTTTATTTTTTCGTTTTTCGAGACACTACCACAGATAGTCTATAAATATTTTGCTAAGAGGGCAGCTGAAACCCCAACGTACAAGTCATACCGCGACGCCCAGTTCCTATTCTTACATGATGCCATGCAGTGGCAGGATGATGCGCCTATCACCTATCGCCGGGTCACATTCTCAACGGTATGTTCGATCGAAAGTCCTACAACACTAGTATGACTACTATTTTCAACTTTTTGCAGAGTTGACAACTATTAAAGACTACATCGGATGAAGAGAACCAGCAGACCAAAGGAACCAATAGTATGACACTTGTGAAATAGACGTATTTAGAGCTACTGAACAACGGCTCAGTTGTAAGAATACAAAAGATTCTGTTCTGGTCGATTAGACTTTACGGAGTATTTTCCTTATCGGACACTGCATAGTCTTATGCAGTAAGCTACAGATCTGCATCGCCAAATGAATACGGTCATTTGATTAAGCTATGACTCAAAAATTTTCAAGTACTTGGATTTTACAGAGTCTCTTCACGGCATCTGGGTCTGCGTTGAGTCTTCCTCGGCAATCTCTGAAACTAACCAACCATACCCCATCCATTCCAACCCTATCATGCATACCTTTGTCTCTAAACCCGCCTGAGCGACACACGACCGAAACCCATCCGACCATGACGTCATTCCAGTTCAACTCCGCAGATCGAGAACAGCAATAATGGGTAAGATGGGCCAAAAATAGTCCGGCTATTGCAAGTAAGAAAGAAGAATTTAGTTATAAAGTGAGAGAGCATAAGCTCCTTGAATACACAGTAAGTACAGTCCGTCTTTTTCAGCTTGTAAACCGTCTTGACGTTGGATGATCCACAGGTGGCAACCCCACGCTTAGTAAAGAAGGGGGTTTGATTAGGCCACCGGTCCGCGAGTCAAACACAGGGCAGGAAAGCAGCAACAAAGACTAGCGTTTGTAAAAAGCCATTGCTTAAATCCACATAGCACCTGTATCTCTTTGTTGAAAAAAAGAGTAGACAGCATTCAAGCGACGAAGAAGCCGTAAAGGGAGAGACTGAGGCGACGATGTTTTCAAGAGCTGGCATCGTGAATTTAAGAAAATGGGGAAGAAAAAGAGAAAGTGAAAAAAAAAAGTTGAAAAGTGGCCTCCAGGGCTATTGAAACGGATGAATTGCCCGCTCTCTCCAGTATTTTAGGCACATAACCTTAGACTTTGTGGGCGACAGTTTGTTGTTCGGCAAGCTTGTGAGCATTGCGTTCTCGCAAACTGTCCTTGCAACTTTGCAATCCTGTGCATTTATGTTGCTCCATGAGACGATGGCGGGAGCAGAATCGACCATTACAGAGACCGCAATCGCCCACGCCTCGCAGTGGGGCTGAAGTACAGTTTGCGAATGTGCAGCGCTTCCGGCGCTTGACGGGGGCGGCGCTTACTTTGAGCGTCCTGCGCTCGGCGGTAAAAACCAATGTCTCATCTGTGGCGTCCAAAAAGGTGGATAGAACAGTGTTGTCTTCGACCTCTTTGCCGTCCAATGTTAACTGGTCGACAGGGAAGGTGGCGTCTTGTTGGCGCACCAGCTCCTTGGTTTCACCTACCGTCTGGGTGGGGCTGAGCTCTAGATCAAGAGAACATTCTTGTTCATTATCATTTGCGGTGCGCCGGACAGTGACTCTAACAAATTCTTGCGGTACCATTGTGGGGGATGTATGGCTTAAGATAAAATATGTGGGTTGGCAAAAAGAAAAGGGTACCTTTTAAAGGCAACCATGTCAAAGTCCCACTCCGCCTCCGAACGGTTATTAATACCCTCTACCTTGATCCGGCAATGAACTACGGTAACCCGAACCCAGACGCACGTCGGCCCTCGGTTCGCACCTACAGCGTTTATGAGACTTGAAGATAGCTGAGATATGTGGGTGGCAAATGGCTACTACTACGTAAGGGGAGTAATATTATACTGATCCCTTTGAAATCCATGTGCCCAGCATCGATTTTCTTCTTAGGTTACCCCACACCAGCTTCCCTGGTCGCAACGCCTGGGCTAAAATGACTTCTCACGCATGGCTACAGTAATTATGCACGGATCATACAGAATGTTCTAATTCGCTTGGTATACCAAAGTGTGGGCCAAACAAGTTTTTTTTTTCCCACTTTTGACTTTCCATATAACAAGTCCCCCAAAGTCACCATCCGCTCAAAAATGCGAAAAAATCCCCTACCATATACAATACTCTGCGTGACATCCTAGATATTGACATAATGGAGGCTGACTCGGAGCTCCAGTCCTGATGATCGATCTCGGGCCGACCTCGCTGCTCGAGCTTGGCTTTCAAAACACGCCCTCGGATTTCTATTATTTTACTAGAAAAAATCAGTACATGCAGCATCATTCTAGATCAAGATGGCCAGCTAGCAAAACATATGTATAATTTTAATGGGACGGCCCGGATTCATCCGCTGAGCAATCCGCTGCAGCTATGAAGACCTCAGAGAAAAAAGTGTGTCATATGCATCAGCGAAAACCATTAGTCACAACGTTAGCCCTCACGAGAATGGCGACTGCAGGAGACCTTGTTGCCAAGTACAAAAGATGCGGAGCGTTTGACGAGGAAAGAGCGAAACTATTCGAATCTCTAGGTAGCTCAGACTATATCACATCCTTGAAAACACGTATCGAGGAGTTCGTCGCCAAAGAGGTGGAGAATAACTTGCAGCTTCTAGATGGAGACACTACCAAATCAGCAGCCTTGTTGGAGGGTGCGGTCACGAGGGCAATCGTTCAGAGCGACGAAAACAAAAAAGTCCAGCAGGAGGCTATCGACCACATTTTGACAATTGCCCAAAAAGATGTGTTGGCGAAATTAAAAACTCTGCAGTAACTTGTATTTACAACCATACTCTACCTCTGTTGACGCTTCTTCCCTGTCTGACTCATGATGATACTTCTCTGGGCTGTTTTGGCGGGGGCCAATGCCGCTTCCATTATGGGCTGGTCTGGGGACCAGACGCCAATAACTCCGTTCGAAAAGCCTCTGATCTCTTCTGAGGGCATCCTAGAATTGATTAATGAAGATGATCTCAAAGATTATGCCAATAAATTTTACAGCGCCGCAGAAAAGAGTGTTCCCACCCATGGACATCCCACACGGGTCATTGGATCAGCCGGCCATAACGCCACAATTCAGTTAATCACCGATACTCTTGAGGAGCTTGAGGGCTTCTATAAGGTTTCAACCCAGCCGTTTCTGGCTATTGGTGGCAGAGTTCACAACTATAGTGTTGTTGACGACGATAAAGTTGTACCTAGCCGCCCCGTTCGGTTGACTCCTGCAACTGACGGCCCTGTCTCAGCCCCCATTTTCAAGGTGCAGGGCTATGGTTGTATCAATCGTGATTTTGATGGTGCAGAGGGCGCTATTGCTCTGGTGCCTCGCGGCAAATGTGCGTTTGGTGCCAAGTCAGAATTTGCCGGTTTGGCAAACGCAAAGGCTCTTTTAATTTATGATCCCGAGCAAGTCGATGACGGACTTGTATCTGGCGACTTGGGCACACCCTTGGAACACCAAATCCCCTCCTTAATTGTTGATTTGGATTGGGCCAAATCGGTCGCCGAAGGAACACAAGTCACGGTTGAGGTAGACTCGGAAATTTACAATCAAATGACATTCAACATCATTGCAGAGTCTGTTGATGGCGATCATGACAATGTCGTCATGCTGGGTGCTCATTCTGACTCTGTCGAGGCCGGACCTGGAAGCAACGATAATGGCAGTGGTGCTATTGCTCAACTCAATGTTGCCAGGGCTCTGTCTCATTTCAAATTGAAAAATGCTGTCCGGTTTGCCTGGTGGGCCGCTGAAGAAGAAGGGCTCTTGGGTTCATTGTATTATACCGATAATCTGCCTATTTCAGAGTCGAAAAAGATCCGCTTGTTCATGGACTACGACATGATGGCTTCGACCAACTACATTTACGAGATTTACAATAGCAACAATGAAGACAACCCTTTAGGCTCTAGCGAGCTCAGAGAGATGTATGTTGACTTTTTCTCCAAAGAGGGCCACAATTCTAAGCTTCAGCCCTTCGACGGCCGTAGTGACTATGTGGGATTCTTGGAGCTGGGTATTCCCTCGAGCGGCTTCGACTCCGGCGTGGAGGAAATCAAGACAGAAGATGATGTCGAGAACTTTGGCGGTGAGGCAGGCATTGCTTATGACACCTGTTATCACCAGGCCTGCGACAACCTCGACAATCTCAATTACGAACCCTGGCTTGTAAACACTCGAGCAATCGCTCATTCCGTTGCAGTATACGCCTCGTCCTTGGAAGGCTTCCCTGAACGTGATGTTTCGGCTTTGTATTATGGTAAACCACACTTACGACCCAACTACTTCATTTAATAGATATTGTATAGTTCCCAATGAGCTTTCTGAGTAATGTCAGATGCGTTCGATGTGGACAGCATTCGGGCGTCTATTCCCAGTTTGCGGGATACTCTAGAGTTGGATTCCATGAAAGACATTCTAGATGAGCTAGGAGGTACTATGGAAGTGGATGAAAGCACCCAATATCCCGAGATTGCCGACGTTAGCATGCAAGACATCCCTATTGACCACGAGCCCGAAATGGTGGTGCCGAAACCTCAGCATTCGTCAGAGCCTGTAGCGGACGGGGTAATAACATCTGCTATGGATCAAAAAACTAGTCCTGAGCCGGAGCATGATGAATCAATGTCTCTGGCGCCAGCCATTTTGTCTCCGACCCGACTAGGTGCTCAACAGGCACTCGATTCGCCCGTGGTAGAAATCAAGATGCCCATTCCAGCTCCTTGGCACCACAATTTACCGTACACGTTGAGCACATACTTACAGTTGGTGTTCAATGCAGGGCTTTTGGTGCTAAGTGTTATGCTCGTTCGATCATTCAAGTCCGATGTAGACAAAAGGGTGAGCGAGACAGCGGCCACTATTGCCCGTAAAGCAGCCCAGTGTGCAGAATTGTACATCCAAAATGAATGCCGTCCTGGATTAAGGCGGCCGGCTCTCGAGGATTATTGTGAGGAGCTTGAAGAGTGCATGGAAAAAGATCCTGAGGGTGTCAAGAGAATGAGCGCCCATGCCGCAACGCTAGCCGAATTTATCAACGAGTTTTTGAACCCGCTTTCATTCAAAGCCATTTTCTTAATGGTTTCACTTGGGCTAGCCGTTGCGTTTGTTGCTAACTACTTATTTGGCTTTGTGAGGGCGAAAGCGTACTATGGCCCGACTCACCCTCCGCATCAAATCTCCGAAGCTAGTTATCGCCTTTCTGCGAAGAGGGGGAATATTTGGAAACAGGATTAGAATCAATATTTATTACGACTAGAAGGTGCATTTAGTATATGGGCACAAATAAGAGCCCAGAATCACATTTCAATGAACTCGGCTAGCTCCTTTTCATCGAGATTAGCATGTGCGGTAAAGTACGTACTCGACTAGATCAGGGCTCTATTAAAGGTGCATCATTTTGGGGATAATATAAACCCTCAAGATCTATTTGATATAGACTAGCCCGACGGCCATGTAACAACTGTCGAAACGGAAGTCAAGTCTCGCCCATGTAAACAAATAGATATTACTCCAGGTGGTTACAAGATGCAATGGCCAATTAGCTAGGGTTAGAAGAATCACTCAGTCGTGTGAAAAGATAGCTCTGGTCAGCCAGAAACATGAGACCACACGGGTTGATGGCTTAGCCTGATATCTCAAGATTCACCTTTTGTTACGTGTGTATGTACAGTGTGCAATTTTTCAATAGGATCGAGCGGGAAGACGAGAAATAATAACTTTCCAGTCCAGGCAGTCGAACAAATTGCGGAGGTACTCACGCTTGCCAGCTACTCCATAGTCATGGAGATAGACATGCTCCCAAGCGTTAATACATAAAATAGGAGCGAAAGACTTGATCCGGCTCTGATCCAACTCGGCAATAGAGCCATCGCCCTGCTCAGAAAACATGTCCTCGTGAGAATAAGGAGAGGCCCAGTTGTAAGTGTTTACGGCCGACAAAACAGACATGTGGTAGACCAGCCACACGTATCCATTGCCGAACATGGCGTCAGCACGGTTGATGAGCAATTCCCGCATCGACACAACAGAGTCGAAAGACTGTTCGATGATTTCATTGAGATCAGCGAGTGGCAATTGCCCAGGCACAGGAGTAGCGGGCAGAGCGAGTTCAGGACGATTAAGAACTTCGGTAGAAATGTCTACATTCAGCTTGTTGGTACTAGGGCCGACAACTGCATTCGGGTTGACAGAGGGACGCAGGGTGCGGAAGAAAAACTCGTTGTTGAAAGCCTGGCTGGCAAACACGGCAAGTTCTTTGACCTCGGGATCAGGGGAAGCTTGTGCCTGTGTCATGAGCTCGAACATATCGGCAGTCTTGTTATACTCTGGGTGTTTTTCAAGCAGCTGATTGACTTTGGACACCACATAGGCCTGGTACTCAAACCAAGCGATATCTAGGCCCTTAGGAGACAGCAAGCCAGGAAGCCCAGCGCTCTGCTTGAGCCCTATATCAGGCACAGTGTGCATACGACGACTGGCAGCCCAGGTCCGGCTCGTTTTCAGCAAATTTCGCAACGGAGCCCGAATCGACATTTTGTGTGTGCTGAGTCAGACTGCCATTTTTTTCAAACGCGAGTTTTAATGCTTCGGCAGTACGAAGATGATTTCAACAGCAGGAGACTATAGTAAGCGTATTGTTCATTTATATTTATAGATATATATTGAAGATCAACGACGAGAAATCCGTAGACTTTTAACTCGGCCCAGTAACCCCGAGGGCTTTTCGTCATCATGTAAGTAGCTTGTAGGACGGTCAGGGTTGGATGAGCGCGCAGAAAGTTCAGCTTGTCTTCCTTCTGATCCAGAATTCTTTCGGGGATTCTGGCGACGCAGAAGAGATCGTGTACGGCCCATTGATGATGCAATTTGCTCGTCGTGGTCGGCATCTTCGATGGCCTTGGCAGATGCCGGTGTGCCATCGACAAACGTGGTCGAGCCCAGGCCGAGGGTGGTGGTACCATGAACGGGCTTTGTACGCGCGGTAGGATCGAAGCTTTCGGTTGGCTCGGGGAACACTGGGTCCACATCTGGGTCACGTCCAAACACCACTTGCTCCTGTTTATAACGAGAAACCTCAGGTGCTTCCACAGCTAGACTGTTATTAGGGCCATTAGCAGGGAAAGCGGCAACAGGACCCTGTTCCGCATCTCTATTGCGATGAGGGGTGCAAGCGTCAAATGGCCCATCGTGGTGGAAGGACCCTGGGCCAAACAAGCCTGTGACGTCTAGCTTGTCAATAACATCCAGCGACGGACCATCCTGGGTTTTGGATTTGTGGCTTTCAGACTTTGAGCGGGTGCGGTTTCGTCGTGCACTGCTCGAGCTGCTGTGGTGGTGATTGGAAGAGCGGCTGCCGGAGCCACTACCACCGGTGCTCTTGCCATCTTTGAGACGGCTTCGCTCGGCTCGGAGGTGGTCCCGCTCAGCTCTCAGGCGATCACGTTCAGCTCGAAGACGATTGCGCTCTTCACGGTACCGCCGCTCGCGCTCACGGTCCCGGTCGCGGTAGTCGCCACGCTTATTGGGGTCGCGGCGAGATTCTTGCTCATAACGACGGGCGAGTCGGTCCTTTTCGTTCTCATCCATGGCAGAGGAATCCGAATTTGCCCGTCGACGATCATCATAGGGGGGTGGCAAATCGTTACGAGAAACAGACGGCGGTGGTGGCGCGACACCACGCGAGGGTGCAGCCGAGTCCTGCTCAGCTTCAAAAGGGTTGCTGGAAACGCGGCGGGGCGCACCGGGAGGCGTCAAACGCCCACTAGTTTGGCCCCTGGAGGAGCTGCTCACTGAGGTAGAAGACCCAGCGGCTTGCGGTTGCGAGTAAACTGCGTCGCTCTCAAAAGGGGACTCTGAGCGCAAAAGCATAGACTGGCGGAAGGGATTATTCGCAGAAATAGGTGTCCCGCCTCGGCGAACTGGTTCGTTACCGCTCATTTCTCAAGAAAACAAGTGGCTAACTAAACTGTAGAAGGCAACGGTGGAGGATAAAGAACTCTCAAAGTACCCGCAGAATAAATAGTCAAAATGTGGTATTGGGCAAACTAGGGTATCAAACACTGGTTGCTTGCTCAAACTTTTGCTCTGGGCTTTTTGCGATCGACAAATTTCGATTGCCTGGACAATTGATACTTCGCGTGAATTAAGGGGTAAAGGGCAAAGAAGGGGGATTGACACCTAATCGTGGGTAGATGAGTAAGGCAGCTAAATTTAGGGGTCAAGCGAGACGCCCGATAAGCGGCTGGGGGGGGCTCTAACGGACTAGGCTCGGCGGTACCTTGCAGAACAATGGGGGGCCTGACCGATTTGGACTGGTTTGCTGGCTGGGTGACGACGGCTTAGGAACTGGTTAACATGGCAGCCTTCATGGGCAGACTCGTACTGGAATACCCTACCTGGTCACTCAATTGGTTACTCCAGAATGCGTTGTTTTTTTTTTCGCTGCTATCTTACCGTTGTTTCAAATCAGTGATAGTCCAAGCCTGCCTACAACAGCCACAAGACCAGCCGCTGAAGTAAGCATGGACACTCTCGCCTGGCAGGGGGTAGTTGCAATTGCAAGTTTGGGAGCCGCTAGATACACTCGTGGGCTGCCATCGCTTGTTCGTTTAATATGTATAATAACATTAAGTGCAGCGGCCACGGTTGTAGCTTTAGTGGTCTCTGAAGTACTCACTCTCGGTGATCCGTACGTGCGAGGAATATTTTGGCGGTTGACGACAGCCCTCCTATTGGGTCTGTTGGGCTTTGCGTTTCCGGCCATATATATCTGGAAACTTGTTGATGTAGGCAAGCGTGAAGCCTGGCGTGTTGCCCTGTTCGTTTCTGTCTATGGCCTCTTCATGGTGGCATTTTATACAATGGCCCGGCGCCTCCCCATGGAGAGAGATGATCTCACCAACAGAACCAGCATGACGTACAGCTATGCCCTCAGACAAGATATGCTGGCTTGCATTTCGTTTCTGGGTATCACATTAATGGCTGCGCTTTGCGGTGTATCATCCGTTTCGGCTCCGTATACGGCTTTTCTCTACAAGACTCGGCCGGTGACAGAATCGGATATATCGCAGCTCGAGACGTCTATTTTGTCTACAGAAGAACTTATTACGAGCAAAGAGCTCCAGATCAACCGTTTGCAGTTGCAGCTACGGGGTAGAGCGCACAGATCGTCCACGAATTTGGTCTCGAAGATGATTGCAACTTTTCGGCCCGACGATGTCCAAAGAGAGCTTAATTCAGAGCTTTCCGAACTGAATGCACTTCAGAAGTTTCGGCTGGATATTATGGATGACCGTACGTCTGCGCTGGCGCGGCTTCACTCCCAAACCTATGCTGCCACCTTTCGGGGCCGTGTCCACGCAGCGCTCTACGCTCTGTTTGCTATTTATTGTGTTTACCGTGTATTCAATGGTTACCTTCGCTTGTTTTGGTGGTCATTGTCCTACCAGAACCGCGATCCAGGCGCCGGTGGTCCTAGAGACGCTTTAGTTGTCGCTTTGGCCCGGGGAGCCCATGGAGTCTGGAGCCAGTTCACCACTGACAACTGGGTCCGTATAATTGGCGCCTTGATGTCTGCAGTAGTGTTTGCTACCTCGACCTCTGGTATGCTTCGAACGCTTGTTCGTCTCCGGCGGGCCTTCAAACGACGAGGATCATCGAGCGGCGGAGAGCTCTCCGTCAACCCAATTCTGGTTGCAAACTTTGTTGGTGTTTACGTACTGGCGATTGCTACTGTGCTGCGACTAAACATTCCAAAGTCCATGTCTGGACCTATTTTAACTGCATTGGCATCTCCTCTCCGCATAGCGTCTGTCCAGCTGCTCAATGACGTCGTGTTGTCAGCGTCGTCAACGGCCACCATCCTGGCTTTGTTTTTGTCCTCTCGACTAGAAGACGATGGCGGATTCGACGAAGAAGAAAAGTACGAATAAATTAAATAAATAGATTACATGTTGTTGTTTTTTTCTCAGCTAGCTAGCACGTCAGCCGCACACATCAAAATCTGTGTTTCTTGTTCAGCGCTCCGCTTAGCCGGCGCGGGTGCTGGCTGAGGCGGGTAGGCCATACCATCAGCCACCTGCCAAGTAACCTCATATGGGTCGATTCCAAGCTCGGCACAATGCTCCAAGGTAATTTCGCGATAACAGGCAGCATATCTCGCAGCATACGCCCGCTTCCAGGCTGTGATGGCATCAACGACAATCGTCTCTATTCCGACGGGCCAAGAGAGCTGAGAGAGAACAGATATACTCCCTGGCTTGTTGGATTGGTAGGCTGTGATCGCCGTGTCCCAATTGGGGTTCGAAAGGCCGGCGTTTTTGGCGTTCACTACTATAGCCTCTGCAGCTGCTGTATGGCCAAAGTACAGTGTGACCCAGATGTACCTCGAGAAATAGGCCTCCAACTCTTTACACATAGAAGGATCCCGTAGCAGTAACGCAAAATTATCAAACTCAAGACCCTGTAAACGGGCCCTTAGGTCCCCGTACGCCGCGAACTTGCTGCTCATATTAGGTAACGTGGTCTGTGCCAGCGCTTTCACCCTCCGACCACTAAGTGTTGAAAAAAAGGAAAAATGGATGTGCAAAACGCGCAGAAACTTCTGCGTATTGCAATTCTCGTACTGGTAGCGGGCGCTGCCGTTCTGAGTCGATTGTACTCGGTCGTGAATTTTGAAAGTATCATTCACGAGTTCGACCCGTGGTTCAACTTCAGAGCTACCCGGTACCTGTCGAGTCACGGCTTTGACAGCTTCCTTAACTGGTTCGACAACCGTACTTGGTATCCGTTAGGTCGTGTTACAGGTGGCACACTTTATCCTGGTCTCATGGTGACTTCGAACGTAGTGCACACCATGCTGTCCAAAATCGGCATTCCTCTGGACATTCGCAACGTTTGCGTGCTGTTTGCGCCTGCATTCTCTGGACTCACCGCCTATATGGCGTATCTGTTCGGATGCGAGTTGAAAGATGAAACTGCTGGTCTCTTGGCTGCCATTTTCCTTGGTATGGCTCCCGGCTATACCTCTCGTTCAGTCGCAGGTTCGTACGACAATGAGGCCATCGCAATTACTTTGCTCATGACCACTTTTTACTTCTGGATCAAGGCTCTAAAGCTGGGCTCTGTTTCTTGGGCGGCCGCTTGTGCCTTGTCGTACTTTTACATGGTGTCTGCTTGGGGTGGCTATGTATTCATCACAAACATCATTCCGCTACATGTCTTCGTTTTGCTGCTTATGGGTCGTTTCCACTCGCGTGTTTATGTCGCCTATTGCACATGGTATGCTTTGGGAACTCTGGCCAGTATGCAAATCCCCTTTGTCGGCTTCTTGCCCATCCGGTCTTCTGAGCACATGAGCGCTTTGGGTGTATTTGGTCTTTTGCAGCTCGTTGCATTTGCAGACTATGTGCGTGCAAAGGTCTTGGAAAGACAGTTCCGTTTGTTCGTAGTTTCCTTTGTCGTCATTGTTGTCGCCATTGCCTTTGCTGCCCTTTTGGGTCTGACGTGGCTCGGGGTTATTGCTCCTTGGACGGGCCGTTTCTACTCTCTTTGGGATACTGAATACGCTAGAATTCACATCCCTATCATTGCTTCTGTCTCAGAACACCAGCCTACTGCCTGGCCGTCATTTTTCAACGACCTGTCGTTCTTGATCTGGTTGTTCCCGGTGGGTATTTACATCTGCATCCAAGAGCTCCGTGACGAGCACGTTTTCTTGGTTGTTTACGCTGTCTTGGGCTCCTACTTTGCTGGTGTCATGGTCAGATTGATGCTCACTTTGACTCCGATTGTTTGTGTGGCCGGTGGCTTGTCAATCTCCTCTTTGTTGGATGTTTACAACCAATGGAATGTACCAGTATCTAAGGCACCTGCCGTCGAGACCAACGCCAAAGTATCAAAGAAGGCTGCTAAGGCTAAGGAACCAGCTGATGCAGCTCCTGAACCCAAAGAAGTCCAAGGATTCTTTGCTTCCTTCAAGAGTGCAAACATCACCTCGTCGATTTCCAAAGTGGTTGTGCTGGTCACCTTCTTTGGATACCTAGCTATGTTTGTATCGCATTCAAACTTTGTGACTCAATCATCATATTCCTCGCCCTCAGTGGTACTGGCTTCGAATATGCCGGATGGTTCCCAGTTCCTGATTGACGACTTCCGTGAGGCATACTACTGGTTGCGTATGAACACCCCTGAGGATGCCAAAGTGATGTCGTGGTGGGATTACGGTTATCAAATTGGTGGTATGGCCGACCGTACCACTTTGGTCGACAACAACACCTGGAACAACACCCATATCGCTACGGTTGGTAAAGCCATGGCTTGTGACGAGGAAACCGCCTATCCCATCCTTCGCCAGCATGACGTCGACTACATTCTTGTTGTCTTTGGCGGCTTGCTTGGGTTCTCTGGTGATGATATCAACAAATTCCTGTGGATGGTCCGTATCGCTGAGGGAATCTGGCCCGAAGAGGTCAGCGAAGGACGCTACTTCGCGCGCGGCCAGTACCGGGTTGACAGCGAAGCTACCGAGACTATGAAAAACTCTCTCATGTACAAAATGTCGTACTACCGCTTCCCTGAGGTCAACAACGGCGCCGATCGTGTTCGCGGCCAGAGACTGTCTCCCTCCGATGCCCCAACCTTGAACATTGTTGATGAGGCATTCACATCACAAAACTGGCTCGTGCGTATCTACAAAGTCAAGGATTTGGACAATCTTGGTCGACAAGTGCCAGCAGCTGCAGCATTCGATCGGGCTCATTAGACAAAAGAAGTGTAGATGCTACAAAATAAATACCTTAACGCCATTTAGCTCGTTTAACTTGGTCACGAATAGCGGCAAGATCAGCTAGACCATCTTCAAAACGTAGTGTTTTGACTCCTTGGTACGACTTTGTGACATGGCGAGCAGGCGGTGCGTCAAGGTCTTTGAGGACAGAGTCCAAATCGCCTCTGTCGGTGCCCGTTTCGGCGTCTGAATTAGTAGCGTTTCTGGCCCGCCGGCTACTGCGCCCTCCAGTTGCAGTACCACCTTCATTACCAGATAGTCCTGATAAATCTTCTGTGAATTCTCTGCGGCGCAAACTGCGGCGGTCGGAGGCGGACAAAAAGGCCCTGTCGAGCCGCCCGCTGGCACTCGCTCCACTTCCGTTCATGCTCCCGCCGACGGCCGAGGCAGCAGTCAAGAAAAACGCGTGGTCATTTGCTACGTCCAGCAGAGCCCTATCTTCGGATAATCGTTTGCGGTACGACTCTAGGCGGGCCCTCAGCTTTTCTTTGACCAGCTGCATAGTATGCTCATACTCTGCATTAGCCTGCTCCTTTTCTTCCTCGTACTGCTTTTGCGCCTGCTCCGTTTGGTAGCGTTCCCACAGGTACAGCTCTGTAAGGCGATTATCTCTGTGTTCTTCGAGATCAGCCAAACGCTCCAAAAACTCCGGATTGGTTCCTTGGTGAAGAGCATAAAGAGAAGTTTGCAAGGTGTGTAGCATCTCATTGTAGTGAATGTCACGCTCAGACTCGAAAGCTCCGTCAAGCTGGCGCAGCCTAAGTGCCATGTTATGGCGCCGGCGATCCCTCTTACTCGCGGGATACTCCTCCATCTTGGTCAGTGACTAAGGTGGCAGAAGCCACAGTATGAGGTTTGTAGCAGCGCCGAGATAAGTGGGCAGGAATTGTACCTAGGCAAGATCAAGACGTGGGCGCGTTCCGACTCGATTAGGTCCGTCAATAATTTGCCACCAGCGTCCACGGAAATTGGCCCGATGGCTTCTCTGCTTTTTTCCCACTACCTCTCCCATGCAACTTAAGCGTCTTTCGCTACCCTGGCCAGTTTAGTCAGGGTTCCTTAACATACAATGTCTGGTGAAAACGAGGACGTTTCGTCGATTGTGCAGAGCTTTGTGGAGAGCGAGTTGGCTTCGCTGGATAGTGCGGCAACCCACACCGACTCTCTTCAGCTGAACAACAAGTACACTGAACCCGTAAAGTCTTCAACACTAACGGGCCCCCCTCGCGCAGGAACCCGACAGCCTGCGCCTCCTTTGTCGAAGGCCTCGGCTGGTTCTTCTATATCCAACTCCCGCGTAGCTCCCGAGCACTCGCCTGCGGGCAAAACCCCACCATCCCGGACTTCGAGCGCAGAGAGCCATGACCAACGGCGGTCTTCACTGGGCGACAAGTTCAAACTATTCGGTCGCCGCATCACCAGCAACAACTCGAAATGATTTTATTCTTGTCATTGTGTGATCTATGTATAATCTATTTAAGTCAAGTTAGATCTTTACGGTCGTAGACATGTGAGACTCTTTCAAAAAGCCCGTCCGGTAATTCTAAGACGTACTATCTGCAATAGAGCCTGTCTATATACGGGAATCGTTTACCTCCAGACCGGTAAAGGGAGTCCATTTGAGTAGACTCTGCCGCTCGGGAGGTGATAAAGTCCCAATAAGTCTTTTTTTTCTCGCCGGTAGGTCTTTTATGGCCCGGTCATGTAAGCGCTTACTGTTCAAGACGGCTTGGTCGTTGAGTTCGGGTCGTATGGGCAATTGAGTTTGAACGTTGTTGTGGATTCGGATATTGATAATTATGGTAAATGGTTGGGATCTTTGTGACAAGTTCTGGGCCCGGTAGGGTAGCAGTGTAGATGTCAGCCACCAACAGCGTTCAGGTCGAGAGTTTTATACTTTGGCGAATTCAATTGGAAAATGTCGACTAGCTAGTACAAAATAACTGTCACATAGTCATTTTAGTTTATGCTTGAAAATTTTGTGATAAATTCTTGGCTCGGCAGGCGGCGGCAGCCGCAGATATCAGCCGCCAACAACAGATCAGGTCGAGAGTTTGAAACTTTGGCCCCCAACTAAAAAATGTTTGAAAATTCATTCTGAAATACTGTCGCGCTGGCCCAGACATCTCACGAGTGAGCAAGTTGCCGCACAACCTCTAGCCACTCTATCCTCAGTCACATCTGCAATACAATGCTAGCAGCCCCTCGGTGTGCAGCATCTTTAATTTCATAGTCTTTGATACAGCCAAGACAGGGATAACATCTCGAATCGTGTAAATACTACATACACGACGCGTTGGCTGCGAGAGTCCGCGCTCGTTTGGTCTCGAGTCCTCTTGACCCCTAATTCATTGCAGGCTGCCAATTCCGCATCCAGCTCCAACAATCTGCAGCAAATTTTCGTGCATTTCCGATTCGCTCCGTTACGTCTGGCAAACCAGCCAAGCCAAACAACCTGTTACACGTGCATTGGCTCACAATCTTGCGTTATTAGTCCCCGTTCGCAATACAAGATGGTAGAGCTGGTTCTGGAATATGTGCATCAATAAGAATGCCACTCTATGGTATTTTTCCGCTCTTTAAACGCTTAAATAAATCGCAGAGTCACGCAAGTTCTATCCAGTTCACACCCCACGTCGATCATGGCAGCATATCTATGCACGATGATGCATTGGTGGGAGAGATAGCTGAAATCAGGTTTAGAATCGAACCGCTTCAAGTTACCTTCTATAGCCTCTGAGCAGACCAATTCATTTTATTCGGAGTCACTACCTTATATCATTTGACAATACATTTATTTTTCGCTTTGCAATCGACGGCCAATGGCCGCTGCCGTAGCCACGCGGACGGTTTGGCCATGCTCGTGTGGCCAAACCACCTGCCCTAGCACGAGGTGCGTCAAGAGCAGGGCGGTCGGGGTGCACCTGGTAATTGCGAATTCCTGAATGGCTGCCATAGAGCATGAGTGAATGGGGGGGGTAGGGAGATAATTGAACCAATATTGTCCGACCCGAGCACCCGTCTTGTCCCAGCTGCAAATTTTTTACCGACCGCAGGTTGACAAACCTCCGCTCACCGGCTAATATCCACCACCCGGCCGCGAACTCCGTCGCTGCTGAAATAAAACCTGTGGGCGTTGCATACGAGCCGGTTCAATTGATAGACGTCGCAGAAATGTGCAGCAAATTGAAAGATCCAAGTCGATAAACGCCCCACGTGTGACGTTAATCGAGGCAGGTTACCCCAGACCCTGCAGGTTTTGGGAGCACGTGTGGCTGATTACCACGCTCATTGGCCAGGCGGGGGCTGCACGTGGGTGATATTTTTTAATCCACTCTGCTTAGTTGCATACAACATCTTTTCCGAGAAACTGTAGATAAAAAGGCCAGAGGATCGTCGCAATGTCAGAACCAGGACCAGAAACCCCGACAGATCCTTCATCTTCTCAGCCTAATAAAATGCCTGGTCACGATCACCAACACATGCGTGTCCACCACGGCCCAATGCCCGGTATGATCCCGGTGCCTAGCGGCCCCCAAGAATACGACACCATTGACGGCCGTTTTGTCGACGATGAGACGTACAATCGCTACCCTTCCGACAAGAGCGAGCGAGAGATTTTCGCCTACCTCTTGCACCCTCGTGATTCATATGACGAGGCAGGCACCTACTGGGCTGACCTGCCTATGGGTGAGCGAACCAAATTCATCTGGAACCAGGAGACCAGCGAGGTCAAGCGGGAGCTCAAGGCCACCTGGTCCCTTTTCAAGCGTGATCCCTTGGGCCCGGTTGCCTGGTACTTGCGCAATGCCGTTCTGCCCGGTGCTGGCCTGCTGCTCGAGGGTTACGTGCTTTTCTCTATCGGTAATATCAAGTCGCTGTTTGCAAACGTTTGGCCAGACTGCTGGGGCAAACACCCCACTGTCTGCAACCAGACCTGGGTCTACGCTGTCAACTACTTGGAAATCTGCGGTATTATCTGCGGTCAGATCTTGGTCGGTCTTATTGGTGATGGTATTGGTCGTCGTTGGGGTCTGATCCAAGATGCCTCTATTATGTTTATCGGTTTGGTCATGCTCACGGCCATGTGGGGTGTGACTCTGAACGGCTGGGTCATCTGCTATGCCTGGTCTTTGTTCTTCTACTCCGTCGGTGTTGGTGGTGAGTACCCAATGACTGCTACCTCAGGCATGGAACGCTCTAACTTCAACAAGATTTCTAGCTCTCAGGATCGTCTTCACCGTGGCCGCAAGGTTATCATGGCTTTCCTTATGCAAGGTTGGGGCCAGCTGCTCAACCAGGTTATCCTCATTATTTTGCTCATCGTCTTCCATCATGGCACTGGTCACCCCGATGCCAGCAACAATTACGTATACTCGAAGACCTCTGTTCAATGGACCTTCCGCGTCTCCTTCGCCATCCCCGCCATTGGCACTTTGTGGCTAACTTACTTCCGTGCCTACAAGATGCCTGCTGTTTCCTCAGAGCTCGAAGCTCAGAAGAAGAAGAGCAGTGTCACCGGCTACGATTTCCAGTCTCTTAAAATGGTCTTCCGTTTCTTCGGCGGCCGTGTCTTTGCCACTTGCGGTGGTTGGTTCGCTAACGATGTCTTCTTCTACGGTAACAAGCTTTTCCAGGGATCCTTCATTAAAGTCATTTCTGGCTCAGACAGTAAGAAGAACGGTGTCATGACCGACTGGTTGTACAACTTGATCAATATCGGTTGTTCCATGGCCGGTTACTATCTTGCATCTTTCACCATTGATACCAAGTTCTACGGCCGCAACATGATGCAGCAGGTCGGTTTCGCTCTCTGTTTCATTCTTTTCGTTACCCCTGCTTTCAAATACGAACACTACACGTCCAAGGAGCACATCCACGAGTTCCAAGCCATGTACTTCTTGTCCTCGTTCTTCAACCAGTTTGGTCCTAACGCAGTTACTTTCTTGGTTGCCGCTGAGGTCTTCCCCACTAATGTCCGTGCCTCTGCCCATGGTTTCAGTGCCGCTTGGGGTAAGCTCGGCGCCCTGCTGGCCTCCATTCTTTTCAACTACATCACCGATCAGACCAAGTTCTACGTCGTTCCTTGGTTCGGTTTGGCAGGCATGATTATCACCCTTGTTTTCCTGCCCGATGTTACCGGTCTCGATCTCCGCGAGCTCGACCGCTGGTGGCTCTGCGTCCGCGAGGGACGTCCGGAGGAGTACCATGGCGTCGCCGTCAACCCCCGTCACTTGTCTCTTTGGGAGCGCTGGACGGGTGTTGGCAAACACTACAACCCTGAGCTTGACTACAAGCAGCGCGTTGACTCGATGCGCTCTGATTGGGAGGCCCAGCAGCGTGCTAAGCTTTCCGAGTCAGACAATAGCGACAACTACGATATCGAGAATGACTTCAACCCGGAGGTCCACGACTACTTTGTCCGTACTTCGCCTATGATGGTCGCTGAGGACAAGGAAAAGGCCGATGATGAGCTCCAGTTACCACAGGCCGGCAAAGAATAAAGCCGCCCCCTTAATTTAAAGAAATCCTAAAAAATGAACGTATACAGTTTCTGATAAAAAGATCTAATTCTATTATTTACCTTTCCGTCCTCCTCCTCATTTGTCATGATTGACTACATCCTAAAGTTCGTCCAGCAGCTGGCTGGAGCAGTGGATGTTCCGGGCACCGACTGGAAGAAAGTCATTGGCACAATTCTGGGCGCTCATTTTGCCTTTGAGACTGTCATGAATTTGCGTCAGTTGAGTGTTCTCAAGCGTACTCAGCGCCCTGAAGTTGTCAAGACGTTCGTCGATCAGGACACCTACGACAAAACTCAGGCTTATGGTCGCGCCAAATTGCAGGTCTCGATTGTCCAAGGCGTCTATGATTTGGCTATGACTTATGCTGTTTACAAGTACGGCGGTCTGCCTCGTATGTGGGGTTGGGCACAGAAGGCAGTTAGCTGGCTTGGCTGGTCCCGCTTTTCTGGCCCCATTGCCCAGAGTGTAGCCTTTTTTGCTATCCAAACTCCGTTGACGCAATTAATTGCTGCTCCCTTCTCGCTGTATAATACATTTGTTCTTGAGGAGAAGTTTGGTTTCAACAAAATGACCCTTGGCCTTTGGATTACTGACATGGTCAAGACTTTGGGTCTCTCTGTCGCCCTTGGCGGCCCGATTATGGCCGCTTTGCTCAAAATTATCGATTACTTTGGCGATGTATTCTTTGTTTATGCTACTCTCTTTGTTCTCGGCCTCAATCTCGTCATGATGGTTGTCTACCCCCTGTTCATTGACCCTATTTTCAACAAAAACACTCCCCTCGAGGAGGGAGAGCTTCGCACGGCTATCAACAAGCTTGCTGGTGATCTCAAATTCCCTCTTGGTGAAGTTTATGTTCAGGATAGCTCTCGTCGCTCTGCCCACTCCAATGCCTATTTCACAGGGTTGCCCTGGTTCAAGCGAATTGTCATTTTCGACAACTTGATCGAGAATTCGAGTGTTGAGGAAGTTGTTGCTGTCTTAGCTCACGAACTTGGTCATTGGAAGCGCAGCCATATTCCTCGTTTGTTGACTATGAACCTTTCCATCGTTCTCGCCACCTTTGGGCTGTTCTCTGCGTTCGCTAAAAACGCTTCTTTGTACCGCTCTTTGGGTTTCGCTCCAGGAACCATGCCTATAATTGTTGGGTTCATTGTCTTTAGTGATCTGCTCAAACCTGTTGAGGCGCCCATCAATTTTATTCAGTCCTACATTACTCGCATGTACGAGTATGAGGCGGATAGATTCGCTGTCGATCTCGGCTACGGTGGCAAGCTTGCTTCTGCTTTGACCACAATGATGAAAAAGGATTTGGCCACTGTCAACGCTGATTGGTTGTATTCTACATATCACTACAGCCATCCCATTCTTCCCGAGCGTTTGCGGGCTATCTACGATGCTGATCCCTCTGCGAAGCCTAAAACTGAGTGAACAGATTGTGCAAGATTTGAGATGTACGCAGGATCAGTTCTGCAACAACCGCCAAACACTCGAACGCCGTGATCGTACCAGTCCTTAACCACGGAGGGTGTCAGCTGGGCTTGTTGATCCAGTGGGGCCGGCGCCCATTCTTTAGTGATTCCATCGTAAACTTCACCTGAGTTTGGGTAAATGATAAGGGGGCGGTGAAAAGGTTCGAGTTCCTCAATGAGCTTTCTGGCGAACTTTGGTGGGAAGCAGTTTCCTCCAAACATCTCGACTGATTCTGGCCAAGGCATCGCAGCAATTTCGCTCAATGGGGTTCCATCTGCCAATGCAACATTATCCCCATCATGGCCCCACTTGATGCTGAATGCGACCCATACTGGGGTCGTGATCGACGGTCGATCAGCTAGAAGGCGGATGATCGCCTCACATTCAAGGCGATTAGCGATAGTCTCAAATAAAATAATATCCGGTTTGGAATTCAAAAATGCATCAAAACGTGCGGCGTGAAAATTATAAATGTCGTCAACAGTTGCATGACCGTAGTCGCCATTGAACTCTTGGCCGCCCAGCAGAGACGCACCAAAAGGGCCAACACTTGCGGCGATCTTTACCGGTTGAGCACCGTTACGTTGTTGAATTAGATCGCGAGCAACATCAACCACTGCCTTGAATTGCTTCTCAACTTCTTGGGGAGTCAGAAGACCCTCAAAGCCTGCGAATGTCGCCTGATATGTCGGTGTGGTCAACACAGTAGCTCCAGCGTCAATGTAGGCCTGATAGTACTTTGAAACATAGCTAATGTTTTCAGGAAGTATGCACACGGCAGCCCATAACTTTGGGTGCATTTCAAGCCCCCAGTTTTCTAACAAAGTGCCCGAAGCACCATCCAGCACTTGTGCGTCCATTGCGTAATCTTGCGGCTCAGTGTATCACGAGGTTTTTTTAGTGCCTCTTACCCGGAGGGAGGAAGTGCTAAATTCAGTAATAATTAGTAGGATGAACTACGTTAACATTATAAATAATCAAGCGAGCTCCGAGATAACGGGCTCAGTTTTAGTACCGACGGTTGAAGCGTCATCCTCGTGATCGTAGACACGAGTTATATGATTCCGGGGCCAGCCCTTGGAGTCAATTTCACATTTGGATTCCAGTCTGTAGCCACCAAAGTATGGGATAGCCACAAAAAAGATAAGCCAATAGATAAATCCACCGCCAAACAAACCCAGGCCTACAACACAGTGAAGATAGTAGGGCAAGCTTTCGTAGACGTTCTGACCTGCATCAGGGGGGATAAATGGAGCTGCGACCAAATACAGAGATGCCAAAAAGAAAAACACTGCCACAGGCAAAGTAGCCTTGAGAGGAGGATCCCAATCAGGCCAGTACTTGTGCTTATCTTTGGTAAGGTAAATCACAATCAGTCCGAAGGACACAGCTGCATTGACCACTGACAGTGGATAAGAAATCAAATTCAAAATAAAATTGTAAGCATCTCCAGGCGGTGGTGCTAAAAGAATAATCATAGAAACACCCCAGTGCTCGAATAGGCCCATAAACGGCGTGTTGAACGGCCGAGATGTAGCCCACAGTTGGGAGAATGGCAAGACGCCTTCACGGCCGAGTTCCTGAACAATGCGGCCTTGTGAGTAAATAACAGCAAGCACGTTACCCAGGGCTGATAGAGCAACAAAAACCGACAAGGCTTTGGCGCCCTTCTCACCCCAAACGACTCGGAAAAACTCTGCAGCCACAATTCGGCCTGAGGACTTCATGATATCGAGCGGAACAACGGCAAAATATGCAATATTCACAAGCATATAAAGAATAGCCACCGAAATAAGAGCTGTGGGAGCAGCATATTTCAAGATTCTATTCGGGTTTTTGGCCTCGGCTAAGGCGTAGTTTGCGTTACTGTAACCGACAAAAGACCAAATGATATTGTACAAAGCCATGACTACTCCGTAGCCACTTGTCGAATCGGCAGTGTTGGTGAAAGAATCGTGGAAGTTACCAGTTTCCTTGATTCCACCGCCTCCACCAAGAGCAACGAAACCGATGATAATCATCATTCCAATAACAACCAGCTTGAACAATCCCAAGACGTTTTGCAAAGCTAGTCCAGCACGTTTGAAAGTACCGTGAAGCAAAAACGAAAAGGTCAAGCATGCTACACCAATACCCCGCTGGTTCCAGCGGGTGACTTCTTTTCCTGCGGCGACCAGGATATACTCACCAAAGACGACCGAGTTGGAAGCAGCCCAGCCGAGCAAGAATGCATAGGCGGCGTAACAGCAAAGAGCCAAAAACTTTGGTTTGCGGTAAAAGTATTCGAGGTAGTTCTTCTCACCACCATTCTTAGGAATCTGTGATCCCCACTCCATATACACCATTAAACCAGAAAGCGCAATCAGCGAACCCACAGCCCAAAGAATCAGCGATAAACCAACGGATCCCGCCAGCGAGTAGATGGTGGCTGGGGTAGCAAAAATACCCGTTCCAATAATGCGGTTGAGAATCAGGAAAATAGCTGAGACCATACCAATAGAGCGCTGGCCTTCAGGTGTAATGACACCTCTATTTTCAGGCGGAGGATTGCCTGTCTCGATACTCACTTCGCTGGCATCTGAAGAATTTTCCGCAGACGTGCTACTACTAAAGTAGCCCTTGATGTCTTTCCCGAACATCTTATAAGATAGTGGACAGAGATTTTCTCTGAGGTTTTCTCAGCCACTCTGTCTGATTTTTATCCCCTCAGGATCTTTGGTTGCGGTTTCGCCGTATTGTAGTATATATACGCAGCTGCACGCACCAGGCAGCTGCAAGGGACTGCAGGTTTTTATCCGGGAATAAGTTGGGTCTGTGCGACTCTGGGCACACAGATTGGGTATTTAAAACCATAAACCTCAATAATGTTACAAACGCACCGTGCATTTCAATTTTTAAAAGTTTTCTGCCCCTATTAACCCCGTATCCTTAATACGCTCGTCGAATGCCGGCACTAGGGGCGAGGATCAGTGTAAGTCACGTGAACTGACTCAATACTATCGTCTGTCCCATGCATCCGCCCGGGTAAAGACGGTAGGGTTCCCTGTGTGGCTATGGGACTCTCTACACATTCACACTTTTATTCCCGAAGTTTTTCTACGTTTAATATCCGAAGCTGACCGTGGCATCATAAAATTCGATTCAGACCCGCGATGATCCAGATCGAGCACAGATCATTCGCCGAAAATCTCCCGCGCAGTTCGCCCACAGCCGCAACGCCAAGACCCCTGACCATCCGCTCTAAGGATCGAAAAAACAGGCTTTTACCAAATCTATAAATCGACGGTGCTTTTTAAATGTATAGATCTAGTTCGCTTCTGCAGGGCGCTTCATTTTCCAGCTCTTTTTTTCACTCCCGGCGGCCTTTTCGTCTACCTCGTCTACCTGCATCTGGTCGCTGCTGAATAAACCTGCTTTTCATATCGCCCCAGAGTGATATGCAGGGCGCGATAAATGACATTGTGCAATATAACGAGCTCTGGCATGAGAATTCGCAACAATGGGGGCTGTGCCCTCCAATTGCATTGTTTGACTCTGTAGGTGGCTTATGAGGCAGGTTAGCGGTCACTTACGTGCGATTCAAAAGAGATCAACCGGCTGAAACACTTTTAAAATAGCTGGAACTGACTTCTTCGGGCGATATTATTACCCATAGAGACTTTTTTGTCAACTGCAACCTAGAAATGCCCAACAGAATGGTTTTGATACAAATTACCACGTAACTAAAAATTTCCACTAGAAGCGTTAGTGGTTTAGTGGTAAAATGCGTCGTTGCCATCGATGCGCCCCCGGTTCGATTCCGGGCTAACGCATCCTTTTTTTTTTCTGGCTTACTGCTCTCTCATCTCCCAAAGTGAGCTGGTATGGATAGAAAGTCCATACTAAAACAGTTTCATGAGGACCTGACACCAAAGAATATCTCTCAGGAACATGTTGGCTTTATCAACTCTTTAGACTTGGATCCTGCAGAGTCTCGATATTTGCTTTGCGGGGCTGCAGACTCGAGCGTTTCCATCTGGGACACTTGGGTGTTTGGATCTTCGCGATCACTGAACCAGAAAATCCAGCCTATATTGCATACTCAGAGACACGATGCGCATAAATACGGTGTTTCGAAAGCTTCATGGTGGCCAATGGATACAGGAATGTTCGTGACGGCCAGTTTTGACTCGACGGTGAAATTATGGGATACAAATAGCGGTGAGTCGGTATATTCTTTCGATATGGAGCATCGTGTTTACAATATTGATATTAATCCTTTGAATACAAACGGTTTGGTCGCAGTGGGTATGGATCATCCTTACTGTCGTCTTCTTGATCTCCGCATCGCCACGTCTGCACACACATTGAAAGGGCATTCTGGGCGAATTATAAGCACCAAGTGGAACCCCATGAATGAATATATCCTAGCTTCGGCTGGTTCCGACGGAACAGTGCGGATATGGGATATAAGACAAGCTGCTAGCTGTGTGTCAAGTATGGACATGATGCGGACTGATCAAGACCTTGATCTAACCCCAATCGATTATAGACGAGCTCACCGCAGCTCTGTAAATGGACTCTGCTGGTTTCCCACGGGAACCAGGCTGATCTCACTAGGCAACGATAACAAATCACGTGTGTGGTCATTGAGTGTGCCAGGTGGGATTAACGAGTCTATAAACTACGGGCCCTTGGTTCAAAATCGCCACTTACAGACTCTTGATCCGGTATTGAGCCATCTTGGTGATCTAGAAACCCCATATCTCTTTGTGCCTTCGGATACAGGTGACATTCTCGTGTTCCAAGCATTGGATGGACGGCTGGTACGGAAATTAGAGTCTCCCGAAGGGTACAAAGCATCCAGATATGCATGCATCGTCAAAGGCGAACCCAAGACTGCTGTTTACTACTCGGGAAATGGCAATGGAGCGATAACAGAATGGACGGCCCTCGAACAAGACACAAGTGACGACGAAGATAATGAGTTAGTCTCTGCTACGGTCGGTGATTATTTGAATTGATATTTATTCGCGTGTAATTAAATAACCGCTACCTTTTTCACGCGGGCTCATGTACCTCCCGCACCGGCTGGGCATCTTGGTCAGCTCGATGTCGGAAAGATTTCGACTAAGTGTTGGAGTGGTTTTGAGGCCGCAGTACGAGCACAGTGTGGCATCAAATGCCGCATTGACCGCTACACAACGATTTCTGCACGTTTGTGATGGTAACGACAGTATTGAGCACCTTTCAAAATCTCTAAATGATTCTTTCAACCGAGCGCTAGGAAAAACTGTAATTGGCAATAAAAATATGCTGGCTACAAGCGATTCCTATGTGATCAATTCGGCATATTCTGTTAGAGACGTGTTTGATGTAAAAGACAAGCTCTACTGGGTTGTAGATCAAGTTCAACCGCTTGGCTCAGTTTCGTCCACAAATGGCAAACATCAATCCAGGACGCATGCTAGTGCTGCTTCTGAAACCCGCAATCTCGCCAGCTCGGGTGAGTCTCCTGTATTATCTGAACCAGCTCGTCCTCTCCAGGTACCTGACTCTACGCCAGCTATGGATTCGGTTCCGTTGGCTACGTTTGCAAGAGACAGGGCTCTTGAGAACAGGTCTGGAAAACAACCCAAAAATGCGGAACGACCAGCAGCTTCAAAGAAAACACAAAAGGATAGCTCAATTCCTAACAATGGGGACTCACCAAAGGCTTCTGCAAAAAACAACGTCTTGGATCTGAAATCATTGGATAAAAGGGTCACCAGCCATCAAGATTTCTCTGCTTTAGATGAAATTTCCAGTTTTGGAAGTGTTCAAGAAGCAGAAATTCCGATCCGGGATTTTGTTATCAATTTTTGGAAGCGAGACGGTCTGGTCGCTAGTAAGTCTGTGCTGAATAGGGAGATTCAAGAGCTCAAAGAAAAGTGGGGGGTTATCAAATCCAGTTCCACGAATAGAAACGAAATGATAACTCGTCTAATTGATAGTTTCCCGGATATTCTCGCTCGTGATAAGAAAAAAAGAGCAATCAAAGCAGCCAAGTTCAAGGAAGCCAAAGAGGCTAGAGAAGCTAAAGCCAAAGAATTGAAAAATAACGAAATCAAAGCGAAGGAAGTAAAAGCCACGGCAATTGAAGGCTCAAGCGAGACCCAGGATATTGAAGAAACCAGGGCCCAGTCCGGATCACCTCTGTCTGAGCCTGAGAAAAATACTCAGGGTCTTGTGGCTAGCCATAGCGAAGAGCCTTCGAGTGAAGCTGTGGCTAGCGAATCTCAAGTGGACAAAATTTCTTCTAATGAGGTTCAGGTAAATGAGCCTAATGCGGTTACCAAAGCTAATGTTTCCATTGCTCCCCCTAAGACACCATCAGGACTTAAACCAATTGCTCAGTCGACACCCGCGGTCAATCAAAATAATAATAATAACAATCAGTCGGATTCTGAGCAGTCTGATACGGTTGTAACGGGTAAAAAACGACCTCTACGGCGTAAAATCAATCGCGTTGTAGCTCTCGAAGCTGAAACACCCATTGAACGGAATGTCGACAATACCATCCGATTTGGAACTGCTCCAGATTCGGATTCGGAGAACAGCGATGGAGGACCGATTCGCAAACGGCGGGCAGTTGCTCCTCCGCGCTCTGCCACGCCTGACGAAAGTACTCTGCGAGCTCCGCTTACCCCCACTCCTGCAAAGAAGCCAGTCAACACACCAACCAAAAAGCCCAATGATTCACTGAAACCTACGCCCAAATCTGTGATCAAACCACAAGAAACGCCGTTGTCAAAGCCCTCAAAACCAAGACATAGCATCGGGTTACGCTCACTGTCGGCACTGGAAAATATCGATACTGACGTGCACGAAGGCAGGTCCATGACTACCTCCAATCCTAACGTCACACCCAAAATACCTGATCCGCCAGAGACTTCAGATGAAGAGAGTTTATCTGAAAGCTCCGATGATAGCTCTAGCGACAGTTCGGACAGTGATAGTGGGAATGAGTCCGTCCCACAAAAGAAGATTGCAGGTAAACGCGAAAAAGAAAAACGCAATCGCAGCGGATTCTCAGGGCTATTGTCAGACTCGTCGAAACTCAGATGAGAAAACTAGAGAAGAAAAAAAATTAGGAAATAATTATGAGATTAATTGATTAAGTTTGAAAAGTCCTCAAGCATTAGATGTCACACGTTGAATTTCGCGCAGATCCTCTGCTGGAACGGGCTGATCAACGAATAAGCTAATGGGATCAGTACTGACTGGAGGTGTAGCGGACTCGTTCAATGCACCCTTGATCCAGTTGGCTTCAAGAATTTGTGGCGCTCGCAGACGGTCAGCAGCTGGTTGGAAACACCCATCAACCACCGCTTGACCTCCGGCCCATGGGGAATCCGGAGGTTCGTCCTTGCGTTTATACCATGCCCAGTCAATTCTTGCAATTCTCTGGGCGGTGCGAAGTCGAGCTCGACGCCCTTCAAGAGGGGGAGCATTAGGAGGAGGGTCAAATGGAAGTCTACCTTCGAGTACGGCATAAAGCAAAGCGCCCAGCGCCCAACAGTCTGTAACTCGTCCATCATAAGGTTGGCCCATAAGAATTTCAGGGGGGACATAGTCTTCGCTTCCGCATCTCGTAGTGAGTAAAGGATTGTCAGGGTCAATAGTGCGAGCAAGCCCCAAGTCTGTCACAATACAAATAGGATGCGGGTAAGAAATAGGGTCTTCTAACGCTAGTAGTTCAGCTGCCGGCAGCGTCACTAAAACGTTTTCGAGTTTGATATCACGATGTACCACGTAGTTTTGGTGGAGATAAGCAACCGCGCTCACGACATCAGCAAACATTCGACGAACAAGGTTCGCCGACAGATCCACACGATGGACAGACACAAGTTCAAATAAGTCGCCACCCGCACAATAAGGAAGGACAACCAAGGCACGTGCCTCGTCGATGTTGAAGGCAATTATTGACATTAGGTTGGGGTGGGAGAGCGATTTAACGAGCTCCACATCGCGCCTCAGTGCTTCCTCCAATTGTAATCTCTCCGGGGTGTGCGCTTTGCCCAGAGATGTTATCTTGACAGCAACAAATGTTGCTCTGGCTCTATAAATAAGCTCTGGGTGCACTTGGGAAAGCGTAGGGGTCGCCAAAATAACCTGGCTGAAGGAGCCCTTTCCAAGGAACCTTACGCGATCCCAGGTGGTCTTCTTAAGACTTGGTGTGAATGCAATGTAAACGTCGGCTTTGTCCTTGAACCTGTCACCCATATCAGGCAGTACAAAGTCTTCATGAACCACAGGAAGCTCGGGGCCCGGCGAGCCGCGGGGAGTTTCTGTGCGAGATTCGACACGAACCTCACGATGTAATCTAACAGAATTTACTCGCTGCAAAGTCGAATGTGGCCGCGGAGATGTGCGCTTGGGCAAACTAATTGGTGCATCAAGAACCTGGGGCCGAGCAATAACATTGGAGCCAAAACGGGTAGTTGGCGACATCAGCGGACTATTTGGATCCATGCCGCCATGCACTACACGTCTTGACATTGAGGGTTGGCGTACAATGGCATCCATAGGCGCTTCTGCTCCAGAGAACACCGCAAACACGCTTTGGCCATCATCGGGTCTAGGGGAAGGTAACTGGGATAACTCGTTGAAGTCATCTAGATCGCTGCTGGCTGATCCCGCAGACACATTACGCTGTGCTGATCCATAGATGGCTTCAGCCGCCGTCTGTAGCTTTAGATGAGGCTTCGAAATGTCATCTGGAGGGGGGGCACTTCGCGAGGCCATTTCCCGCAGCTGCTTAGTAGGAAGACTGGTGGCTGGGAATGTGCGACAGATAAATGTGCCAGACCGGAAGCCTTGATGCTGTCAGTGAAATTGGGCTATCAAGGACGGTCTTTTGGATGCTTTTATAATTGATTATTGCTGCTTGATGGAGACGTTGTGTCGTATATCTACACGTTTTGTTGTGAACAAAAATTAGGTTACGTGGGTGGTGTTTTTGGTCTATGCGGACGGCAAAGGTTGCTGCGTTGAACCACAGGAGAAAAAATGAGCGGCGCGGTTTCAATGCCTCATGTAAAACATCAAGCATCGGATAATGTGCTTCAATTGAACTCTAGACTGTTGCAGAAAACCAGCCGCTCTGTTTCAGGATCTTTGTCCTTAGTCATGGAGCCGGCCCTGCCGCACATCACAGAAGGCTATGTGTCTTTGCGCCATGTGGTGAACGCACTAGTGACCAAAATCTATGCAGAACTCACAGGGATACTCCAAAAACTTCCGAGCATCCCTAATGATGCGGCAAGAAAGCGGGCTTTCTTGGAATTTGTTGTCGCGGCTCGTCAAGAGGTTGTGAAGCTTTATGTTCTATGCAAATGGGCCGTGGTTGCACCAGATATCTCCAAATCAATTGATATTACTTCATGGTTAAGAGGACAGCACAACTGTTTCATTAATGTCATTGCCGCACTGTTTCATTTGCAACAAGACATGGGTGCTGCCAAACTACATCACGCTGATATAGAAACCGCACTACACGTTCTCAAATACGGAAAGACTCAGAATTCCACTTATGGTTTCGTGGCGCCGGCGCCTTTAGAGTCCCAAGAGATCCTGGCTGTTCTCAAAAACCTCAACGTCCTCTTGTCTATTCGCCTGGCTTTGAGCGAAAAACTACCTTCTCATTACCGTAATTATTCGATCCAGAACGGCAGGGTAAGATTCAAAGTACCAGGATCTTTCTGGGTAGACCTGAGTGTTGCAGACGATGCCGTGGATGCTCGGTTTTTCTACATCGATTTTGGATTTGACTTTAAATCCAAGTGCTCGATTCATGCTGCATTAAGATCTCGGCTGGAGGCTGCTGCCAATGAAAAGCTTGCAACTCAGTCTTTGAAAGAGAGCCTAGACTGGCTCTTGGTATTCACTTCGAATTATAAGCTCACTCTTGTTAGCCAGCAGTTGGTCAAACTCGAGCATGGGCTGTGGTACGATGTACTGGAGCACAAGTTCAATGCATCCAGTGGAACGCTCCAAATAAGATATTGGACAACCAAAAAGGGGTCGTACAAACTTGAACTATCTGTCACCAACGCCGCATCCGTGGCCTTCGCACCTTTGGCCGCTCGCTGGTCGATCGACGAAAAAGAACAAACACTTCCACCGGCAGTGATGGGCGAATTCGGTGCTACTGATCTGGATGTTGGTGCCTTGTTGAATAGACTAACAACCTACCATGTCAAGCAGCTGGTGGACGAACTTGCGAGACCGGGAATCGTCCCTGCTAGCGATTCAGCAGTTATCATGTCAATTGAAAATGCCAAGGCACTGAAAATTGCAATCGACCACTCTTCAGGAATCTTTAGTGTTCAAAGCGAAGGCCAAGTGGTTGGGGCGGGCGAAGCTTTGAACGAACTGAAAGACCTAAGTGAAGTTGGGCCTGTGATTGACAAAATCCGAGTATTGACGAAAATGGACCAAATTTCTCGACGTGCCGAAGCTGCTGGGTGGATTGCCAGACCAGGGATTAGGCTGCCGCCGGCGGATATGGCCAAATTCAATCCCGAAACGCTCGCGGTGCTGGCACTGCGAATGCCGGCTTGGCCGCAAGGATGGTATGTTGCCGTGGGACTTACATCCTGCGGAGAAAAGGTATGGGCAGCAGCTCAAATGAAGACGCAACAAAGAAGATGGCAATTGGATACCCTGCATCTAATTTCCGTATCGGACGACATGGACTACGCGCTTTTTGATCGACTGGCAGCATTTTGCACATCTCAGTTTGCATTGTTTGATTTATGTCGTCAATTAGACGATGTTGGAGTTCGCCATGTTCCAGGGAGCCAAAAATTACAACTTGTACTTGATAGGCGGACATTAGTTCCTTCGGCGAATTGGGCCCATTCGGCACTGATACTAGACTGGACGCCAAGGAAAATCACAGTAAGGGGGTGTGCACGAGCAAAGAGGTTTGCAGAGTTGGGCGAGTCTGGAATGTCTAACGGATTGTCGATTACTGCTACTGGCGAATTCACTATTGAACTAGATGCTAAGAACGACCTGCTGGCACGCTTGCGGGCCCAGTTGGCGCGACTCGAGCGTATTGCCGCAGCTTTACGCCTGGCAAGATTTCTTAAACTCGAGGTAATCGAAGCATCACCATCCCTGCTATCTTTGGGATATGCCGGTGGAAAAGCTCGTCTCACGGTGAGTGGAGAAAACTTGGAGAGTATCGAGCTGGCTAAAGACAACCCCCAGAAAATACTGTCGCCTTTCTTACCTCCGCTACTCGCACAAGGCGGGCTCGGTACCGTTGTAAAGTTCCTTAGCCAAACGTTCCCGCTGTTTGAGCTTTTGGCAACAACTCGAGTGACTGTCCTACCCCGCGGAGCCACTCATTTGCTCGTTCGTCGTTCATTGGGCATGTCAGATCCGGAACTCGAGGTGCAAGTCCGGTATTGGCGAGCTTCACCGGTCGTCTATGTCACGGCGAATGCAGCCGCTGCCGCAAGCCCGGTTGTGAACGAGTTTTTCACTCGGCCGGTCAGCCCCGCAACCACACCACTGCGCCAGGCGGTCGTGATTAATATGAGCGGAGTGCAGGCGGTAGAGCGGCTTCTGAAAGCACTATAGCCATAGCAGAAATGTTAAATAACGAAGTACTATAAACTGGCATCACCATCACGGTACTTGAAGACAAGAGGCGAGGTGGGAATGTTACGCTCGAACTTAGTGCCGTCAGGACGCTGGGGAGGGATGATGGGATCGGGATGCTTGTATTTTTCCAGCAAAGACTCGGTCTGCTTGACGAGGAAATCAATGCGGTACTTGTCCGTGACGTCCTTGTTCTCGTCGAACTGGGCGCGGATTTCGAGTGCCTTGGCACGCCAGAGATCCCGGCGGTTAATCCACGACTTGGTAAGGCGCAGCGACTGGCGGTACAGCGACGAAACCAGCCGTTTGTGTTGTTCCTGCAACGACATTGGACCAAGTTGACAAAGCCGGGTAGCTGGTTGGGCTACTTTTTCCCTTTTACACACGCCCTAACCTCGACGAACCCCCGTCACCCTGCTGGGTGTATACTGACGTAAGAAAAGGGTCCCGGAGAGGAGAATGGAAGATGAGCTGGAGACGTGGTTGAGGCCGTTGAATGCGTTTGTGGAGTATGCGTCTGAGACAGAGGAGATTTTGAAGCGGCGAGAAAGCAAGGCGCGCGAGGCCGAGCAGGATCAGTGGCTTGCATCGCACTTCATCAACCTGCGTCAAGCCGCAGAAGCCAATGCTGAAATTTGCCGGAAGATAGCCCAGATCGGCGTCGAGATGCTCGATGAAGAATCCATCAAGGTGCTGGGTGATGAGGAGTTCAAGGCGACGCCATTAGATGCTGAGAAAGTCCGATCAACGCTTCGCCAGTTCGCACGGGAGTGGTCGTCGGACGGAAGATCAGAGCGTGCTGCATGTTTTGACCGAATCGTCACGGCTCTGCTGAAGGAGTTCCCAGATGGAAAGGCGAAAGTTGTTGTCCCCGGCTCGGGACTCGGCAGATTGCCGTGTGAGCTAGCGAAATATGGGTTTCATGCAGTTGGCAACGAGTTCTCAGTGCACATGGTTTATGCGTCCAACTTCATTTTAAACCTATCGCCGAGCGCAAACTATACTTCAATTCATCCCTATATTCATAATTATTCGCACATCAGGACACGGGCCGACCAGCTAGCTCCAGTGAGCATTCCAGACATGTGGCCGGCAGAAAGCTTGGCTGGAGAGCTTGAAATGGCAGTAGGCGATTTTATCGAGTCATTTGCAGAGGCTGATCCTGTGGACGCAGTAGCGACCGCGTTTTTCCTGGATACTACAGACGATATTTATACCACGATCAACACAATCTCTAACCTGGTGCGACCGGGCGGGATATGGACCAACTTCGGGCCGTTACTTTGGCATTTCGACGGCGATCCCGACCGGTGCGGGCTCGAACTTTGTATGGAGGATTTGATTACTCTCATCAAAAGCAGCGGATGGTCTATTACTACCCTGGAAACCGACGTCGAGACCACCTATTGTCAAAGCCCTAATGCGATGGGGGGCTTTGTGTATAAATGCCTGTTCTTTGTGGCAAAACGGATATAGCTGAAATGATAATTAACTTTCATTTACATACATGTTCATTATTCGTGAAAAAAAAAGCCTGCCTCAAGCGCTGTGCGAAGAGACAGAGGTATCAACAACCTTCTTCTCGGAGAGGTCTTTATCGAGACTGCTCGAGGTTGGAGTGAGGTCTTCAGCATGAACATCGCCAGCATTACCAAGCTTACGTTGAGCAGTGAGCTGGGCACGGTTGTAGAGTTCGTTGATCTCATCATCGGAGACATGCTTGCGCTTCCAGAAGCGGCCAATAATAGGCAGCTTGCCTGTCTTCTCCTCGTACTGCATGACGCAGATGATCAACATAATGAAGATCCAGTAGGCATTGTAGGACAAGACAGAGCCGTAAGTAGCAGTGTTCTGCCAGCCAAAGAGAGCATTAAAAATACCCCAACCGTTGTTGTTCATCTCGGGGTTGCAGCAGTTTACGTGCCAGACAACCTGCTTGATGTTATAGGTACCGGGGCCAGCACCACCCTCAGCGACATCACCACCAGTCTGCTTAGAGAAGGTATTCATCTGCAGGTACCAGACTGAACGGCTGAACAAACCGGCAGCAATAAGATAGAGCAGGCAGGTGGAGAAAATCATAAAGTACTTCAGAGAGACGGAAGAAGAGAAGAAGTAGAGGGCATAACCGAAGGCGAGACCACAAATAAGACCGAGAATGACGGAGAGGGGGAAGGCCTGAGCAGGCTGACCCAAACCGACACCACCGACAAACACGACGGCTTCAATACCCTCACGAAGGGTTGTCACGAAAGGCAACAGGAACAGAGCATATTTGCGAGTCCACCGGCCAAACTTGGAGAAGCGGAAATTAACAGGATTCAGGTTCTTGAGGCGCTGACCCCACGTAAGGTGTTTGGCCAGGGGATCTTCTTCGTCGTCTTCGAGGATGGCCTGGGAAATTTTCAACCTCCACTTGGCCTTCATCTTGTTGATACGGAGCATACCTAGACCCATGATAGTGATCATAACAGAAGCAATGACGGAAAGAATACCTTCCCAAAGATCTTCAGAAGATCCCCAAATATCATTGTTCAAGCCATAGAAGGCACCAATGAAGGCACCACCGATAATCAAACAAACAATGAGACCGGTTAACGAGCCTAGCCAGATATGCCAGAGAAGTCGCTTATACGCTTTCCTGTCCATTCCCGGCCCGCCAAAACTCTGCTTGACGAATGAAAGCAACACGGCGATAATCACCGCTGCTTCGATGGACTCACGGAAGCAAATGATAAACACATCAATCAAGAAAACCTGTGTCATGGTGTGATACTTAACAAGATGTAGCTTGTACTTTGTGTCTTGGGCTACGAGGAAGCTTGCTGGGTGGACGATGAGGGCGGAAGGACTGATATTATATATCATGCAAAATATTTGAGCGTAATGCAACTTCAACCCCTGCCCCGGTATTTGCATGCGTAATGCACGATTATCTGCCAAAGCAGCTTACGAAGCACGAAAAACTACCGCCAAAACCCTACGCTCAATCATTATGGGCTTGGGCATCAGTGGAAAGATCTCGCAGTTGTGGTTTTGCAAATCAGGGCCCCGGAGCCGACTCGGGCCTAGTTCAAGTGAGAGAGAGTATTGATTCTAGTTTTAATCTGGTATAGCACTTTGGAAATGTTCTACGGGCTATTAATTATGCCGTTTGCTGGCTTGGCCTGATCAAGTGGTTTTAAAACCCGGACCCTAGATTGATGTAGCTGATTGGCTCGATCAGCATTGTCGTCAAGTAAACGAATCAGGTGCGCAGAGCCTGTACAAAAATCACTAATCTACTTATGCATCTAGTTGCAATGTCATGCCATCAGTAGTGAAATTTCTTGGCTAGAACCAAGGCAGGAACCAATAGTTGCATCGTGTGGTGTTGACAAGAGCAAATATAGACAACAGGGCGAGGGCCTACTTACAAGAGCGCAAGCCTAGACGCTGATAATCTTCATAGACCGCATTCGTTGTTTCGCCGCGAGCTTCTAGATCTGCAGTCGTCCAAGATAGCTTCAACCAGCACGATTATTGATTGGTTTTCGTATGCTTTTTTTGCCCAGCAAAGTGGGAAAAAGCGTCGTGCAGCATCAGCTGCAGTAGCTGGTTGGTGCTGACATAGCAATCGTTTACGGTGTCAGACCCTCGGCTTCGGGCAGACATGTCCCAACTTAGTATCTCCTTGTGAAGGGCTGAGATCAAGTGGTTGCCCGAAACCTGCTAGTTGCAGCTCGAACCCTTGTGCTCTGCTGGACCGATCGCCACCAGGGCCCAGAGATCATCTCGAGAGATTTACGAGCCCGCAGTTGTACGCGTAGTTTCATTTTTTTGATATTAATCATGCATAACGATCTTATTGCATGCATGAAAAGGAAAGACTACCCTGCACCAAGCGTGCAGACGTGGGGCTAGAAAGATCAGAAGAAGAGACGTGAATTAAATTAGTTATGGCAGTGGCATTGAATCTTTCCGGAGAAGCGGAAATTTCTATACTATTCCCATCGGCAGCCTCATTTCTGCCAGGTAAACATATTTCTTTCGCGGTAATAACAACGCACCCTATTCCAAGCATTAGCTACCCTGCATCCAGAGATGACGTTGATGTATTAGATAATCGATGCGGACTCACATTTTTTCATGCATGAAGTTGATTGGGATATAAGTCAGAAGGTTGGATTTATCCTAGCCAGCTTGTTGACAACGTAAAACGCCACATTCGCAACTTACTGCTGTCTCTCTTGATTTTACCTGCAGTAAGACAATCACACAGACACAGCAAGCCTCTCACTGAACAAAATATGCTGTTCTCCAGAGCCACCACTCTCCTGGCAAGCACCCTAGCTACCTTTGGTGCCGTGGCCAATGCAAAGGACATCGAACTCGATTGGACTGTACGCTGGAAGACTGTCAACCCGGACGGATTGAAGGAGCGCCAGGTCGTTTCGATCAATGACCAGTTCCCGCTCCCCGTTCTCCGTGGCAACAAAGGTGACCGCATGATCATCACCGTCCACAATCAGCTCGAGAATCCTGTCCGTAACTCTTCCATTCATTTCCATGGTATGTACCAGAACCATACCAACCATATGGACGGCCCTCCTAATGTGTGTCAGTGCGATTCGCCTCCTAATAGTAGCTTTGTCTACAACTTCACCCTCGACCAGGACGGTACTTACTGGTACCATACCCACACTTCGGAGTCCTACCCTGATGGTTACCGTCAGATTATGCTCATTGACGAAGACGAGCCTCCTTTCGAGTACGACGAGGAGCTTTCTTTCACCATGTCCGACTGGTACCATGAGCTGAACGAGATCATCACTAAAGATGACTTCTTGACCTTGTACAACCCCACAGGTGCTGAGCCCGTCCCTCAATCTTTGCTCATTAACGATACTATCCAGCCCAAGTTCCTTGTCAAGCCCAACACCACTTATCGCTTGCGTATCGCCAACACTGGTGCGTTCTCTGGGTTCATTTTCTATATCACTGGCCACAACTTTACCATTGTCGAAGCTGATGGTGTTTACACTGACCCTGCGGAGGCCTCCAGTGTTTATATTGCCGCGGCCCAGCGTTACTCTGTCCTCTTCACCACGGGCCCTGACACCAACACCTCCTATCAGTTCGTTCAGGTCGCTGATTCTTCCTTGTACGATGTTATTCCTGATGACTTGCGTCTCAACAACACCGCTTGGTTCGTCACCGACGAGACTGCTGAGTGTTCTGACCTCAGCCGTGAGGATATCTACAACAACAAGGATCTCTGGAAGGATCCCACTGAGGACATCGCTCTGGACGATTTCACATCAGAGGACATCGCCTACTTTGACGATTTCACGCTTGTGCCCTCCGATCACATGCCTCTGCTCCCCGATCCTGACCAGGAGTTCACTGTCAAGGTTGTTTTGACCAACTTGTTGGATGGTGTTAACTACGCTTTCTTCAACGACATCACTTACACTCACGCAAAGGTCCCTACTTTGTACACTGTGATTAGCGCCCCTGATGACGAAACCGCTAGCAATGGTACTATTTACGGTGCCGACACCCACCCCTACGTTCTTGAGCATTTGAACGTTGTTCAGCTTGTCTTGAACAACTTCGATAGTGGTTCTCATCCTTTCCATTTGCACGGCCATCACTTCCAGGCTATCGTTCGTGCTGAGTCGCTTGGTGGCAGTGACAGTGACTACTACCCTTACGATCCGTCCACTCAGAACGTCACGTTCCCTGAGTTCCCTATGCGTCGTGATACTTTGGTTGTCAAGCCCTATTCTCACTTTGTCATTCGTTGGGTCGCAGATAACCCCGGTGTCTGGTTCTTCCATTGCCATATTGAGTGGCATTTGACCCAGGGTCTTGCCTTGTTGTTCGTCGAAGCACCTACCCAGATGCGTCAGATTTACACCAATATCATTCCTCAATCCCATTGGGATTCTTGTACTGCTAACCAGGTGCCCGTTAAGGGTAACGCTGCGGCAAACACCGAGAACTTCTTCGACCTTAATGGCCAGAACATGCAGCAGAAGGACCTGCCCGCAGGATTCACGGCTCGCGGTATCGTTGCCTTGGTATTCAGCTGTGTCTGCGCCTTTGTTGGTATGGGCTTCCTTATCTGGTACGGTCTTTCTGACACTCCCGACCAGCTCGCTGCTGAGGCTGAGCACTTTGTGCACGATGAAGAGGTTCCTTCCGAGAATGACATCGATAACCAGTCTGACTTGAACGACCAGCCTTTCCGGAACGAGCGCGGCAAGCGTTTCACCGACCGTCTGCGCCGTCCATTCGGCCACCGTTCTTCCGACGACAACTAAGTTACGAATTTACGAAATAAATAGTGAACATACGCCGTTCTTTTTACGCCTTTTAATCTCCTCCGTCTTACCAATCCCTGCTTCGCTCTCATCTTTGGCCTTGCATAATTGCCGCTTAGGTTTTTTGAAAATTGCCGGGTGACAAAGCAAAATTTTTCAGAATGTTGTCTCGCTGGATTCGGCCGTCGTGCCGGCCGATGATTTCGGCCGCACGCAGAGCCTACTCGGTTTTGCCGACCACTTATGAAGGCGAGAAGGTTGTTTTAGACGAGATGGCCTCGAAAATGGGCGCTGAGGAGCGCTCCAGACAGAATCGCATGCGAAACATTGGTATCTCTGCCCATATCGACTCGGGTAAGACCACTTTTACCGAACGTGTTTTGTTCTATACTGGCAGAATCGAAGCCATCCACGAGGTCCGTGGCCGTGACAATGTTGGTGCCACCATGGACTCGATGGCGCTCGAGCGTGAAAAAGGTATCACCATCCAGTCTGCAGCTACCTACTGTTCGTGGGAGAAGAAGCAGCCCGTCACCGGTGAGGTCAACAACTACCACGTTAACCTGATTGATACCCCTGGCCACATTGATTTCACTATTGAGGTCGAGCGTGCGCTGCGGGTTCTCGATGGTGCAGTTCTCGTTGTCTGCGCTGTTTCCGGTGTTCAGAGTCAAACTGTCACTGTAGATCGCCAGATGCGCCGCTACAATGTTCCCCGTGTTACTTTTATCAACAAGATGGATCGTATGGGTGCCAATCCTTGGCGGGCTATTGACCAGATCCAGAAGAAACTCAAGATCGCCGCTGCCGCTGTTCAGGTGCCTATTGGCGCCGAGGACGACCTCCAGGGTGTCGTTGATATTATCTACAACCGTGCTTTGTACAATCGTGGCTCTCAGGGTGAGACCATTGAGGAAGGACCCGTTCCCGAAGAGCTCAAGGAGTTGGTTGCCGAGAAGCGCCAACTCTTGATTGAGACTCTTGCTGATGTTGATGAGGAGATGGCTATGATTTTCTTGGACGAGCAAGAGCCTACTGCTGAGCAAATTGTTGCTGCTATCCGCCGTGCTACTATTGCTCGTCAGTTCACTCCTGTGCTTATGGGCTCGGCTTTGGCTAACCGCTCTATCCAGCCCGTTCTAGATGCTGTTTGTGATTACTTGCCCGATCCCACTGAAGTTCTCAATACTGGTCTTGATATCAGCGAGAATGGTAAGGAGGAGCCTGTTGTTTTGCCCTCTGATTCTCAACAGCCCTTCCTCGGCTTGGCTTTCAAGCTCGAAGAGGGCCGCTTCGGCCAGCTGACCTACATCCGCGTTTACCAGGGTAAGCTGAAGAAAGGTATGATGATGACCAACGTCCGCACCGGCAAAAAGACCAAGCTCGCTCGTCTCGTCCGTATGCACTCTAATGAGATGGAGGATATTAACGAGGCAGGCGCTGGTGAAATCTGTGCCACCTTTGGTATTGACTGCTCTTCAGGTGACTCGTTCACTACCGGTGCAAAGATGGCTATGTCTTCCATGTTTGTTCCTGAGCCGGTTATCTCGCTGAGTATTCAGCCCAAGTCCAAGGATACCCAGAACTTTTCCAAGGCCATCAATCGTTTCCAAAAGGAGGACCCCACTTTCCGCGTCCGCTACGATGAAGAGTCTAAGGAGACTATCATTTCAGGCATGGGTGAATTGCATCTTGAAATTTACGTCGAGCGTATCAAGCGTGAGTACAATGTTGAGTGCACCACTGGCCGTCCTCAGGTTGCATACCGTGAAACGATTACTGCGCCAGCTTCTTTCGAGTACACACACAAGCGCCAAAGTGGTGGTGCTGGTCAGTATGCTAAGGTTATGGGTGATTTGAGCCCTGCTGCCGCCCCCGAAATCAACGAGTTCGAGACGGCAGTTGTTGGTGGTAAGATCAGCGACAAGTTCCTTGCTGCTTGTGAAAAAGGTTTCCAAGATGCTATTCTCAAGGGTCCGCTCACCGGACACCGTGTTCTTGGTGTCAAAATGCTCATTAACGATGGTCAGGTGCACGTTGTCGACTCTAGTGAGTTTGCTTTCCGAACTGCCACCATTGGTGCGTTTAACGAGGCATTCTTGAACGCCCAGCCTATCGTCCTTGAGCCTATTATGGACGTTGCCGTCACTGCGCCTGCCGAGTTCCAGTCTGCAGTTATCGGTCTTCTTAACAAAAACACTGCCATCATCTCCGACACTGAGGTTGGCCAGGACGAGTTCACCATCTACGCTGAGTGCTCGCTGAACAACATGTTTGGATTTGCCACGGCCCTTCGTGCTTCAACTCAAGGAAAAGGTGAGTTCACTCTTGAGTTCAAGAATTATGCTCCCGCTCCTGTCCCGTTGCAGAAGGAGCTGATTGACAAGTTCAACAAAAAGAAGTAAATACGAGGTGCGCATAAAAAGAAATGTACATAATTAAATTAAAGAACGAAAAGCCTGTTACTTGAAGAAATACCAGGATCATTTTTGTGCAAATTCGAGCAGTATTGAGGCAGTTTCTAACTCCTCGTCACTGACCGAGCTCGGGGAAACCGTCGGCGGGGACGGAGGGAGCCCAGGTTTGATGTCGTCGTCGGGATTCAACAAGAAACTCAATGAGCCTGAACGACGGGTTACCTGCATAATGGGTGGTAAAGTGTTGTCCGAGGCAGCTTGCACAGGTTTTACGACAGGAGCTGCCCCGGAAGAGCCCCCGGCGTAGGTCATCCCGCCGGTAAAGCGGTTGCCTAGATCGATAATGTCCTGTTTCAAGGCACTGCTGAGGAGAAAGCCATTCCTAGTCCTCACTGTGCAATTTACAGCCGGATACGGGTGCTTTTCCCTGACATGGTTACCGAGATCAACCAGGAAGAGTCGTGAGTTGGCTCGGCACTCTGGGCTTCGGCAGTGGATATAGCGGGACCCGAGATAGTACTCGAATTCCAGGAGGGGGCTTGTGCCAGTCGGGGTAGGGATAAGAGCCAAAGCCTGTAATCCCGCTCCGAGCTGTTCAACAATGTCCTCGGGTATCGGGTTGTCGCTGATCGAGAGAGTTATACGCCGATGGTTGTGGTACTCCTTGAGGTGCTTTTGGAGCTCGCCGACAGGAAATTGCCGGGTTTCACAGCCTTCTCCGTTGCATGTATAGTGCACATAGTGGCAGTCTATGTGCACATCTGATTTAACCATACTGTATCGGGCAGGTTGGGCGATCGGCTGATGGTCAACTAAGATATTTGCCGCGGTGTGAGGCGTGACTCTCAAGGTAAGGGCAAATAAAAAGGGTGTGTGTTCAAGAGACTGTGCGGGGAGTAGTCATGTGTGAGGGTTAGGTTATACCCTATCCCCGGCGGAGAAGTGGGTCCTCCACGCCTGCTGGCGGGATTATAGATGTGTGGAAGGCAAGTTTTATGTATGAATTAGATTGGTTTCCTATGTAATACTGTATTTAGGACCGTCTCCGCCCTCAGGAACAGTCCAGGTAATGTCCTGGGCAGGCACCTTGATGTCGCAGGTCTTGCAGTGGATGCAGTTCTGTGAATTGATCTTGAACTCGACTTTGCCTGCATCATCTTCTAGATACTCGTAAACTCCCGCAGGGCAGAATCTTTGCTCAATACCCTTGTAGACTGGCCAGGACTTTTCGCAGTGAGCCTCGAGATCCTGGTTAGGGACTCTCAGGTGGCACGGCTCGTCATCGTCGTGGTATGTACCTGTCCGCGACACCGACGTTAAAATGTCAAAGCTCAATTTACCGTCAGGTTTAGGGTAATCGATGGGCGAGAAATCGGTGGCCGGCTGGGTGGAACCTGCATCGGTCTCTGGGTGATGGAAAGTCCAGGGTGTACGGCCCCTTAAAATTAGCGTGTCGAGACCGGAATATGCCAATCCACCCCATAGTTTCAAAGGAGAGTGGAATGAGGGCCGCACATTACGGATCTCGTAGAGCTCTTTGCCCACCCACGATTCTCGCAGGTTTGCGTCATATCTTTCGAACTCGCTTCGATCACCGGATTCAAGGGATTTGAAAGCGGCCTCTGCAGCAAGCATGCCCGATTTCATGGCAGTGTGGGTGCCTTTGATTTTGGGAACATTTAGGAAACCTGCAGAGCAACCAATTAGGCCACCACCGGGGAAAACAAGTTTGGGAATCGATTGCCAACCACCTTCGTTGAGAGCACGGGCTCCATACGCGATGCATGTGCCACCTTCCAAGACGTCGGCATAGTAGGGATGGTGCTTCATGCGCTGGAATTCGTTGTAGGGCGAGATGTAGGGATTAGCATAGTCCAGGCCAACCACCAAGCCTACAGACACGAGGTTCTCGCCGAAATGATACTGGAAGCCACCACCATAGGTACTGGGGTCCAGAGGATAGCCGACATGGTGGCCCACATAGCCCTTTTTGAAGTTCTCAGGCTTGACCTCCCATACTTCCTTGAGTCCGAGGCCGTAAGTTTGCGGGTCGGCGTCTTTGCGGAGGTCGTACTTGGCAATCGCCTGCTTGCTCAAAGAACCATGGCATCCCTCTGCAAGCAGTGTGATTGGGGCGTGGAACTCCATACCCCGGGCAAAGCTGTCCTTGGGCTTGCCATCTTTTCCAATACCCTGGTCACGAGTGGCAATGCCCTTCACGCTTCCATCGTCGTTATAAACCAGCTCAGACACACTGAAGCCGGGATATACCTCCACACCGACTGCTTCGGCCTTTTCTGCAAGCCAACGCACGACGGCAGAAAGTGAAACAATGTAGTTCTTGTTTTTGTTCACCATCTGAGGAGGCTCAGGAACGGGAAGAGCAAGCTTCTCGGTGAGGAACTTCATGCCCTCGCTCTCAACCAAAGTGGTCATCTCGGGCATATCCTCGCGCCAGTCAGGCAGCAACTCATCCAGAGCACGAGGTTCCAGAACGGCACCAGACAAGGTGTGTGCGCCCATGTCGCCACCTTTTTCGAGCACAATTACACGACGCTCACCCCCAGCCTCATTATCAAGTTGCTTGAACCGGATGGCCGCGGCTAGACCCGCGGGGCCTCCCCCCACGATACAGAGGTCCACTTCGTCGCTCTCCCGCGGCTCGTCCAACGGAGACTCTGAATAGAACCTGGCGCTTCGCCACACCATGAGCGCTGGCATTTGCACATAACGACTTGAAATCGCCCGAAAACGGCCGGCTGGCCGCATTACCCGTCGCAGAGTCAACATCTGAGAAATGAAGAATCGGGTGACCAATCCTGGCCGTCTTATTATCAATAGCCGGGAAACCCGCAGCGGGTTGGGCGAAGTTGTATGAACATAGCAAGCATTTTTATACATAAATCCTAATAAAAACTAACCTCTGGTCCTGCACAGCACACCGGTCTTGCTCTCCTGGCTTTTTTATGGCGCAAAATCCCCAGCCCGTTTCGATACCTCGGGTCTTTGAAGCAGCTTTGTGGGGGATGTACTTACCTTATCAGGGCAATAGCCGCCGCTTATGCGGGGCTCGGAAGCAGATCAACAAGCTTAGGAAGAGACCGTGTCGTGAACTGTTGTTTGAACAAGAGCACCAACAACGAACTGGATCAACACGGCAAATCCTAGCGAGAAAGAGGCCTTGAGCTGGCCACCGTTTGTGCCCTCGACGGCTAATTGGAGGGCCCGCTTGATATTTCTTACGACGAAAACCGACGACCAGATGGTTCCAATCACAGCAACAGCCCAGCCAACGGAAAGGTTCACAACCTGGTTGCTGGATACATGCGGAATGATGCTTGAAATAATTACAATAGGGATCCACACCGCATTCGCGTAGCCAAACAGGCTCAGGGTCTGGGCTAGCGTCAACTGAGGCGACAAATTCATAAACTGGATGCCGGTCCACAGCAGTGCCGGTGCACCGAATTGAAACAGTGCCATTGCGAATGATCCAGGTAACAAGTCACCAGATCTGCTCAGATAATAGGATATATCGGCATTGTGGAACAACCAACCTGACGTCGTTGCAATAAACAGAACAAGCAAGGTGGTGTAAAACACCCAAACGGGACCATGAAGATCAGGCCACTTGGTACCCAAGACGCTTCCAGCTGAGCCTTCGAGCGTAGAGGTGATATATTCCCGGCTATTGAGTGGGTTCATGGCCAATTTAAGCCGATCGATTACATCCACGGTGTCAACATCAAAAAGCTTGAAAAGTGTTCCGGTAAGACCGGCATATTGGCTCTCGTTCATCGATCCTTGGACTTGTGGGGTACTTGATGATGTGTTCAACGGTGCCCGAGGGGGCGGCGACACATCGAAATCAGGCTCAACTTCGCTCATGCTTTAGCTCGGAGCTTTGTCAGGCTCGACGAAAACGAAAAAGAACCCGAAAAGTGCGCATGTAAATCCAAATACGCAGAACGTAAACGGACCCATCTTTTCCATTATTTTTGTGGCAACCACAGTATATGCGGCATTGACTAGCCAGCCAGCGGCAATGGCCAGTCCAAGTGCAGTATTTCGATACCGCTTGGGACATGCGTCAGTAGTGACAACATAGGAGACGCCAGCATAAAAGGCAGAAAATACAAACACAAACACAAATAGCAGTACAAGTGCAGTGATACCGAGATGCTTAGATACACTGCTATCTTGGTGTTGAGCCATCGATAGCAGCACTCCGGTGAACCCCTGAATGAAGCTGAGCGCTATCAACGTCCATCGCAGCGTGGCAATTGGTGGCATTTTGTCCACCAGAAATATACTCAAGATAGTTGCTGCAAAATTGCAGGCGTATATTCCCAGAGAAAAGCTGGCAATGTCTGCATTTTCCACTCCAACTAGCTTGCACACGGACCCCACAAAGTATAGAACGACATTAATTCCCGTGAGAGGAACAGACACTTGAGTCATACATGCAAACAAGAACCCTTTACTGTCTTTGCTGCTCGCAAGCATGGCTTTTACTTCCTCGACTGGATTCTTCATGTTTGTTTTGACTCGCCTTAACCAGCTCCTGATGCGATGGCTTCGTGGCACAACAGTAGATACACGTTTTTGGCTTTGGTTTAGAAGCTCGTTCATGGTAGTCCGCCGGTCCTTTTTGGTGTCTGATACTATAAACACCGTCAGAAGCACTGCGGGGAAGGCAGGTATACCTGCGAGAACCCAGATTCGATGAAAGGGGATTTCAGACATGCTCTTGTGGTAAATCTGCGTCGACAATAAAGATATTATGAGAATTCCAAGAGGAATTGAAGCCTGCACGGCAATGAGCAGTCTAGCGCTCGTGGGATAAGCGAATACAGTCTGAGCATAAGAAGGGATCACCGATAAAATGACTCCAATTGCATATCCTTTGAACATGCGCCCTACTATCAGTCCGCCTCGGTTTATGACCAAAACAACCATGAGGTACCCGGCTAACCATATCCAAACTGAAGCGACCAGGAGCTTTCGTGCACTGCTAAACTGAACAAGAAAAAGCACGGAAACAGACCCGATAGCTGCAAATATAGGATATAGTGCTGTTGTTAGTCCTTGGAAGATCGATGATGGGTTGGCATATGCAAAATCAAAAGGCGCTGTGTTGCTCACCACGGCGAAAAAAACCGCCTCGATGCCGCACAGCAGACCCAATTCAAAAACGGCAATCCAAGTAATAACCTTCTGCACCCAAGAAATTTTTTGTTCACTATCATAGCGGCGCGCTAATGTCATTTGTTTGCTGGAGTTGTTACTAGAGTACTTTGTTGTGGTAGGTACTATATACTGCGTATGTACCACATATCTAAAACTGTCGAGGCGAGAACTCTTCTGGGTACAAAACAGTCGCGCCGGTAGTGTTGCGACTAGCCAGGCCATCGTGGGCTGCTTTAGCATCTTTGAGGTCATAGCGTTGGTTGATCTCGATCTTGATGGCGCCGGACCGGATCAAAGAGAACAGCTCATCAGCCATACCTGGCACGTCGTCGGAGTAATCCCACAAAGTAGGTCTGGTCAAGAATAAGGACCCATTGGCAGCTAGATCGCCAACATTAGCGTCAGTGACTGGGCCCGAGGCATTGCCGTAAGAAATGAGTAAACCACGTCGGGAAAGACACTTCAACGAAGATTGCCATGTATCCTTGCCAATGGAGTCGAATACGACTGGAACTTTCTTGCCCTCAGTGATCTCCAGGACACGCTGGGCAGTATCCTCTTCTGAAGTATTGATAGTCTGCCAAGCACCATACTTTTTGGCCAATTCACACTTCTGGTGAGAGCTGGCAGTAGCTATAAGCTTGGCCCCCAGGTGACGGGCCCATTGCATGGCAATGAGACCAACACCTCCAGCACCGGCAGTGAACAGGCCAATGTCGCCCTTCTTGACTTTTACAATCTGGCGCAAAAGATAGTGAACAGTGAGACCCTTCAAAATGGAAGCAGCTGCAATATCGTAGTCAATATCATCAGGGATCTTAACCAATGCACTGGCAGGAACAATGTGGTACTCGGCATAAGCACCCAACGAAGACCGATAATAGCAGACCCGAGAGCCCGGCTCGAACTCGGATACTCCGGACCCAACTACCTGAATGACACCGGCAGCCTCTGTCCCTAGGCCAGACTTGGGCAGTTTGGCAACACGGTACAATCCCGAGCGTTGGTAGGTGTCGATGAAGTTCACACCGATGGCGTAATTCTTGACGAGAACCTCACCTTCTTTGGGCTGGGGAACCTCGACTTCTACGTATTTCAGGACCGACGAAGGACCAAACTCATCGAATTCAATACGCTTGGCAGTCTTTGGGGTTTCGTGCACGGCACCTTTCAGCTCGTATGTGGGGTGTGACATTATTAACGGCCGATCCTCCACGCACCGTCTCGGTTATATGGAAAGCCACAAATCAGCTGACAATTCGTGATTCGCCGTTTGGTGCACAATTTCATAGAAACTGTGCTATCTCTTCAATCAATGGCGAGAAATCAATTTGGCAAGCTCCAAAATTCGATCAGTGGTCAAGGCCGTTGGGCAAGGTGCCATTGGCAGATGTATTCTGGGCACATTGACGGGGAAAGACAATTATACGAACGGAATAACGTCTTTGATGCCAATTCTTGCAAATTTATAATTTATCAGAGCTGAATGGGCGTGATTAACGTTTTTTTACCGATCTAGCCGCTCATGACGGTGCAAGCGTCGACCAGATCCCCAGCTTTTCTACCCCTCCACCGAGGCATCAACGAATTGAGTCGGTGAGATGCATTTAATTATACTCATTTGACCACGCAAGTCGAGCCATGCATTTCTCCACACCCACCCCTCGAATAAATGAAATCAGCGAGGGATTAGGTCATACTCAGCTAGACATTGCATGTCGTTTTTCAAGCCTAAAACAGAGGCTGTGGCGCCAAGAAAGGCACCATGGGCAGAAAAGTATCGACCTAGATCTCTTGGAGATGTTGCTTCTCAAGAAATGGTTGTTGAGACGCTGAAAAAAACACTTCAATCCGCCAATTTGCCTCATATGCTCTTCTACGGTCCACCAGGTACCGGTAAAACATCGACAATTCTCGCGTTGGCTAAAGATTTGTTTGGTCCAGAGTTGTCCAAATCACGCGTTCTGGAGCTGAACGCGAGTGACGAACGCGGCATCAACGTGGTTCGCGAAAAGATCAAGAATTTCGCCAGAACTGTTGTTACCACACCGCCGGCCAGTGCAGCACAAAACTATCCCTGTCCACCCTTTAAAATTATTATTCTTGACGAGGCCGACTCTATGACCCAGGATGCACAAGCTGCCCTACGTCGAACTATGGAAACTTATTCCAAAGTGACTCGCTTCTGTTTGGTTTGCAACTATGTCACCCGAATCATCGATCCACTTGCTTCACGTTGCTCGAAGTTCAGATTCAAGCCACTGGATGAAACAAATGCTCTGGAGAGACTGCAGTACATCTGCCAGCAAGAAGAAATTGCCGCAAATGATGAGGTTTTGAGCAGACTGCTGATTGTGGCTGGTGGTGATCTACGAAAGGCCATTACACTGTTGCAATCGGCAAGCGGCCTGGCAATGGGTAGCCCTATAACTGTTGGGATGGTCGATGAGCTGGCTGGCAGAGTGCCAGATGCTGTTATTGACAGCCTTGTCAACAGCATCAGCAAAGGCATTTATAAAGACATTCAACAGACAGTCGACGACATCTGCCTTGAAGGATTCCCTGCAGCTGGAATTGTCACGCAGCTACATGACAAGATCCTTACCGACCCTGGTTACAACGATAATGCCAAAAGTGTTGTTTCAGCGGCCCTGAGTGAAGCTGATAAGCGCCTAAATGACGGTGCCGATGAGCAGATCGAGATTTTAAACGTCGCTTACCATATGGTAAACGTACTTAAAGTATAAATTCAATAAAAAGTTACGAATTCACATAAAGGTGATCCAGAGTCGGGGTCCAAAGATGGCGGCTATGTACATAGCTCAGACCCCGTCCGGTCCAGATCATTTGGCCGTTTGGAGGCATACAGTATCTGTATGATCTGTGTAGGCCGAACTAGCGCAACAATAACATTGTCTAGGTGGAGTACCTCCTGGCGGTTTGGGCCAACCAGCTATTGTCACTAGAATTCACCACGTGTTGATAACTGGTTTCTCCCCGAAACCAATAGCTTGCAATATCTCCCCGGTCCAACTGTCAGAAAGACCCAAGAGCATTCAGTCCATGTTATAAGAGGCTTTATATGTCGGCACTGGCAGGCCAAATGTACAAAGCCAAACCTTCGCTGGTGTATGAAGGTGACGATAAGCGACTATCATCATCAAGTGCTATGATTCAGGCTCCCGACACCATGATATTGGCTTTACCGCCAATTCTCAATACAGAGATGTCACGGCGGCTTTGCAAAGTGGTGACAGCACTTGCTCAAGTGTTTACCTTGAGGACATACCGAGCAATCGTGCCATGAACAGTTTGCTCCTTGTTAACTGGGTATATATAGTAGCTAAATTGAAGCTTTGAGCTCTTGCATACTGCATGCTGCATAACGCTTGCGCTCCAAAAGAACTCAGAAGGCGGCTAACTCCCTGCTGCCAGAGAAGCATTGACTTTGCCTCCTGTTTTAGTGTAATTTCTATGGGTATACCGTTCTATTGTTCACGACATTTGCAAACTTGGTCGGGCCGGACTTGTGTATTGGATCTGGTTTAACTACGCATCCTAATTAAGGTTGGCAACCAAAAGGCAACCCGAGCAGGAACAGCAAGGCAGTCTTTAGTCTTTGAACGGTACCCCTCAATATCAAAACGACTCTTGAACCTTTCTCCAGTGACTATTGCAACTTTACTATTGACTGTACGTATGTATCCCTTCTGTGACATTCAAGCACCCTTCTAGGTACTCGAACTTCCTAATAGTCAGGATATTTATCTCGGAGGAAGTCATGCTAAAAAGCTATGGCAACGCAGAAACAGTAGGTATCGTTTCTTCGTCGTGGCAAAATCCTCCTTTGTTTTTTGATCAGTGAAAAATATTACGTACAGAGCCTTATATAGTCAGTCGGAGGCTTACCCTACCCTTTTTTTCAAGCTCTAGCGGAACTTTCAGATATGCTGGCTCAACGGATGTTCAGGCCGGTACCAGGGGCGAACAGATCCACTGTATCGAAAACCTACCAGCTATGCCTACGATATGCCTCGAACACCTCCTTCAAGGCAGAAAAGCCTGAATCGATCAAGACGTTGGCTATACCTCTCGGTGTCGAAAAGAAACCGGCTATCACCGATAATGACGGTGTTGATCATCGTACTAAAGAAGAAAAGAAGCGTGACTTTACAGATATGGATAAAAACCGTGCCCGACGCGAGGAATTGAAGAGAGAGTTTGCCAGATCTACTTTTGCCCCTATCTATCAGTTCAGGGACACTGGAGGTAAAATTTTTAGAGGCCCTGCGATCCCATTCAATGCCAAAGAGGCGCTATACATGCCCAATCTCCGAGGACACACCCTAGACAAACTGGAGACTGGCACATGGCAGTTCATTGGCGAAAAACCCACGGTCGTTCGGCTTTTCGGTTCAACGTTGGCAGAAAAACAATTGGAGTCGTATACAGACGGAATTGACTTTGAGAATTTGGGTGCTATGTTGCTGGATGTGAATGTGCCCACGAATTTTGTGAACGAGTGCCTTGTGAAGCTCTCATCAAACAAGCTCAAGCAGACTTTAAAGGGCAACTATCACAAGTATATGATTTGCCGCAAAGGTATCACACCTGAAGTCAGAGACTCAATTGCTGCAGGCAACCCACTTGCTGGTTATCTTTATGTATTGGATAGCCAAGGTAAGATCCGATGGGCCACCGCAGGACCTGCCGAGGCAGGCGAAGCCGAGACCGTCCAGTCTCTTTTAGTTTCGAAATAAATGTATATAAAACAAACAATCGAATTTAAAACTCGACAAAAATACAGCTTTCAATTTTTAGCACATTTAAAAAAAAATGCTCTAGGAGGGGATTGAACCCACGACCGTCGCGTTACTCACACGACCGTGACATCAGCATAGACGTCGTTTGTACGGCTATAAGCACGATGCGCTAACCTCTGCGCCACTAGAGCGAAATTTTGGGCCAAAATGGCCGTCGAGGTATATAAGGGCTGTGAAAGCCGCACTTTCATCCAACTTTAATTTGCTCGAAAACTAGCTGAAATTGCGGTTATACCTAGTATTGGAAACTTGGTTAAAATATAATGCATTTGCGGACAGAAGTAGCGCGAAAAACGGTTGGAACAAAAGCCTTCGTTGCTTGAGCAACCATTTGGGTCAGACACTGGCTTGAAACGCAGCTTTTTTGGTTACAGATAAGATTTTTTGCTGCAGTGGACCTGTCAAGGTGAAGAAATAAGTCGGCATATGTTGTCAGGTGAAAGGTGTCTGACACTAGAAAACAGGCCCTGCTTCTGGCAATTAAAAGCGAAAACCAACGCAAATGTATTTTATAGCTTTTTGATTTTGCTCAGCGCTCAATTGAACAGATTAGAGTCTCAATGCGTAAGTATTCGCAAGTCATTAGAGTGACCCCAGCATATTTTGATGTGGCTCCAAACACTATCGATATGTACTACGATAACGAAATCAAACTAGCAAACATTGAAACTGCCCACCACAGGCTGTTACGAGGTATATGTAGGTGGTTTTAAAGCTCATGTGCTTTGGAAGCAGCAAGTCGTGTTTTGGCCCCGCTTTTTCGTTGGTCAAAGAGCCATGCCTACCGTCCATTAAAGTTCACACATTATGCTAAATATCCTCTGCAGAGCCTAAAAGAGGTGAGAAAAATAAGAGATGTGTAATGCGTGCGTAGAGACACTCCAAAGAACCAGCTTTCTATTGTTTTCGGGGAACATTTCATTCCAGTAGTTTCTGGCAGAAGTAGTTAGCATTGAAGTAAACTTCGAGTGGCACTCCAGATTCTGCAATCTTGGCATTTGTGAATAGAGTTTCAACGCTAGCTTCCAGCGAGACGATACATGTAAAAGCAGATGGTAGTCACATGCTTACCGACAATTACCATTCAGGGTGGTTCAAAGATTGCTAAATCGTCATGAACTATCCAAAGCCTTACATTAATTGTCGGACTAGTAGTTTGAGGGTTATACCAACTGTGGCTCCACTAAACATTCGAAAAGAAAAGACAGGCCACAGCGAGACGGAGGAGTCCCGCAGCTCCACACCAACCACACCAGAAACAATGACAACAGTTAGCAGCGGAGGAGTTGGCCTAGATCCAGAAATGAACCGGCAAGTGTTCCATAGTATCTACGAGATCTACACCACAGAGTGTCAATATGCTCGTGATATGGCCTGCGTCGTCCAAATCTACCTTGCTAGAAGCTCAGCTTCTGGACTTTCAATAAAACAATTAACTGTGCTTTTTGCCAGTATCAATGACATTCTCAATATAAGTCTTTCCTTCGTGGCGGTTCTGGAAAACATGGTACCTATGCCAATTCTTGCTGGCTGGAAACACACATCAAAGGCGCCCTCCCTCACCTGCGTAACTTTCATTGGCGATGCAATGCTGAAAATTTTGGAGCCCGAAACATACGGCGTCTATGAGCATTATATACAGAACCATCCAAGGCAAATGAGGATATGCCGCGGCCTTTCCTCAGACCCTAGAACGCGAGTTGGGCGGTGGTTATACGAGAGTGAACAGCGGGCACGGGACCACACTTCGGCTGCTTCCTTAGAGGCGCTTCTCAGCGAGCCTGTTCACCGGCTAGGCGGATACCTACTTCACATGAGGGCGATACTAGCAATGATACCAAATGACCACGCCGACTTTCAATCGGTGCTTAAAGCTCACAATAGAGTTACTCACTATATTGAATGTATAAACAAGCGGGTCTAGCCAGCTTTTAATCTAAAACCACCAGTTGATACAACAACAGAAAAGCAAGGAAGAGAAAACTAACAAGAGGGGAACGGCAGGACAGAACGCGCAGATGTTGAGGGAGGAATTGTCCAAGTCCATATGAAGAAAATATGTGAAATCCGACCGCTGAGGATCGCAAAAAAAATAAACCACGGCCTCACAAAGCTCGGTCGAATGAGGGGACTCAACGTTGTGCTTTAATAACAGATCAAGAGAGAAGAAAAACTAGAGGGAAAATAACCCCATTAAAACGCGTTCTTGAGCCGTCCATCAAAAGAATAAAAATTGGAACACAAATAGCTCGAGTCGATTACAAAATGATGCACTTTTTAGACTTCTTGCCGCTGGAGCGGCCGCCAGAGCTGCTCTTGGGGGGGTCGAGGGCGGCTACAATCGCCTCGTCAAATACATTTTTTAGACCGCGTTGGGTTAAGGCGGAACATTCGACGTACTTGACTGCGCCGACGTCTTTAGCCAAGCGCTCGCCTTGCTCGGGGGTGACGGGCCGTTGCTTTGAGCGGGCTAGCTTTTGAATGAGAGCCGGATCGTTTCGGAGATCAATCTGGGTACCGACAATCAGGCTGGGCACACCAGGGCAGTAGTGGCGGACCTCGGGAAGCCATTTTTCTTTGACGTTTTCAAACGAGGCAGGGGCGGTGACGCTGAAGCACACCAGGAAAACATCGGTCTGGGGATAAGAAAGAGGACGCAGGCGGTCGTAATCTTCCTGGCCAGCAGTATCGAAAAGAGTGAGCATGAAGGGCTCGTCACCGATCATTACGGTGACGGCATAGTTATCGAACACGGTAGGCACGTACTCTGAAGGGAACTTGTTTGTGGAGTAAGACATCAGCAAACAGGTTTTTCCGACGGCACCGTCACCGACAACGACACATTTTATGGTCTGCATTGAGAAATTGTACTAAACACGCGCGGGGAACGGGGGGGAAAGGAGACTCAAAGATAATAACCAGTGGGCTAGTTGGGCGGGAACAGGAATCCAAACTTAGGTATCGCTTGAAAATAAATTGATTCAATTCAACAAAAGTTTCAAAATGGCGTCTATGATTCAAAGGTGCTAGGAACCAATACTTTTCAAAGCGCTATGTTTAACTTGAAACCACACGGAGGCTGTTGGAAGGGTGAGAGAAAAGATACCACCGCGATTAATAATGCCACCAGAGGCTCTTCTGGCCAGGGTAAGGTAAATGGCGCCCGTGCAGGATTCCCACCCTTTTTAAGCTTGCATCCCTTTCTTGCATGGACATTTATGCGGGGCGCCGAAAACCGTTACTCAGGCGGCGTGCTGGAACATGCCTTTTCACTTCTTTTTTTTGTATTAGATATTATAAGACCCTAATCAGACTCCTCCTCGTCCGACTCCGACTCTGCGTTACGGAGCCAGTCCACCCACTGGGCCACCAGCTTGCGCACCTCTGTGGACACTGCTTCGCCGTCCCACCATTTGTAGACAGCCTCCTCGCTGATAACGTCGGTATCGTAAAGTGTCATCATAGCGTAAATAAGAATACTCTCTCCGTGGTTACGCCCAACGCACTCGCTCTCGATACAATGGGCCACCATGACTTCGTCGTCGAGGTCGAAGGTGACCCGCTTGAGCAGTGGGGTGAATTGCCGGAAGACACCCACCGTTGCCGTTTTGGGATCTGTGTGGGTGACAAGATGGCTGATGTGGCGCACTAGCGCGTGAATAACCGCAGCTTGGACCTTGTCGTACGACGCATTCATCGTCATTCTTAATGTGTTGAGCTCAAGGATAGACACATCCTGAGAGTGGTTGTCCAAAATAGCGCGCGAAATTGACTCCACCGCCTCGTTGAAAAAGTCCTCCTCACCCTCGTCAGAGCGAGCGGACATGACGCTGGTCGCCGAGATGGCGGACAAGGATCTCTTGGTCTTCTTCGTGCGCCGGTTGGAGTCGCCCCGACTTGTGGACGCGATCGAATCATCTGAAAGATAAATATCATCCATGCGGGAGGTCAAGAGACCCATTTCATTGTGATTATTCTCGTCGTCTTCGTCGTCGCTAACCTCGCACTCCTTGGAGAAGCTGCGGCAAAGCCTCGAGTTTTGGGCAATATCCGCGTTTGCCTCAACAGCATGACCAAAGCCAACGATCACGCCTGGATTCAGAACGGCTCCAGCCCCCACAATGGCGTTGCTGCCTACCAGAGATTCCGTGATCTTGACATTGTCGTGAATGGTGACATCGTCCCAAATGTATGCATCTTTAAGAACAACGCTGTCCCCAATTGTGCAGTTGCGGCCAATTACCGAGTTTGTGATCACGGTGTTTGAGCCAACCTTTGTGTTGCGTCCAATTACCGTGTTGCGACCAATGTGCGACGACTGGCTGAGCACAACGTTGTTCTGCACATAAATGTGACCCTTGCGGTAGACATAGGTCCCTCGAGAATCCACAACCAGTGGGTATGCGTAGCGGCCAATAACGTCCCGAGACACAGCATCGTAGGTGCGGAAACTCTCAACTCTGGCCGCATAGTCGTCGGTGAGAATATGTGCATAGATGGCCTTGCCCAGCAAGTCCGAAGTGAGAATACCGTTGACAAAGTCCCTACGCAAGAGCTCGTAGTCGAAATTTTCCTGGAATAAAGCAGGAACATCCGGTGTGCAGATATCGATGTAGCAGTCAATCAGATCGTTACGGAAGGCAACGCTCGGGCGAGACAAGAGCTCGGTTGCGTCTAGCGAAACCTTGCGCACATTGATATCCCATTCATAGCCCACGACCTGGTTTGTTTCCTGATTGAGAATATACAACCCCGTTTGGCGAGGACGAGTGCGGTGGGTGGCTGCACCTTGGCGAAGCACGCTGGTCATGATGCAATTTTTGTCCTGCTGTTTACGCTTGACGTGGCCGTCCCAGATTTTATTGAAATCCATATTACAGACAACGTCACCGGAAATCAACAAGAAATCGGACTTGATGATTCCTCGCGAGTCAAGGTCTCTCATAGCATCACCCACTGATAATGTGTTCGGGAGCTCGATGGTATGGAGCTTGAAGGGCACGTGGGGACTCTGAGAGCCCCATCTGGAGCGAGTGATGTATTCGGTGACCTGGTCGGCGTGCGAACAGCACATAAGATAGACCTCCGTCACCTTTGCAGACACCAGAAACTCCAAAGTGTACTCGATCAAGGGCGTATTGGCCAGGGGCAGAAGACAGCGCGGCTTGTCCTTTGTGAGCGGATAAAACCGCTCTTCATACGAGTCGCAAAGCACGACCGCCTGCAGATCACGCTCCTCGATTTTCTTGGGAGGCATTGGAAGGGCACTTTTTCGATCTGGCAAAAAACGGAATCGGGTTAGTCAATCTTGGGAACTTTAGGTTTTAAAATTGAAAAAATTGTGGAAACCAGCGGGGCCCTAAAAACCGGGACAGGATGGACATTGAGAGCGGAAGAAGCGAGAAGCAAAGCCAGCTGCTCCCCAAAAACCGGTTGCTGTTAGGCGTTGGCTTGGCCATCCAAATCGGCCTCAGTGTTTTAGTGTTTTGGTTCTATGACGCCCTGTACAATCGCTCGCCGGCGGGCTGTGCCGCACTGGTATCAATGTCGTTGTGTGCCACAAGCCAATTATTAGTGCAGCTGTTCACGAGCCGGTTCGATCTGTCCAGGCTCGTCAAATTCTACGTGTGGGGTGCCCAGAACGGCATCTGGACGCGTTTCTGGACCGAGCAGCTCACCAACAAGCTGGAATGGACAATAACAAAAGTGCTTTGGGATCAAATATACGGCAACTCAATGGGAATCTTCATGTACATCTCTCTTAGCGGGTACTGGGAGGGCTACAACCTCACGCTCTACTTGCAGGAAAACTACTGGAATTCCCTCAAGGCCAGTTGGCTGGTTTGGCCTATTGCCTCTTTGGTGCAGTTCTATGTGGTTCCGCATCGCTACATTGCTCTTTTCAATACGGCTGTTAACTTTGTATGGACTATCGTTCTCGGTCTCATTGCATAAATACCTTAATCACCGCAGCCCCTTTACGTAAAAGCAGCCTTCCACAGTGCAAAGTGGGGGCAAATTAAATGGTCTTTCCTAATTTGCGGCGATTGTTTGTTTCGTTTCGCACGGAGGAGGAGGAAAGAGAGTTCTCCCGACGCGCATTCTTCAACTTTATAGGATTCCTGGGCTCGTGTGCAGTGTTCAGTCTGATCGCCCAGAAGGCCAATGAGTCGGTCCATTGAATGGGGCCCCGCGCAGCTGATGCGTATGTTTCGGGGATCCAGCGGTAGAATAAGTGTGACCAAGTTCAGCTCTCAATATTGCGAGATAAAATCCATCTTTGACAGTCTGCGACCGCCTGCGATCACCCCGGCCATGAAGGCAGGCACCGAAATGCACCAGGTTCTCGAGGAAAGCGTTATGGGCCCTCCCGTTGAGTTCACCGAAGAAGCTGCGATGGAGTTTTCTGCAGAAGACGCCCATGCCTTGCGTCTGGGCGACGTCGTCAGTCGGTGGAGGCATTTGGTGGATACGAGTAAAGCAAGAGAGATCTCCGTGTATGGAACAATCAGAGGAATTCAGCTCAAGGGGGTGATTGATGAAGCGGCAATTGACGAAAAATCCCGCATCCACCTCGTCGATACCAAGACATACGCTGGTGATCTCGCCGTGTACAAACAGCGCCTAGCCTACCACCAATTACTGGTTTATTACGAGCTGATGGGCCAAATGATCAAAGGCAAAGTCGACATCGATCAGTTGGCCCACGAAAAGGCCAAAAAATGCGATTTCCTCGTCCCGCTTCACCGGGATATTCAGGCGGCTTGGGGATACGGCACTCTGCAAGAGATGATGGACGGCTGGAAAGACTCTCTGAACAAATTGTCCAGCGGTAGCATGGCTGAGGAGGTCCGTGCGGACTTTATTGACCGACGAAATCACAATACCGACCAGATCGAGTTCAAACATGACGTAGACACGGCCGAGCAGCTGTTTGCATTTCGCTCGGAGCTGCTGTCTGGCCAAAGACCGCCTCTTCCCTTGAGCCGCAGTGTCGGATCTTGTCGATTCTGTCCCCATTTTGCCGACTGCTCGGAGCGCCAACATTAAAGAGAATCATCACATCTTCATTACGTTCTATAAACACTAAAGAATTAATTAGCGATACCCGAAAGCGAAATATAGTACTTTGCCATTTCGTAAACTGTCCAGCAAATAGCCGTGGAGGGCATGTTGGCTACGATGCGGGGGCGGACGCCCCGGAAAAAGCCCTGCCAGCCCTGGGTGCGCCAGATGTAGGAGGCGGTGTCGCGGATGCCCTTGAGCTGGCGAGCCTCCTCGACCTCGGTGACGCCGCGGGTCTGCAAAAGCGTTTTGATCACGTCAAAGGGAGTGGACACCGCTGCTGCGGCAGCACCGCTTGCTCCACCGGCCAGGCAGTGGATGAGCGGATCGTGGCGCCGCTGCGGGTTGCAGAACTGACTCACGGTGTCGTACACAGTGAAATTGACTACGCTGAAGGGAACACTCATGAGCAAAGTTGTGGGGTAGGAAACATAGAACGCACCAAAGCCCTCGGTGCGGGCGATCTGAGTAGCCGTTCGAATTAGGGAATTGCTACCACCATTAACTTGCATGTGTTGTTTGATGACATCAAAGGGGTTCATAATAGCATTACTCGTAACGTCGGCCAGTAAACCGGCCGTGGCGGAAACCGCGGGGTGATAGCCGGCGTGCCCGTCCTTGGCCAGCATGGAGATGGTGGCCTCGTACACGGCAAAATGCAGGGCGTGGGCGGGGCCGGCACCCACAATCATTGAGAGCATACCACGCCAAAGGGCAGAAGCACCCTCTGCCGCAGAAACCGCAGAAATTGACGAAATGACACCGCGATAAAGATTTCCCGATCCCGCAACCTGCATGCGGGTCTTGATGGCGTCGACTGGATACATGATGGTGTGCTCCATGATACCAGCAATTGCACCAGCTGCCATGGAAATAGGCAAAGGCGTGTACTTGGGCAGCTCTTCGTACTCAAGTTCCTCCATATGAATATCCGTACTCATTTCGATGTTTTTCCAGGATGGTGAAAAATGACTAAACGACTCCAGGAATTCTAGACCGCTTCACGCATTACCCAGGGTTACCCTGCATCGCACCCGAGATCGGGCACCAAATCCCGGATCTTTCGCTTTGATCTGGCTACTATTGTTTCATTAAATATCGTTCAATGCATTTGGCCTGGTCCAATGGTCCGCACTCGCCCGTCTTCGTCGGTCACAAACCTGACATGGCGATGGCCCGAGGATCGTTCGTCAGACACGGGGAACCGGGAATGCCGCGACGGGTTCGCTATGTCTACCGTTTCGTAACCGCGAATTGCGCTCTCAAGGTCCATGTCTTGGTAGTACTCCTCTAAAAGGTGCCTTCCTTCCGGTGAGCTCGGGGACGAGTCGGGGCTGTTGGAGTCGAAGAGCCGGGCCCATACAACCAATTCTTCAGCTCGCTGGCCAGGTGGGTCGTTTAAATTAAAGCGGTGTGTTCGTCGTATGCCATCTCGCCGTCGAGGCCTTGCCCTGCTTGGCCGCCCAGTGATTTTCAGGACTTTACAGCTTACCCGACTAGAGACATTCGCCGGTAGCGGGAGGTCGCGTTCCGCTATTTGGACCGGTGATGGGTCGCCGGTAGTTGTGTTGGGTTCACGATTCAACAGGGGCAGATCACTGGTACTTTGATTAGAATGTGCCAACGACCTCCAGTACCGCCTCACAGCCATAAGCTCTTCTCGCATCCGATCAATGTCGCCCTGGGCTTGATCATCCTCATCTTGGTCCAGGCCTCGACCATCAATGTTTTCAATTCGTGGATATCTCACCGCATTGTTACGTCGAAGCTCAGGCCGAGTGCGGGGACTGATACTTCGTCTGCGACGCCGTTGCACAGAAGAGCTGTCGCTGGCAGGTGTCGCCGCGTTTTCGGGGCTGGACATTGCCTCCACCAAATACGAGCCTGAATTATTAGGATTCCGCACAAGCCTGTAGTCGGCTTGCCGTTCCAGGGGGGGCTCAGGATGATCTACCCGGATTGGTGGCGTAGGTGGTCGCGGGAGGCCAGTATCATGATCAATAATCGGGGAAATAATCGGCAAACGATGGTTGTCGCTGAGCCAACGTGTCATATTTACATTCAATCTAGCTGGGAGCCGCACCTGCTGTATCGAGCCTGTCCGCGGGCGACCCGAGGCATAGCGACGTAGCCCAAACGGTCCATTGCGCGCCGCGCTGGAATTGTATGTCGAATGGGTATTGATAGGTACACCCATGGTCCGATTTTATTCCATGCAACAACGTAAATTAGCAGCAAATTGTGTTAATGATGATAAATTGGGCTGACGCAATCAGCCTGCATCTCAGCCGGCAAGGGTCACTTGTTACTTTTTTAGGACAGAACAGGCGGTTCCCGCCAGACCCGGGGGCCCCAAACGCCACAATTACCCCATGCAAAACGAGCCCTGCGACCTGCTAAATTGTTTCACTCTCGCTGCCCATGCACAGGGCCTTTTGCTGTCGGAACCCCGGTTCCTCCCAAACTACTGGGGTTTCTGCATTCCGCAGCGGCTCTTTTCTTTTGCCTGCCACAATGGCTGATGACCCGCAAAACAGGGTGGCGCCGTACGCACAGATAAACAGCCCAATACCCAGCAGCGGAATACACAATCTGGATGTGCTGCTGGCTAGATCGCGTAAACACGGAATCGCCGAGTCTTCAGATCTTGTGGAGCCTCCTTCCAAACGCGGCGTGCTCAGCGACAGCCACGGCCAGCTGGTTTTAGGCGATATCCCTTCATCCCCACCTATTGTGGGCGCGAACGAGTCAGATACTGAAGAAGACGAGTGCTCGACTCCGCTCAGACCGGCGTTTGCATCCTCGAGCTTCGTCACGAAACACGCGTCGCGCTCCGATTCGACGTCAACAATTGTTGCTCCCCGGCTTGCCTCAGTCACCCGGACTGTTGATTCGGCTAGTTTCGCGGGAAGAACAGCCTCACACACCGCATCATTCGGTATCAAGCAAATGAGCCCTCTTGCGGTTATCCGCAATACTGTCGACACGGGAAGAGATACCCTCGACCTTGCTGAGCGCGACATTGAACAGCTGCCGTCGGAAATCGGTGATCTCCAGCATTGGGTGTCTCTGGAACGCCCCACGCTCAAAGTGTGTCTTGGAAACAACAATCTGCGGTATCTTCATTTGGGATTATTCGATGTTAACATTTCTGAATTGCTATTGAGACACAACAACCTGCGTGAAATCCCTCAGCAAATCGGCAATTTGAAGAGCCTTCAAGAGCTCTCAGTGGGATCGAATAACCTGTCCTATTTACCGGCCGAATTGCTTTTGCTTCCAAACCTAACGGTTCTGTCAGTGGTCCCGAATCCATGGCTCGAGCTGCCAGAGGGCGTCGAAAACCTACAGGACGAAATGCCGTCTTTGGTGTTTCGCCAAGTCTACGTCGCAAGCGAACCCCCCACACTCGTTGAGTTCGCCCAAAGAGTCCTCGCCGACCATGATCTGCTGGTCCGGGATCGCAAGAGCTGGGCATTGAGCGAGCACCAGCAAAAACTAGTGGACACCGCTCAGATATCGCGCGAGCGTGGACACGTGTGTTTTTATTGTCGCAAGCCATATATACGTGCAATTGGCCAGGTCACGGAGTGGTGGAACGTCTGTCACAATAAAGCATTGCCGTTCAGAAAGTTCTATTGCACGCAACGCTGTCTGCGTAACGATGTTTATGATTTATGAAAGAATTACTGTTTAAATAGAAAGAAAGAAATTTAAAAGAGATGAATTTAGATGATACTTGACCTAGTAAAGCCGCTGTTGACACCACTGCTGGGCCTCAGCGTCGCCCCGGTCGGCGGCGTGCTGCATCCAATGGGCCGCCACGGCCTCACGGACGCCCGAAGGCTCGACGCCTTCAAAAATTACGCCGGGACGACTGAAAGGCATCACATCTAGCTGGGTATGTGGAAAGTCCATGTACAATTGCGCGAGACGCCGTTGAGCCGCAGCTCGTCCATACCGGGCACAAAAAGACCAAATGGCAACCACGTCGGAAATACCGCTCGTAGTAACCGAACTCGCGAACGCAGTCTCCATGTGATACTTGAGAATGCGCTGAGCGAGCCCCATACTTTTACTCATTGCCAGTTCAACAATTGACGAGGCAACCTCAGCCACGTCCCAGAACGCTTGGCCCTCTGCGGTGCTGTCAAGAACATTGATGGGAACAAACGCCGCAATAAGCTGAAGGTCCCGGAATAAAGTGCCGGGCTCACGACACAAGCTTTGGCTGAGCTCCTGAACCATGTCGTCACGATTCACAATATCCCCGCCACCCCGTAAACTCGGCTGGTATCTTGCTACTTCCACAAGCGTGTGAAGTCCCCGAAGCTTGGCCATTGGATTTGTCTGTACAGAAATGTTGTCAAGAATTGGCTGATATATGCCACTATCGCCATCAAGAACCATGCGTCCCGTTTGCTGCATGTAAATATCAACATCCGACCCTCGTTCCAAGAACTCCAATCCTAAATCACTTAAAAGTAGCCCGACTATCATCGACCGGTCAGGGAGCCCGTTATACTCATCTCCTCCAGCAATATCTAGCCCCAGTTGGAGCTCACACGATTGCGGCTTGGGGGTATTGGCGTCTCCGCCTCCGCTGGATCGCCACTCGAAAAAGTCGAGCAAATTTGGGGATGACCGCCGGAATTGATGTGAGCTGTTCGCATATCTTTGACCACTTACGCTGCCTCGCATATCCGGTAAAACTGACATCGACATGCGGTGTGTTTGCACCGGGTTACCAGGTGGATCACGTCCAAACGATGGCTCTCGCCTCAGATCTAGTTTGTAGCTCGCTGTATTGAGCAAAAATTCTCGGTCGAAAATCCGCTCAACAAGACTAGAAATCTCGCAAGTGAAGCGATGAATCAGTTCCTCAGACGGGCAAAAGTTTTGTATGTGATGCGTGCGCATATACTGTATCGTGAGCTCAACCTCTCGGTCGCTTAATTTGGGTCGGGGAAGATAGTCCTTCGAGACAAAGAAGCTATCGCCAACACTCAAACTGTGAGTGCTCAAAATAGACAGTCTACGAGCTCGTGAAGATCGCCGCGTTACTGAAGAAACAGTTGAAGTTGTTGATGAGCCACTGTTGCTACGCTGCAGTGCTTTTTCGCCCCGTAAAATGCCAATCACATCACTCGCGCGCTGCCAATTTGCACAAGTTCTCACCTCACTCTCGTACCACACAATCGCCCGCTGGTTACTGAGTCGTTGCATACACCCATGGAGTAGTTCCTGTTGGACAGAAAGTCTCTCGAGCGACTTTTCGAGCAAAGTCTCGAGTTTTTCAACGTTTTGAGTCAAAAATTCAAGATTGCACTCCAGCTTGTGAGCAATTTCACCCAACAGTTGAGGCGCGGGTTTCTTTAGGGCAGCCCCTAACAGCATTTGATCGAGAAAGTTGCCGGAATCTTCTGCCTCTCGAATGGCATCTGCTAGCATTTCGTAAACGCTCTTGGAACTATCACCAGTCAATGCTAAAACCACAACATCCAATGGAGCTTCTGTGGGCCAAAGTGTTTCGCTGATATCGTTGATAAGTCCATCTGCTTCGATTTTGAAAACTTGCCAATGCTCAGCGAAAATTCCTGGTTCGGTGACTGAATTTCGATTCAAACGGTTAGAAAGATGAGGCAAGCTGCCAGTGAGTTCTTTGATCACTGGCTCAAGGTCAGATCTGATGTTGGAAAAGCACCACTCGTTTTCGTCATCGTCATCGGCGTCGTCATCGCCATTGGAAGGGACCGCAGCAGCAGCACCCACGTTGACAGGTAAAAGAGCGTTGAATAACGTTACAATATCGGTCATATTCAAAACGATATGCTCACCAGGGGCAAAAAACATGTTTATATCTGTAGGCTCGGGCAGACTTCGGCCGATCAAAGCGTCCAACAGATCACGGCCATAAGGATCTTCGATAATGCAAGAGATGCGATCAACCAATGGGGATAATATATAACGTCTTGTATTTTCACTGATATACATATCAGTAAGGAGGCCACTGGAGTGAGGGTCACAAATTAAAGATCGCACGAAACAAACAAAATATTTGATGGCCAGCTGCTCGACAAGCTCGTTTGCAACCTGTTGATCGAGGGCTACCATAAGTTCTGTGAATTGACGAGACAGTACGCCATCAGGCTTGACCAGCAAGGCAATAAGACGAGAAACTGCGGTGTTGACGTAGTCGTCTTCTCCAACTTCGCACGTTGGTGTGGACTGGGTAGGAGCGGCAAGAAACAAACCATTGGAAATATAAGTTCGGAGAAAATTGGTCAGTTGTTTGGCAGTTTCACGCGGTAGTGGTCTGCTGTTGAACCGGTTGAAGATCGCCAAACATAGATTGTCATCCTCGTTTTCCAAAAGCACAGAAGCACACACTGCAGCGAAGAAATTCGCTCGATAAGGACTGTTATGAAAAACACCATGGTAAAGAATCCCTAACGGGTCCCTGCGCTGGGCGAGCTTGACGCGATCAACAATGTCGGTATCCTGGCTCCCCAAGAAAGCCGCGGCCTGCGCGGGCTCTAATTCTCGATAAGAAGCAGCAATAAAGCCAGGTGATGTGCGAATTAAAGTCAGAAAGGAGTTTATCATTTGACGGTAGTCCCATTTGACTAGCGTTGAAAGCCGAGATGCATTAGGAAGAATAGCCGCGAGCGGACCAATACGACAAAGATGTCGATAAAAGTCGTGAAGTTGATGGTACGAGTTGGCGAAATATTGGGCATCTACCGAAGCAATGCTGGAAGCAGAAGATAAATAGTCAATAACAGCCTGGTCAAAGCTGCTAGAGATGCGTTCGATGATGCTGCTGAGGATGATACTGGTCATGCACAGCTTTCCATTTTGCTCGATGAACTTGGAGGCCCGCTGATACTCTGATCTTAGCTCAAGCACAGCTTGAAGATTAGATACAGGTGTAGCAGGTGCAATGCCGGCAGACATTGATGGTGCCTGGCCCGCCCCGACGCCCGGCGAATGCGGGGGTTTCTGGGTTGGCGGGGGTTGGGCCATGGTCGACATAGAGGCATTGGCAGAAGAGGCTATGCTTGATATCGAAAAAGACCGGTGTACGGCCTCTGTGATACTTTCAATCTGTACGCTCATGTCCTCAACATAGGGGATATCCCGCAAGGAATGCACGGATGAAACCCCGCGGAGGACAAGGCCTGAAGGCGCGAGAGCGTCTAACGCGGGGTCGACGTCTTTCTGACCCTGCGGCATCTCCAGAGTGGCCGCAGAGAAAGACATGTGCGAGTCGGATTCTTTAAGCAGTGCAACGGACAACGTTTCAGTCAAGTCGAGAGAATCGGGTGACCGTACTGAGCGAGGCAGCCTAAACAAAGATTCGGGCCCTTGGAATGGGGATAAAATAGTGTCCAGCTAGAGTTTCAAATAAGGAGCTAGCAATAACCCTTGCCAGACCCAGAGTTGGTTCGAATTTTTCTCGTGACTTTTCGCCAGGAGAGATGTCGAGATGATTTCGTTAAAGCAGGGAACGTCTAATCTTGTGTTGTGGATAGATGTGCGGGAGGGTTGGGGTGAGTGACTGACGCAGCTGTTTGGAGGGCAAAACAAACAGGTTTCAGTCAGTTTGAGAGGCTCCAAAGGGTGCAATTCGACATTTTGAGGGCCGCAAAAGTACATTGTATCAGTTTACGCCATTCTGGGCATAATCAAGTTTCAACACGCCCTGAACGGGATCGGCACCACCCCGCGGAGATTAACTCTATGTGGCATGGTGAGGGGCGAGGCAGGCGGTTCATGCACTATGATGTAACTACTCAGTCTCGCGTCGCGAAACAGATTCCAGTCGAATGGCGTTTAGTTTACCTGGCACGAGTTTATTTCGCTCTTGTATACTTATTCTTGCACATGGCACTTGCGGTTTGCGTTCGACCTGTTCGTAACCCAAGTGTTAAGTCCGTCGCATAGGGTTGACCCCATGCAGGAACCTGCATATGTGCGTCCAGTCCGAAGACGGTTTGCCCTGAGGACATCCAAACACGCAACTGTCTGCACGCATGCACATCTCCATTGCACTTGGTTTCGCAGCATGCAAAAGATTACCGATAAAACCTCAATCTAGGTAAGGGTGGCTTACTATACTCATGAGCACAAGAGCGACAAAAACAAATGGATGAGTCTCAACGCCAGTAATCGGTATCGAGTTTCAGGATGCCCTGAACCGCGCATTGCACTAAAGCGACCTCTGTAGACAGAGATCCAATTCCTCGCGGCGCCATTCCCAGAGTCTAAAGACTGCAATTTCCGATAACGCCGCCTACGTTTGCACGTAGTCTTCTCAGGAAGAGTACTTGAGGAAGGTTTCACCGAATTTACCCACTCTCCTAGGGGGACTCTGTGCAGAGTCGAAAGTAGAGAGTAAGCGCGGTCAAGCGCTGAGATTGTTACCACTGGGCCAAGCCCTGCAGCATCATCAAAAAGTTGGGCATGTTGTCACCATATGCCCATCCGCAATCTTGTCCCGCGCGAAACTCTCCTGAACGCACCGTAGCTTGACGATACTCACGGCAGAAGACTGCCAAACCGGTTTACTCCTTATCCGCCCGCGATATCATGGCAAAGTTGGTATCTGACCCCAACCCTTGCATCCCCTCGTGGGCGGATCACATTTATACCGCAACCTCACCCTAGTTGCTTACCACCTGGAGCCATGCTGTCTGGACAAAATCTAGCGGTCGCAAGTTTCATTGCAGTGTTGCTCTGTCTTCTTATGGACTATTTATTCAACAACTCGTGTCCGGATGCTGCCAAGTATGGTCCTATCAAGCCAGAGAAGCGTGCTCAGCACCCCAGCCGGGAGGGATTCCCCGGCGCTAAAGAACGGGTATACATCATTGCCGGTGGATCTGGGTTCACAGGGTCCTGGATTGCACGATACCTTCTGCTGAGAGGTGAGACCAATGTGTACATTTTGGATCGTCGGCGGCCCCCACACGATCTCATCCGCCATGGCGGTATGTATGTGGAGATGGAGCTTACCAGTACCATTGCCGTCGAACGTGAGTTTGCAGCGATTGCCCGTAAATGCCACAACTATACAAAAACCATCATCTACAACTGTGCCTGCATTCGTCGCTACTACTCGGAAAAGAACACAGATCTTGGCCTACAGGTTGCAGAAATTTTGACGGTCAACACAAAGTATTTCCCCAACAACAGCGCCGTCTTTATTCACATCGGCGATGCCATGTCCCACAGAGAGGCTGTATCGTTCTGGAAGCTATGGGATCGTCGCACCTGGTACCAGCGCTCCCGTAGTGATCTGGCCTACATGATTCCCTGGGCAAGCAAAGACAAAGCATCTGCGTTCAGCCGTTACGCATGGTACCAGGGAGCTATTGAGTCACTCGTTCGCTCAATCTCTATCCCCAACGGCAGTCTTAGACCAGAGGGGTTCATTACCGGCCATGCAGGTGATCACTTTTTATCCCCTGCCATCTCTTACGGCGGCGGCCTTCTACATTCTGCCGATGTGCCCATCTCGATTATCAGCGTGGAGGATGTAGCCCGTGCAGCACTCGCATTAGAGTACGCCCTGCTGGACCCGAAGACCAGCGACATGGTGTCTGGATCCGTGTTCTCAATCGAGGGCAGCGTGACCACTCTCAAACGCATCTACGAGTACATCCAGAGTAAGCAGTCCTTCCACATCGTGCGAGTCGCCCCCGTGGTCGTTTATTTGTTCAGCTGGATCGTGTCTGTGCTGAGCTTGTTCTTGCCCGCTGCGTCTATCTCGGGGCGCGATATGCGTAGAGAAAACCTCCTCTGCGGCTACCCCATGACTTTCACATTATCCCGTTTCTGCACATTGCAAATCGCACAGGTCCCCAACCACGTCAATCGTAAACGTGTTCAAGAGCTGCTCAAATTCAAGCCAAACTTCTCTGCCGCGCAGACAATCGATGGTGTTCTTCGAGATCTCAAGTTGCAGCAAGAAAAAGGTAAAAAGGATGCCTGACCTCTAAAGACTATGATTATATAATACATCCCTTCAACCGTAGTCAGCAAAGACCTAAGCAAAAAAAAAAAAAAAACTTAATCTGGTAATCAGAGCGAAAAGCATACCAAAAAAAACCTTCAATTATGTCTTACGGAGGCCCTCTTGGCCCTCGTCCGAATTCGAAAAAGAACGCAAATAAGCTGAACTCGACCGGCTTGGGGAGATCTCTTGTGAATGAGAGGAAAAACACCAAGAAAACGGCCGGCCATTCTGACCGCTATACTACAGAGGCAAATGCCCCGAACTGGGTAAAGCTGCAGTCAGTGACCCAAGAGAGGGCTCTAGACGAATTCTTGTCAACTGCGGAGCTTGCAGATAAGGACTTTACCACAGAACGCACTGCCAATATCCGGATCATTCAAATTGGCGGCCATGATGTTGCCGAGTCTTCGAGCGGTGTCCTAAGCGACGAGCAAAGGGCCAGACTTGTGAAACGCCACTATGAGAATGCTGGTCGCTTGACAGTTCCCCGTCGACCGAAGTGGACCAAGGAAATGAGTGCTCATGAGCTGGATCGTTTGGAAAAAGAGGCCTTTTTGAGTTGGCGCCGGTCGCTGGCTGATTTGCAAGAAAACAACGATTTGCTCCTGACGCCTTTCGAGAGAAATATCGAGGTATGGAGACAGCTTTGGCGAGTTGTTGATCGATCAGATCTCGTTGTTCAGATCGTCGATTCCAGAAACCCGACTTTGTTCAGGTCAATTGATCTGGATAATTATGTGGGCGAAGTGGGCGACGGCTCTAAGCGAACACTTTTGCTGGTCAACAAGGCGGATTTATTATCGGAGAAACAACTTGAACTTTGGGCCGACTATTTCCGTGAGCACGGTATCCAGTTTGCATTCTTCTCGGCCAGAGCAGCTCTCGACAAACAAGAAGCTGACGAACTCAAAGGAACAATGGAGGAGGCCGAAGAGGTAGCGAGTGAGGTTCCGCTTAACACTACTCAGGTTCTCTCTGTCGCTGAATTAGAGTCCCTGTTCAAGACAGCAGCACCAAACACAGACAAGCAGCTGCAGATCGGACTTGTCGGTTACCCCAATGTGGGTAAGTCTTCTACCATCAACGCATTGATTGGGGCCAAAAAAGTATCTGTTTCATCTACTCCTGGTAAAACCAAGCATTTCCAAACAATCAAACTAAGCGATGAAGTGATGCTCTGTGACTGTCCTGGTTTGGTGTTCCCCAACTTTGCCCAAACAAGTGGTGATCTTGTGTGTAACGGTGTGTTGCCAATTGACCAGCTTCGTGAATACTCTGGCCCTGTTGAACTTGTCTGTCAACGAATTCCTCTTTACTTTTTAGAAGCAGTCTACGGTATCCACATTTTTGTACGACCCAAAGAGGAAGGCGGAACTGGAATTCCGACTGCACAGGAGCTTCTCAGCGCTTATGCCAAGGCCCGTGGATTCATGCGTCAGGGCGGTGGTGATCCAGATGTTTCAAGAGCGGCAAGGATAATTCTCAAAGATTATGTGAATGCTAAACTTTTGTATTGTGAGCCCCCACCCAACTACACAGGCTCCGACTACAACGCCGGCAAGTATGGCCTTGATGCTCTCCAGACGGCTCGACGCAACCAAATTCTTGATGCAATCAAAGCTGCACATACCGGGGAGACTCTCAAGGTGTCTGAAATCGACTTGGCCAAGGAAATGCAGGGCCTCAAATTCTCGTCCTTCGATTCAACCGCTACCGCATCTGGTCGGAGTCGAGCAAAGATGCAGCCAACGACCATGGGCGACGAGCTTGATCGTAATTTCTTTTTGGCGTCGGAATCGCAGGCAATTACATCTGTCCCGTTCCATTTACAGAACCAGATAGGGTCAAGCAAGAAGCATTTCAAAGGTAAGAAAAAAGGTGGGAAATAATTATACATAACTGAAAGCTATCTAGATAAGAGCGGCGACGGCGGCAAGAATAGCGCCGCCAGCAACAGAGGCCCCCACGGCTCCATTTTTAGAGGAGTCAGAGCTTGATGCAGAGCTTGATGCAGAGCTCGACGCACTAGCAGCCTTGGAGCTGGCAGCTGATCCAGCACTGTTGGCACCACTAGCAACAGAGGCAGCGCCACTAGCAGCGGCAGAGCCAGCAGATGCAGCAGCATCACCAGCTACGGAGGCAGCGGAGGCAGCGGATGCAGCAGCTGCATCAGCGACATTGCCGGCTGAGCTGGTGGTCTTAGAGTCAGAGGGTATGTCGTTCGAAGAAATGGGGTCACTACCACCAGTTGAGCCTTTATGTGTAGCAGCAATCTCGGCCCACTCCTCAGAATTTGGAATATCATCTCCGGCGGTTGAACCCTTCTCAGTAGCAGCGGTTTGGACTTGGGCGGCAGTGAGACCGATGAGCGCAGTGATAATAAGCTTGGAATACATTGCTCTGTGTGAATATAGCCCAGTACCTCGATACCCATACTTATATACTCGGGCATTGCACTGGCAACGGTCCCTGCGTTATTTCAAATTGCTTGCATATGCCCGTACACGATTTTCGATCTCGGTGGTCGTCCGGGGAGCGATGAGCCCTGTTTCAGCCTAAAATAAGTCAGATCGTGCCATTCTAAAGATCCTGTAGATATCACTGAGTTCATTTTGATCCATGTTTCGGGCCACAGCGTAGCTTTCCCAATATGCCGGAGCAGGTTTATCGGAGCTGCGCTGGGGCACGCTTATGTCAAGCAGCAGCGGATCAGACCTGGAACCGAAAAAAAAACCTCCGCAGTCTAGAAGCGGCAGGTCATGCTAAACTTCTAGATCTGAATAAATCTGTTATGGTAAAAGTGTATAGAACCTATTTGATGCCTCCAAACTTGTACCAAAGGTATTTCAACAGCTGAACCGAGCTGCAGCATGATGTCAGTGGGCCCCTCCAGTCACTTTAAGGAAAAGTTGCCTAGGTGACGATGTAGCATTATGCGATTCCTCAAGCCCAGAATTACATGAGACTGGTGGGCGGTAAGATCTTCAGGAGTACAGGAAGCTCTAGATATGGCTCAACGCCTTTTTCTGAAACATGTGCGTTCACCCGTCGGTGGGTGAGACGTGTCGTGATCGCGTCCATATGTAGAGTTCTAGAGGATAGTGCGGCCAAAGAAAAGTTACGCGGAATAATTACTATGGAAATGCGTGTTACGCTAGTGGTTCAAGCCACTTTTTATGTTTGTTTTTTCAGACCCCGTCTTTGCCTCGATCAGGGTTTTGAAAAGTTCGCAATGACTAAAGAGGCAAGAGAAATTAGCCAAGCACCTAAAAAATATTGCAACAGGATAGCATGAACAGAGCAAACAAGATGAAATAAACCGTTTTTTAGCCTACACTAGTTCAATTATATATAACTGGAGGGATTAAGGCTTTTAAAGGAGGGCAGCCAAAGCGACGGCGAGGAGACCACCGCCAATGACGTTGCTGGAACCAGCGTTGGAGGTAGCAGCAGACGAAGTGGCAGCGCCGGAAGTGGCAGCACCGGAACCAGAGGCCTTGGCGGAAGACTCCTTAGCAGAACCGGAAGCAGCCATAGAACCGGAAGCAGCCATCGAGCCGGAAGCAGCCTTAGATTCGGAAGCAGCCTTAGATTCAGAAGCAGCCATCGAGCCGGAAGCAGCCATCGAGCCAGAAGCAGCCATCGAGCCGGAAGCGGCCATAGAAGTCATCATAGAACCAGAAGCGGCACCAGTATCCATAGCGGAAGAAGCCATGGTCATAGCCATGGAGGTATCAGCACCGGAGGCGGCGGCGGAAGTGTCCTGAGCAGCGACAACGGAGAGAGCGGCAAGAAGGTAGAGCTTGTTGGCGTACATTGTATTAGATTACAAGAATCGGTTTAGGAACTATGGCCTTTTATAGATCGCGGCGAAGAAGGGACCATGCGACATTGTTGCGCGTATGTCATGCAAGCTGGTTGAGATGCAGAATTGCTTTCCTTATCGGGTAGAAAGTAATGAGAACCTGATGCAACGGAAAGTGGGCACTTCACTTGAAACACGAGAGTGTGGCGCAAAATGGTAGTGAAATAGACTGATGGTGGTCCAACACTGACTGGAACCGAATAATCCGGCCCACTAGTGCTATTAACGATGAGTTCGCTCTCTCTCTCCTCGAGCCTCCTCCTGAGCTTCTGGGTAAGGGGTTCATTCGAGGCGCGCACCTGCATGGTGTGTTTACTGCTAGTTTGAGATACATCATGAAACGTTCTACAGATTGATATATCTTCCCTCGTAGACCCGGACCAAGGTACACCATTAGCTTCGGCTGTTCGGTTTAAAAACCGTTGACATAGGACTTTTTAATATCGAAAATTCGGTTTTTTTAAGGTTTGGAACACCGGAGCTTTTCGCTTATCTAGGGGAACAATATCGACGTGGGCCCCTGTTGTCCGTTGAACAGGTGCAGGAAGGCGCTAACAAGACTTCGGGGGCTCACGCTTGATGTAGCTTAGTCTCGGGTATGCATCTGCCTCCCGCGGGCATCAGCCAATATTCAAACCTAGTGGACTCAATGGAAGTTATATAGTTCTTTTAGAAATCGAGGCGATAATAAGGCAAAATTTCATCTCGTTTTGGAACGAATTTCACCTATACGCGGCATCGTGGCTGAATTCTAGACCTTCTTTTTCAAGCCCTAAACCTGGCACGTGACCGGAACGCCAGAACGTGATTGCTAAAGTGGAGACTTGGGGTGGAAAAACTGCTAAAAATAAATAAATTGTAGAGTCGGAACATAGGATTGGACTCGGATCTCCGGGTACCCGCCGGGAATCCCATCACCTTTGCAAGAAGTTTCTCCACCAAGATTGTCCTTCCCCCACCGCGGTTCCGGTTTGCTCGCCCTCAACACTCTCTGCTTAATCATGGCATTGCTCGAGTCGGTCGATGAGCAAACTCTGGCCATTCTAGGTGACTGTGATCGCTATGATGATCAGGTTTTACAGCTCAGATTGCAAAAAGTAGCCCGTAATTTTCAAGTGCTCCAAAAGCAAATAGCCTCGGCAGATTCAGCCGCTCAAGCCAGACACGCCGATCAGCTTTTGGATTTCCAGGACCGACTAGCTTCGGTCCAGCTTGTTATCCGTCGGAAGGCCGCCGACAAGGTATCAAAGAATGCAGAGACACCGAGCGAATCGTCCCTTGGCAGCAGTGAGAAGCAGGGGCTCCTCGATGAACTAAATAGTCTCCCTGTTCCCGACGGACTTCGGCACCGGGGACAAAAGATGTCCAACGCAGATCATTTGGCAGTTCAAGATACGATGCAGCAGGAATTGAGCGAAAACATTCTGGAAATGGTTCGCGACATCCGCAAAAACGCCGAAATCTTCTCCGAGAAACTCGCCGCCGATTCTGGGGTCGTCGACGCCACAGGCGATGCCTTGAACAAGGCCACTTCCAAGATGGATTCGGTCGGAAGCAAACTGAACAAATATCGCAAAACGAGTGCATTAGGTTTTTGGTTCTATGTAAAGGCCACACTGTTTATCGTTGGCGCCCTCATAGGGGGTATGCTGCTGGTTCAGCTGATGCCCAAATGGTAGCTAAATAACATAATTAAAGATCGTCATGGACTACTTTGGTAACCACCTGAGTCTCATAGACAGTGACTGGGTCCTCTACCTCCGTTCCAACGTACTGGAAAGGCGGGGTTTTATCCTCCCAAACGGTCTCGACAGGCTCCGCTGAAGAAACAGGCTGGGGCTCTTCTTGACTGGAGACTGAGCTAACAGAAGGCGCCGAGGAAGACTCACTCTGAGACGACACAGTTTGGATAGCCGACTGGGGTTCGGTCTCTGAGGTGGTCGTTTGAACAACATCCTCAGAGTCGACCTCGATAGGAGCAGTCTGGATTACCGCCTTTGAGCTAGAAGCCTCGACTTCTTCCGGATCAGCAACAATCGGAACAGTCTGAATAACTACCTCGGGCTCAGAAAATGTCTCTGCCTTTTGAGGGCTCGCGGTGGCAGATGGTTCAGACCCGGTCTTTGCTTGAGGGATGTCGATGGGAACCGTCTGAATGACAGCCTCCGGGATCTCTGGCTCCTCAGGATCGGTTTCAATCGGCACCGTCTGAATGACAGCCTCCGGGGCTCCAGCCTCCTCAGGATCGGATTTGATCGGCATCGTCTGAATGACAACCTCAGGAACCTCAGGAACCTCAGTCTCAGGAAGCTCGACCTCTTTCACAATAGTTTGAGTGTGAAACCTGGTTGAAATGACAGTTTCCACATACTCCTCCTCCAAGTCCTCTGCGCCAGTCTCATCAACGTCCTCAGGGGAGGCAGCAGCAGGAATAACAACCTCACTAGTGGTATTGGGAGTAGGCTCAGCCTCCAGAGTGGACTCAGCTACTTTAGGGGTTGCCGAAACCTCTTGCGCAGAAATAGAAGAAGACTCAGGTTTATCCTCGGATTCCTCTTCAGCGCTTCGCTTTTGCAAGAGGCGCTGCTGTACAAGGAATTGAGTTTTCGCCCGAAGAGAGTTGACATGGTTCATAAATTCTTGAGCCATAAGAATCGCAGCCTGCTGCGGCTCTCTTAGGGAAGCATTAATGACCTCCATATCAATGTCATGAGCCTCGATTCCGGAACGAACAGAGTTCAAATGCTCTTTGAGCTGATGGTACTCTTTCCATTTTGCAAACTCATCCTCTTCATCGTCAACACTTTGACGACCTGCTTCAAGTAGAATTACATCAAAGAAATCATCGAGAGCCTCCAGAGTTTGTTTACGAAGCTCCTCAGTGCGCTCTAGGGCCTTCTCAGCTACTGTCAAAGCTTGCCCACGGACGTCGTTGCTAAGCTCATTGATATGATCAGCAGCAAGAGTAAACTCGTTGACGATATTATCGTCTTCGTAAACGGTCTCATCGTTCTCAACGTCATCGACAATCTTGGTAAGTTCTTCGACTTTACTTTCACCGTACTGAGAAATTTCCCGCAAAAGCTTTACGAATTGGGGTTTTGATGAAGCAAGAATCTCCTTGCAAGAAGCCTCGACGTCCTTTTGGAGGGTTTTCAGGGCGCTCTGAGCAGTGCGATCAACTCGGGCTGCCCAAGAAAGCTTGATTTTCTCGGTAGAAGCTTTGGCTTCAAAGTTGATCTTGCTAGGCTCTGCGACAGGCTTAACGGGCTTATCGTTAACATTACTAGGATGTGGGACAGGCTTACCGGGTTTATTGCTGACCTTGCTGGGGCGCACCACACGCTTTGCCGGGTCGGCCTTAGTTTCAACTTTAGGCTCTTCGACAGGTGTGTTGAACTCAATGACAGGTTCAGACTCAGACTTGGCCTTCTCCTTTAGCTCCTCGATATACTCCTCGATAGCTTCTTCAGGAATATCCTTGGTCGGGGGTTCGGGTGCAGAATCAAGAGCAGATGCAACCTGGTCGGCATCGTACAAAGTTTCCTCAGAAGCCTTAGGGGCGGCTGGGATATCTGGCATATGCACCTCGACAGGAGGAATTTCGTGCTCGACAAAAGTAGACTTAGGGGCTGCTGGTTCTTCAACCACAGACATAGGTTCTGGGACTCCAAACTCGACCTCCAAGGCAGGAGTCACTTCTGCATCCAAGCTGGTGGGTACAGGAGGCTCCGGTGTTGCTTCTTGGGCGAACGGCTCGATCGAGATGCCGGCAACTTGCTGCGCAGCATTCTCAGTACGAGAATTCAAGCGATCACGAATTTTATCGATGGAAGGAAGCACGGTCTGGGAATAGAATCTTAGGACAGACAGTACCACATGCTCATGAAACCACTTACGGAATACAGCCCAGTAAAGTTGGCCATGGTGAGCACCAATTGCTGCAGCCTGGTTGACATGAGGACGAACCTTGGTCTGAACAAAGGCATCTGCTCGATCCAAAGCCGGCTTACCATACTGCTCGTGATACTTGAGGCTCTTCTGGAAAGCAGGGTCGACGAACTTTGACTTCAACTCTTGAGCTTTGGAAAACGCAGCGGCCAAATGGGGCTGGAGCTTGGCTAATTGGGGCTGAGCTTGATTTTCAGCAGCCGTGAGGATTTTTGACGCTGCTGATTCGAGATGGGGACGAACCTTGCTGTTGTAAAAGCCCGAAGACGCATCGACGGCGCGGTGAACAAACGGAACGACAACCGTCTTGGCTTTTTGGACAACTGGACGCTCCAACTGGGGATTGATGTGCGGAGCCAGATGCTGTGAGTAAAAGGGACGCAAATCGTCGATACGGTTGTGTAATTTACGGCACAAGCACGGCATATCATCCGTCAACGGCTGCGTAGGTGGACACGTGAAAAGCAGCAAAAAGGCCGAATATGCCAAAAACAGCTTGAAAAACAAGCCCTTCCACGTGCCTTTCTTTTTATTCGAACGAGAAAACGTGCTTCCTACAACGGGCTGCGGAGGCTGCGGAGGTTGAGGCCGCTGCGGATGCCGACGCGCCGGCGAGGGACCACCGCCAGGCTGTGGCGGCTGTGGAGGCTGGGGGCGGCGCGGCGGACGAAGAGAGGCACCCTGCGGAGAATTTGGCTGAGCATTGGGTACATTTGGACGTCCGTTTGATGGCTGGCCTGGGTGCGAGGAGCTTGGCGAGCCCGTCGAAGCGCCTGCCGGGCGAGACTGGCGAGGCCGTCCGCGCATGGGACGGCTTCGGGGTTCCGGAGTTCCAGATGATTCCTCATGGTCTTGACCTGGTGCACCATTGAACTGCGGTGGTGACACCCACTTTTGGCCATCCAGGTTGGGCATAGGCGGCCCTGGCATAGCCCGCTGGAACTGATTGTTGTCCATGTGATGACAGATCAGCGGAATAGGTTCGAAACGTTTCCCATGTGGGGTGCATGGTTGGGAGGGGGAAAGGGGAGGACGGCGAAAAAGGCAGGTAGAGGTACGGTCGATGGAGAGACAGTACCAGATGGTGTGTTCCTAGTGCCTAGGGACTGCGTTTCTGGGGTGGGAAAACCGACCCCCAAACGCGTAATTCCCGCGCACGTTTTTTCGCCTTACTCCCCCTGCCACCAAACCCAGCGGTGTGTTTGGGTTTGGTCTCCGTGTTGGAATCTCCACGTTAGTCAGCAGATGTTTAAACGATGAAAAAAAAAACCCAATAAAAACGTGTCAGCTTTTCGGAAGTTTCCTTTTTCAACACTACAATGTCTGCTCCCGCACAGAATTACAAAGTCGCTGATATTTCTCTTGCCGCTTTTGGCCGCAAGGAAATCGAGCTCGCCGAGAACGAGATGCCTGGTCTGATGGAGACTCGTCGTAAGTACGCTGCCGTCCAGCCCCTCAAGGGAGCTCGGATTGCCGGATGCTTGCACATGACCATTCAGACCGCTGTTCTCATTGAGACTCTCGTTGCTTTGGGTGCCGAGGTTACCTGGTCTTCCTGCAACATTTTCTCCACCCAGGACCACGCTGCCGCCGCTATTGCCGCTGCTGGCGTTCCTGTTTTCGCCTGGAAGGGCGAGACCGAGGAGGAGTACGTCTGGTGCATTGAGCAGCAGCTCAAGTCTTTCAAGGACGGCAAGAAGCTCAACCTCATTCTTGACGACGGTGGAGACTTGACCACTCTTGTCCACGAGAAGTACCCCGAGATGCTTGAGGACTGTTACGGTCTGTCTGAGGAGACCACCACTGGTGTCCACCACCTCTACAAGATGGTCAAGGACGGCAAGCTCAAGGTCCCTGCCATCAACGTTAACGACAGTGTCACCAAGTCCAAGTTCGACAACTTGTACGGCTGCCGCGAGTCTCTTATTGACGGTATTAAGCGTGCCACCGATGTCATGATTGCCGGTAAGACCGCTGTTGTTGCTGGTTACGGTGACGTCGGCAAGGGCTGCGCTATGGCCTTGCAGGGCATGGGTGCCCGTGTGCTGGTCACTGAGATCGACCCCATCAACGCCCTGCAGGCTGCTGTCTCTGGTTACCAGGTTGTCACCATGGACGAGGCTGCCAAGGTTGGTCAGATCTTTGTTACCACCACCGGCTGCCGTGACATTATCGTTGGCAAGCACTTTGAGTCCATGCCCAACGACGCCATTGTCTGCAACATCGGCCACTTCGATATCGAGATCGACGTCGCATGGCTCAAGGCTAACGCCAAGTCCCACGACGAGATCAAGCCCCAGGTCGACCGCTTCTTGCTGAACAACGGCCGCCACATCATTCTGCTTGCTGAGGGCCGCCTTGTCAACTTGGGTTGCGCCACTGGCCACTCTTCTTTCGTCATGTCCTGCTCTTTCACCAACCAGGTCCTTGCTCAGATTGCTCTTTTCAATGCCAAGAACACCGAGTTCCGCACCAAGTTCGTTGAGTTCGAGAAGTCTGGTCCTTTCGACATCTCCGTCCACACCCTGCCCAAGGTGCTCGATGAGCAGGTTGCTCGTCTCCACCTGAGCCACCTCGGTGTCCAGCTCACTCAGCTCAGCAGCAAGCAGGCCGACTACCTTGGCCTGGACATTGCTGGTCCTTACAAGGCTGATCACTACCGCTACTAAGCGTCTCGCTACGCCTAATCCATGCCCGCTAGGCAGGTCCTACGCATCAACTGCATAAAAAAAGACGGCTCTCAACGTTGCCGTTTGGTTATATATATATATATCAAAGAAACCTAACTATTATGCCGAGCTGCGTTGTTGTGGAGTTGCATCCCCACCACAGCTTTTTCTGGTTCTGTGTCGGTCGTCAGACTGTGCTCTCATGTCAGCAGACCCCAATCAAAGCTGGGGCAGCCTGCCGGCCTACCTCAATCACACGGCATACGCGGATATCTGGGAATACAAACGAGACCTGTGCGAGAATGTGCCCCATTGGGTCAAGCAGTCTGCCCTATACAACAAACCAGAGAGTAGCGATACCACAGTGGCCCCGTCGCCTGAACTTGAGGATTCACAAACCAACGACGGGCAAAGCAGTCAGGAATTCGAGTCTGACTCTGATTCGGATGCCCAGGATTCACGCAAGCCCTTTATCAAGGCCCACAAGCGGATTCCACTAGAAAATCCGCCCCGTTTTGAGCAGCGTGATGATATCGACACCCTTCCCGCAATGCCACTGCCGTCGGCTTGGACGCAGATAGACTCGTCGCCTCACCAAGTATTAGAATCATTGCAGGTGAGCTGTGAAGGCGAAGAAGTCAGCGTTCGGGCTAATCATCCTATACCGAATGCGACAGGAGTTTACTATTTTGAGATCAAAATCGAGAGCATAGAGCCCAACTGCGAGGTGTTTGTAGGGTTCAGCGACTCCCGCAAGATTGATCGTTTATCTGCATCGAGAAGCCAAGAGCCAACATTTTGTTTACAAGTATCGGACGGTCAGATTGCCATGGCAAGATCCCCGAACCACCCTTACGCACCGCCTAGTGGCGATGACGACGTTATTGGCTGCTGCTACGTTTTCTCCGAAAGAGTCGTCTTCTTTACCCGAAATGGGATGGATCTGGGAACTGCATTCAATAAAGTCAGTGTTGACGGCCCAGTTTATCCTGCCATGCTAATTGAAGGAGCTGCTCATATTTCCACCAACTTTGGCCAAAGGGATTTTGTTTATGATATTTCGTCTGATGTTTTGCAAAGGAAACAAGAGGCTCTTGAAAACCTCAAAATTGAGAGTCTCGATTTCCAGAAGCACCAGCCAAAGAAAGTCGAGCCAAATCTGATCATGAACAAAGCCATTGCCGACTATCTTACCCACATTGGGTTTGTTGATACGGCCAATGTGCTTTTAGAGCAGCTGAACGGGTCAGCGCTGGCTGAGCCGGCCCAAGCGTTTCCAAATGAGGCCAAGAAAAAGCGTTTGGCCATTCGGGAAGCTGTTTTGGCCGGAAACTTTTCCAAGGCCCTCGAGCACATTGGTGACGACATTCTGAATGCCCAACCTCAACTAAACATTGAAATCGGCTGCTACGTGATCGCCAAAGCAATCCTGGATGGCAATCCCATTCTGGCACTAGAGATTTGCCGGGATCTCCATGGGCGCTATAAGGACGACAAGACCCCGGAAGCGGTCGCGAAACTGAAAATCATGTATGAGCTCCTGGCTAGCCCGCCCGACGCAATTCCCGATACATATCGGCCAACTGGGTATTTAAACCTGTATGAACACATCAACAGTGCGGTTTTACAGCAAATGGGCTATTCCACCGAGGCCGTGCTTCCGCGTTATTTGACCCAGGCGGCAGTGCTCTTACGGTTAGCGTCCAGTGAACAAAACGAATGCTCGATGGTGCGGTTCCGCGATTATATCCCCGAACGATACTGAATGATTTAAATTTGGAGGTTTATTTATATAAAGCTTGAGCGAGTTTAGCTGCGATTTCTTCACTGACCGCCATTGCCCCATATGGCGAAACAGGCCGATACATTGCGTTTGGTTCGAAGGAGTTTTTCTTGATTTTACCATCCACAATTTCCACGGTGCCCAGAATATCGTCGACTTCCGGAATTCGATTAGGAGGCGGCGGATTGCGGAGATCGTAGATGTGGAAATACTGGGCTTCGTCTGCTGTGGCAAGACTGGAAAAGATTGGGCAGATGTGGATGTTTTCTTTCAGGACCTTTTGGGCAATGGGCCAGAATTCTGGGTTCTCCTCGAAATTCTTTGGGTTCAGCACCCGCATGGGCTCAAACGGGTCCAGCTCGCTGCTGAGACCCTCAAGCAGCTCCGAATCCGACTTGGGGAACCGGCCAATGGCTGTTGCCTGCGGATTCTTGGAGAATGAAATGCTTATTTTGTCTCCATTCTCGTGGGCATACAATGGTGGCTTCTTGCGCAAAGTGCTAAACGAACGTGCGAGTCTAGAAAGGAACATGGCAAACGGAATTTTTGTCAGCGCGAGCGGGGCACACATATAGAACTAACCGGTGTACACGTGAACAGCGTTAACAATGTAGACGGCGCCAAATCCAGTGGCCAGGGACGCTACAAGGGCGCTAAAAAGCGCAGTGCTGGTGGTTTTAGAGCTCGAGGTGAGAAACACACCGGTGCCCGCCAGCGCTACAAGAGAGAACAAAACGGCCAAGAATCCTTGCGACCCGAGTGGCACAACAGGTGTAGCACCAGGCGATGTCGCCCATTGTGTCTGAAGTTAGTCCCTATCCTCTAATTTGCCCTCTGTTGGTGCCAACTTACCATGGTGTCCTTGATGGTCATTGTGTGATTTCTAATCCAGAGGGCTGCATCAAATCTTTTTTTCTTACGATTTCACCATGAAGCTAAAACGAGCCAAGTGCTACAAAAAACTCATGGGATACATGAAGCTGAACTTCAAATTCCATGAGCCTTATCAGGTTCTTGTTGACGAAGAGCTGATCATTGAAGCATGTCGAACCAAGTACGACTTGGTCGCTGGTCTCGAGCGGACCCTCCAGGGACAGGCCAAGCCGATGATCACGCAGTGTACTATTGAGCATTTGTACAGATCCAAAAACCAGGAGGCTATTGAATTGGCAAAGAAGTTCGAGCGGCGACGGTGCGGGCACATTCCCACCGAGGATCAGACTCTTTCTGCTTTCGAGTGCATTGCCAGCGTTGTGGATATCAACGGATCAAACAAGCATAGATATGTTGTTGCCACACAGAAACCGAAACTGCGGGACCGTTTGCGCAAAATCCCGGCTGTACCACTAATTTACATCAACCGATCTGTTATGATCTTGGAACCTATGTCGCCCATTACTCTCAAAGCCCGGGAGCAAATCGAAGCGGCAAAGCTGCACAGGGGACTTAATGCGGTGAGCACGGTCCCAGCGACCTCAGAGCCCCGAAAGCGCAAAGTCAAGGAACCCAATCCCCTGAGTGTTAAGAAACGTAAAGTAGAGGAGGGTTCTGGTCCTACGAAACGAAAGCGTCGGCACAAGCCGGCCAGTTCGCAAAAGGAGTCTGAAAACAATCCAGAGCCTGGCGATGCACCTGATTCTATGGACAATTCAGCCTAAATGCTATTTTACCTTACGGCGACTTTTATGCACCTGGCCGCTGAAAAATTTATTAAGCACTTGACTTTGACGATGAGTTTGTTGAAAATTGCCGGCCGTCATTCGGTGCGGTTCATGTCCACAAAGCCTGCGACGCCCCTCCAGGTTGCTTTGAAATACGGCGACGATGAAGAGGAAGCCAGATACCGCAAACAAAAGAACCCGATTATTCCAGACGTCTCCGAGCTGCCCAAGCGATGGAACAAGCTAGACGCTTTGAAGCAGGACGACATTATTGCCTATTTGGAGGACCGCATGCGTGGCGACTGGAAAGAACTCACCCAGCCCGAACGGAAAGCTATCTGGTACGTCTACTATGGCCCGTGGGGTGCCCGGGGGAAAGAGCAGGCCGACCCGGGCTCTATCTATGGCTCGTTTGCCGGGTTTGTTGGAGTGATGCTACTTGGCGTAGTTGGATACCAGGCTCTGCGCAAAAAGGAGTCTGAAAACTAGTTGCGGGGACATGTAAAACAGCGAAGAAAAATACGACTATTTAATAAATACTGATTAGAAGAGAAGAGCGGCGTCGTCGTCTAAGTCTCTTTTGTCTCACTTCGCAGAACCTTGTTGCGAAGCTTTTCGATTTCAGAGACGTCACGCTTCTCATTGCGCTCGACCACCAGGTTTTTGAGCCAGCGGTTCTCCATTTCCAGCTGTTTCAATTTGTTTTCAAGCTCATCGATCCGGGCCTGCATCTGCCGTGTGTTGCGTTCCATTTCCTGCTCACGCAACTTCTTTTTGATTCGGAAGCGTGCCGACGCTGCTGTGTTCCGTCGCCGCTTGTCTTCATCGGCGATCTGACGGGCGATCTCGGTCGTGCCAGATTCGTCAGAGCCCCCCTTGGCTTCATCCGTGCTGTCGCTTGGTGAGCGTGTCTTGGGCTTAGCGTGCTCAGCGTGCTCAGTGTGCTCAGCTGGTGCTGTGTGGTTGTGCAGATCCTCGTGTAGCCGATGCTGTCTCGGGGCAACGTGGTGGAGGTCTGTGGGGCCCGGGGTGAAATAGTGCTGTCCTGCGCCCGACACAGGATAGAAATGACGGGTATTAGAGACAGGAGGAAGCTCTCCGGCCAGAGAAAATTCCTGCAGCTCCGAGAAATCGAACGGATACGGCGCGGTGGTTTGGGGCCCAACATGTGCGACCTGCTCTGACCCCGCCGTCGGCTCGCGCAGCCGCATCAAGTCCTGATACGACGAGGACGCACTTGCGTGAATACCAAATCCGCTTGCATTGCTCAGGGTGTTCGACCCGTGGTGGTCAATGTGCTCATGGGCAGCCGCAGATTTCCCGGGATACTGAATCTGCATTTCTTGCTGCATCAACAGCTCGTCGACCGTAGTCGCGATATCAGTAGAGCGTCCGATATCAAAATCATAGAAATTTGTGTTCTGGAAAATGGACAAATCCTCCTCGGCGCCCTCATGGGTAGTCGCCGGCACCTCAGACTCTGCGTCATTGATGGCGTTCAGGTGGGCCAGATGGTTCAAATCTCGGGACATGGCGGGGTTCGTGTCGCAAGAGACGAGAAAAGAAGGCTATTGGCTGTATTCACACGGCAGGTCGTTAATCGGGTACAATAAGCCACCGGAAATTGCGCAGATTTCACAGTGGGGGTGGGCTTTCGGGTCAGAATGGAGGTTTTTGGGGCAATTATTAAGTATCCATCCCAATCCAGGCAGGTTTCCTGTTTGCTCATTTCACGTGACCTAGGCACGAGGCGACGACCTGCTTACCCTTTGAGGGAACATAAAACGGTGCAGTTGGTGCTAGGCGGCATGTGCCGTCCACAAACTGGGGCAGGCTGATAAATACCTCAATTAGTGAAGATTCAAGCACTGAATCGGATATGTATTTGCAACGAATAGCCAAGCACCGGATCAGCTATATATTTGTATGTATTGGATTGCGCCAGAAGCGATGCATGAGCAATCAAGCCGATTGTGCAATGAACTAGCCATTGAGACACTTGGACGAGAATGTCCAAGCTTGACGTTGCTGCGAACAACTCTAGTTGGACGGCAATCACCGCCATATATGTACAATGTACATCTACCCCAGAGTACGAAGCCTGAGTCATGCTCAAACTGCTCAGACGGCGATTTCACCAGTCTGGCTACAGGAAAGTCGCTGAGGGCCAGTCTATGCCCTCTGCTATCGGCAGACTACGTGAGTCTCCTGTAAACCATCGCACGCCCTTTTTGGTAGCGCTTCGTGCTCGCCAAAAGTTCCTGAACGACTGGTTTCAAACTCACCCCAGCCAGCCTCCCCCGAGCAGAATATCCTTTGCCTACAACGACGTGGTGACCCGCGAGGTCGCCGACAGAACACCCAATGACTCGTTCACGAGCATTATCCTGCCTTTCAAGGACGATCAATGGTTCCTTGACAGCTACATTTCGTCGTACGGCCGACTCCGCATTGGTCAGTTGTTCCAGGATCTGGATCTTCTTTCGGGCGTTATTGCAAACAAGCACTGCTCTCCTGCTCAGCCGGTTATTGTTACTGCCTCTGTCGATCGCATTCTTATGTTGAAGCGTCTCGACGACGTCAGCCATCATAATGTCGTCCTGTGGGGATCGGTCACCTGGACAGGCCGATCTTCTATGGAGATTACCATCCATGCCGCTACGACAGCTCGCGAGAACCAGGCTAAGCCCCCCACCCGTGAGGAGGTTGAAAACGACGAGACATTCCTGGTTGCGAATTTCACCTTTGTCGCTCGCGATCCAGACACAAACAAGGCCTTCCCCATCAACCGGTTAGTTCCCCAGACTGATGTTGATCACCAGCAGTTTGTGCTTGCGGAAAAGTACAATCTGCGCAAAAAATCTGAAGCTCAACGTACCGCACTCGTGAAATCACCCCCGACGGCGGAGGAATCAAGGATCATTCACGAGCTCTGGATGCAGAATGTTGAGTTTAGCAACAACCCAGAAAAACGCCCAGAAACTACCGTCCCCATGGATAAAACCCAAGTCCAGTCGGCCAACTTTATGCAACCTCAATATCGCAACCGTCATTCCTACATGGTGTTTGGCGGCTATATGATGCGTCAAGCTTTCGAGCTGGCGTTTGCTTGTGCAGCAGCATTCTCCCACAGCCAACCCCGTTTTGTCTCACTTGATACAGTTACCTTCAAATCGCCGGTTCCAGTTGGCTCCGTATTGTATTTGGATGCTTCAGTTGTGTACACTGAGCGAACGCGTAGAGCTATTTCTGATGTCGACTCTGCTCCTCAGGTTTGCGAGGGTATGCTGATTCAAGTCCGTGTTGCATCAACCGTTCAAGACCTTGGACATGACGGGACAAAGAATGCAGGTGAGTTCTACTTCTCGTACTTTGTCCACGGCTCTTCGCGCACAGTTCTTCCCCAGTCCTACGATGATATGATGAAGTACATCGAGGGCCGTCGCCGCAGTATCGATATCACGCAGTACATTCATGATATGCATGATCCTGACGCGGTTGAAGCCACTGAATAATCTAATTCAACATATAGTACACAATCTACGGTAATCCCTCGTCTTCCTCATCTTCTTCATGAATTGTTTCGGGTCGACCAAACCGGCGGAAGGTCTGCAAATTCACGTACTCACCCAGAGGTTTATTTTTGAGGGGAGCCGCATGCAATAGCGCGTTCATTAGCCCACTGAACGTGAACGTGCTCCTGGCACCGGTTCCCCAAGACACCAAAACAACTACTAGAAGAACACCGCCCACAACACCTAGAGCAACGAACCCTGCTTGATAGTAAGCTCGGTACATTGCGTCGCTAATCATTTTTTCTTTTTCTTGCTTGGTAGGAGGGGCGTCAAATTCCATGCTCGTATTATAAGTGGGTGCGATTCCTGAAAACCCATACAAGACAGATCGTGTCTCGTACGGAAGCTCGTAGGGAGTCATGTGCGAGCCTTTGGACAAATTGACAAACGTCAAGTTTCGAGCGGAAGTCACTGCACCAACGTCGGATCCGCGAATGACCAGACGGGTTTCAGAACTATCCCTTAATCCGATCCCGCCTCCCCACTGCAGATTATCAACCATACTACGCAGCCCGTCAATATTGCAAATATAGTCCAGTTCACCAACTAGCAGCAGAACAGGAATTTCTTCAAGAATTTCAGGCAAAAGAGATACTGCAGACGGGGACTTGGAGTTGTGGAAGCTCGCAGAAACAGAAGTGCTACATTCAGTCCACCTGCCGTCCTCCTTGACATTGAACGCCCGTCGAACGTCACTTCGGCTCAAATACGGGGACATGAACTCCACTCCAGGGGGCCAATTCATACCACAGGAGCTGTACGTATCTGTGAGCTCAATGTTGTAAACATTAAAGCACGTTCTGGCATTATCGAAATGCTGTAGCGCATAGATAGACACTCGATTGCACACTGTATTATCGGAGTACACGACGTCGAGACTCGTCAGCTCAACCACACATTCGTCATGGAGCTGCTGAATAGCCTTCTTGTCCTGCTCACCGGAAACCAGGTTGTGCTTGAACAGGAACGGCATGTAACTGGTATACTGATGAGCAGGGTCGATCCACGGATTATCCAAAAGTAGGCCAGCAACTTTGATAGAAGGATCAGTATCCCTGATCGCTTTATAAATATAAGGGATATATTGACCAGCATACGACTCCCCTGCAATATACAGCTCATGGGTTTTTTGTTCGGGAAACACCTCAAAGTACTTTTGCAAAAACAGCACGACATTTTGCGAAACAATACTCAAATTATTGGCCCCAAGGCTTTCCTCCGCCTTGCTATATCCAGTACCAAGTGGCTGGTCCAAGAAAAGAAGATTGGCGTACTTGTTCCAGCCATCCACGTTCTCAATCAACCGAGACCCGTCTTCGCTGAATCTGAACGGGCCGATCTCCATCAATGCGCCATCCATCGACGAGCAGCCAGGCCCACCGTTTAGCCATAGGATAGTGCGCGGTTTAGATACCTGAAACTGACTTGCCACATGCCAGAAAAACAGTGCAGAGTGTTCAGACAGCTCCAGAGTTCCGGCGTGCATTTCAGGAATATACGCATTGGGGTCCATATTTGGTAACCCTTTGACATAGAAATCTGCTGCACTTTGTGCACATAGCCCTGCTCCCCAGGTTTGTATAGCTATTAACCAGCTCGTCAGCCCGTATACAACGTGTCGGAGCCTCGCCATACTTTTTGTCGAATGATGACAGAGACGCTGTCCCTCCCTTTCTGCAGGGCGGAGACGTAATAATAATGCGCGATACTTTTTTAAACGCTCGAAATTTCTTCAATTTTAACAATACAAAAATTAGCTCAACTAAATAAAAGCAAGTTCTCCACGTTCGCCTTGCGGTGGCTTGTGACCTACCTGGGAGGGCTTCCGTTCGACACCGGCCGACATGGCGTTCTTGCCCTTCCATCGCATCTCGCCCTGCGAGTCGCGCCATGGACGAATTCCAACGCTACTGTCATCACTGTCAGACCCCGAAGATGCTGTGTGGTAGGCATCGTCAGCCCCATTGGGGTTAGCATCCTCGCCTCGGAAGGCAGCAAAAGTACCCATTGAGCCAACGGGTCGGGGCGTGGATTCATCTTCTTCAGCATGAGCAGCTAGAGAAGAAGAGTGAGAGCCAAGCTTTTGCATAATACCCGAGGATTCATCGCGAGGCATTGCCCGGTTGGGTGCCGCGAATTCGGCACTGGCAAGCTGAACGGTTGGTGGCCCGTCGGCAGATTCAATAGAAGCCAACGAGCTATACGAGATGCGCGCATCCTGCCAGCGGCGCTCGCCAATATTAGTGTGTCGCCACGATGCTCGAGGCACGTCAGCAGCAGCGGCAGCAACACCGGTGCCAGCACCGGTGTCGGAATAGTGTGAGGTTGCAACGCTCTGCACCCGGTTGTTCTGGGGCACAGGCAGCGCCTCCATAGGCTGGACATTGGTCAAAGTATGGGCATCGTCATTGTCGCCATCCATCTTCATAAAGTTGAACGTGGATCTACGCTGTGGGTCGTTGTCCTCCATCTTTTTCTCGTTCGCGTCAACCGCCGTGCCTGAACTGTCAGTGCTGCTTCCAGACTCAACCTTGAACACAGGTGCCATCAACATGCTATCAGCAGCAAGCACTGGATTTGAAATATCCTTGGAGCCTGGAGATCCATCGTGCATCGTACGTGATTCAATATCGCCTGCAGCTGCTGCTTGCCTCTGTTGCTTCTTACGGCGACGCCATAGGAGAAAGGCTAGTGCTGCAACAGCAATAAGTCCCAGGGGGATACCCACTCCACAGCCAACGGCAACACCAGTATTAGAGCTGGTTTTCTTTTGAGGGACAGGAGCTGCAGTGGTGCTAGAAGTAGAAGTTGAGGTCGCAGTGGCCGTGGCAGTCGTACCAGTGTGACTCTTCGTAGCACTGTGTGAAGAAGTTGGGGCACTGCTGGAAACTGTTTTCGACATTTTGCTGAGGTTGACTACACCCATCAACGGAAGAGTAGCATCCAGGCCACTATAGCTCTCATCACCGTCAACCTTTGCTGTAAATGTCACGTCGGTTTGATTGAAGGTGCTCGGCGCCATACCCTGCAAACTGTAGTTCCCTGAGTTGTAGCTGAGCCAACCGTTATTATGTGTATCAACGTCAATCTCAACGTTATTTTTCGTTAGCAAATACTCGGAAATTGAGTACACAAAGTACTCACCTTGGGTGACATTTGCCGGTTTGAAAGATGACGCACTAAACACAGTTCGGTTGGACGGGTTACCTTGAACTTGGATATCGACAGTGAAAGAAACAGTGTCATTGTACTGATCAAATAGCTCAATCTGAACTTCAAACGTTTGGTTAGCTGCGCTCTTAGGAGCCGTTCCAGCAAGCACACCACCATTCGAAGCGGTAAAGTTAAGCCAGCTGGCATTGTCTGGTAAAGTGGCAACCACATTAGAAACATCCTGGTGTGCGATTGGCTCACCATCGAGCTGAACGTCACTGACAGGGATTTGATATTCGAACGACTTACCGGCAGTAACATTCAAGGTCTCTGTGGTGATGTTTGCAACAAGAATGTGGGCGCCCACCTTTAAATTAAACTCAACGCTAGCTGACGTGAAGCCCTGGTAAGTTGAGTCGATGTACAATATTGAATAGCTTTGTGCAGGCGCAATGTCCGAAGTAACCGAAGGAGCGGTGCCCCAGAACTTTCCACTTCCGCCGTCAAAATTAAGCCAAATAGGCAAGGGGGCGTGATCTCCAGTGACAGAATAGTGGCCAATAACAGTCCGTCCATTAGAAGTAAAGAAGTCGCCAGGAAAGTTAATCTCGAATGGCTTGCCTGGGCGCAAAACCAGCGAGTTGGCATCTGATGTGTTACCAGCTGCCTCCAAAACTTGCGTCAACGCATCAGCGGATTTAACCTGCGGAGCGGGAACATTAGACAATTGCAAAAAGCAAGGGCTCACAAGAGTGCCTGTAGAGTCCGACGCCTGCAAACTGAAGTGAACTTGCTGGTCCCCCTGAGAAGAGTCCTCGGCAGGAGGTGTACCAGAAAGGGTCTTTGAATCGGCATCAAACTTCAGCCATGGCGGCAGATCCGGTGCAGAGTAATAGATTGTCTCTGAGGATGTGTAGGTGTCTGTCGAAAAAGTGTAAGAGAATTGCTCGCCATAGCGTGCCACGGGCGGAAGCTGGTTATTGAAAGGGAACGTTGCACTAGGAGTGGCCGCTGCCAACGACAGTAAGGTTAGCCACGCCGTTCTCATTGTCTGTGTGGTTTAATGTGCAAAAGTGGAGGGATCCAACTTTCGAAAGACGATGATACAAGAGAGAAAAGGGTGGACTCCTTGCTTGACGATTATCTGCAGTGATGCACGGATCCTGCAGGGATGGGGCGCGACGCGGTCAAAAGTATTATTTTTTTGCAGAGGCGTGAGCATGCGTGACGGTGTCAATTATGTGCACATAGGTAGTCAGTTTACATTAATGTCAATTAGAAGTTAAATATTGTAAGTACTCAAACAGTATAACAGGCTACTCAGTAGATATGCAGCTTAATTGGCTTCAGCGTCGCAGACGCGCTCCCGTTAGGTAAGACAGGGGAAGAGAAAAAAAGGGGGTATCAGGTTTCATCACACTTGGTGGTGGTGTATGTAGTCGATTTTTTTCTCAAAAGTCCTGGACGAACTTGTGGTTGGTGTAGAAGCTTGTTCGTACGTACTGTCAAGGTCGTGCGAGCGTAAGCTTCGGGCCCGAGCCAAATAGGCCGCCAGGGACGACGTATGACCGGGAGATCCGGCTGGAAGGTCTCCAGACCGGTATTGAGCCCACACATAGCCAATGGGTAAGAAAAGCACAGTCATAGCAATTGAAATAGCAGGCAAAGAGTTGGGCGTCTTGTCATCGGGAAGCGATGCAGTGACAATATTCAAAACTGCCGGACAGACAGAGTTCTGCAGGGTCATGGTGAACACCGCCTTCAGGGGGTCAAAGTGCACAATGCCCATGCGAGCACGAGAGCGAAGCACAAAGAATAGCTTGATACAAAGAATTGCTGAAAACACCGTCGTAGTCGTAGTAAACACAGGCCACGAACCGTCGATCGCCCACTGCGCTTGGTCGTAGGACACATCTTCGGTGTACTTGGCCTGGCTAGCAATTGAAGCATTTGTGATAAGGTAGTACCCCCATACAAAAATGCACGGGAACACAGCGACGCAGCTGACCAGCAAAATTAGGTTCTGGTTACGCTTGGACATATCACAGAATGAAGCATGGACCTGCACAACCAACGTCGCGCAGATGCTAATGATCAGGAACCAGTACAAAATGGAGTAAGCAATGGTACAGTTGATAGTTGTATCACTCGCTTCTGTGATGCCCGTCAGGTACCACGACATGCTCCAAATACTGGATTCGAGGTTCTGGATGTTCAACACACTATGAAGAATCAACAAAGCAAGGTTGGTCTGGTAGAGCACAAACAAAATCGACTTGTAGGTTCTGGCGGCCATACAGAGAATGGCACTCAGTATAATCGCTGCACCGATCTGTACACCATCTACAATTGCCAGCTGGAGTTGAGAATTGTGGAACTTGTCGGCTAGATGGAGGGGCATAGACTCTACCGAGCCATCAGGCAAAAGCACAGTGGCATTCAAATTCATCATCATGCCTATACACTAGAACCACTATGTGTTTATATACCATGCAGGTTTGTTTTCACCCACACGGGCTTTGCAGCGACCATTAGGCATTTCCAAATTGGGAGCTCTGACCGAACCACCACCACCTCACCTCTCTGCTACCCTAACCTCAGCATTTTGCCGATTGCATCAGAGTCAACCTGCTACTCCCTTGCCCCAACTACCTCGTGTTGCGATATGCACGATTCAAAAACGATCCGAAACTAGCTGCAACCCTGCATTGTTCGCTAAGGTTGCTTGGAATCGAAAGCAACCAGCGGGCCCCGGGTGAGTTTTCAACACTATGTGCAAAAAAACTTGCCGCCTATTTCCGTGAAATATAAAGTATCGCCTGCAGAAACCCCTGTAAATTAGGTTCCCAAAGCATAGAGCTCTTGCGCAAGGTAAAATCCCGCCCGCGTGGTGCTGCAGTGGGAGATTTCACAGCGTCATCAACCTGCCGATTATTAGTAGCGGAACGGCCGGCGGCTACTCTCATCCTTCCGACAACATTTTCTTCCATGAGTGACTGCGAATCAGTTGCTTCCGACCTATCTGTGGGAGCTAGCTCAGCTCATTCTGCTGAAAGTCTTGCCAGCATTAACAGCCTCACGTCGCCTCGTCGGCACCGCCGCACGTTGTCAGGCATCACTCCGCGTGAGCTGAAGGTCATTGATAGCGTTGTTCCTCTCAAGTACCGCCAGGAATGGAAGAAGTTCAGCGTGCACGTCATCCAGGACAAGAGCGATTTCCAGCTCGGGTTTGTGCGCCACGTCGAAACCACGTTGGGCCGTTCGCTGTTCAACTGTGACGATCTTGCTGCCTACCATGCTTCCGCACGATCCGTCAAGGATAGCTTGATTGTTATGTGGAATCAGACCCAGCAGCGTCAGACCTTGCTCGGAAACAAGCGCATCTACTACCTGTCCCTGGAGTTCCTTATGGGGCGAGCCATGGACAACGCTTTGCTCAACATGGGTATCAAGAAGACTGTTTCCGATGGTCTTCACGATTTCGGCTTCCACATTGAGGATATTGAGAACCAGGAGCCCGATGCCGGTCTGGGTAACGGTGGTTTGGGCCGTTTGGCTGCCTGCTACATTGACTCAATGTCTACTCTCGAGTACTCTGCTTGGGGTTACGGCTTGCGTTACGAGTACGGTATCTTCCGACAGAAAATTATTGACGGTTACCAGGTAGAGCAGCCCGATTACTGGTTGGAATATTCTAACCCCTGGGAGATTCCTCGCCATGAAATTGGTATTGATGTGATGTTCTACGGACGCGTTGAGGAAGCATTCAACTCGCAGGGACATGCTGTCAAGAAGTGGATCGGTGGTGAAATCGTCCGTGCCATGGCCTATGACTTGCCTATTCCTGGTTACCGCACTACCAACACCAACAATTTGCGTTTGTGGTCCGCCCAGCCCAACGACATTTTTGACTTTGCCAAGTTCAACGAGGGTGATTACCAGAATGCCGTTGCTGAGCAGGTTGAGGCCCAAACGATCACTTCCGTTTTGTATCCTAACGACAACTTTCACAAAGGCAAAGAGCTGCGTCTCAAACAGCAGTATTTCTGGGTCTCGGCCTCGCTCTCCGATATTGTGCGTCGGTTCAAGAAAAGTCGTCGTGATTGGTCCGAGTTCAGCGATAGCGCCGCCATTCAACTCAATGATACGCATCCTACTCTTGCTATTCTTGAATTGCTCCGTGTTCTGGTCGACTTGGAGGGTCTTGAGTGGAAAAAGGCTTGGGATATCACCTATAACACTTTCGGCTACACCAACCACACGGTTATGCAGGAGGCTCTGGAGAAATGGCCATTGGACGTGTTCGGAAACATGCTTCCTCGTCACTTGGAGATTCTGTACGAAGTCAATTACGACTTCCTCAAGAAGGTGGAGGAGCAGTTCCCCAATAACCCAGAGCTTATCTCTAAGGTCAGCTTGATTGAAGAGTCCAACCCCAAGCAGGTTCGCATGGCCTCTTTGGCGGTTGTTGGCTCGCATAAGGTCAATGGTGTTGCTGAGCTCCACTCCGAGCTTGTTCGCACTCAGCTGTTCCCTGAGTATGTCAAGATCTACGGTGAGGACAAGTTCATCAACATCACGAACGGTATCACGCCCCGCCGTTGGTTGCTCGAGGCCAATCCTGGTCTTGCTGAGCTTATTGCGGAGTATACAGGTGGCACCGAGTTCCTAACTGACTTGACTCGCTTGCGTCAACTCTTGAAGCATATTGACGATCCCGAATTCCGATCTAGATGGAGCCGGGTCAAGCAGACTAACAAGCATGCCCTGGCTAGTATGATTCGCAAGTACGCTGGTCGTCACATCAATGTGCATGCGTTGTTTGATATTCAGGTGAAGCGTATTCACGAGTATAAGCGTCAACAACTGAATGTTTTCGGCGTCATTGACCGCTATCTCAAACTCAAGAAGATGACCCCTGAACAGCGCGCTAAAGAACAACCCCGTGTGGTTTTGATTGGCGGTAAGAGTGCTCCTGGCTACTTTATGGCCAAGGTCATCATCAAATTGGTCACTGCTGTTGCCGACGTGGTTGAGTCTGACCCTGAGGTTAGCGACGTTCTCCAGGTTGTGTTCGTGCCCGACTACAATGTTTCCAAGGCCCAGCGTCTTGTTGCGGCCAACGATCTGAGTGAGCACATCTCCACTGCCGGCACAGAGGCTAGTGGTACATCCAACATGAAGTTCGTGTTGAACGGTGGTCTGATTATCGGTACCGTTGATGGCGCAAACATCGAAATTGGCCGTGAGGTCGGCACTGAAAACATGTTCTTCTTTGGCCATCTTGCCGAGAGCGTTGAAGGAGTTCGTAAAGAGAACCGCGAAAATGGTGTCAGTCTGGACCCCAACTTGGCCGAAGTGTTTGCGACAATCGACAACGGTCTGTTTGGCGACCCCAACATCTACAAGCCTCTACTTGACTCTATTCGCTACCAGGGCGACTACTACTTGGTCAATGCCGACTTCCGCGCCTTTGTCGAGGCTCAAGCTGCGGTCGATGCTGCGTTCGCCGACAGAGAAGGCTGGGTCACCAAGAGCATCACCAGCGTTGCCAACATGGGCTTTTTCAGTTCCGACCGTGCCGTCAACGAGTACGCCGAAAGCATCTGGAATACCGAGCCTCTCGGAAACGACTGCTAAATCATCCACCCTCGCTTTTTAGTAACGTTTTTTCATCTATATAGCTTATCGAAGATTATGTTTTAAGGAATCGAGCAAAGTTGAAATTTGTCATCATGTCGGTGCCAATTTTTGGTGATCAAGTGACGGAAGAAAGAGGCGAAAATGCTCGGTTGAGCGCCTTTGTGGGAGCGATTGCGGTTGGAGATCTCGTGAAGACCACGTTGGGCCCTAAGGGCATGGACAAGCTTTTGCAATCGGCGTCCAGGCCAGAGTCGCTAGTGACCAACGATGGCGCCACGATTCTCCAGGCGATTCCTTTCAACAATCCGGCTGCGAAAGTGCTTGTGAATATCTCCAAGGTCCAGGACGAGGAGGTAGGTGACGGCACCACTACTGTTACTGTGCTGGCTGCTGAGCTGTTGCGTGAGGCTGAGAAGCTTGTCGAGCGCAAGATCCACCCGCAGACGGTTATTTCCGGCTATCGCATTGCCAGCAAGGCTGCTTTAGGAGCCTTGGAGCGCAGTGCTATTGACCGGTCGGCCAACAAGGACCTGTTCAGAGAGGATTTGCTGGCTATTGCCCGGACCACTTTGAGCTCGAAGATTCTCAGCCAGGACAAGGAGCATTTTGCTCAGCTGGCTGTTGATGCTATTTTGCGTCTCAAGGGCTCTACAAACTTGGAGCACATCCAAATCATCAAAAAATGTGGCGGTAGACTGGCTGATTCGTATCTTGATGAGGGCTTTATTCTCGACAAGCAGTTTGGCGTTGGCCAGCCCAAGCGTTTAGAGGGCGGTGTGCGTATCCTTGTTGCCAACACTCCTATGGATACCGATAAAGTGAAGATCTTTGGAGCCAAGATCCGCGTTGACAGTACGAGCAAACTGGCCGAGCTTGAGCGGGCCGAGAAAGACAAGATGCGCGCCAAGGTCGACAAGATCGTCAAGCACAATGTGAACCTGTTTGTGAACCGTCAGCTCATCTATAACTGGCCCGAACAACTTTTCACCGATGCCAAGGTTAACACCATCGAGCATGCGGACTTTGCAGGCGTCGAGCGGCTGGCGCTGGTCACCGGCGGTGAGGTGGTATCTACTTTTGATACCCCCAACAACGTAGCTATTGGCCAATGTGATAAGGTGGAGGAGATTTTGATTGGCGAGGATGTGCTTATCAAGTTCAGCGGAGTGGCTGCTGGCGAGGCATGTACGGTTGTTTTGCGAGGTGCCACAGACGCTGTGCTTGATGAGGCAGAGCGCTCGCTGCACGACGCTTTGTCCGTGCTGTCACAGACCGTGCGTGAGCCCCGCACTACTCTCGGCGGTGGCTGCGGTGAGATGCTCATGTCCAAGGCTGTGGACGCAGCTGCTCAGCGTGAAGAGGGCAAAACGGCGCTGGCCGTCGAGGCCTATGCTCGTGCTCTCCGCCAGCTGCCTACGATTTTAGCCGACAATGCGGGTTTCGACAGCAACGATCTGGTTTCTCGTTTGCGTGCCACTATATACGGCGGCATGACTACTTATGGTCTAGACCTCGATCGAGGAGAGGTCGTGGACATGCGCGAGCTGGGAATTGTCGAAAGCTACAAGCTGAAACTCTCTGCTGTTTCTTCCGCCACCGAAGCAGCAGAACTGCTGTTGCGTGTCGACAACATTATTCGTGCAAAGCCCCGTACTGCCGATCGCGCTCATGGCCGCGTTTAATCTAGTCTAGTATTAAAGTGCATCGTACCGTTTATTAATCAGACAATGTCTTCTGAGATCGACGAATATAGAGAGAATCTTGTTCAGGTTAAAACGTTATTAGAAGCTGATCCCGAAAACGAGGATCTGAACTTAGTCAAAAAAGAACTAGAGGAACTAATTGCGACGCTTGAGCAGACCCCGCCGCCTGCCCCTGAAAAAGACGTGAAACCTTTCCCAATAGGAAGTCAAGTGACCAGTGGTAAGTTCAAAGGCCGGGTTATTTCCGTCAAGAAGGGTGTCTACACCATCCGATCGGGCACCGAGAATCGAGAGTTTGCGGCAAAAGAGCTCAGTCTCGTGAAGGCCAAACCACGCAAGCAGACGGCTGCCGACCTCCAGCTGGAAAAGTCCAAGTCCAAGTGGCAGCAATTCCGCAGCCAGCACCGATCAGCAAGGGGGTCGAAACGCAAACAAGCGCACTCGTAACAACTTAAATATTTACATAACGCGATCAAGAACCCGATAGGCCCGGGACTGGGCATTAGCAAAGGCCTGAGACGAAGCAGCAAACTTGGCGGCAATGCGATTACGGTTTTCGATTCCTGCCCACACAGACGGCTCACAATCCCCCACGACTGTGTCGTCGGGCAAATTGTGGACATCGAACAGGGCGCCGTCGTCAACGTACTGGGACCGCGGGAGCGAGGCCTCGTAGTCGACATCGCCGACCTGTACATCCTCATAGACCTTGCGCTTGTTTGTGGCCAACTGACCGAGCATGGCGGCCATATGCTCCACCGCAGAGTCGCGAGCCTTCTGCTCGGGATCATCGCTCAAGTGCCGGTCGAGCTGGCGGTTCAGACGATTCAGGAGCTGGCTAGTGACTGGTGGTTAGCATACTGGGTCGGGAGAAAAAATTGTAATAAAATAAATTGTCCATTTAATACTCACTTTGTGCATTTCCGACCGCAACGGGCGCGGCTTGGGACTTGCCCTTCAGCAGATGTGCCAACAGCTCGTGGCTGTTTTGAGCGTTGTGGGGAGAGTTCATGAGCAAACCAGGCGGTGTGGGAGATTTGGCCTGTCGAGGAGTAGCCGATTCTGTCGGAGTGGGTCGGGGGGCCAGCAGCTCCTCGCGAATAGCAGCTCCAGCATCTGAAACAGGCATAGATGTAGGTTTGGGAATAAGCTGCTCTCTATGAATATTCAGGGCCTTGGATGCTTCCTGGAAAGCGTCGAGACGAGTCTCATTGCTCAGCGAAAATGTAAAGTAAGGTGGAATAGGGTGCTTTTCCAGATCCTCTTCAGCCACCAGCATGCTCGAGAATGAAAAGTTGATGGCACCCTTGGACAGCACCTCCAGGCATTTGCTGAGGTTCCGCAACGCATTCGAGGGCTCGGTGTCTTCCACGACGGGTCGGGGTTGAGGGGTAGGAATCTTGCCCCACGCCGGCGTAGGGATGGGAGCAGGAACATTTACAGGTCCGTGTACTTGCGGAGTCGCAATGGGTGTGGCCGGAGCAACCGTGACGCCTTGAGGCTTGGGAGAGAGGATAGCCGGCGCCGGCGACGGGCTGGACCCCACAGAAGCACATATCTGGCTGGTCATGGGAGCCGGCGACTGGGGAAGAGAGTTGCCTCGGGCCGCTGCTGCTGCCGCTGCGGCCAGGGATGGCATGGTTTGATTAGGGTGCGTTCTGTTTTGGCGGTGCTGCATCGCGGAGAGATCCCGACGCGTGTACGAGTCTGCCTCCTCGCCCGGCTCATGCAAAAACATGCAATTAGGATTTGGGCATGTCTGGCCGCGCAAATAGGCGGAACAGTACTTTGTGGTTCCGTATGCTGCTCTTAAATACTTGCCATCGTTGATTGAGCCATCAACGGCAGCGATACACTTGGCGGCGTCCTCTTTGCGGGCAAAAGTCACATAAACACCGATGCCAGGGTTGCCGCTAGCGTTTGTGCGTTTGTTGATCACGATTTTCTGGATCTTGCCATACTGTCCGAAGAACTGCTCCTGTCGCAGAGTGTTGTGCAGCTCGTCAGTGGGGATGTTGGGATTGAGGCCAATAACATAAACGAGATTCTTCTGGATCACCCGCATGCCGGCAAGATGCTTTTTGGACGCCTGCTGCTCACTCTCCCGCTTTTCCCGCTCCCGCTGTTTACGTTCTTTCTCCTTCCGTGCCTGGCGCAGACTGTCTCGCTTCCACTCCTCCGCGGTAATCTTTTTGTACTCGACGCTCTCGTCGTCATACTTGCGGCGGCACGCTGGACACAGTCCGTTCAGCTCCGGGTTCTGCCGAATATTGTTGTAGCAGAACTGGCAGATTTGATACCCACACGGACAGGGCTTGAAGTTTTTGTCCGAGATATCCATCTCCTCAATGCACAGCGGACATAGGTCGTCCTCGTCATCCGAGATAAACGTGTCTTGTATACCTACCATCGTCGGGCGTTTAAAGGTTTAGTAGGAAAACTTGGCTCTAGACGTAAGCAGGATTTTCTTATATGGACGACCAGGATTTGGGATTTTCAAAGTGGCGGGCAGGGGACGTAAAAACGCCAAGCTGGGACATAGACAGGGGTATAAAGCAGGTAGTAAGTAGGGTTTTTGCGAACCAATCACCACCCCAAAAGACTTGCTTACATCACCGGAGTCCTTTTAGAGCTGCGCTCCAGTTGAAAATAGAAAATCGAGAGGATGTCGTTGAAACTGGCCCAACGCCTAGTTGTGCGTAACGCGGCGGCACAGAAGGCACTGTTTTCCAGTGCGTCGGCTGCTCGCGGTGTGTTCACGCCCCCCACGCAGGTGATGCCCGAGGGTCTGGTTGATCTTCGCACCCTGCCCCGCGAGGAGCCGGAGGTCAAGAGTGTTCCCTACGAGAACCCTGCCGATAGATACAAAGAGGTCAGCGAGGAGCTGCACAAGTACGGGCGCTACATTACCGCTGTTCTGCCCAAGTACATCCAGCAGTTCACCGTGTGGAAGGACGAGCTGACGGTGTGCATAGCCCCGGCCGGTCTGCCTGTTGTGATGCAGTTCTTGCGCGACCACACGGCTGCCCAGTTCAAGTCTGCCGTCGACGTCACCGCCGTCGACTATCCCTCCCGCCAGAACCGGTTCGAGGTCGTTTACAACCTGCTCAGCTACCGTCACAACTCTCGTATCCGCGTCAAGACCTACGCCAGCGAGACCAGCTCGGTCCCGTCTATGGCCCGCATGTTTGAGGGCATCAACTGGTCCGAGCGTGAGGTCTACGACATGTTTGGTGTCTTCTTCGAGGGCCACCCCGATCTCAGACGTATCATGACCGACTACGGTTTCGAGGGCCATCCTTTCCGCAAGGACTTCCCCATCCAGGGCTACACCGAGCTCCGCTACGACGAGGAAAAGAAACGCATTGTTTACGAGCCGGTCGAGATGACCCAGGCCTTCCGCAACTTTGCCGGCGGCTCTTCGGTTTGGGAGCCCGTCGGCCCCGGCCGCGACGACCGCCCGGACTCGTTCAAGCTGCCAGTGCCCGAGCCCGAAGAGGAGCCTGACGCTGCTGCTAAAAAATAGTTATTCATAATATATACGGGCATATCATTCTAAGCCAGTCCAGAGATTTCGGCCTTGAGCTCCTCCAGCTGTTTTTGGCGACTGCGCAGATGCTCCTTGAGCGAGTCTACCTGCTCAGCAATAAGATCTATTTCCTCCTGGGTCCGTCGCAGATCGCCGGCACTGCCGTTCTGTGAGGTGCCCTTCTTGCGGTCCATCAGCTGCTTTTCCTTGTACTCGAGCAAAAGCTGCAGCTCTCGGCGCACCAGGGAAGACGACCCTCCGTTGGACTTGGACTGCTCCCGCTCGGCCTGCTTGTGCTCAAGATCCTCGATGATCTTGGTCAAATCAGCAAGTTCTCTTTGCAGCCGCACCTCTTCCCAGTCGGTGTCTTTTGTCGCACTGAAATCAGTGCCCTGACTTTGGTAGCCCTGAGACCGCCCCCCCAGTCCCAGCCTGGACAGGTAATTGTCCGCGAACCCGCCCTTCTTTTCGGTGCTGGAGGAGCGGATCTCGGCCTGGCTGCTGTTAACGTCGTAGCTCGGGGTCTGCTTGCCGAATGTCGCTCTCAGCGAAGCAGGAACCGACCGGGGGATGCGAACGCCATTCGAGCGCTGGTTCAGCATGTGCAAAAACACCATACACTGCTCCTTGTCGATCTTTTCGTTGCTGCTGGGATTCACAAGGTTCCATGCAGACGAAATATCCGTAGTAGGAATGTCTAGCGTGGGGTACAGCTCGTTGAGAGATGAAAAGGCAATGTACCCTAGAGGATCGGCGTTAGCGGAGTACACATCCTCGTAGCTGCGGCGATCCTGAGGACTGATGTACCAATTGAAGTTGGAACTCAGCCTCATGTCCTCGTCATAGTCGTCGCTTGAAGAGCCTCCCGTGGGGAGACTCCCCGACAGCGCCTGTTTCGCCGTGACAAGATGGCGCTTGGAGGCCGGAATAAGCCATTCGGGAAGCTCACTGGGCACAGACGATACTGTGCTGTTAATCAGGTCAAAAACAAGTCGCATGGCGATACAAAACTCCTCGAAATCCATGTTGCCGTCGCCGTCGATGTCGGCAAGGTCCCAGACCTTCTCTAGCTTGGCGTCTTCTAATTGCGAGTTCTTCAGCACTGCAAACATCTTGTCGCCAGACAACAGCCCGTTCGCCGGCTGCTGCTGCGAGAAAATCTCCCAGTACTTGGCGATCTCTTCTTGAGACAGTTGAGGCATTACTCAGCTGGCGAGCCAGCCGGGCGATGATGAAGGATATAATTTGGTTTTGATGTTTGCCAAACAAAAAAAAAAATTTTACAAAACAGGTTCACTACATATTTAAGCCTTGCGGTTCTTGAGGTTGTTAGCAAGCCACTCAAGACCCTCATACAAACCATCACCACGAGTAGCGCAAGTGGCCTGAATGAACCACTCACGGTTACGGAGAGAGTGCAAGCCGAGTTTTTCGGTGATTTCGGCAGCGTTCATGGCATTAGGCATATCCTGCTTGTTGGCGAAGACCAGGAGCAGTGCGTCGCGGAGCTCGTCTTCGCTGAGCATGCGCATAAGCTCCTCGCGAGCCTCGCCAATACGGTCACGATCATTACTATCCACGACGAAGATGATGCCCTGGGTGTTTTGGAAGTAGTAGCGCCACAAGGGACGAATGCGATCCTGTCCACCAACATCCCAGACGGTGAATGAGATATTTTTGTATTCGACTGTCTCGACGTTGAAGCCAATAGTAGGGATGGTGTGAACAATCTCGCCCAGTTTCAGCTTGTAGAGAATGGTAGTCTTACCGGCGGCATCCAAACCAACCATGAGGATGCGCATCTCCTTGCGGCCGAGCAGGCCTTGGAACAACTTTGAAACGTAGATACCCATCTGCGGTTAGTACTGAGTCCAGGGGAGGAGGGGGGGGGCTAAAGGCGCAACCGTGAGGAAGAGTCGCGTTCGCGTGTATCTGCGTCGTCTCGGGTCCAATCACTGTGGGTAGCGACTAGTTAAAGGTGCGCTTTCAACGAGCGTTCCACTTTAACTGCCGCTACTGGCAACCCAGCGACCAAGGTCTGAAATCTGGGAAGCCCCGATAGCTCGCGTGCCGCTTCGAGCGGCTCCGCTCCCACGCGGCTATTTTTGTGAGTTTCGCGTTCGGACAAAGATACAAATCGAGATGCTCCTGCGTTCCTCCAGCTGCTAAACCGCCAACACTTACCGTTTGTTCTGTTCTCTACTGAGGAGGGTGATGTAATTTGCCCGTCTGCGGTGGCCAAACCTTCGCTCCCACTTCCGGGTAAGCATGCAGGAATTTCCAAACCCCCCTTCAGTGCACTGAAAGTTCGTGAAACCCCAAAGTCCGTTGTCGGCGGTTCCGCGAACTTGGCAAACCTTGGGACCGCCCGGATACACGCTATAGTTTATAAATAGTTATTACACACGGCATCGCGGCAAAACCTCCGGTCATATCAGAGTCTCGTAAGCTTTGCTGAACTATTTGATAATGCCCAGGTAAAACAAACGCGAACCTGGCCTTCTCGCGGAGTTGCCTAAGCAACTGTTTGGGAGGGCCGCAGATATGTCCCACCCGTCCCAGCACTAGGGCTTAGACCTTGACAGTCACACGCAAACCTCCCACCCGGTTTGAATATCACCGACTCAAAGCAGCCTTTACCAGTTAGTCGACATGTCTGATATTAAAGTTAAGGACCTCCGTGGCTTGAGCAAGCAGGAGTTGGAGAACCAGCTCGTTGACCTTAAGGAGAACCTCCTCAAGCTCCGTGCTAAGCAGCAGTCCGTCAAGGCTGGTGAGATTAAGCGTGTCCGCAAGTCCGTTGCCCGCACCCTCACCATCCTCAACGTTTCCCAGCGTGAGGCTGTCCGTGAGCTTTACAAGTCCAAGAAGTACACTCCTAAGGACTTGCGTGCTAAGAAGACCCGTGCCATCCGCCGCCGTCTCTCCGAGGAGGAGGCCAATGCCAAGACCGTCAAGGCTCAGAAGAAGGCTTCTGCCTTCCCCAAGCGCAAGTACGCTATCTCGGCCTAAGTGCTCTTAAATGCATATTATTTGTGCCCCAGCACATAGTTTCAAAAAAAAGTACGCTAATGCTACACCTATTTTCAAAAACCATAGTCTTTGTTTTATACCCCTAGCGGTTTTTGCTTTGCGACCCTCGGCTTAACACCCCCGTAGACGACACACTATAACACGCCCCTTGGCGTAGTAAGCAAGCTGACAATGTCTGGATTGGTTGAGAACGCCCGGAAGGAGTTTAGCCGCATTTCGCTGGACGGCACTGCGGACAAAGAACACAATTATGGCTACATCTATTCGGTGTCCGGCCCAGTCGTTGTTGCTGAGAATATGCTTGGCGCAGCAATGTACGAATTAGTCAAAGTTGGCCACGGTAACCTTGTGGGTGAAGTCATTCGAATTCAGAGCGATAAGGCAACAATTCAGGTTTACGAGGAGACAAGCGGTCTGATTGTCGGTGACCCCGTTCTGCGCACTGGCAAGCCCCTCAGTGTCGAGCTTGGGCCTGGCCTAATGGAGAACATCTACGATGGTATCCAGCGTCCTCTCGAAAGTATCAAGAACTTGTCCCAGTCTATCTACATTCCCCGTGGAATTGAGGCTCCTGGACTCAATCGCGACCGCAAGTACGATTACACCCCCAGTAAGGACGTCAAAGTGGGCGATCACCTTTCTGGCGGTGACGTGTTTGGTTCGGTCGTCGAAAACTCCCTCATGTCCGACCACAAGATTCTTCTGCCGCCTCGTGCTCGTGGTACTGTCACTTATATTGCTCCGGCGGGTCAGTACACCATTGAGGAGAAGATTTTGGAGGTCGAGTTCGACGGAAAGAAGTTCGAGTATTGCATGTTCCACACTTGGCCGGTCCGTGTGCCTCGGCCGGTTGCCGAAAAGGTCACCGCGAATTACCCATTGCTCACCGGCCAGCGTGTGCTCGACTCGCTGTTCCCCATGGTGCAAGGTGGTACCACTTGCATTCCCGGTGCGTTTGGCTGTGGCAAAACAGTCATTTCTCAGTCGCTGTCAAAGTTTTCAAATTCGGACGTTATTATCTATGTTGGATGTGGTGAGCGTGGTAACGAGATGGCTGAGGTTCTTAAAGAGTTCCCCGAGCTGTATACGGAGATCAATGGCCACCGGGAGCCTATCATGAAGCGTACTACTTTGGTGGCTAATACGTCTAACATGCCCGTGGCTGCTCGTGAGGCGTCTATTTACACTGGTATCACACTTGCCGAGTACTTCCGTGACCAAGGTAAAAATGTTTCTATGATTGCCGATTCGTCTTCTCGTTGGGCCGAGGCTCTGCGTGAATTGTCCGGTCGCTTGGGTGAAATGCCTGCTGATCAAGGTTACCCTGCTTATTTAGGTACCCGTTTGGCCTCGTTCTACGAGCGGGCTGGTCGTGCTGTCGCCCTCGGCTCCCCTGAGCGCCAGGGCTCCGTCTCAATTGTTGCTGCTGTCTCTCCCCAGGGTGGTGACTACTCTGAACCCGTCACGGTTGCTACGTTGGGTATCACCCAGGTATTCTGGGGCCTTGACAAAAAACTTGCCCAGCGTAAGCATTTCCCGTCTATCAACACCTCTGTTTCATACTCCAAATACACCGACGTTCTCAACGGCTACTATAGCCGGGAGTACAAGGACTTCCCTCAACTGCGGACCTCAATTCGTGAGATTCTGTCCAAGGCCGAAGATCTTGAGCAAGTTGTGCAGCTCGTTGGTAAGTCGGCTCTTTCCGATAGCGACAAAATCACCTTGGATGTTGCCGCTTTGATCAAGGACGACTTTTTGCAACAGAACGGTTACTCCGAATACGATGCCTTCTGCCCTATCTGGAAGACCCACCACATGATGCAGTCGTTTGTCACATACTACGATGAGGCCCAGAAAGCGGTTGCTGCCGGAGCCCTGTGGTCCAAGCTTTCAGAAAAGACCAGCGAAATTAAGTATAAGGTTTCTTCTTCCAAGTTCTTTATGCCGACTGATGGTGAGGAAGCGTGTGACAAAAAGTTCAAAGAGCTCAACAACGAGATTATTGAGGCATTCAGCGAGTCGTACGAGTAGGTTACCGATATAGTAGCTTAAACTGATTCATATGGTTTCACCAGTGAGCTAGCTTTTTTTCGAGTCAGGCCGGAGATCCATAGCTGCAACGGCCCCCATATTACCCCCAAACACTCACTGGTGTGCTCATCTCGCCTTGCCGGCTCAATGTGCGAGTTCTCACGGGCCACTGGACCAAAATAACTCAACGCTGGGCTTCGACGCTGTCTATGGTCTAGGGGCTATACGGGGTGTTGGGAGTATAGACATTGTTAATCAGAATGTTAGTTGATGACAAACCTGGCAAGTGGTCAAAACATGGATATTGACCCAGATGTGCAAATGGAAGATGCGGTGGCAAACAATGCTTCGCTTCAGCTACAAGAGTCGCAGTTTGCGGACGACTACGAAGGAGAGATGAGTGAGCTGCCACCGTCCAGCCCCACCCCAACCGCGAGTACCGGTGAGGTTGATGGGTGGATTGAGACGCTAAAAAAGTGTCAGCCGTTAACTGAGCGCGAGGTGCGCCAGCTGTGCAACATGGCCAAAGATATTCTGCAATTCGAACAGAACGTGCAACCAGTGTCGGCCCCGGTGACCATCTGTGGTGATGTGCACGGCCAGTTTCATGATCTCATGGAGCTGTTTCGCATTGGTGGGCCATGTCCCGACACCAACTACCTGTTCATGGGAGACTATGTGGACCGCGGATACTACTCGGTTGAGAGTGTATCGTTCCTAGTGGCCATGAAAGTGCGATATCCTAGGCGGATTACAATTCTACGAGGCAACCACGAGTCCCGCCAAATCACCCAGGTCTACGGCTTCTACGATGAGTGTTTACGCAAATACGGTAGCCCCAACGTGTGGAAACTGTTCACAGACCTGTTTGATTACTTCCCGATCACCGCGCTGGTTGACAATAAGGTATTCTGCTTGCACGGCGGCTTGTCACCCACCATAGAGACTATTGACAACATCCGCAGCCTCAACCGCTTCCAAGAGGTTCCGCACGATGGCCCCATGTCTGATTTATTGTGGAGTGATCCAGACGAGCGTCAGAACTGGGGCATTTCGCCCCGGGGTGCCGGATATACGTTTGGTCAGGACATTAGCGAGCAGTTCAATCACAACAACAACCTCTCCCTTATTTCTCGCGCCCACCAGCTGGTCATGGAGGGCTATGCGTGGTCTCATGAGCAACAGGTCGTTACCATCTTCTCCGCCCCTAATTATTGCTACCGCTGCGGTAATCAAGCCGCCATTATGGAGGTCGACGAGGAACTTTATAATACGTTTTTGCAGTACGACCCATGTCCACGGGCAAGCGAACCGTCAGTGTCTAGGAAAACGCCCGATTACTTCCTCTAAGCTATATAATTTTCCTTTTTTAAAGGCTTTCTTGGCCGTTGAATCAAATCTTGTCTCCCAAGCCAGCGACCCGGTCGAGAGCAATGTCGCACATTGCGTCAAAGGCTGTACGCTTCTCGGCCTCAATGTCTTTCTTGGCAATGCGCTCACGCATGTCGTCCATGATAACCGAGCGCGGACGGCCGGCAACAAACACTACGTAACGCAGACCCGGGAAGGTTCGCTCGTACTCGGCGTTGAGCTCCGCCAGCTGCTCTGTTTCCCGCGCGGAGGCGGTCTGCAGCGACGCCTGCTCCGCCTGACTCAATGCAGAGTCTACCTTCTTGGCTCCCAGGCGCGGGTGGGCGGCAATTATGCCTGGAATGCGTTCGTCGTCGGGCGTCTTCAACATGGTCCGGAGATGGCCGCGGATGCGCTCAATGAGCTCTTCCCACGACTGCGCGGGCTCCTGGCACACTGGAAGTACGTAGTCCAAAAACACCTGGCTGTGTTCAAACAGCAGCGAGAGCAATTTCTCCTGTTCAGGTCGGGGTAAGCTCGAAAATTCACTGGCAGCCATTATATTTCAAATCCTGTGGGAAAGAGGGGGGGGGGGGGAAAGTCACAACGATCTTCTTAGATGGGATCCCTAAACCCCTAGAGCCCATTAGTCACGTTTGAAATTCTTTCATTTTGTCTTGAAACTTTTGAAAATGCCATCTACTTTGAGTATAATTACCTCGGTTTTCACAGTTGGTACGCTGTCGTATTTGATCTACTTCGACTACCAGCGCCGCCACTCACCCGAATTCCGCCGCCAGCTGCGAGAGCGTTCCACGGTCTACGAGAAGGAGCAGGAGCGCGCCGCCGCCGAGATCAAAAACCAGCAACGCTCTCGCCTCGAGTCTCTCATCGAGGCTTCTCTCACAAACGACCCCCTGCCCACCGGTTTGCAGGCCCGTGAACAGTTCTTCATTCAGGAGGTCGCTCGTGCCGACGAGCTCCTGGCCACTGGCCCGGACGGTTACATGGAGGCTTCCCTTGCTTTCTACCGCGCTCTGTATGTTTATCCTCGCCCTGCTGAGCTTCTGGGTGTCTACGAGACCACCGTCAAGCCCCCGGCCGTCCTCGAGCTCGTCCGCGCAATGGTTGTCGTCCGCCCTCCCGCGGCCATCGCTCAAATTGTTCACGACACCGCTTCTGTCGAGTAATTGCACATAGATCTTTTACATATTCTAAAGGCTTCGGTCCCATTCTTCCCCTCTTAACGGCAGATTCGCTAGATTGAAACTTTTTGACGTAAGCCATCATGGACGACGATATTCGACGCCAGCGTTTGGCGAGATTCGCCCAGATTGCAGAGACAGAAGAGCGCACACTGCCTGATACGGCCTCTCCGAAACCACACGCACCACAGCAACAGGCTCAAGCGCCAGCAAAGCCCGAAAAACCGCCGCAACCGGAACCTCAGCCTGCTCCCCAGGTTAGAATACCGGCAAAACCAAGTCCTTCTCCTGCTCCAGCCGATCTCACTCCTGAGCAGCTCAAAGTTTACGAGTCCAGAGCAATTGCGTCCATCTTGGGCGTGGCAATGGGCGCTGTCAACAACACTATTGATCTCAGCGAGACTGCTCAATTTGTAGAGGACTTCGACCCGCAGTGGCCGTTTCAACTCGCAAGCTTTGATGTCTACATTTTTGGCGTGCTGGGCAAAATTATTCACACTCCCCAGACTTTATTCGGTTACTTGTTTTCTTGCTGGGATAGAGCGTCTCGCATGGCTCGAGCCGCTGCGACAGTCCCGGCGAAATTGGAAATCGTGGAGGGTGTTAGAGAACAATTGGTGTACTATGGCGCCATGTTTGGATGTGCAGATGAAGGAGAGGCTATGCACGCTGATCTAGGTGCTGGAATCTATCAAGCATCTTTCCCGCCGTGGGATTATATCGAACGAATGTTTGAGGATGAAGACAATGTCTTGACCATCGCTCCAGCAGTCGTAAAGCACATGGCTTTGCAATTAATGCAGTCCGGCTACAAATCAAACTATCACCATATTTTCACGTCTGTGGAGCGTTTGTTCTCCATCAAAATCGTTGCTCAGCTTTATCACAAAGCAGCCCCTATCCACGACTCTCAAGAACTCACCCCTATGCGATTTCTCGCCTCAAATCCACTTCTTGGGCTGTTTTCTTTTTCACCTCTAGACGTGCCCTTTTGCATGGCAATCTTCCCTTCGCCCTCTACAATGACAAGAGAACAGATCAATCGAGTTGTAGCAGATACGCAACCGGAAACGCTGCTCATTATGAATCGCTTGTTCAGTATTGCCGACAAAGTGGTTCGGGGGTCCCCAGAATCCCGCTCCTACTTGATGAGTTTGCTCACTAAAACTCTAAACCGAAATCGCGGGCGTATGGCCATGCAAGTCGACCCAAACAAAGTGCATGGCGACGGCTTCATGCTAAATATCACCTTTGTGCTTGTCAAGTTTTGTATGCCCTTTGTCGACTTCTCGGGGAAATCCTTGTCTAAAATCTCAGTCGAATTCTTCCGTTCGCCGGCAGCTCAAGATCTTACAGATGAAACCAGATTGGTGGCTGATTCAAACGAGAGTGCAGAGTGGTCCTCGAAGTCTAGTGGGGATCCCAATTTTGTCTCCCAGGTTTTCTTCCTGGCAGCTGGCTATTTGCAGTATGGCGCAGCGGCGACTATACAAGCTGAAAAGACTTTAAAGCGACAGGTCGAAGCTTTTACTGATCGAATGCGTCAGGTAGAGGAGAGAGAGGCTTCTGGGCAGGTCCCTGCTCCTATGATTGCACGTGTCAAGCAACAAATGCAGGCCGGACTGGATCTGTTCAAGGCCAGGTTGGCAGCGCTCGGATGCGTGCTACTTTCTGAGGCTGTCATGACTCCCATTTACGAGTTCTCAACATTCGTACTTATTTTCGTTATGCATGCAGCGCGGTCCGAGTATCCTCCGCTGTCTATTGTAGATGGTGAGACTGGCGGGGAGCCAACACCTGCCTACCGCACACTACCAGAGTTTCTCGTCGAGGCTCCAGTAGCAGTTCTTGTCTACATTATGCAAAACATAACTGGTATTGTCCGCCGTGATGTGCGCTCTGAGCAGCTCGAAGCTGTCATATTTTTCCTGCTGTTCCCCCAGTATATCAAGAACCCATATCTCAAGTCGCGTCTGGTAGAGCTGCCATTTTACGGCTGTATGGACCAACTCACTACCATGGGTGGCTCTATCGAGGGCTTTTTCCGCCCTGCATTCGCGAATCATCCTGTCGTGCAAAGGTACTTGCTTCGAGCTTTGGTCAAGCTCTACGTTGACATGGAACAAACAGGCCGTAGTGCTCAATTTTATGAGAAATTCTCGACTCGTGAGCTCATTTCATACATCATTGACGTGTTGTGGAACTACCCTGTTTACCGCCTGCGACTAGAAGAAGAAAGCCGGGACCATCCTGAATTCTTTGAGCGGTTTGTTGCTCTGTTGCTCAACGATTCTACCTACCTGTTGGATGAAGCATTATCAAAACTGCAAGAGATTCGTCGGCTACAACTCGGTGAAAATGTCGAACGGCCGGCGAACGAAGAAGGCGGGAATGAGGAGGAAGAAGAAGAGGGTCAATTGGCTGCGGCTGAACGTCAAGTCAAATCATTTTTGCACTTGGGCTCTAAAACTGTCGACTTACTCAACCGCTTTACATCCTCTGTGCCCGAGTTGTTCTTGAAAAAGGAGATCATTGACCGATTGGCGTCTATGCTGAACTACAATTTGGTCGCACTTGTTGGCCCTAAGTGCCGCGAATTGGTGGTTAAAACCCCTCAGGAATACGGATGGAACCCTAGAGATTTGCTGGCTCGTATTGCCCAGGTTTACTTGAATTTACGGCAAAGTGACGATTTTGTTCGCGCATTGGTTCGAGATGGTCGTTCTTTTAGCATTGATTTGTTCCAACGCGCAAGCTCCATTCTCAAAAAACGTTCGTTGGTTTCCCCCCAAGCCATTAAAGAATGGGATCAACTGACGGCTGATGCTGAAGGTGCCCAGCAGGCTGAGATCGACGCCGAGGCTGAACTCGGAGAAATTCCTGATGAGTTTTTGGATCCCCTCATGTATACTCTGATGGAAGACCCAGTTATTCTGCCGAGCTCTCGGGTGACTATGGACCTAAGTACCATCAAGGCACATCTCTTATCGGATCCCATCGACCCATTCAATCGCATGCCTTTGAAGATCGAAGAAGTAGTGCCCAATCGCGAGCTTTATGAACGCATCCAAGAATTCAAACGGCAGAGAAAGGCTCTCCGTTCTCATAGTACCACGTAGGCTGTTTATATTCCCCCATAGTTAATTTTCCAATTCGACCAGGACCGAGAGATACAATTCCGTCGACTCTCGGGGCCGTGTATTGCAAAGACTGCTTCCAGAGTACGGGTTCGACTAGAGCATCCACACACGCTTTGCGGATCTCTTGGACAGATTCATAAGGCTTCGCTGTGAGATTCGAAATAATGTGGGGTGATGTGGGGAGGGTGAAGGGAGCTTTGGCAACCAGCTCTGCTAGCTCGCCCTGTGCTGGTTTCATATATCTCGAATGAAAAGCCCCAGATACATTGAGAGGTTGAGAAGCGATGCGACCCAATTCCGACACAGTGGCATCGAGATCAGCTAGTGCGCCGGCAAGCACAGTACGATCTGCCGAGTTGTAGTTGGCGATATCGACGTTATGCTTTTCAGCAGCCAAGGCCAATTTCTCATCAAACCCCTCAACTCCGCGTTTCTTTATAACAAGCCGCATTCCAGTGTTGTTTTCCGGAGTCGCCCGCTGCATTGCCAACCCACGAGCTCGGACAAGCTTTAGTGCAGTTGGGAAGTCGAGGGCCCCAGCAATAACATAGGCAGTAAACTCGCCCAAAGAATGTCCTAACACATATTCCACATCATGCTCTTCAAGCTGCGGCTTCAGAGTCGAGTACATGGCGTAGGATGCCGCTAGAATGAGCGGCTGAGCGATCGAGGTTGGCTGGACATCTAAATCAGCATCCGCATGCATGAGGGCCCGTGAAAGTCGTAAATCAGGAAGCGTTTCATCTATCTGGGTCAGCACCTCGCTAATTTGAGAATACTTTCCAAATGGTGCCAGCAAACCAAGTCGCTGGAAGCCTTGGCCTGGTAAAACCAACGCCAGTTTCATAATCAGGTAGGGGGGAAACTATTGAAATTATTCGCAGTATATATTTTAGCATAACTAAACCTCTTCTTCGATTTCTTCGAGAACCTCGCGCTCGAGAACAACGATTTTGCCATCCTTGAATTGGACCTGCATTTCTTCGGGCACCAGTCCCATTTTGCCGAGCCTGGCCTGCACGTCGGCGCGGAAAGCCACCCAAGACTTGTAGGCTTCCTCGCGCTTCTTCTGGAGCTCTTCGGACTCTTCGGACTCGCGGGCAGCATCCTCAGCATCGAACTGAGCAGCATAAGTCTTGATGTTCTTCTTGATCTCATTACGCTTTTCCTCAGAGAGAGTCGAGGGCGGTCGTGGGCGCCAGAAGAAGGCCTTCAACTTATCGATCTTCTCTTCGCGCAACAACTGACCACGAATATCCCACAATTTAAAGCCAGGAGATGACGTGTTACCAACAATGGATGAAACCGTTGCAAGGTAGCGACCACTAGGGTCAAATGCCAGGTCGGTCATACCCTGGTTTTCTCTCTTGCCAAGGTTGACAACAGCGATAGGCAATTCTTTGGCGGCCTTAAGGGCACCATCAACCTTGATACTACCAGACATAGCGTCATGATCAATATCCCAGAACTCAAGCTCAGGCTTGGTGTTGCGTACGGCAGAAAGCAAGAAGCGGCCGCGGGGGGACCACAGTAAGAAGTTTGTCTGACGTTTCTCGAAGCGATATGCCTCCTTCCAGGTGCCCTGGAGACCCTTGGAACGCTCAAGAGCATAGAAAGATAAAATCTGCTGAGAGTTGGACATGATCTGGTTGGGCAGATCCAAGTAGGAGATACATGCGAAACGATCCCCGCGAGGCTCCCAGGCGAAGTTGAGAACAAGCTCCTTTAGCTCAATCACCTCGACAGGGAAAGACTTTTCATTTAGACGATAAATCTCCAAACTTGTGAACAGACCCTTTTTGTTTTTGGTCAAACGATCAGCCTTGACACACAAAAATTGGGCCTGATCCTGCCAGAACATGCGGCAACCGGATACATTGAAAAATGAGCGGTTACGGATGGTAGTCTTTGTGGCCACATCCATGAGGCACACACGGGCAGTCTGGTTCTCAACCTCAGGGGTCCAATATGCGAGCATCTGCTTGCCACCAACCAGGGCTGGAGCAAACTCAAAGTCCATGATACCACTGATTTTAGCCGACTTTTTATCAACCAAAGACATTGACGGTGTCTCGTAGATGCTCAAGTTGTCCTTGGAACTAATGCGGGCAAAGTAGCGGGAGTCAGGAGTCCACTTGAAAGCAGGCCACTTGATAGGCTCGGCATCACGAGCAATAATGGCAGCGGCAGCAGTTCCGGGAACGATGGTAGCATGGTTGGGGTTCTTGTAGGTAACATAAGGATTGTAGTCGCCCATAGGAAAAGTGCGCAAAGGTGCCTTTGTTTGAACGTCCCAGAGAACGATTTGGTTGCCAACGTCGGTCTCCTTGAATGGCCACTTGGCAGCCTGAGTATGATCCTCGGGGGGTGCAGGGATGGGGTTGCGAGATGCAGTAAACAAGTAACGCTCATCGGGGCTGAACTGAATGAGCTCAGCCTCGTGATGGGGGAAACGACCAACGGACTCAAATTGAGCACCGGCGTGAAGCATAACACCCTGGCGGTGCATGGAAACCAAATAAGAACCTCGGGGGGACCACTGAACGTAAGTATCGGTCATGCGTTCCCGCTTGAAAGCCTCACGTGGCGCACTGTCCTTGTTCATCCAATACACACCAACTGTCTCGTGAACATGCATGACAGCCTGGTCACGGCCCTGGGAGTCGGTGAGCCAGGATTTAAGATGGGGCAGAGGCTTGAAGGGCTCAAGATGAGGCTCCTTGTAATCTGTGGAAACCTTGGGGTCTGTGAACTTTTCGACGTTTCCAAGACGGTCGACCTGAAGTGTGTGCTTGGCATCAAGCTTGACATTGTTGAATTTTTTAATGATCTCACGGGCATCATCTTCAGTGTTGAACTCCAAAAAGACGTACCCCATGCTCTTGCCGCTCTCATCCGTGGGCATATGGAAACCGTGAGGTTCCTTAATTGGACGAACCTTGCCAATAACCTTCTTGAGCACCTTGGTGAGGGCCTCGATTTTTGCCTCAGGCACAATAGGTGCGCCGTCCACAATCACAAACCGGTCGAGCTTGGTTTCAGGCTCGACTGCGTATTTGGCCTCCAAATCCTTGAAGTCGATGGGCTCTTCGGTCATGTTGAAAAATTTTGATTTGTCACGGGTCTTTTGAATGAAGGGTTTGGCAGACGAGCGTGGAGGGCCTAAATTTGGAAAATTGTAATCCGCCAGGGAGTTAGCTAAAATCTATTGCGGAGCTACTGCTGGCTGGGATTTTTTTGGTGCTTTTTATAGGTCACACTTTTATGCAAAGATTGGGTTTCACATTGTGCTACCTCCAACGCCGAGCATCGCACCCCTCATTCATCACTAATCCGCTCCCAATCCCGACAAACATTCTTTAAACCAGCCGCAAGGTCAACATCACTTATAGTAAAGATCACCACGGCTAGTGCTAGCACTGACCATTCCAAAATTGAGAGGGATGCTTAAACTAGTAAAGGGTGCTACGAAACCCAAGGCCGCGGCCCCCAAGGCCAAGTATATTGAGCCGATTTTGGCCACCACCTATGAAGAAGGTAAAGACTTTGCCACAACAATGGAAGCTTTGGGGCGTGTGCTGGCCAAAACCCCGGCTTGGACGAGCCAGTACAAGGCTCTTATTGTGCTCCACATCATGATTCGCGAAGGCTCAGAAGAGGTTACCCTAAAATACCTGTCTAAACATCCTCGCATGTTGGAACCCGACGAGGCCACTGCCCGTCAAGCAGTGGGGCTTCTACGTTACTGCCGTTATATTTCTGTGCGTGCAGCTCAATTCCGTGAAACAAAGGTTGATTATGTGCGCTACAAGACACGTCAGGGCCACGGCCGGCTTTATGGCCTCACCGTGGACAAGGGCCTTTTACGAGAGTCTGAGAGTGTGATTGTCCAGCTCGAGGCTCTGCTCAAATGTCACTTTGAGGAACAAGACGTCGACAACGATGTTGTATTAATGGTTTTCCGCTTGCTCAGCCACGACCTTCTGTCCCTGTTCCAGGTCCTCAACGAGGGTGTTATCAATTTGCTTGAACACTACTTCGAGCTGTCAAAGGTCGATGCAGAGACTGCTCTTGATGTATATCGTGGGTTCACAAGACTCACAAATAAGGTCATTTCTTTCCTGAGGGTCGCAAAAAATCTCGAATACCAAACAAAGTTCCATGTGCCCAACATCAAGCATGCACCCACCTCGCTTGTTTCCTCTTTGGAAATGTATTTGAACGATCCTGATTTCGAAACTAATCGCAGACAATATCTTGCCGAGAAGTCCGCTAAACCCCGTCGAGATCGTGAAGATCGTAGCGAGCTTGCCCAGCAACCTACCGCTAATCAGCGAGAACTCAGTGCCAAGGTACAAGGCGACGAGTCCTCTCAGCCCCCCGCAATGCAACAACGGCAACCTTCGTTCAAACTTTCCAACCAGATGCAACAGCCACAGACAATTCAGTTCGCTCAGCCGGCGCAGCCTGTCCAGTCTCAGCAACCACAGCCCGTACAAGCTGCCCCAGCAAGATCAAGCTTCGATCTGCTTGATTTCGGACAGGCAACTTCTGCCCCGGCCGCTGCCCCGGCCGCTGCCCCTGTGCCTGCTCAACCCTCCCCTTACAATCCATTCTACGCACAGGTCCAACAAGAAGTGCTTGCACAAACCCAAGCAGCCCAAATCCAGCTTGAGCAGAGCCAGGCCCAGATGCAGATGCAGCAGATGCAGTATCAGCAGCAGCAGTTGCAACAGAGCCAGCTGCTGCAAGCACAGCTCACTGGTGGGTGGGACCTTGGACAGGTTCCCTCGCACCAGCAGCAACAGCCTTTTGCCAACCAGCAAGTCGCCCAACACACACAGCCAATGCAGAGCCAGTCGTCTATTCTACCTGTACAAACTACGGGATATAACCCGTTCAAACGAGTTTCTATGAGTACGAATCCTTTCGCACAAGACCAAGTGAACCCACAACAGTCCCACTTCGTCCCACAAATGGCTTCTCAGATGGCCCAGCAAGTCACAGGCACCAACCCATTCCGAAATAGCATTCAATGAACTCTTGGTATGCTTATGTATTCTAGTTATCAATAACTTATCGATTCGCGCTATAGGCAATTAAAACATAGGGCAGCCTCCCGTCGCACTGAACAATACGAACAAACAAGCCTCTGACAATGCACACAGATCTCCATACTATTTGGATCCCTACTGTTTAGGCAGTCTGCACAAAGCACGGGCTGTAGGGTAGGGGCTAAGCGTGGCGGAGGGTGCTGGCTGGCTCGATGAGCTGCTTCTGGTGAGCTATGCAAAGCAAATTTGGCGGTGTCGAATACTAGCTGTGAAGCGTTCTGTGCTTTCCTCTTCACCGGAGTACACTGGCTCTCTATTTTTGAACTGTTTCTCGCGCCCCACAGGGCATTCACTGCACCGTCAGCATCACCATCATCACCATCACCATCATCATGATCGCCCCAGTGTACTCGTTTCATGGGTAAGGGTACGGTCGAGAAAGAATTTACAAGCGCCACCACTGGCAGGGAATGTTCAACCACTTGACTTGCTACAATCGACAGGTAAGTTGCTCACTGCGGTGAGTTTGCGATGTGTTTCGGTCGCACGGGATAGTGAAATGGACGACCTTGATTTACGTAACTGATTCTACTGGCCTACTATACGCTTCTGGGGGGCCAACCGCTCACTAAGCGGGTCTCTTGCTGAGTTGATAATTTCATCAGCCATCTCTGGTGATGACAATCCAGTTCGTTTGGGCCAGCTTGGTGATCATTGACTCAGCTGCTTGCTTTATTCCCCCTTGTGCCCCCTCCCAGATTGGGTAGTTTGGGGCCAGGGTTGAAGTCTTGGGAATGTGAATTTAGGGTTTGCCCAAACCCAGCATATCCGCTCACCAGCTTTCAGTCTGGCGTTTCCTAACCCTCCCGTTCGCAACATCTCACACCGTCATCCTCATCGTTTACGCGCCGCGTCACGCTTTTGTACTCAATACTAACTTCAGAATGGAGAACCCTGCATACGGACACTGGAACGGTGAAGATAAACAGCTCGCTGACCAGAGCCAAATTGACCCAAGCTTCCACCAGCAGAGTGAATATGCCGCCGAGGCCGTGGCTGTTGCCCAAAATGTTCACGATAGCTCGATGTCGATGCCCCCTGTGGACCAGCCCATGAATCAGAGCCGCAATCGTCGGCCACTGTCACAGTCCAAGCGTGCTCAGCAGAATCGTGCTGCCCAGCGTGCCTTCCGTCAACGTAAGGAATTGTACATTAAAGATCTCGAAGCCAAAGTTCAAGAACTTAAGTCGGCAAAAGAAAACATGGAAGCTCTCCGCACCGAGAACCAAGAGCTCCGCGATTATATTCTCGCCTTGCAATCGCGTTGGATCAACCAGCCTGGTGGAGTGCCCACTCCCCCAGCAGTGTATGCCCGCAGAAGTCAGGACGAGCTCGAGCACGTCCAGTACGATGACAAGGGAGACGAGCAGAAGTAGATTTCAATTCGCTTCCTTTGGCACTTTTTATACCTACTCTTTAATTCCTACCTAAAGTTTATACTTGATATCCTTTTTTTCCACCGTGCAATGTACTAATCCACTTGCAATCGAATCGCTCATGCATAATTCTCACTGTTATGCATGTTGATTAGCAACCCTTGCTTCCATCATGAAGACCCCTAAGAAAGCCTTTAAAGAAAAGGTAGAACATGAATTCGGCGTCGAAGATCCATATTATAAGGAAGAAGAAGAAGTTGCCGAGGACGGGACTGTTACAACCAAACGAGTAAAGCGTGAGGTGCCTGCTGGAATCTCCGCAAATGATGCGAGCGTGCTGAAGAAAACGAAGCTACATGCGTATCGCCTTGAGCTCTGGTTCTCAATGTGTGGCCTCAACGTTGGATGGTCTGCTGTAATTGGTATCATCCCATTAGTGGGAAGTGCACTCTGTGCTTGGTTAGCGTTCAACACCGTCTCCATGGCGGACAAAATTGATGGCGGGTTGACTAACTGGCAGAAATCAAGAATGTACTACAATGCTACAGTGACGTCTGCTGTAGGCTTTATCCCTCTCGTGGGAGATATTATACAGGCAGTTTACAAGGGTAGTACTCGCAATGCCATGTTGCTCGAGGAAATTTTGATTGAGCGAGGTCAAAAGAACTTGTCGGCTGCAGGAGATTCGTCCAAGCTCACTTCTAAAGGCACAAAGGTCGATGTGCCTCCCAAGAACCATCTTAAATAGGTTGATACTTTATAATACATTAACTCGCGAGTACCTTCACCGTATTCGAGTTTGTCGGGAATTAACGGAAGTAGCAGCTACTGCAATATAGTGCCTTACAATAGTCATACCGAAAATGCATTCAGGAAAATATTTTCTGGAGATCCCTGGAGAGATGGCGATCATTACCGTGATTACTTCCGCGTGATAGCAGACGTACTCAGGGCTCTCTGAGTCAACAAAAGTTTATACTCGAGCAAGAACCATCTGTAGCATAATATGAAAATGATAAAGTCTAACTAACTACATAAGCGGTACTGCCACTCCTTTATGTGATTGTAGGAACATGCTCTGGGACAACTCAGGCTTCTTGTATCACTCGGAGACCGTTGAATTAAAAAATCAGGAGTACTAACAGACGGTATGACGATATGTGCATAATATGCTCGTCAATTTGCATCGCAAAAGTGAGTTAGTAGCCCTTTCTTGCCAACGTAGTATTGAACAGAGTAGCCCTCATGTGCTTTATATCCCTGCTGTGATGTACAAGTGCTAAGTCCCAACAGACTATATGTGGCTACCTAGAAACTCGTGTAAAAGTATTCCAGCTAGCATTAAATACCTCCCCTAGCAGAGTGCATTGAAAAGTGCGGAGTAATTGAGCTGCATATTGAGCTGCACGAAGTGCTCGATACGAACTATTGAGTGCTTATATAAGGTCTATAAAACTTTGACTTCAATAATACCAAAATGACCTTTATGAAAAGAAAATGAAAGCTTGAAAAAGCAAAAGATGAAATCGGAAACGGTTAGTCTGGTTTCTTTTCAGACGCAGCCAAGCTTGGATGTGAAGAGAGTTGATCCGTTTAACGACGATATCTCAAGCACAACCTTGCAAAGGTGTTTGCCTGAAGGGTCTTTACAAGCAATACGCTATGTAAAGCACTGATGGGTTCTGTGGATTACTAGCCGATGGCAAGAATTTACAGGAAAACACTCGGGGGCATGCTGCTACAGATAGCCGACTTTAGTCGTGATTTGTAGACAGAAACCTCCTCTCAAGTTATTGATGCTAAGCTTTGCTTAGCGGACTATAACTGAGGAACTCAAAAAGGCAATTGGATGCAGTTGATGTGTTGACAGTGTAACAACTGACAATGCAGAGACTGGGTGGAAACACGAACTTTGAAAAACTATGTTTCTTCGGAAACTAGGCAGTCTCTTGACTGTTGAAGATAGTTATCTGGTTGATCCTGCCAGTAGTCATATGCTTGTCTCAAAGATTAAGCCATGCATGTCTAAGTATAAGCAATCTATACAGTGAAACTGCGAATGGCTCATTAAATCAGTTATCGTTTATTTGATAGTGCATTACTACATGGATAACCGTGGTAATTCTAGAGCTAATACATGCGTAAAATCCCGTCTGGGATGTATTTATTAGATAAAAAACCAATGTCTTTGGACTTTTTGGTGATTCATGATAACTTCTCGAAGCGCATTGCCTTTGTGCTGGCGCTGGTTCATTCAAATTTCTGCCCTATCAACTGTCGATGGTAGGATAGAGGCCTACCATGGTATCAACGGGTAACGGGGAATTAGGGTTCGATTCCGGAGAGGGAGCCTGAGAAACGGCTACCACATCCAAGGAAGGCAGCAGGCGCGCAAATTACCCAATCCTGACACGGGGAGGTAGTGACAATAAATAACGATACAGGGCCTTTGGTCTTGTAATTGGAATGAGAACAATTTAAACCACTTATCGAGGAACAATTGGAGGGCAAGTC